AAGCAGCCTGGACAGCTTGAGGACTAAGACTGGGCTTCGAACCAATGTAAACGACTCTTGGATGTCACTTCTTTGATTTGCACCCGGGCCAACAATAACCAACTAATGACATCACAACTTCCCAGCCTTCCAGCTGTCCCATTACTTTTCCCTTTGAAAAAGTCAAAATACAGTATACACTCATTGTCTTATAGTAGTATTGTAGTACTCATTATATTTTCATTGATTGGTTTGATTGATCAAAGGAGTATTTTGAAATATGGGACGTACTAATTGGATAGGAATGCTGTTTTCAGAGTATTGATGGTAAAGTCAAAGCTCTCGTTTTGTTTGCTGATGTGGTTTTATTGGACGGATCACTTCCAATGAGTAATTTGATTAACTTAAAGGTTAATTTTGGTGAGCTCATCAATCTGAGTTGACACTAACCAAGTTTATATAACATGAAGCTAAAACAAGGAGACTGCTAGCTCAAGATTAGCCTTAGCGCTGAAAGCCTCTGAGAAAAATCTAGTTTAAACTGGGAATGGGACTATAAAGCATTATCTAGTGGTCAGACTCAAGATTGCATTGATTGCTGACTTGCTTGCCCAAGCAGTAGTGGATAGGGTGACCATACGTCCTCTTTTACATGGACATGTCCTCTTTTTTGGTTTTGTACGTACATTTCGAATTTGTGTCACGTGGACTTACTGAGTTAGAAGCGTGTAAAAGACGCTCGATCTGAACCGAAAAACTCTCAAAATTAAAAAAAAATTGTGTGACTTTGTGACTCCGCCCCCGCGTAGTTGTGTCCGCTTTTTGGGAAGTCAGAATATGGTTACCCTAGTAGTGGAGCCTCTTTTGCTTCCAGAGCTCATGTCGAGGTATCAGTGTTAGTTTTAATCAATCTCGTGGGAAGTATAAAATTCCTCACAGGAGATTCAGATTTATCAGCTTGCCCACTCACATTATCTATGAGGCTGAGAAGGAGATAAGAGGCTAAACCAAGGCTTCATATGATCATAGCTTTTTAACACACCTTTAATACCCACTCAGTTGCATCTAACTCCTGTTGTAACTAGGGCCCGACTGATTTTATCGAAAAGATACCCCAACTTATCCTGTAGATGGCGCAGCAACCACGTGATAATCTTCATCCACTAACTACCTCACAGCACAGCAGAGTGACAGATCTGAAGCAGGCAGCTCAGGGATGCACGGAGGAGAGTGGTCCACCTCAACGGTAAATAATAACCAGTTTGTGAAGTAGACAATAAGTCAACAAGTTTCAGTTCAACCCACTTCACGATGTACCCCGCTGTGCTGGTCTCGGTTATGCCGAGTTAATGGTCAAGCACCATGTAATAAGCAAGCTAAAGTTAGAGTTAGCCACCTGCCATTAGCCTTGCTACACTGTTAGCCGTGCCAGTAACGGTAGAATAAACAACAGTACACATTACGTGATTGAGCTACTTCTCTTACCGAGGCAGCTGCATGTCTCCAGATGAGACCGGACCGGAAATGAGTAACATGAGTTAAGATGCAGAGGCACCGATCGGCGAGGGGGGTGGGGGGGTGGGGCAGTTAAAAACACCTTTCTGGTCCAAGTCTGATCAGTTGGTCTTCCTGTCGGCGTGAAGGAAGTAGCCTACAGTATATCTACCTACAATTTATATATTTTTTATAACTTCATAAAAAGTTTAAGAAATCAGCCGATTAATCAGTAATCAGACCCCCCCCCCCCCCCCCCCCAATAATCGGTATCGGCCCAAAAAAATCCATATCGGTCGGGCCCTAGTTGTAACCATCAGCAAGAAGCGATCAAGCTTTTTTCCTAAATTTGAGGCTATTTCTTTAAAGTTCAGGTTAATTTCTCAGGTTTCTTTAGAGTCAGATAGGATGTTTTCTCATCGATCTGTTCACATACTGCTGATCTTTCCCTGACTTTCCCATGCATGGTGGATACTGCCAGAGCAGTAACAATAGCCTTGGGTGGAGTGCACAGCTGAGTTGGAGTCTGCAGCTTGTGCTTTGATTACTGGAATACTGGACAGAGTGAGAAGCCTTCCTGAGGAGATTTAGTTAATATTTCTGTATGTGGACTGTATGCCCTGTCCTGTTCATAACACACTGTCCAATAACAAAAAAATCTGCATAATTTGTTGTTTTATTTTGTATATTTATAACACAAAAGCACTGGCTGTACCATACCAGTCAAAACCATGCACGCTCTTTTCTTCACAACCTCTCTGCACTTGAGTTTTGAATTATTCTGCCTTGCTTGGATGCTTTCACAAACATAACTAATGCAGCACTTGCTGTGTCTGTTTATGGTCTGCAGGCTATTCCTCTCCCTTGCTTTCCCTCTCATTCTCTCTGCTATACTGGCATCGACACCAGGTTTCAAGAGGCCTCCTGAGGGGAGGGAAAATATGGAGGAAACTTGGAACAATATATTGTAGGTAAATAAATGCTCTGTCAGAAAAAGAATGCCTTTCCAAAACAGACCCGAAGCCCTTCAGTGCAGCATTTGCCCAAAGAAATGCCCCAATTACTCCTCTGATAATGTGATAATAATGCTCCGACCTCTTTAGAAGTCACTGGGTTCACTGTGCAAACAAGCACCAGCACTCTGAGACTGAGGGAATATCATCTGGGGCCTTGAGGAGACTGCACGTGAAGAAACTGTGTGTGTGTCTGTGTGTTAGAAGGAGAGGGGAGAGAGAGAGAGGGAAAGAGGAGGGGTGAATACAGTGGAAGTACAGTACTCATTTTAATTCCTACTTCAGCTTTTCTGCAAAGATCCTAACCTTTTGACTCCCGTGTTTAGTCTTGGATCAGACGCCTCCGGCCAAGTAAGATTGCAGAAAGTGTAACATTTTCTGAAACAGGTGTATAGTAAGCTAATCTAATAATATGGTCTATGATATGGCTATAAACAGAAGGATAGGATCTCAGCACCGTGTCCATCTTATTCTTTGGCCGTCAGGCTGTTGTTGGCTGTAGAGTAACCGGCCTATTGATACCAGATGAGAGGATGAGTCAAAATAGTGAGCAGATGTGATAGTTCATAGTCAAAACAGAAAAAGAAACTATATCAAATTATGTCTAAATATACTGTTTATGAAACAGGTCCTACAAATGTTTAAGGAGAATTGGTTCCTTTAATGGGTTTGTACTGCTGTAGTAAGCCAGGAGCTGCGGGTGTAACTTACTATCTACAGTGAAACTGAGACTTGTTAGAAATAGATTCATAACATTCCTTTTCAAGAGAATGTAAGGATCCAAGAAATGACAGCATTTCATTTTCGTCGTAGCTGAAGGTGTGGACTTTGCCTTGATGTATTTATTAAATTGTTAGTAAAACTGTAAACGATGCAAGAGGAAGTCTTGGCTGGAGGTCGTTTATCGCTAACAATTGGTGACATTGTTCACCCGTGATCATTTTAGGCAACAGCTGATGGGTTTCAAGACTAAATTAGATGTTGTGGGGCCAAAATATATGAAGCTAAAAGGCAGTATGACAGGTTATGAAGCCTGCTCCCTCTATGTTGACAGATGGAGCATGGGTCAAACTAAAAGAACATAAATACACATCAAATATACACTCTTAAACATGTTTTTTTACCATTATAGTTATGTAATGACACACTGATTTAAATTTAATTTTTTTTCTGAAAATTGAGATTTTGTAGGTTACGTGATGTTGAAGTTTGATTGACAGCTTTTAAAGAGCCATGGCGAGGGAAAACATAACAAACACTAACAGAAGAAACTATGGTAAGGATGGACATGCACACAAGAGTCACCACAACGCAGAGGTCACATGCATGTTACATGGCTATAAAGGTAAATGTAAGAATATTTATAATTATGAAACAACAATTAGACTTTGACAGTGGGAAAATAGTGCAGTAAGAAGAAGAGACAGTGCTGCCATCCGTGGCACCAACTTCGTTCTATGAATTCAAAGTCAAGACTTAACAGGAAAAATGTATTCCTGCTTAGTGTCCTGGCATCAAAACGAGACCTGGATAAAGTCTAGGAAGTAGAAATATTCAACTAATCTGACATGATTTATCCTCGAACTCTGACAACTTTCCACCCCGGAAGCACCCACAAATGGAACATAAGAAAAGCAGCAGCGGAGAGGGTGAGCTACAACGTATGGATGGAGTGAAAAAGAGGAGAAAATCTCCTGAGTGATATATCCCTTTTACTGACTCCAGCACCTGAAAAGTTCATCACTTCCATGAAGGGGTTTTGGGAAAGCACCAGTTGTGTCGGCAACAAGAGAGGAAGAGAAGACAGGGGAAAAAAAGAGGGGAGGAAAAAAAGGTTCCTGCGTCACGTTTCTTTGATTTGTTCACCAGCTGCCAATGAATATGATGACCTGCAGAAGGGTTTTTTCTCTCTCTCTCTCTCTTCTCTTGGCTCTGCATCTGCAAGAGCAAACCACAGCTGGAGCCACACACTGAACAAGTGTAATCTTTATAGTATAATGAATACAAGGAAGGAGCCTGATAGGACACATGGACCCAGCTCTCACACTGATTTGACTCATAAAACTGCTGGCATCCATCCACGCATGAGTTTATGTGGTTGTTCCAGTGACCAATGTGGGAAGTGCAAATTTTATCACCTGCATATGGAGCTGGTGTGACAGCTTGATAGTTTGAAGTGATTCATCAATTTAATTTAGTCCATATTATGAAATTTAAGGTCTGTACTTACAAAGAAAAGTATAATAAACAGTCACATAATAGGCTTCATCCTCCTTGGTGTACTTTATTAATCAAATTTTATCCTTCCACATCCTGCAGCTGTTCCAAACCAAAGTACATGTATGATTGGACAGGATTTTTACCGGGAATGGGTCAGGAGCAAAACCAAACATGTCGTCTCCCAAATCCAGCAGTGTTTAAGGTGACAAGGAGGGGCTTTTCCTCCACCTCAGGCAGGCGTACTTCCTGCATCGTCCACTGCAATATATAAACCCGCAAAGACAGAGTTCCCCCGGTGCACTCACTAAGTTTGCAAAGCGCAAAAACTCATCATTTGCAGCAGCCCTCCCTCTCCCTCTCTTTCCAAAAACATACGGAGCAGTCAGAGGTGATACAGCGGCGGTTACACTGGGACGAGGTATCACTGCGCAAGAAAAGGTAGGACCAAAGATTAAGTGAATGAATGTCACTTGTATTTGTTTAGCAAAGAAGGAAAGGATTTAAGGATGGATTGCATGGCAGGATAACGTATTTTACGCACAAGACCTATGAGTTTGTCCTGTTTTTCTTTCAGCTTAATCCAAGACGCGGAATATACTGCCTGCAGATTTCAACCCAAGCATGAAACCTCAATATTTCGCTGTTGGTTTGATACTTTTGTGCATATCTTGCGGAGCAAGTGCACTGGCAACGAGTATCCCCGCTGTGCCGGCAAATTTCACCAGCCCTGGCGCGGCGCACAGCCATGGAACAGACACCACGACAATTTCTAAAACCAGGAGGAAGCGTTATATCAGTCAAAACGACATGCTCGCTATTCTTGATTACCATAACAAAGTGAGAGGGAAGGTTTTTCCACCTGCATCAAACATGGAATACATGGTAAGTGAAAGCTATCAGGTCGTTATTTAAAAGTGCATGTATCCCTGTACAATGCATAATAGTACTAAGGTTATCTATTGTGTCCCCACTTTTTGGTAATTATTTTGTAAGTTGTTACAGAAGTTTTATGTGCATTTTCTGCTACTGCAAAAAATGCCTGCATCATGTGAAATAGACATTTGAGGCATGAATTTCGCATGAATAGATGTAATTAAGAAAGGAAGTTGAGTGACAAATGTCTGTCAGCTTCTTGACACCTTCAGCTGTTCAGCAGATTTCACAGAAGCAGACCACCAAAGTAGTCACTTCCAAAGGAAGAGGGGTCATGTATGGTCCTGGTAGCCTGCTGGTAGTGTGATATTGAGAGGGCAGTAGAGGTCTCTTTAAGACCTGTTGGGTTGGAGGTCTGATCCGTTCAAAATCTGCCACTTATTTTATATTATTTCATGTTTCAGCTCCAAATTAAAGCTTTTGCAGTGATATTGAATACATTTTACTCTTGTTAAAAGTTACAAATCAAGTCAACACATTTCCGAGTAAAAACGAGGAATCTCCATTCATGGAAGTTGCACTGTTAGCAAGTGCATGCATTGAACGGGTCTCCTCTGAAAAAAGCTGCTGTTAGAGGTTATCCACCAGTGAAAGTACGCAAGACTGAAGCAGCTGTTTTGATTGTGGTATTCTTAAAGCTCTCCAGCTCCCCGTCAAGTGAAAGAGTTACATGGGATACTGGGCAACTAACTTTCTCCACTTATGTAACTGATTTGGCGGATGGCCGTTGCCAAGGTAACCCCTGAAACTGCGCTATGAGCTCAGAAAGTGCCGTCTCTTATCTGACATCTTGCTGCTGAATGAAGATCTGCTGCAGTGTTGATATTTTTCCATCAGTTATGTAATGGCCTGACATCTCTCTCTCTCTCCATCTCTCTCTCTCTCTGTCTTTCTAGGTTTGGGACGACACTCTGGCAAAGACGGCCGAGGACTGGGCTCATGCCTGCCTGTGGGAGCACGGTCCGCCTAACCTTCTCCGGTTCCTTGGTCAGAACCTCTCCGTCAGGACAGGACGGTGGGTGACCTTTACCCCTCTTCCCCTTCCCCCTCCCCTGACATCTGCTGCTCCTCTTAGGGACGGCTCTCTCGCTCTCAGCAGTCATGGTCGTTGCCTTGCAGCCCCCTTCTCCTCTCTCCTAAAAGTTTTTGCACTGTGACCTGGTGACTGCTTGAGGAATGCTCTGGTGACCCCTCAGATAAACACAACTTGTGTTTTCAGCCATGACCCATGAGGACAAAGGCACATCCCTTCAGAGGGTCTAGACTTTCCATTCGGAAACCTCCACGTGTTTGAACACTCTTAGGTTTTATTGAGGGACAACTTTAGACCGGAGGGAGAATAGCTCTACTGAATTTACACCTGACCTGCTTTTGATACCGCACAACGATACCATTCTGTTGGTATTATGACTAGTAATGAGACTAACATGTCCTTATGTATGAATTGCTGACTTAAACTTACTTTAACAGGCTTCATTTGTCCCCTAGAACAACACCAGGAGGTGAACTGAAGGTGGTCCTTTAGCAGCTACGATTGGCCCACCTGTCAACCAATTCATGCCCCTTTATTATGCCTGATAATGCCAAACTCATAACCTTATTAAAAAATGAGGTTTGACAACACTACAGTGTAAAAAGGTCTAAGAATTGTCAGTTTCTTTTTTTCGCCAGGCTGTAAACAATGTAAATGTTTATTTCTGATGTAAAGATGAGCATTTTAACATGGGTGTTAATGGAGTCTCTTTGGGTTTTGGGTTCAGCTCAAGTGGACACTTGAGGAACTGCAGTTTTTAGCACTTACGCATTGGCATCACTTCTACTATTACAAATTTCAAAAAGTGTCAACAATTTTTAATTTTTCCCTGGGCACCTTGAAAAGGCTTAAATTAGTTGTACTAGCTTTTGAAGTCAACTCTTTATGCAGATACTTTGGGACTGCAGTGTGAGGCACTTCCATACTGGCTTCATCGGGGGTTGCTACTTGGGTTGGGCTGATCACACTGCTGCCTCATTTCCTTTGGCAAGTCAGCTTTTTGCACTTCGGTGCATGTTTGGATATCTCACAAAGAAACTTGGCCGCATGAAAACAATCATGAGAGTTTGATCATTGTTAAGTAATAAAATTGTTGCCTCTTGGCTGCAAACTCTGGTTCGTTTCCAGTTTCTCAAATGTGGATGCAGTCATGATGTAAATGGAGCAGATGTTCTAAACACTATTACAAAGAACATTTGGCCTGGTCCACAACGTGACATCAACAAATATCCCTTTACGCAGGCTTCAAGTCCAGACACACTATTGACGACTTGGAAGACATTATTTTAGAGGAAATATGGGATTTAAGAAAGACAGGGCTAACATGGGAAGAACTGGGAACTGAAAGGGGGCTGAGATTTGAACTCAGGAAATGTCCACATGAGTTGCGTTGATCAGTTGGAACATCCAAATTAATATTTATATCATATCCAATATTTTTTTACAGTTATCGATCTATTCTCCAGCTGGTGAAGCCATGGTATGATGAGGTCAAAGATTATGTCTTTCCATACCCCCGCGACTGCAACCCCCGGTGCCCTCTCAGGTGTTATGGACCCATGTGTACTCATTACACACAGGTACATAGATCAAAATCAATGTTACACGTTAATATGTGTAATTCTAGTATCATTTGCATTCAATATCCTCCTCCTTCTTTATTTACAGATGGTCTGGGCGACATCCAACAAAGTAGGCTGTGCAGTGCATACATGCCATAATATGAACGTATGGGGTGCAGTGTGGAAACGGGCGACATATTTAGTCTGCAACTACTCACCAAAGTAAGTAAATTGAGGTTTAAATGTATGGTTTTGCTTCTTGTACAGTGTTACTTACATAAGCTGTAAGGAAGCCCGCTAATTCCTGTGAACCTGTTAACCCGATGACGATAGGGTGACCACGGCTTAATCACGACACAGGCGGCTCTGTTCCGTGCTGAGCTGTGAAATGCCACCCATGTAGCTGAGAGAGTCAGATAACCTCGATACAAGCCCGTGAACCGGTACTGCATTAGCGTTGCCCTGCAGACCCACGTAACAGACCAAGGGCTCTCTAAAAAATCCAAAGAATTAAAAGCTGTTTGGACTTATGACTGACTTGTGACCCAGGTACTCTAATCCTGCTGGTTGCAGACACATGTCAGAGGAACAGGCTGAGGACAGTGATGACCCATTTCAGCTTGCTGGTTGAAAAGCAGGACTACGTTTTTAGATTTTACAGACACTCTAATCTGGATTGTTTGTAGAGAAAATAGCAAGGCATGCTTGCTTGAGCATCCAATGCATCTCAAACATACACATACTGAAGTTGCTCATATACTACAGATTGAATGTCTGGATGCACTTTCTCTTATCTTCAGACTACCTCAGTGCTTTTTACACCACATGGTCTAACATGGTCTGGACAGAGTCTAATATTAGCAAATATTCATACAATGATGGCTATGCCTTTGGGAGACATTTGGGGTAAATAATTTCACCATGTAGGCTAGGGTGGTCTTGGGAAAGAAAACAACCAACCTACCAACCGATGAAAAGATGACATGCTTAACATTCACTCAAGTATGCATGCTGATGTCCAAAAGTGATTGAACAGTGGCCAAACTGTCATGGAGTTTTAAGAAATGTAAATATCCATTATGAGCACTTGAACAGGGTGCAACTATACATTAATTCACACATTATATTGCACTTTTTATAATTGCTTCATATTGGGTAGACTTTTTTAAACATTTTAATCAAACAAAATTCACTGATACCATTCCTATTTCTTCCTCCAAGGGGTAACTGGATCGGAGAGGCCCCCTACAAAGTAGGCGTCCCCTGCTCCGCCTGCCCTCCCAGCTACGGGGGCTCCTGCAGCAACAACATGTGCTTCCCTGCTCTTAAGACAAACTACCTGCACTGGTTCAAATAAAGACAGGTTTTCTTTCTGACATAAGCTGACACCGTACAGTACCACACAGACACAACTTCAAGCCTTTAAGGATTTGCACAGCAGTCTTGGACCACACTATTTTGTATATATGGGCTTATTTAAAGATAAACATACATTTGAAGGCAGCAAATGATTTAGCGATGACTTGTAAATAAAGTGTAAATTAATGTCATTTGTGGCAGAATTGCTATGATTATTTTAATTGATTGAGTATAATTTATGTTAAGAGTGGGTCCTTAAACACAATATATATATCATATATGGTGCTGCATTTTCACTATTTGTTTACCATTGACAATATGGTAATTAATGGTGCTGCATTTTCACTATTTGTTTACCATTGACAATATGGTAATTAAGGTCATAACAGGATCATAGCTGCTCATACCTGCTCACTTTGGTGCTACAGGCATCACACCTTCATGTTGTGTGCTCTGCCTCCACAGGAATGTTGTGATGTTGAGATCAAAGCTTTTGACCTTAGCGGGGAAAACCTACACTGCTGGTCTCAGCTTTGTAGCTACTCTGGGTGAACCGAACCTCAGTTTTCTTGCAATTTTCCTTTATGTCCTGCATCAAATTTGTGAAAGCTCGTTGGCAAAAGTGCACTTAAGAAAAATGAAATCAATTCACAACATCAGGGAGATGGTACGGTGCTTGTTTAAAGGTCCTATGTCAGCATAGATTATTCCTCTGGTGTCAAAAGCCCTTTTTCTTTCAGCGTTCACACTGTTTAATCTGCACTGACAGGGTTATATTTCAGAACAATCATGCTACTTTGAAGAATTTCCAACTTTTCTTTCACCCTTCATACTTAAAAGAGCACATACTACAAATCTGACCCTCATATTTCTTTTCTAATTGCATTTGTACATTGTATATTGGTGTGTTATATACCAATACACTCTTATATTGGACAAATCCATTGTTTATATTTTGTTATGATCACTGATGTAGTTTGGTTTGGGGTCTAGGCACTCAAGTGCACCTTAATTGTTTGTAAATTGCCAAAATACTTGGAAATTATTTTTTGTACATGTAGATAATCATTATACCTTGTGTATCCGTAAACAAGCATACTGTAAGTTATTCATTTTTATATGGGGAAAAATATTTAATTGATTGTAATTTTTTTTTATTTTTTTGTAAAAACACTGTAAATATATGAAAATTATTAAAAAGTGCTGAATGTGGTTCAATTACGTGTCCGTTTTAATTCATTTAAAGATATTTCAGGGGGGTTTTTTTGGCCTTAATTGAAACAGAAACAGAGAGAATCGAGTCCTGTGCCACTTGCATGCCAGTTTTTGAGAAAATTTACTTCTGATACGGACTTATTTGGTGTATTTGATTGCTGTGGGCAGGGGTGCATCCAGAGGAGCAACACTAGGGTGGCACTGGCCCAATTTTAAATTTGATCAAACACCCCAGAGGCCACCTTAAAATCCCCAATCCTAACAGAAGCGTTGATTATCAAAGTCTGCTCTTACACTGACTGTGAAATGCAGTTGTATGACATGGGGGCAAAAAAACACACTGAAACAATTAATCAAAAAAGGGTTTGTAAAAGACCAACGTTTTTGACTTCAACATAAGACTAATAACGTCAAATAACTTCAGAATACTTTAATGTTTGATTTATTATTTCAATGTGTTTTTTGCGCCCCATGTCATACAACTGAACAGGCTTAGACACTCCTAGCTGAGTGTCCTCGAAACAATGAGAATGTTTTTGTCAAACTAACGTTTTCTCTTACAGAATAGATGTTATTGTCTGCATAAAGAAAAAAAAACAGACAAAAACTAAACAAAAAATCCAAATAAGACCCTGAATGATGCCAAATGGTGCCATGCCAAAAAAAAAAAAACATTTTCCGCTCTGGCTCATGGAAATAATTAGCAAGTTAAAGCTCCTGTTAAGATCTTTTTTGTCAACTTTGGCGCCTCCTATGGTCAAAGTTACATCCCTGATCTTCTCCTGTATATGTCCAAGTTTACTTGCAGTAAATCGAGTTATTTGACATCTACACCCTCACAAGAGTTAAATCTGTTAAAAACTACAAGATAATAAGGTTTTGCTCAAATATTTGTTTGCTTTTCTAGGTCACAAAAAGCCTTGCTGTTCATTTGAGTAGGTCTCAAAACTTGTCAAAAACTGTTCCAAGAAGCTTTAAGCGATGAAACTTAACATGTTGTTTATTTGTATGTTTAATTAAAATAGCCTGCTTTGATTGTTTGACAGTTTATTTTGCACAGTGTCTGTCAAACACCAGCTTATCTCATGTTGCTTTGTTGTTTCAGCTTCTCCTTCTGTCCAATAGGTCTGACACGAGTGCTTATCCAGCTCTTTGATCCTCAGTTTTTGCTTTCGATTAAAGGAGTGTCATTTGCAAAGTCCCACATCCCGAGTATCAAAGGCTGAGAGAGAGGGGGAAGAGAAAACATGTCAGGGCTACATCTGAATCCTAATATGAGAAGGTTGACTTTGGCTTGACTGAACAGACAGGGAGCAGAGTGGTGTGCACGAACTAAAGAGAGGGGAGGTTTCGCCACAGTACTCCATAAATTAAAACAAGAACTGGCAAGAAAAAAATATACATATACATATTTATATGATGCTGAAAAAGGCTGACATTTTCTTGTACTATTTGTTCTTGCTTTAAAATTTCGGGGCTATGAGGATAGGAGAGAGCTGGTAAAACATTGCATGGGAGGTGAAAATGCTCTGATATGTTGGGCAGATGCTTCAGGTTTTATCTCTCCGGCTCAGAGTGCAGAATGTAAGCCAGTAAAAGACATTTATACACGGGGAAAACAAGCTAAAGCAAAGTTCCCACAGAAGGCTTTAAGGGGGATCATTTGTTAAACGAGCAGCTGCAGAAAAATCTTTTCAAGCTCGAAAATGTTTAATGCGCTGTACTGCGCGTTGGCAGGAAGGGTTACCGTGTCTCACATTGCATGAGGTTTTCAAACCACTTCCTGTGCTCTTTTCATTTGCTTCATCAGTGCAGGCTGCCCTAACAGGCGCGCACATTACCTGGAACTGGCTGGGAACACGTTTGCATGCATGGGAAAAATCAGTCTAATTGACTCAGCGGTGCCAAGCAGATGATTGGTGGAGGTTTAAAACGACACATCAGCAGGATGACGAGTAAGAGATATTATAATGGATTAGAAAACCTGCTGCTAGCCTTTACCCGGCTTGTCAATCACTAGCAGAGGCTGAGCAAAGGTTAAGGATTGACGCGGATGGTGGCGTAGTCTGCAGGTGATGCTGAAAATGTGAGTGCAGAACTTAAACAGGGCAGTGGCGGAGACCAGAAATCCTACAAAAAGCCTGATTGGAAACAACACATGCCAACAGTGTCGCTCAAGTTGCCTGCCTGAACTAGCTCTCAGGCTTCACCTCATTACTTTTACTTGAATATGTAGAGCTAGATGGTAATCCTGCAGATCCTGCATCAGGTTTGGTATGTTTGACTCTTTTTCTGCATTTTTTTTGCAGCAGATTTAGCAAATCTATGGTATTGAATCACTCCTTGGTCAGTTTAAGTGTAGCTGAAAATCCCTCACACTTCCAACTTTGCTTGTTTCTTGGGTGGATACAGAGGCCTTTGCGATTGCAATGTTCACGGACATCTTTACACCCACTGGCCCTTGCATGCATACTCCAGCAGTCAATAAGACCCCACATCAACTCTGCCTTTATTTTACTTCAACTTACACCTTGTTTAAGTTTTGATATGATATCTGGAACTTACATTTAAACTTCTTAAACCTTTAAGCAATATATCTAAACAACTCACTGGCAAAGATTTGGACACCGAATAAAGTGATCTGATTAAGATGTACATGCATCAAACAAAAGGAACATGCACAGGGATGTTTTGTTGTTCCAAAGTGTTGAAAATAACAGATGAAATTGGCCCCTTTGTCTGTCTGCATACTTCTATCCTGCTTGCACCTGCACCAAAGATTAAATTCTCCTCCACTCTCATCTCTATAACATTTGATGTCTGTGTTTTATTTGTCTTTTGGCCATCAAGACTTTCAGCTATCCTGTTGTTTTGCCAACAGACAACTTTTTCTTTGCTTTCTTTATTTTTCTGTGAATTCTGCTAATAACTAAAGTTGCAACTTGTGAGCAGACGTGTACAGTAAGAATAGTTTGACTCCCATATTTTGCTATGTTTCCTGATATAAGCGGTCTTTGTAAACACAGCTCATGTTGTGCTTTTTAAGGATGAATAGGGAACAAGACATGGGCAAAAAGCTGGTCCAGGACAAAGACGTGTTCCGAGAGAAACATAAAACCATGTGAAAGAACGAAAACTAACAGCCATATAAAAGAGAAGGTGTTGTGTAACATGAGACTGATAAGTGAAGTGGTGAGCAGGTGAGGTAGAGTGCGTCAGGTGATTGCAGGGCTGTTTGAAACTGGAGACAGGTGTTAAGCTAGGAAAACGACCTCTAGTGGAGAGATGGAGAATGGCAGAGGCCTGAGGAAGAGAAAATTTAAGTGTAAAGAAGAGATAAGGAGACAGTATTTAAAAGTCGCTCGGCCTTCTACTTTCACTTTCCACATTTCATAATTTCAGCTTTTTTCTTCTACAAAAGTTGGTTTATTTGTCTGATGTTGCCTACTTTATGACATGAAATCTGCACCTCTCAGGGGTAGCGGTACACTTCAATGAGGTACGCTGAATAACAACAGCAGAGAAGAGAAAGAGAAACACAATCATGGAAAAGGAGAGAAGAAACAGAGATTCTCAGTCTCATGTTGCTGCACCAATAAATCCTTTCCAACTAGCTTATTCTATCAGCCAGTGCCAACATCTTCTGAAGCCACAATGACGCATCTGTGCGCTGATCCCAAGGTGCACCACTTTTCCTAATAACACATGTGAATTACTGACCTGTCAGATAAACTGTTATTGCTGAAGCAGTTTAGTAGGAAGGTGGCGAAGCGTTTATTTGGAAAGAAGATTGAGACTTCACTGGGACCACAGCAGGGTGATAGATTATTAACAGGGACTGGGTGAGGTTTGGGGAGTCAGTTTCCAAAGTGTGCAAGCAGCCATCCAAATCCAATAAGGATGAGAAGTATGAGAAACAGTTTGAGTACAGTACTGACAAATGGGGATAAATCTCCTTTTTTTTCCTCAAGTGAGTTGCAGGTTTGCTGGTGCTTTCTGTGCAGCTGCAGGAACTCTACAACCTCTCTGCCCTCTCTGACTTTAAGCACTGGATGGTTGAAAACTTGGCTTCTTCACGTCTCAAGGGGGATATTGGGAGTAACTTCATTTTAATCCATTCTACTATATCTTCTGTTTCTGTCCTGGCTTTGTTTACTTTGCTCCTCTTGCAGCTCAACCATCGGGAAATGCAGCCTGTGCCCGGTCCAAGGTTTGTGCTGTCCTCAAACATCCCCAAAAGTCTACCACTGCTATGGCTGCTTGAGGACATTTGAACGGAGATTAAGTTAATGTTTTAAAAAAATACTCCTAAAATTGTTTTTTGGAGAAGCTCAGTTTTCACCTTGTACCATGGTCTTGGTAAATACTCCATTCTGACTGGCTGCAGGGTATCAGTACTGTTGGCTTTCTGGCTAACATCTCAGCCACGTACAGAAGTGTCCCACAGACAAGAATCATCCATCTGCTAGACCAGTTTGGCTTAACATACAGAGGCTGTCATCCTCACAGCAGGCTGCTTCGTTTGAGTCCAACCTGTGGTCCATTGCTGCATGTCACTTCCCACTCTATCCTCCCAGTTTCCCACTCTACCCACTGTACTTCCTCTCTAAATTAAGGCATAAAAGCTCCAAAAATAAAATAAAAAAGACAAACCATCTGCTTAATTTAGTAGAACTGTGAACAAAGTTCAAGTTGAGTGAGCATCACAAAAAATACTAATGATTTTGTTTAGGTTTGAAACAAATTCCTGTGAGGGAGATAGAGCTACAGTTCACTGTGACAAAGTAGTCAGTCATCTCTTGTATGAATGAGATTAGTTTAAGCTATAGCAGTCTCTACCATCAGTGTATAAGTGTAGTGGGGATGAATGAATACAAGCGCTTTGAGTTGTTCCAGTCCGAAAGACTGGAACAAAACTCAAAATAGATGCATTTTTCTTGCAGCATGTTTATTTTGCTTTTGTGCAAAGAGCGTGGCATGGGTTTTAAAATCTGATTGGCCATCCTGAGTGCTAACCCAAACTCTCAAACTATAACTGCACATGGGCCTGGTCAGAAATTAGACTTCTGTTACAATCTGGACTGTGTTGCAAACAGCTTTCCAGATTCTTTTCATTTTAGTGTGACATGTTTCTTCATCTTAGTATTTTAAATCATGGAAAATCACACATCTTTATCTTTAAGACAGAAAAGTGTAAAAAGTAAAAGTCTTTAATGTCACAAATGTCTTCAGTCTACTGTTTTGGAAAGAAATTGCAAGCAAGTAAACTCCTACAGACTGTCAAATCTTTTATGTGCGACATTTTGGTGCCATTTTCAAGCTTTGAACTAAAATTGCTGCAATGCTGCTGTGTCAACTTTGAAAAGAAAAAAAAAGACTACACAGGATTATGACACCTATGTGACACCCTTCTATGTGAAGTATAAATCAGAAGCTGCGTTAACATAGGCACAAATAATCGGAATAAAAATGCATCATGTAAACATGTCGATCGGGAGATTCTGATCCAATTCGGCTCAATCTGTAAGAAATTGTATTCCGATCGAGAGGGGTGGTTTATGCCGATCGCTATTCCGAAACGCGTCCATGTAAACATTTATTCCATCCGTGACTCTCTTACCTGACTCGATCTTCACTCTTTAGCCTTTGGCTTATTTATGGAGGCCAGTACTGGAGGTTTCAATATTAACACTCTTGCATGAAACACAACCGAAGGGAACCGCGTCTGCTCTTCCGGTAACATGAAAAAGCGTACATAGAGCGTAATGATGTCACATCTGCACGCACAGTGCGACCCTTGACAGAACAGTAAAATAGGTACGCAAGGGCGCCATCTAGTGACAACATTTAACAGGGGGAAAACTCCTGAATTGGATGGAGTGAGTCACTACGCGTTTGGAAGAACAGGCATAAATACAACTCATCTTCAGCGGGTGTTTTAGCGAAACCAGACAACTCTGCGCATGTCCAGATACTTACCGTTTGAATAAAGCTTGGTGCATGTATACGCACGTTATGATCGGATGATTTGATTTTGCACCCATATAAACAATGGATCCACATTATCCGATCCCTCAAATTTTTAATCGGATCAAGACATTTTGCACAAGTAAACGTGGCTTGTGTGCAGTACAAGTCAGTGCCCTTGTTGGGCCACCTCTTAAAGAATTCTGAACACGCCACCATTGATAGGATCAGTATAATACAGTTTGAGGCGTCAACAATCAGGAATTTGTGGACTCTCTTCTTGCACCTTTTCTGCTTTTAGATGGGTCTCTAGATATAGAGTTCCAGCACTTCATTAGGTTTTCATCACCTATGCTGGGAGACAGACGACAGAGTTTTCTGTCATACTTAGGAGGTAAGATTGGGCCACAGAACCTTTGAATCCACAGACCAGTTTTCACCCCTGTCCATATTTAAGTATGTCTACAACTCAAACCCAAAGTTCAAGTTCTGATCTTTCGTTGAGCTGTAGACTATATCAAACGCAAATCATCAGTGGAAAGAGTCAAGAGTTAATTCAGTGTGAATAACTCTCTAGATATAATGAACTAAAAACAGTAAAGCTCAGATGTATGTGCTTGCATCTTTTTTTTAAATAGCAGAAAGTGTTTTAATCTTCAAATGTCTGCAAGTGTGAACAGAAGGTCCAATAAGAGAAAGGATATCTAATCTAAACTGTCAATCTCAACAAAACCATGGACATTTGGACACATTTTAAACTATCGCCTCCAAAAAAAAAATAATAATAATTACTTAGATTTGTAATTCACTATGAACTAAGAGAAGGCTTCTGTGTTTGTATCTCTGACATGTCCTGGGGTCAGGCTGGAGTATGTTGACACATGTGCTTCTCAGAGTCTGATGTCAGCTACTTGAAGCATGTTTTGGGATCTCCTCAAATGTTGGCACGTACATGGTAAAACCCTTTTGCTACCATAAATCTCGGAGGGCAGCGGAGTTAACTGCAGGGCAATGCTTCTTCTTTTGAGGTTGGATGCCCTTACTTCAAACAAGGAGTAAAAAATAAAGCTCCTCAGGTACACAAATCATTTGCGGTGTCTCAGATGTCTATTTTGGTGTATGATGCTGTTTATTTAGGGCAGCGCCGCCATAGCATGTTACATTTTTCCAGTTTTTCATGGTTGAATTTACACCTACTCCCAATGCTGATGTTTTGCGCCATCAGCCATAATGAAATAAGACACCATTTGTGTTTGAGCGTAAAAGCTTATGTTATGGTCACTTTTCTCGTCTGCTGACTTTTCCTTGGCAAAGTAAGCTTCTCCCATGGTCTAGTTAAAGATAAATAAATCATATCTTGCATACGTCAGTGTACATTTTTCTTTTCATGACTGGGGGCATAAGCTGCTGTTATGTCATAAAACTGTATAGTCTATATTCATTTCATCAGTGACATTAAAAGTAATCAAATGTCAGACCTTTAGCTGTTAGAATAAATCTACAGATGGACCAGACTTGACCTTTCTGGTTCAGTCTGAGAACATAAACTGAGGTGGCCCCTGCTCTGTGTTTGCCCTCCATATCCTACCGTACTCTTTGTCTTGGACGGGGCCATGGTAGCCTCCTCGCGGGGCCTCGCAGGGACTTCAGACAAGCAGCATCCTGCAGCAGCAAAACGTGGGCCAAAATCAATGTCCTGTCAGAGGCACAGCATGGGGAAAGTGCTGCATAATCAGATGGGCCTCCCTCCTTCTCTCTGAACTCTCTTTTCATACCTGAAATCAACAAGCCAACAGAGGCTTTGATCCTGGTATGACCTCACCTTATAGAAAAAGCTCAAAATCAGAAAAAACAAACAGAGAATGTATTAACATATAATTTTGCAAATCCAAGAAAATGTATTACTGGTACAGTCTCTGGAGGAGGATGACCCTCAATGACCTTGGACTAGACTGCACTGCACTTGGCCTGATTGTGAAATGCATTGGTTTCAGCTAGTTTGCAATATGTGGAAAATCCAGCACAAAAACTAAAAAAAAAAAAAAAAAACACATACTAAGAAAGTGTAACCAGAGACTCGGGTTTTATGACATAATTTGAGACTTTTGACACAACACAAACAGAATTTAATTACCCACAATCCCCCTGCTCCTCGTGCCTCCACATTATCACTTGACCAAAATGTTCATCCTTATGTTTCCTCAGGGAAAGCGTGTTGGAAACAATCACTGAGAGTTGACCTTTGTTTCTTAGAATTAAAGAGATTAAGCAGCTTGGTTTGTCATCAGTATCCAGTTTAATATGTTTTAAATCTTCTTTTGCAGACTGACCATCAAAGTTATGCACTTTCTCTGAGAATCAAACACTGACATCTGGTGGCCACATGACTCCTGTGCTAAATTAAAATTGTTCTCTATAAAGAAAAGAGATTCCTTCAACTCAGTCTGTCTTGTTGAAAGCCTTTTGTGGGATGATGGGAAGTGAAATCCATTGAAGATAATGTAAGTACTCAAGGAGGGAAAAAAAAACAACATTTAAACTTGTTTATTGATAATCTTAGAGCTCATAATATACACAACATCTTCTCCGTCATGCAGTTTACAAAACACTCATTCTCAAGTCAGGCTCATTTAGACTAATTAAAATCACTGTAAATAAATAATTTAGTAGAATACATGATATACTACCTTATATTCCTGTACAAATAAACCATTAGAACATATTGAATATGACCCTGAAAGTTTGTTTTAAGTTGTGTCTGACAAGGTACAAGCATAATAAAGTGGAATCTTTAACTTTGGTCCACAGGAAAGAAGGTATAAATTTTGTTTAGAGAGATTTTTTATGCAATTTAGTAATTTTTTTTTTTTGATCTACTAAACATTTAATATTTAATATAGTACCACTAACTAAAGTGGGAACTGCTACTTACATATTTAGAAATTATGAGCATCAGATTTAATAATCCAGAAAAATAATCTGACTTTTTGGCATTGCCTTTTCTACATATTGAGTACTTGTTGTTGTACTGTTAAAACCTAAATTTGCTGACAAGACCTTGCACTTAAAAGAGAGTGTTTCAAGACTTTTTTGACTGGGGTGAACAGAATTTTCTTCATATAAATCCTACCTTTAATAAGGCAATTATACTCTGAATTTCTGGGCTGGCCAATCATATTCCAAGGGGGTTATGCCACACACTTGTAAAGTCTCTCGGCACACACCTGCCTCTAGCACCTTAAAGTGTAGCTATGCGATTAAACTTGAATAAAATTTGCAAATTAAAGCAAGAGTGAGAGTGGGAACACTGAAAATCAAGTATCGAGATGCCCAATCCAAGAACAGCCTGGTTTAATTCGAACAGCACACTAATAGTAGAGGACCAGCTGAATTTGGTTTATACTTCCTTTTGGACACAATGATAAAAGTCTGCTATGATTCAATACTCCTCACACATGCAATTGTAGCCCCTCACCACTAGGGGGTAGAGACAGACAAACTAAACCACTCTGACCTGCAGTGGATATCTGAGGCGGCCTTCTGCTGAACACTGCTGATAATGTCTCAAAGCAACAGTGTGGAGCGTCTGCCAAATAACCTTGATGCACTTTACTCCCGTTCTCACCCCGACTCCCTTCCAACGCTCTGACCTCAATCCAGCTCAACCAGAACCATTAGTGAGCAATGTGCCAGATAACAGAGGCCAACAAAAAGTGTTCTTCGAGATTGTGTGTGTGTGTGTGTGTGTGTGTGTGTGGGAGCCTGCTGTTGTGTGTGGATGCTGAGGGTTTTCTGGCACGGCCAACACATTCTGCTGGGGTTTCACAGGATTTCTCGCAAGACCACATCCTAGAATGGAGGTGGTACCGAAGGGAGCGCGCAGACTCGTGACTTAACAATAAGTGTGCAGGTGAGATAGAGAGAACAAGGGGAGAAAAAAGGGGGAGGGGGGACACACAGAAAATGAATGGAGAGTGTGTGTAAATGAAAGAGGAATCAAAGAAGGAGGGAGGAAAGGTGTGAGACAGAAAAAAAGAAGGTGAAGAGGTGCCCAGCCTCGAGGGAAAATAGGAAAAATTGAGACAGAGGGTGCAAAGGACAGCAGAAGAAAACAACAGATGCAATAAAACTAAAGGGATAAAGCTGCTAACACAAGAAGCTGGAGCATGAAATCATTTATACTGCTCCAGTGCAGGCACAAATACTGTAAATTTACAAGCAAGAATTGCAGTAAACATCAATCAGGGAATGTCGCTTCTGTTACGAATGGCTTGACCGAAATTACCACATTGTAAATCTTTGAAATCTTGAAGCACTGGTAAATATTTTCCTCTATTCACACTGTAGAAACATGCTCCTACAGTCAGTTTGTGTGTTTCATCCGTTATGTACCACAAGTCATTTCATCGAGAGCCTGTAAGACTTATTCTGACTGTTTAAAATAATTGCGTTTTATGTATTGACTCATATTTATACAATGAAGGCACGTGTAACAGCACACACACACATATACAGGCAGCTTGTCACTCCTTTGCTGCCTCACCTCTCACTGTCAAAGACTCACACTCTTCCTTGCTGTCAAACACACACATACACTCACGCCTAAATGTAGAGCAACATTAATTCTCCGGCAGATGAATGAGTGTTTCTCTCCTGGGAGCTGTGGGCAAAGTTGGAGCGTTGCTATTTCAGCTGTGGAGTGGGAGAAAGGGGGTGAGGAGGGAGGGGGCCCTGCTGTGTCTGACCACAGAGAGAGGACCGCCGCTAGGGCTACGGCCGGGGCCCTGCAACTGACCCGGGTGGTAGACAGTAAACCTGGGGTTTATAGAAGTTCAGAGTGCGGTGGGTCCCCAATGTAAGAACTCTTGTTCCAGATTGAGCACTGAAAAAGGTTAGGCAGCAAAGGGGTTTTGGATGAGAGTGTTGTACTTATGTTTTGATAATAATAATTTTACTCTTTTTTTATATAAGCATGTTTCAAAACAGAGTTGCAAAGTGCTTCATAACATAAAAACAGAAGGGATTAACTTAAGTAGCATGATGTATAACTGTGACCAATTTTCAGGCTTTTTACCTGAGAGGTTTGACTTCACTTGTGAGTGTGATGGTAAAGAATGCACTTAACCTGGGTTTGACATTCAAAAGATCTTTGACACAGATAAACCAGGATCAAGCAGCAACCTCCAGTATTAAAAAAAAAGAGTCAAAGCAGAAGTGCAAAGGTCTGCAGTTCCTTGAACGTCTGCTTAAACTGGCTCAGAAAGCCAAGGACAATATGTCAGCACCAGTGGGGGTGGTCTTTGGCTTCAAAGCTCACAGTGAGCGTTGTCTCCTCCATTGGGTTGAGTCAAGATTTCCAGTATGGCAGCCCCCATCTCTGCAATCCAAAATGCCTCTTCAAAAACCAAGGGGTGACGTCATGTCTAGACTAAACAGTCTGTGACCGAGATGCACTGAGACGTTTCAATCCATGTGCTATCTTAACCGCATCCTTCTGCTGCCTCCTGTTGGCCGGTAGTGTACAATGCTTTGGGGGTGCTTATTTTTGCACCCCAAAAAATTTTCTATTGAAATGGTGTAGATGAGCATATCAGCATTTTTAATGCAAATGAGAAATTTTACTCTTTGAGATTGGACTATGTACTTTGAGGTCTATTGGGGGCCCAAGACAGTTGATAGACCCGACTTAAGAGTCTCTACTGAACAGCCACCGCTATGGCAACGTTCACACTGCAGGTTATGATGCACAATTTGGATTTTTTGTTAAATCCAATCTTTTTGTGCCGTCATTCACATTACAACAACAAATCTAATGTGAACGGGATGTGTCCGTGAAGTGACTGTTTGTGTTGTCGAACAATGGTGACGTTTGTCGCATATTGATGATGTATAGGTCAGATGAACGCAACCTGAGCATCCACACTGCAGTAACATCATAAACATCGAGGCCTGGGTCGGATTTAAAAAATCTGAATTGCACTGTTCACACTTACATGAAAAAATCAGATATGTGTCACATATGGTTAAAAAATCGGAATTGACCTGCAGTGTGAACATTGCCTATGATCATTCTTTTCAGTTGTATGCCAGCTGAATTTTCTTCCCTTTTTGTTCAGATGCTAAGAGTTGCACATAATTGTACAATTGTACTTCTAAATGAATCGATTAAATGACAGACTATCTCTTTCTTCCATTCATCTCATGACTCTTTGTATTTATTTAGTGACCTCGCTGATGAGGAACTGAGCCTGATATTGAGAACCACTTGAGTGAAATGGCTGAATATGAAGAAGCCATTCAATCATATTTTACTGAAATTTATGTACATTTTCAATCTAATAATATACTGTATTTGCATCATGCAGGCGATTCATCCGGAGAATTAGAACATCTACTCTTACAATGTCATGAAAGCTACAGTAACTCAAGGATTATGAATGAAATGCTCAGACCTTTACTTGTCTAAAGTGTTGTTCCATTTATCAAGGCTGCTGGAAAAGTACCTTCCTTAGTTGAATAGCATCTCCCAGACGTGATGTGAAATATGTCACATGGGTCATACTGTAACTCTCCCGTATTTTTGAGTGACAGAGAAACAGAACTCTGACCCTCCTGATGAGTAGGGGCTCTGTGCCAAACCCACAACAAAATAAAAACATAAGGGAATCATGGAAACAAGAGAATTTACCCCCAGCACACGGTCAGCTTGGCCAGTGTTTGGTTTATTATGTTTGTCAGGTAAAATACAAGCTGATTGTGTCTCCTCCTGTGGAAAGTAAGTCCACTTGGGGGGGGCAAACAAACACTCACAGGCACAGACGTCTGCGATCAGCTACTGTTTCCACACGCAGTGAAAATGACCAGATGACAAAGACAAAACCTGCTTGTATCCATCGTGGAATTTGCAGGGGAAACAGTGACGACAAGTGCAAAGTTTAGAGTCAACAGAGAGTCGGTTTGTGTTTTAATCTCCCAAAGGGATCACCTGTGAACAGTTACTTGAGGAGGATGGGGCCACTTTGGTTTCTAGACCCCATGCTGGAGGAGGATCTGGTTTGAATTAGTGTATTTTTCACCACAGTCACAGAACAGGCTGTCACCAAAGTTTGGGAGCATGTTTGAAAGGATAAAATCAAAAACAATTATAAACTCAGGCACTGGAATAATTGCTAACTCAAATGTCTTGATGGTCTTATAAGGCATGTGAAAGATTATGTTTGCTACCATAACCAAACATTAACCAAATTCACAAAATTATACAGTTTACTGCTTTTCCTCTGTTATACAGCAGACTTTCAGTGGCTTTCTTTACTTGCTCAGCATAAAACTCAAGAGAGGAGGAAAAAAAAGGCATTTACTATGTTGTGTGCACGCGCATCTCCGCACGCGCTTAAAGGTCTTGGCATGCACGAGGAGAGGGGGGGCAGTTTTCCAACCGCTTTAAGGGGCGTGGTCAGGGGCGGCACTCTCCAAGAGCAGCAAAGTTAAGGATAAAATGTGGATAAGTGATGCTTTAGCGGCTTTGGCGAAAGAACACCGAAAGAAGAAAGACCCTCTCTGACTTTTGAAAACTCTAAGTGAAGGCAGAAAGTCACGTCTTTGATTTATGTCACATGGCAGCCAGCGACAGACATCACCGCTCCACCTAAAACTCACTTTGAAGGCGGATTTTTTTCCCCTCCTCTCTTGTTGCTGCGGAAGTTTTCTCACTTCAGGACCTCTAACAGTGGGCTGCACTCCAGTTCATTAAAGGTAAATTATATCCAAAGTCTACATAAATCTCAGCTCTCCATTTGTGTTTCAATATGCATTACTCTACACATTTTTCCATTAGGTATTGGCACGTTTAATTGGCCTGTGTCAGCATTGATGCATGCATACTAAAAAGGTGAACTGAAGCCTCAGTGTGTAACTCTCATAAACAATATTGTGTATGCATTAGCTGCAGTAATTTTTATACTTGTATTACAGCTGTAATTTTTGTGGTTTAAGTGATATTTGTCCATAAAAGCTTCAAAAATGCAGACTTTATTGTTGTTACAAAGCTGTTGAAGCCCAGAGGAAATTCAGGACTGATTCAACTATGTCCCCACTTTCACTAGTTAACCATACTTGCTGCTTCACCCCAGTGAACCCTGTGAGGTTACCTGTGGCCAAGTGTCTGCGAGCCAACGCACTGTTCTCCCCAAGTTCAATATTGACTCAAGTCATTCAGCAAATTTGATACAGATTTCCAATAATCCTGTTTTTCTCTCATTTCTCGCCCCCTTTGACAGCTCTTCGCCGAAGAAAAGGAGTGTCTGTTTGCGCTGGCCCTGCTCCCGGTCTTAGCCCCCGTGAAGAGGATCATCATCATCATCTCAAGCTCCATCGCTTACCAAGATGAGCCGCGTATCTCTGACCCTGATGAGGGGCGTGTCCCTGCTCCTGTTGCTCCGCACAGCCATCTCCATGTCGCTGCTTCCCAACTCCACAGACCTGGAGCAAATTCTGGAAAAGTATCACGATGAAAAGGGAGATTGGTGGAAGGCCAAGCAGAGGGGCAAGAGGGCCATAACGGACAGTGATGCGAAGCTCATCCTTGACCTCCACAACAAGCTCCGAGGCCAGGTTTACCCACCTGCTTCCAACATGGAATACATGGTAAGTGGATGGAGGGCTCGGTTTCTGCTCCCCTAAAATGCTCTGACCTGGTTTTGACCCTACCAAGAGCCCTGTACACTTGTTGACCTTGTAGCTTACAGGACTGACCCAGTCACCAGACCGACTGGCACTGCTCCCATTTGGCTCACACATACACACTCAGCAAGCATGCATGTAAGCGCCTTTACCCACACAGGCCTCACCAGCTAACACACACACACACACACACACACACACACATAAAAGTCTGCACCCATGTGACATTGATTGTTTGGCCAGGAGAGAAGAATTCCACCACCTTTGCCAATGATCACATTACTACTGCCTTTTTTTTTACCCTTGCTAAGAGATTTGTTTGACTTTATCCTTCAGCCGTCACGTGTGTGTACAACGCTAGATCACTTTTCACCATGCAATTAGAACCAGAGCACGGCACCGGGGCCTGTTTTACCAGCTGTCTCCCCCCCTCTACTAAACACACACGCTCACACCACTCTTTCAGAAACCCTGCGCTTTGCAGATCTGGAACTTCTCCAAACACACAACATGTGTAGTTACTGCTTGACCGCCTCAGTGCGTTGCCACCAACAGCACTAAGGAGGTTAAAAACCAATACAGTGTGCAGAAGGTAATGAGGTTTTATCGTCTTTCATCTCCGCTTAGAGAGCGACAGAACAAAAGGCAGCGTTATTCCATGTTGGAGGCAAATAAACAGTTCCTGCTGGGGGCAATTGCTGGACTATGTAATTGTATAATTGAGAGCTTGGACTTGAGGACCCCTTTTGTGTGTGTATGTGTGTGTGTGTGTGTGTGTGTGTGTGTGTGTGTGTGTGTGAAAGCTCCACTCTGCCTGGCAGGCTTCTGGCTGAGGCACACTCTAGTGGAGAAATGCTGAGCCAGCAGCAGCAGCAGCAGCAGCAGCAGTGCACAGCTCCCTTTCTACTGTCTCCTGTTACAGTGGGCTGCTTTTTTTTTAGCTGCAGGGGCACCCAGGGGTGAAAAATAGAGAGGTATGCAACAAGAGAAGGTGAGGTGAAGGAAAGAGGGTGAAATGAAAACAGTCGGGGAATAGAATTAAAGGTATAAAAATGATCGAGGAGGCATGCGCATAGAGTGGAGAGGTAGATTGCAAAAGGAGTGTCAAAATAATTGAAAAGAAGAGGAGAAGGCTGAGGAAGAGCAAGGCAAGAGGGAATTAAAGAGAAAGATCCTCATAAAAAGAGTGGGGCATATGTAAGACAAATACGTACTTGCAGACCTGGAAATGTCAGTATTTCAGGCAAAGACTCTAAACTTGACATGTAGAGTGGATTTTATGTGCTTTATTTTGAAAGGGTCTTTGTATTTCTCTGATATTTTCCCCCCTGTCTGCATTGAACTGCTGTCACCTTTCAGAAACCTCACAGCTTCACTGTACTGGAAGACTTCATAGACATGCTCCCTTGCTTTCCTGCACACTCATGCATTCAGACACACACCCACCCAACCACACACACACACACACACAGACACAGTGAATTTGAACCCACATGCACAGCTATTTGCCCATCAGCTCTGTCATTGTGTGCCGTTGTATTAAGACACAACCCGGCTGACCCTCTGTGGCAATCATCACAGAGACTCTGAGATAACATCAATTCAAATCCCCCTCCTCCCCGTCATCTGTTTCCTTTCCTTGCCCCCTCCCTCCCTCTCTCTCTCTATGTCCTTCTCCTTCTCTTTTCTCTCTGCCTCCTTCTTCTCCTTTTTTTTTTTTTTTTATCCCTGTGGCTCCGTTCCCATTCTGTCATTATCCAACACAGAGGCCCCACAAAATTCCCTGGATAAGCATTCACACTCTGTAGCGATCCACAAAATCTTCAATACACCTTCAGTGCGGGGGGGACAGCGCTTCTGCTTCTCACTCAAATGTTGACCCACAAGTATAAACAGACAAGTGTCAGCGTTTGAAGTACGGCAAGACAAACAGACGGCATCTTGGAAGAAAGTTCAGACTGCCTTCGTGTTGAACTTGGCTCTGAGTGGGTTACAGCTTAGGTCTGGGATACTTGTGGTAGTGGATATTGAAGTTAGGGCTGTACTGACATGATTTGGTTTTGGAGGAAGGGTGAGACAAAATATATCCAATTTACCCACACACCAGTCTTTTGCATGATGAAAATACTCGTTTAGATTGCCATATTTATGAATTAACAGGACAAAGAGACAAAGAAAGTCCAGCCTCTTTCCACAGCCTCCTCTGGATTGAAGCTCAGAGCTCACAGGTCACTATGCCTTTGTTCTCTCCCCCGGGTCCAGTAAGCTTAATGCACCAAGATAACCTATAAAAGGAAAGGACATCTAAAGAGCAGCAGCCGAGCACCATGGTATGAAAAATATTGGTCCTCCGAAATCACTTACAGTAGCTTCTGACAGCGTTCTGAATCCAAGACCACGCTTCAGTGGGGCCCAGAGGGGGGAACGCTATCCAAAAATAGCAAAAATGCCACCCAAATGTCACAAAGCTGGACTCACTCCAGGCCTCACCTGCACTGCCTGTATGTTGTCCAAGAATATTGCCAACAGGAGAGGCAACAAGGTGTACCCTTGAGGGAGTCCTGTGCCCGCACAAGAAACTGCTTGATGTGATGCCAAGAATGTAAACAGGTCTTGGTCCAAGTACTCTGAAAATGAGTGGCTTGCAATAGCGCCTTTAAAGAAACATGGTAGAAATTAAGATCAGCTACTCTGAATGGTCTTGTTCAAGGTACCCAACACTTATCTTGAATATCGATACAGTGTGATAAAATACAGAACTGATAAAAAAGACATTATTTAAAAGTAGCCAGGTGGAAAATCAGGCTTCATTTAGATGATAAATCAGAAAAAACATACTTTATAATATACATTCTGCTAAGACCAGACAATAGCTTATGTAAATATGAGCTAGAAGGCGGCTGAAATGGGGTAGACTCCAGTCATGAGCGATTTAAAACATGGCTTTATGAAAACAAACAGTAGTCTTACTAAGAGGAACGCTTTATTAGTAGTCTGAGCAAGCAGGCTGTCAAATGCTGTATGGTATTTACTTTAAATTCTAGCTTATGTCACTCCGGATTTTTAACATCTGTTTCATTTTCATTTAGATTGAGTTTAGATTGTGATCTGAGCGTCGTGACTTTAAGACATCCAATACAACAACCTTGAACACAGTAGTGGCCTACATTATATTTGCATTAGAGCTCCCCCCAGAGTGTGACCTCAAGGAGAAACGGTCACTGTGCGAATACAGTAAATGACGTACATCCACTGAGAGTGCCTCCTGTGTAAGTGAGGCTTGTAATAATTAGCCGAGCTGTTATAGTCAATTATGCCCTTTTTTGACCATGATAATGAGAGATTGTGGTATTTTCTGGTTGACTAAATTTAGACAATAGATAACCTGAGGGCCTGTGATATAAGTTGGTGTGGGCTGAAATGTACGTCATGAAATAATATTAACTCTTCCCTGTCTTTAGGTATTTTAAAATCTCTTCTTTGCATCCTTTTCTTCTTCTGTCAGGTTTCTTGTTCACCTTATCTCCTTATTTTCACCTTCTCTTTCACCAGCTCCCATAACTTTCCTTCTGCTTTTTCAATATTTCTCTGCAAGCACCATTGATTATGAGCAGGAAGCCTAAACTCACTAAGGAAGTACCTTGAGGAATGCGACCAGATGACCAGAAGAGAGAGAGAGAGAGGGAGTAAGAGAGGAAAAAAAAACCTTGGGTGTAAATGAAGTGTTAAGCGAAATACACAATGCTGTTTGCGCAGTGCTGAAAGACTTAAGCAGGGAAGGTGTTTTTCTTTACGGGGCCCCAGCAGCAGTCCAGCGAGGGTGGGTGGGTGGTGGGGTCCTTGGTTATGAGGCCTCCCCTGCTGGGATAACAGTGCAAACAACAGCAGGTTTGACAAGGCGGCTGCTCTCTGTAGCAGATTCAACATCTGAGAAATATTTGCTTGGGTCGACACTTCCTGAGTGTGCTTTTTCCAATAGCTTGAGGACGTTGTATGGTTGCTTCTTGTATTTGTTATCCCTTTCTTTTAAGAGCATCACAAATCACGTCTTTTTTTCATGGAAACAATGATCAGCGAAATTCCCCTCTGAGACACTTAAACTCGAGTTTTGTTCACCTAACTTTTGGAATTGTTGTAGCTGTGGCCTCAGCTAAACGTTTTCCTACCAATAACCATCCATTAATGGCCGAAAACATTGTGTTGACCCCGTTTAACTGCAGAGCGTCTTACGTGCTGCGGTTTGCAGATCCTTTGGCAGTTACCCCAGCTCAATGCAATGTGTTTCAGTCTGCTTATCAGTGCACACATTGATTCGTGCAAGGAGGTCACTTGTCAAGAAAATCGAAGGGGAAGATGACTTGGATGGAAGTCAAGGTTATAACTGAACTGCTTGCTCCTGCATTCTTCCATCACTGAGGCTGAAATTCCCTCAATGTTTCTGTTTCAGCATCATAGGGAAAAACAGATACCCCAATACTGACATACAGAGGCCAACAGAGGTAACTCAGAGCACGGGTAGAGTTTCAGGTAAACAAACTCACTGCTTCCTGCTTTAGCTCTAGCTCTGTCACTCATCATTTGGCCCTATTGTGCAAGACAGACCACAGGCAACCCCGTATGAGGTTGCTGTAACTCTGATACGCCGCCTTTCAAGCAGGTGTAGAGATGAATGAAAATACAACCCGCACCTCATGTGGTTTATTTGTACAATATCCTAGTTGTGTTCGATTTTTACAAGGATTTGTGTTGAAATCTGACTCAAAACACCAGCCAATCACGGCGGAGTCGGCCAGTATCGCCTTGTCCCTTTAAACAAATAGGCCAACCTTACCGTAATAGCGAACAAGATTCCCAGAAAGCGCTGAAGTTAATTTGCAGAGCTGCCGGACATCCTGTTGTTAGGTAGGTGTGTGTTTTTGGGGGGTAATGTAGAGAACAGCAGTTGTTTCTGGTGGGACTAGAGGGTGATGATGATGGAAGAGAAAGAGGAGGTGTTTGCCAGATTGGGCTACTTATTTTGGAGGCTGTTATTGGATGAGATTTCGGTAAATGGTAAGCTATGACTTCCAGGTTTCAACGTGTGAAACGTGCAAACTTCTGACACCTCAGCTGGTATTCTGACGCACACACACAGACACACACATTCAAACTAATTGACTTCCTTTCAGAAACCTGTTACATTGCACTAAAGGTGAAAGTGAAGGTGTGCAATTAAAGGAACATATAGTGTCCTTGGGAGGAATTACAGCTGGTGTTATTCTAACGATTTTTTTATGGTAGAATGTAGGTCAGCAGAGAGGAAGGACACTCTTTGCATTCCCAGTAAACCCCAGAATGGGAATATGATCCCTTAGTATCCAACCAGAGCCGAACTTAAACTGCGAGGGCAATTCAGTGAGAGGTAACAAAAGCTTGCACCCAGACAACTCACCAAAGACATATGGAAGGTATTACTTAAGGGGGGAAAAAAGCTTCTGCATTTTTTAAATAACACCCAATCCCACGGGAAAACCCATCTGGGAAAAGTCAGCTGAGAAGAGAGGCAAAAAACCTCCTTATAAAGCAGTAGCAGCACATCAGCATAGAGCTTTTGATTAGTACCTTTTCCTAAACATAACAGCTGTAATCCATAGCACCGATCATAACACCTGATAAGTAATCCACGTTCTCTCTGTGTTTGAATATCGCCTCATTTCATTATTGGCAGCTGAACAAACCCTAGCTGCACCATGACCTGCGTTTGCTTCATCTCGTGGCAAAATAAGCAACTTTTACTTGCAAAATATATCCAAACGAAAACTTTAAACTTTTGCATCTTGCCTTCCATGCAGGTGTGGGATACAGAGTTGGAGCGTACAGCCGAGGAATGGGCAGAGACTTGTCTGTGGGAGCATGGTCCTGCCAGTCTGCTGCCACAGATTGGACAGAACTTGGGAGCACACTGGGGAAGGTAAAATGAAATTACCGTGTGTTAAAAGTAACCTCCAAATATCCAGCTCAGTGGGAGGTTAAAATATTCCCCTTCAGTCCCCTTTACCTGTATTACAATCTATGCATCCATCTGCAACCTATCCATGTGATTACAGTCCTATAGATTACATTACATCTTTTGCTGTAAAACTCTATTTGTTGTAGATAAGTCTCCTTTCAGAATTGAAGTCCCCCTGTTGGGAATGGATAATGCAAAAGTGCCTTTAACCTGCATTCTTTCTAATGGCCAGCAGGGGGCAACTTAGAAGGAAGAGACCAACTGTTGATAAATCAGTTTATGTCTGGTGAGAAAAGACTTGGAAGCTAGTATCTATACGTAAAAGTGCATATCTTTCTTTCTAGTCCAAATACGGTCACTTCTGGCTCGGAAAATGTCAAATCTGAGACTTCAGAAGGCAAAAAAGCTTCTCAAACTGATGGATGGTTTCATACTTCCTGCTGCTATCATTATAAATTTCTAACCATATTTTCCAATATTGATAGAACAGCTGAAAAGAGACAGGAAGAGCAGGAAGTAGAGAGTGGGAGAAGACAAACAGCACAGGTTGAGAGAGCCAGAGGGAGTCAAACCGGCGAACTAAAGCCTGCAGTGATTTTTCTACAGCTAACTAACAATATTACAAAATCACCAGAGCTGAAAATCAAACAGCAACTTCATCAAATATTGCCATGTGTATTTGCAAAAAACACATCAGAAATTTCTCAATGTATCCAGTGAATTAGGATAATATTTGAGGTAAACATCCAGTGTTTTCTCAATTGGCATTTACATTTTCCCTGTGAGTTGGAGGTCAAAAGAAGCATTAGCTAGCTGGAAGCAAACCTCAGATTAATTGTCAACAATTTCGTGATAAAAAGGCAAATATTATTTTAATTTGTTTCTAAAAACATGTTTTTTCATAAACCAATAGATGTCACAGATATAATACATATCCTCCAGACTTTTTGACCCTATGTCCATATTAAATCAATTGTACTGAATTTGGCTGTGCTTTCTCTTTAAAGGTCCTTACACACCGGTCCCGACGCGAATATCGAACGCGAAATATTCGGAGGTGAAATTTGATGCTCCTGACTATACAGATCAAGGGGGGGGGGGGGGAGAGAGACACATCCCGGGGAAGATTTTTCCCGGGTAAAGTCCCGCCTCCTTCGCCTCTGATTGGCTAGAAAAGCTGGAAACGTCATCACACGCTCAAGCCAAACGGTCAGCACTTATAGCCAATCAGAGGCGATAAGGTAAGACATGAAACTATGGTAACAACCGTTAGCTTACGTTAGCACAGATGAAAGTTAAAACAAAGACTTTTAGCAAACTGTTAAAGCACACAAACCATCGTCATATGAGAAATCTGACGCTATTATGTCCTTCAGGTCGTTATCTTTGTAATGTTTGTGTTTTTTATCAAAAAGCACTCTGTTCTCTGACACATAAACAATCAGCCGGTCGGCCATGTTGGATATACTGGTGAATTTGACGTCGCAACAACACGCTGTCTGATTGGTCAGAAGTGGACACACAGTAAGCAAAACTTTAGAAAAATGGACCATGATCCGAAAAAATAAATGCTGCGATATCGCAGGTCGGGAAAACGTCGCTGATGTGAACGCCTGTATTGACAGGATACAGGTTAAAAAAAAAAAATACTGACGTCCGAAATAATCGCACGATAAAAACAGTCACAATGTGTAAGGACCTTTAGACTAGTTGGTCAGAGAAATGTTATATTTCTATTCAAACGACAAGGCAAACTGGATGCCCCCAATACATACATTAATGTCTTACCATGCGTTGAATTTTTAGCTACCTCCTGTATTTCCAAAACCTTTTTGACATAAACTTTAAAGCCTCGACAAGGTGAAGTCGAGCTGCTTTGTTTTGCACTAATAAAACAAAGTTATTTAAATACAACCCGATGCTTAAAGGTCACCCACCGCATGGGCATCACTGCATGCAGATCAATTCTTGAAAGGGTTCTTGCAGTAAGCAGAGAATAGCTTTGCATAATACCAACTCCTACACCAACAGAGACACGAGATAAAAGAAATACTGTTTGGAACAATGTTCATCCCAGGTATGCTTACTCATCTCTCCAGGTATCGCCCTCCTACGTTCCATGTGCAGGCCTGGTATGATGAAGTGAAAGACTTCTCCTTCCCCTACCCCCAGGATTGTAACCCCTACTGCCCCTTCAGATGCTCTGGTCCAGTTTGTACTCATTATACGCAGGTATGAAGCTCTGAATCATACCAGTTCATCAGGAGACTTTGAGATCAATTTGTCAAGTTAATCTTTAATTGATTTTATACTTCATAATCACTTTGTCTCTGTTGTTATTCTTATGTAGCTGGTGTGGGCCACCAGCAGTCGGATTGGCTGTGCCGTCAACTTGTGTTACAACATGAATGTGTGGGGGCAGATTTGGGCCAAGGCAGTCTATCTTGTTTGCAACTATTCACCAAAGTAAGCAGAAAACATTATATTGTAGTTATTTGATCGAAAATACATGCAGGTAATATATGGTAATTGATTTTTACTCACCTAAACAGAGGAAACTGGTGGGGGTATGCACCGTACAAACATGGGACCCCCTGCTCTGCCTGTCCTCCCAGCTATGGAGGAGGATGCAAGGACAATCTCTGCTACAAAGGTTTGTTTGTGGAAAATAAGAGATGCAGAGATGGAGAGCCTGGAGAAATGTTTCCCTAACTACTTTGTTTTGTGATTTTACCTGAAGATGACAGCTCCTACCCTCCACGTGAGGAAACGGAAGAAAACAACTTCATTGAGCCGGAGGCCCCCCGTGTTCGACAGAATCCCTGGTCGAGGGCCTCCAAGCCTGAACCTCCTAGTCTCCCTGCCCCAGCCCCAACCCAGCCCCCCACAGAGGACCTGCAGAAGAATGGAGTGGTCAACACCCAGCAGATGTGTAAGCTGCCATTTAACTGTTTATTCTGGATATAGTTTCATCTTGAAATGGGGGGTTGCAGGATCTGCTGAGAGGTGCACAAAGTGGCATGAAATGAAGAAAAGGTAGACTTTTTTTTTTGCTTTGGAGATTTTGTTGAAAACCCGATAATCCCTGTCTGTGTTGAGCCAACAACAAAGGATGAAAAATAAGGCCGGAAATATTTATCTCAAACTGCCTTTTTGTTCTGTCGCCCTTATCTGTCATCTCTCTGATGAGTCCTGACAGTTTTTGAAAAGGTCTTAATATTGCAAGTCACTCTTTGCAGCAGGGAAGGGGGGTCTATTTTAGCAGGATCCCCTGAGTGTGTGTTTGCTTTTGGCCGACTGAAAGGGCTGTGAGGGGAGGGGGTTGTGGTTTTTAAATGGCTTCCTCTCTACAGTGTAAAGAGGCCTGTGCTTGTAAGCTGAGACGCTTCCTCCAGTACTGCTGACCACCCTGAACCTTGTAGCAGGAACTCTCTGCTTCGGTTCCTCAAGCAGCATGACAACAAAAGTCTTCTAGCTTCTCACTCAACTCAGGCTTTTAAAAACAAGTCATCTGCACCAGAGATTCTTGCATGTCGGTTCCTGTACGAGCACTGAAAGGACTTCATGTTTGTATTTTTCAGCTCAGCTGGTGACCTGTGACACCAAGCTACGGGATCAGTGTAAAGGAACGCCATGTAATCGGTACGGTTCAGAGCTAGCAAGATAAAAAAAACACACAAAAAACATGAAGTGAAGTACGTTTAACTATTATTTCTTTGTTGATTTTCAGATATGAGTGTCCAGCTGGATGTCTGGATGCTAAAGGAAAAGTAGTTGGAACAGTTTATTATGAAATGGTGAGAATTCAACTTCCAACATGAACTTTGACTGTATTTTAAAGTTACTTTGAGGATGTTTATGAACTTTTTCTTAACATCCAGAAGTAAATATGAGTATCAGTGACAAGTGTGAGGGGTCTTGTCTTTTTACAATTTCTATGCAGGATACTCACTATAAATTACACATTTGACTGTCAAAAGTCAACAGGATGAGAACTTAAGCAGGAAGAGGACAAGATACGCAATGATTGCTTCGTCCACAGGGGGCGCCAAAGTAGACACAAACCCAAAAGTTCCACACAGAAGCTTTAAAATGTTCAGGAGTTCCAGAAAATTTCAGGATCAACAGTGAAGTTTCTTTTGAAAAGAGTTTTCAGGGATTTTCAAGTGTTTTAATAGTAAATTTCAAAGCATTCTCCACAATATTTTGGTCTTTTCCAGGGAATTTTTCAATAACTGTAAAATTTTGAGGAATTTTCATTTTAAAATTTGGGGGATTTTAAATCTATGACATTTGTTGAATAGGTGGAGTGGGAAATTTACAGGAATAGTTAGGAACATTTTAGTAAATTTTTAAGAATTTCCATCAAGATATTTTGGAAACTTTATGGAATTCTATTTATTTTTTTTATTTTTTTTAAAATTTGAGTTCATTTTTGAATTGGGAATATTAGGTTACTGATCGTAATTCTTAAAAAAAAGTCTGTGATTTTCTCAGAAATTTTGTATGGCAAATTTTTGGTAATTAATTGAATACATTTGAAAACTTTGGCCAATTTTCACAAACTTGATCAAAATGTCATCAGGTGCTTGTTACTTTCTGAATTTGGTCAGTTAACATACATCAAAAGTTTGGGTTCAGTTTTTCTGGTAACATGACAGAAACAAGACACTTGACAAGAAACAAGGCATCCGTCGAGACAGTTAATTACTACATGCTCACAACTGCTCAAACAAAAGACCACTGATGGAAAAAAAAAACTGTCATTTACAGCAATCCAGTGTGTGCAGAGCTGGTCTGCATGCTGGTGTCATAGATAATGATGGAGGCTGGATGGATGTAACAAGAGAAGGAAGAAAAGACTTTTTCATCAAATCCTACAAGAATGGAGTCCAGTCTCTCGGGTGAGTCAGGAGTTTTAACTAATGTTCAGACACACTCACTTCAAGCGAAAAACAGTGAAATCTGACGGTGACGTTGTGTTTTATTTCCCTTGACAGAAAGTATCAAAGTGCTAATTCATTCTCAGTGGCAAGAGTGGCAGGTGGGTACATAATAAGTGTGGCGTTAAATTATAGACATGTCACATTTATATTGAATTAGTTCGAGTAAGTTCAGCCGCAGATGTGTTTGTTGACACTCACTATAATTATGTCTTGCAGTCAAAGCGATCACATGTGAAACCACAGTTGCACAGCTGTGTCCTTATGAGAAGCCGGCGAAACACTGCCCAAGGTAAGAGTCTGACTTCTTGCGGCTTGTGTCAATCTATGTCAAGTTTAACTTTTGCCTTCCAAACTGAAGTTACTTCACGAGTTTACTTATACATCTGTTTTTTTCCCCCTCAGGCTTTACTGCCCGAGAAACTGCTTAGAGGAGAATCCTCACATATCACGAGTCATCGGTACCAGAATATACTCTGATGTAAGTCGCTCTTCTTCAGCATCAGTGCACTAAAACTGATTAAAGACCCGGTTTCTTCCAAGCATTTTTAGACCCTGCTGCTTTCCTCTGTAGAAGTCAAGTATATGCCGAGCAGCAGTGCACGCTGGAGTGATCAGGAATGGTGTGGGTGGCTACATCGATGTGATGCCAGTGGACAAGCGGAAACACTACATTGCCTCGCACCAAAATGGCATTTCCTCTGAAAGGTATGAAATTCTCAGCCTACAAGTGGCAAATCTGAGCAGAGTACTACAGAGAGATGGCGACTTATGCAAAAACGAACATGATTGTTGATTAATAATGTCAACAAACAATGAACACAGTGGTAGAAAGCCTCACAAATAATATCACAAAAATATTCAATTTATTCTAGAATGAAAGAATGAGAAATCAACAGCTCTCAGGTAGAGACACTCAGCCACTTTTCCTTGTCTTGTGAACTTTATCTTTTCAGGATGCAGACTGTCACTTACACTCCTCATGCAGTGAACATGGGAGGGTGATTAGCATGAGTCTTGTTTGTAATAATTAAATGCCTGTCAATTGGTGTGGGGAAGATGAATGAATCTTAATGCGAGTCAGGAAGGGGTTTGGTTTTAATCATAAGTCAAAAAAGAGTGAAAAAACCAAACAGGAACAGACGCAGCAGGTAAAGCCCAAAGCTTATAAAAGCATTTAACATAAAGTGAATTGATAAGGTTACATTTCAAATGGTTTGAGCTTCATTCAGCTGCTGCTATATTGGAAACATGTATTAAATAGTCTCCTACCTAAGCATTTTGAGATATAAGAATCACATTTTACAAAATACATTCACAGTTTGCAGATTGTTTAGGTTGGTTACAGTGGAAGTGGTCTCATAAACTAAAAATTTCTGATCACATTAATGTCAGGCAGGCTAAATCATGATGTTTGGATTTACTTTAAAAAACCCTAGAATACCTCGCAAGTCCCATTTTTAACTTGGGGGAAGAAATACAGGGAGGAGGAAGGAAGAGACATCTTTGGTTTGTACAGCAGCAACAGGAATGTTAAGGAGCTTAAGCGGGGCTAGAAATACCAGCCCAATCCAAAATGATTACAGCTGAAATTGTGGCTCTTGAGGAAATTTTAGTGTTTCTGTATCAAAGGTATATTTATGGGTTTAGAAAACAAAGAAACTAAAGGATAAATGTATTCTTTGTCTTTTTTTATTGCTTGTGAAAAGAGCATGTGTTGAATCCACTTCCCAACAGCAGTAAGGTTACATGTCGGCACCAGCCTCAGCTAGTGACACACATACAGTATGGCCTGTTCTACTTTTTTATAGATAATAAACTGCCCCCGCTATGGATCGTTCTGTCTGTCGAGAGGCTATTGTTAACTTGACCTGCGTAGAGGACAAACACTTTCTCCTTTCTTTTTCTCCTCTCCTCCTCTCTCCTTGTCTCTTTCCACCACATTTATCTTTGTCACTCTGCCGAGATGCCTGACGTCTGTTAGTATCTACCAATCATTTATCTGTCCCCCTCAACTTCACAACATGTCTGTCTTTGTAGGATTAACACGTGAAGTCCCATGTGTTTTTTGTAAAAATGGCTGGTTTATCTGTTTTCTCAAGGAGCTGCAACCACTATCTGTTTGTGCCTTATCTGTCATCAGAGTGTCAGACAGCACCCTGACATGGACATTTCTCTGAAAACCTGAAATCTATCTGCGTGTGTGAGAGAGTGTGTCATCTGCATCCCTCTGCTAAAGCCTGAGACATGCTCAACAACTGACACATGCCGCACCCACCCAGACTGAATCTGTCTTGTTTGTCTCTTTCCCCGCAGCCTCCAAAACCCTCCTGGAGGGAAGGCGTTCCGGGTGTTTGCTGTGATTTGAGTGCCCTCGAGGGCGGCTTCACCAAACAGAGAGCGCACTTGGGTTGTTGAATAGGCGGTAATCAAGCCCTGTTGTCAAACTCAATGACTGAAATGTTTCTGGCTTTGCTACACTCCCGGAGTTAGAGGTCGTCTCCATGACAGTGTAAACCCAGCAACAACAACAACAACAAAAAAAACTTGACACAAACAGAAAAAAAGAATATTCAGCACTCACACATATGGAGGTTTCATTTTTCTGCATTATAAGTGGTAATTCAATGAACTGTAAATAGGTTGTTGTACATATATTTGTTAATATTATAACAAGTGTTTTGTCTTTGTGCCATTGCCTTGCCCTTTTAGAAACTATCTCGTAGAAACTGTAGGTCTAACATTATAATGGCACTTAAGGATGAATATGTTTTTATTGTATCAAGTCTGGCACATTTTTACTGGTGCTTTGGAGAGGTTTCTTGACATGTTTTGTACTTTTTAAATGATTTGGGAACAAAGTGTAATGCATTTATTTTTGTATGATTATGCTTTACATCATTATGATTTATAAAGGATGCTGCTATGGTGTTTTTTGTATTGTTATTGTGATGGGTTTCGTTTGTTTGGTAATTTTTCCAGATAATGAGGTTCAGTTAAAACTCCCTGCAGGTCGGGAAGTGCATTCATCGCTCAGAGTTGTCATTCTGTAAACAAAACCTATGTGCCCGGCTTACTCATGCATCACTAATCGCTGGATGTTGCAAACTCCAAATATGTTTCCTGGTGATCCATCTGCCTTTGACTACAACAAACACAAGCAATACTGCGCAACAGTTTGAAAGGCTGTAGGGGAAGAGTGTCTAAATCAACAAATATACCAATTTTACCAACTCTAAGCTGTATCTCACACTACAATCAATGTAATGGGCCGTTTGTTGTATTTGTTGTGCATACTTACATAATACAGAGTACATATTTTTCCTACCTCAGGTTGTTAGGAAAAGTTCATTTTGCAATAAAACATTACAACCACATCTAAAATCTCTTTGTTTCTTTCAATCCAATTTATCAAATTCTCTAGCAACAGCATTCTTACATTTTATCTGTATGTGCTAAAAATATGTTAATTCTTGGGATTATGTAGCAATCAATAACAATATCCATTGGTTTGCAGATCAACTTGCCTTTGAAGACAAAACAAATAGAGCTGTTTCATAAAAATCTGTTTAAAGCACTTTAATGAGATATGTTCAAAAAATCCAGTTCCATTAAAGTCAATTATGAATAATTAAAGCTCCTGTAAGCAGTTTTAAGATGGTTATAAGATAGACGAAGATCAATACTAAAGCCTCTTCATGACCTTAAAAAGCAGACAAAACTATCAGCCTTCAGACTAGTTATGTGTTAAGTCTGATTTTTAATGCTTAAAACTTGCGACCAGGTAGGTGTCAGGATGAAGAGTTACCACCCAGCTGTAGACTCAACTTTTTTGTTTTCTAAAATTCAAGAAAAGACAAATGAGGTTTCTCTCTTAGAAAAAAGGTTAAATAAATACTGCTGTTTTATGACTAAGTATTACGGCCACATTAAGAAAAAAAAAATTAAGACTACGAAATTAAAGTCATTAATTTACAAGAATAAAGTCATGACTTACAAGAACACAGTCGTAATAAAGTAATTACTTGCGAGAATACAGTTGTTCTAAAATCATTACTAACGAGAATAAAGTCATAAAGTAATTATGAGAATAAAGTCGTAATAAAGTAATGACTTAGGACAATAAAGTCATAATAGTAAAGTAATTACTTATGATAATGAAGTCATAGTAAAGTAATCGTGTGAGTAAAGTCAGAATAAAGTCCTTATATTCTAACATGCTGTTTAAGATGACAGTTCTTAAGTTTGTTGAAATTGTGAAAATGAACTTCAATACAGGTTTCTCAAACAAGGAAATCCTTTATCTTTTGGAACATCAGCAACACATCATAAGTATCAATGACTTTATTACAACTTTATTCTTATAAGTAATGATTTTATGACAACTCTTTTCTTTAATTACTTTATTACGACATTATTCTCCTAAGACATGATTTTAGTATGACTTTATTCTCGTAAGTTACAATTTTATTCTTGTTAGTAACGACTTTATTCTCATAAGTTATTACTTTATTACGACTTTATTCTCCTAAGACATGATTCTAGTACGACTTTATTCTCATAAGTAATTACTTTATGACTTTATTCTTGTTAGTAATGACTTCTTTCTTGTAAGTTAATGACGATCTCGAAGTCCTATTTTTTTTATCTTAATGTGGCCCTTATACTCTGTTGTACTTTTTCCACAGGGCGTCAAGGTAAACCTTAACCAAGCTTCCTCACGGGAGCTTTAATGAAACACTCCCACAAGAAATCCTTGTACCATATTTATTTCTATCTCTGTTGTGACCTGATCATAGCTAAGGAAAATGTTCACCTGACCTCAAATTCAATACTGCTCTCATTTCTTCTTAAGCCTACTTATCTGTGATTATTTTAAAGCTGCAGGGCTTCTTTTTTTTACTCTTAAGGTCTACAAATTAAATAAGCTGAATATCTCTTAAAGTGATCAAATACCAATAATCCAAAACTGGTAAACCGTTCCCACAGTAGGCTGTAAGTGGCCCCTGAGCAGTTGATCTGATAGGGCTGATAATACCCTCGTATTAGAGCTGACAATCTGCTCTAAAACCTCATTGGCAATGAGTCATTACACATTTTCTCTAACTCAGTGGATAAGCATGAAAAGCCGAAACACCAAACATCAAAGTACCTCAGGGAGTCACTGAAGTGGTCGGTTTTGTGGGTTGTGTGAAGACTGAATCCAATTCCCCCCGACTTCAAAATCCATTGCTCTACATGAAGGAACAGTCTGCATTACAAGCGGGAAAGTCTCTGTGTGCCCTCCCCCAAATATCCATACAGGTCATTCATTCATACCTTGAGAGCGGAAGCATTTGATCCCTAATGTCCCTGACTTCCTCCTTGGGTACGTCACCGGGGAGCAGGCTCGTCACTCCTCATTTGCTTCCAAGCAGCAATAGTGCGAAATGACCGATCCCTAATGAGTTCCACCATATCCATGTCTAGTGGTGTTATGATGTCTGGAGGGCTGCAATCAGTTGTGACTCAAGCTGCCAGTCTGTGTTATTCCCCTGACAAGTGCTACTAAATCTTACATGATGGGCTGAATATCCTGTCGACTGATGGGAACACAATGTGACACAACATGAAGGCAATCTTGTTAAATAAATTTTCATAGATTTCATGGATGGAGAAAAGTGATTACGTATTGATGTATAGTACATACGCAGAATTAAATTCACATGTGGGAGAGAACATGCTACATGGAGTCTGACCCTCATCACATGGAAGACAGCTTAGTGGTTATAAACCATATGGAAACAGGCACAACTGTGAAAGCTCGTCAAGTAGAACCAGGCTCATTGGTGGACAGCCATCTGCCAGTATTGATTGGGATGAGAAAGTGGATCAAAACAAACATGAAAGTGTGCAGTCTGCAGGACAAAAACTCCAGTTAGTAAGGTAAAACGGTGGCGCATTATTGCACAAAGAAAGAATGGTGTCTATCAAGTCTTTTGGTATAAGTGCTGGATGATGGATGTGGACCTAAATGCAGAGTCATAGACAAAAAGATGATAGTTTTATCACAAGCAAATGTCCAGTCAAACAGACAGAGGTATCAAAATTCACAGACAAGTTCAAGAAACACAAGGTTGGTTCAAAGTTTGAGGATGTGCAAGATTTAACCAATGTCATATGTGTTGCTACTGTTGCCAGTTTTTTTTTCTCCAGATCCATTTGCATGCTCCCATATTCATGCACTAACTTGAAAGTTCAAACGTACCTTATATCCTTACAAGTGCGATTGGCTGTTCTCTACAAGAAAGGTTTCTTCAGAGTGATTGATAGGCCATCCATGTGCGCCCAGGTTCTGTGAAAAGAAAAGAGAAGCATACATCAGACAGGTGTCAAAACTCACAGCAGGGTGTGGTGGTAGGTTGCGTTCACAGGCGCTAAAGAATGAAAGGCAGGAGGACGAGTTGGAGAGAGAGAGAGAGAGCAAGAAAGTGGTGGGGACTGAAGCAAAGGGCAGAGTTATAACCTGAAGGTGAGAGAAAACAGCATGAAGTTTTGATTCTGTGCCACCTTCATGCTCTTAACATTGGGATGCCGTCTGCAGAATGTCTGATCATGTCCTTATTTTTGAAGTTCATAGAAAACAGAAAACTGAAGTGTCATGAAACAAAGTCTGAAGGCACTGACTAAACATTTAAAAAAAAAGAGCCACAGAGTTACAAATAATTAAAAAAGAGGTGTGAGGCGTGAGTTGATTTTGATGGATTGTTGTTTGCCTTCATGTGCGCCCCCATAAGACAGACGAGGCTGCATTAGGAGCAAACTGACAGGGCGACAGCCACTGGCCCATTAGAACTAAGGAGACTGAATGCTGTGAAGACAGATGGGAAGAAAGACAAGCTTGCAGCTAGCAGGGGTCTGCATGGTGCCACCAGTGTTTTCAGACTGTCGTTTAAAATAAGGAAAGCCATTAATAACCTCCTCACCGTGCTCTGCTCGGCTGCAGTCTGGCGCTTCCTGCAAAGCTAAATGTGGTGCTGCATGGCAGCAAACTGGCAGACTGTGTCAAAGAGAGCATACACACCTGAAAGAAAGAGAAGGAGAGTTTGTATTTGCTCCTGTTTGTGTTTGTGCTGTAAATGTTTGAGTTTAATTGTATTTTTCATTTACTCACCTGTTTATTTGCTATGTCATATCCCAAAAAGTTTGTATGGGAATCAGATAGCAATGATGCATTCAGGGGAGCCGTCAGCACTGAGCTGAAAAGTAATGGCTGCCAGTCGTAATGACTGCGCTCCTTCTTGTCAAACCTTTACTTTGGCAGGTGAACAAAAACATAAAATTTGACAGGGAGTGGGTTTTTTTCCCCTCCTGATCCAAAAATATTATATGTACATAGCCACACTGTGAATTTGTTTTTGCAAAAAAAAAAAAAAAAAAAAAAAAAGATGGAGTGGGTACTTTGGTGCTGAAAAAATAAGCTTTTCCTGAGTGGCAACATGACTCATATAATTATTGAGTTATTTTAGGCCCTGCTGCTTTTTTAACAAGCCTTCCACCAATCTGGGACATTTGATTTATAATAACCGTTCATTACTAACTGGCTCTTGTATGACCAACCCAGTCGGCTACTTGACTGGAAATTGAAAATCTTATAGCAGGCATTCAAACTGCTGCTCAGGGCCACTTAATGGGTGAAATCGGCTGATTAAATGGAAATCCCAGGTAATACTTTGGATTTACCATCTGAGTAGCAAAGAATAGAAGAATTAAAGAACCACATGGCCTCAACCACCACCTTGTGTTCGTATTTTTTGGTCTTTTGGTTTAAAACACAGTAAGTTTGTTTGAGTTTAGAAAAATCACATTACACACTTTTCTTGGTTAAAATAGATTCACTTTATTTGCATTTATGGCAGTTGTTTTCTAATCTGGGTGCACACAATTTAGTTAACAAACTGTAGTAGCAGTAGCAGTAGTAGTAGCAGAAGTTTATTCAGTCATGACAACACCAAATATTGTACACAATATTGACATTTCACACAAAATCACTAAATCAAGAATCATGTGTTGAATATTGTCAATATATTGTCAACTTTTTAGGCTACCGACCTCCAGAAAAGCAAAGAAACCACAACAACCGATAATTAATCGCACTTAAAATCGCGCAAAAATAGCTTTACAAACCATTTTCTTAAAAACCAAAAAAGAATGGTATGTTTTTAGATTTATGTTGGCATCATTCCAGAATTTAACTGAGATTATATGGACTGAGATTATACAGACTGTCCTGAATTTAAAAGAACCTCTGTAACCTCTTTGCTCTAAACATAATTTGCATTATCTTCTCATAAAACAGATCATAAAATTTCACAACATGAGAATTTAGAAAGAGTGGCTCTGTGTGACCATAGTAATTAGTCTTTTTGATAATATGTATAGCTCGTTTTTGCATTTTTATAATTGAATTTATAGTGTTTTAAAGGTGGATCCCCACAGTTCCACACAGTAAGATATACTGTATAAGGAACAATCAATGAGTAGTAGATCAAATGCAAAGCCTTGGAATTCAATACTTTTCTCGAATTTGTACATGATTGCGTGTGATTTTGAAATTTTCCCTTTAATGTATTTAATGTGTTGTTTCGATGTTAACTTTGATCAATGACAACCCCAAGAAATTTAGTCTTGGTAACTCTTCCAATGTCAACATTACAGATTCTTCATTTAACATTACAATCACTTTCATTTAGATTCCCCAAAACCATAAATTTTGTTTGTCTGTCGCATGGTTTGATTTTCTACATCAAGATTTAACTTCAGTTTCTGTCATTTAAAGTAATACTTACCTTTTTGTTTGTCTTTGCTTGAGTTCACCTGACAAAGGCCGTCTGCAGCTCCAAGATGGCCGCTTAAGCCCTACCCACAGGAAGTGGAACAAACCATCAAGGAGGAAGCATGGAGAAGCTTGGACTTTTGATTCTTCATAAAACTTTTTGTCTTTATTCTTTCTGTCATAACAGAGTATTTATTTTTTTATCTGTAAATGGTTGGTTTGGATAATTTGATGGTGCTTTTCTGAGTTTGTTAGATGTTTAGTTTGTAGTCACCTTAGTTTCCCCCTTGTGTATATGTTGGATTAATCCTTTGGCTATTTAAATCCCTGACGTATAACTCAGCAGGTCTGTTTGATTATGTTTGTTAGGGTGTTCCTTTAGTTTCTTTTTTTGCTGAGTTGACCTTTTTTAGCCTGGGTCCAGATTTTGTTGACTTTTTACCACATTATTTTGTTATTAATTTTTGCTTTTTTGAGTAAAATTAAAGGATCAAGATCTTTGTCCACACCTTTGTCCTTTGCCTGGTTGCCTGGTCCCTTACACTCTTCATAGGTTTCCTTGTCTGCGATGATTGGGAGCATGGTTTTCAACATTCTGCCTTGGACTAATAAAACATTACCAAAATATACTTATTCCACATTTTTTCCCCAGCAAACTGACTTATAATAGGCTGTGTGAGCAGTGTGACCTACTACTGTCAGAACAATTGTTGGTTTTATGTGAATGGTTGAACTTTAAAATGAACACATTGCAAAAAAACAGTAAAAAATCATTCCTGTGGGTGCCGTGGGAGCCCTGAGCTGCTCAGACCAAAACTGTTTTTTTTTTTTTTTTTTTTTTGTAAACCATGTTGTAAACTTGTTTATTTTTCTCTAAAAATTGTATTTTTTTGCTGAACTTTTTGCACTAATGCATCTCTCAGGACTGGAAGTTGCGGCTTAATGTGGCTCAGTTGGAGTACAAATAGCCTAGAACTTGAACAGCATGGATTCGTTGATAATAAGCCGGGTGGTAAACAAAACTTCTACAGACGAAGAAAGGACGTAAAAAAGACAAAACTGTCCGGTTGGGTATAAAAACAGTACAGAGATGTAAATGTGACTGGATTTATGTCATCGTTTGTTGTGTGATGGGAGCCAAGGTGTGATGGTGGATTTCTACAACTTAAACTACATTCAAACTATAAATGGAGAACCAGAAAACTGAGGGTCCCAATCCAGACCCTCAGGAAGAATCTGTAAACGCAGATTAAAAACCTCTAAATCATCAGTTTTTACTTAACAGAGTCATGTGAACCTTCATATTCACATACTTGCTCTTGTGCAGACTCTCACCGTCTCCCTCTTTCTTCTTCTTCAGCACATATTTGTATGCACACAGTGACGAACAGGCATTCATCTTGCTCTTGTCACAGCAGGCAGGACGACAGCCATATTTTTAGATGCTTTATTGGTAGAAGACTGCAAATCAGATGATTTATGGTTGACAATTTACCCACATAAGACACTAACACTGACATTTGTTCCTGTATAAATGGGTGTCAGTGAGGCAGTTTAATGCTCTGTGTGCAGACGTGGACCACATGTTAAAGCCTTTCCTAAAACAAGCAGTGTGGAAGAAGGAAAATTGTGTACTCTTCTCCAGGAGGAGCTGGCTGCCACCCAGACTGCACTGCTGTTAGATGTGCACCCTCAGGATAAATAATGACAAGTCCACATCAACTGGACTCTTCTCACCAATTGATATCTGTAAGTCTTACCCTGGACTACATTCAGAGCCTGCAAGTTATCTCTAGATCAGTGTTGCAACAGAGATTTCCTGTTAATTCTCCAGATGTAGGTCAGGGGAGATTGCTTTAATGATAATAATAATAATAACAACAAACTCTTCACACACAAAGCCGAGGATAATAGAGGAAATGGGCTGAGTTTTAAAGAACTTTATATCTAAGGCGCTGTGTGTAAAATAAACACTTGTTTGCAAAGAAAAGAAAAATATATCCGAACGGAGAATGAGACGCCTTGCAGGAGCAGACTGAGCAGCGACAGATGAGGGTCATGACCCAACAATAACGCCATGCATGGCAGATGGGCATACACGCTTCTTTGCAGTCAGTCTTAATACAAGAAAAAGGAAGTGGGGCCAAGATTTGGAGGGCTTGGAAGGGTAATGGAAGAGGAGCACAGTGTGAGAAGGTACAAAACTCAAGTTCATCAAAAGGAATCAAGAATAAGTTTGTTTTCAAGTTTCAGTACGAGTCAGCAAAAGGTTTTCTTTGTAGCTGCCTGCAACACTCTCCAAAGCAGATAGACTTATGAGCTGCGGGTAAAACACCAAACACAATTCTATGACATGGGTGTACTCGTGTATTTATATTGGGATCATGGTCTGGGAGCACAGAGTCCAAAATATTAAGAGCTGCGACGAATCAGGCGCCGACGACGAGGCCACGAAAATCACGGCCGAAGCTGTCCCTGGACTCTGACGTCATCTCTGACCTTTCGTGTATTTACAGAGGAGGTTTGATTTCCACTCTTTTTTCCATGCTCACACATGAGCCGTTGTAAAGCAGGGCCTGGGAGGTAAAAGAGTAGCTTTGTCCTGACCTGGACGGTGAGCACTGGAGTCATGTGCTGCTGCCAATCCTCGAAGAAGGGCCCACAAGCCACGACCATTGAGGAAAAGCACAAGGATAACCTGTTTTATATGAAATCTGTCAGATTAAATAAGGAAAACCAATAACCTGTAGCTCTTGGGGTGTAGCTTAAGCCAATTTTGAACCTCTGCAGCTCTAATCACACTTGTTAAAGCTGTTTTAAAAATAAGCTGAAAGACACTTTGCAGAGAAATTCATGAATCAGCACCTGATAGGAATCATGAATTGATGCACTGTCATTTTGAATGCATGCACTGTGAATATAAATGTCACCTGCCAACCTCAAACAAGAATGGATCTTTATTTTCTACAGGCCCCATTTAAAAACAAAAATCAGGATGCTGTGTTAAATGTTAATTAATACAGAATCTGATCATTTGCATATCATTTCAACCCCTTAATTTGATCTAAAGTTGTGGAAAGTCAAAAATATAAAATATTGAAACTATACAAAAACAAATGCTTGCTTTAAATTTACAGAAAATATTTTTTTGCAGGTGATTTTGAGTCAATGCAGTGATTTCCACTATAGAGACATGTCCGTATCTAATGCAGTGCTGCCTGAAGGCCCAAGATCACAGCCATCTGGTTTTGGTTTTTGGGTTTGTGGTTTTTTTTAAGAGATTTCTCCAGTTTTTCTAAATCTTTTAATGAGGGTTTGAACATTGGATGATGAAATTTCCATACTCTTTGAAAAGTTGTGCCAATAAGGAGCGTCATCCTGAATTTGCTCACACAGTCACAGAGTGATGAATCCTTCCCGTCTTCGCTTCAGAGAGACTCAGTCTCTGTGGAAAGTCCCTTTTTAGACCCAGTCGTATCACAAACCTCATGCAAATTCACATAATGAGTTGGAGGATCCTCCACATGTTTCTTTTCATTAAGACATACATTTTTTCGGTGTTATGTTGACCCTGTCCAATCATTTCTCAAACATCAAATTGAAACTATGCTTTTATTAAACAAAACAAATGTTCAGTGTCAATGTCTTTGCATTATTTTCCATATAGACTTTGAATGATCGAAAAGCATTAACATTTTACCCAGAATTCTAACTTCTGGATACTAGAGTTATATTTGAATTAAGACATCCTGTATAGATTACAAATGAATAGGATGATTCACTTGTACTGAATTCACTCATTCATTGCAAAACTCAAATGCTCCTCATATACTTTGATCTAGTGTAAGTATCTCATTTGCATACAGTAGAAACAGAGAGATATTTAAACAACTCATTCAAAGTTGAACCTCCTAACACAGCAGACAATATTGCCCTCTACAGGGCGCACACATTAGTCACGCTTGTCTGTCCCCACTCTTTATTTTCCCTCTTTTTTGGGCCTTGATGAGTCACAGAGACACAGCAGCACATGTGTTGATGAATGTATAATTGCACAGTGTTTAAAGGTCTTGAGGATCAGGGGCTGTGGAGAGCGCGGGGCGCACAGTTAGGCCATGGCCTCTAAGAGCCTGGATTAGTTCCCCTTGACATTTAGCATCTATCCTGCTGTGCTGTCATTTAGCTTGAATCCAAACTAGCTTCCACTATAGGGTTATACCGGGTCAAGGACATCTATGAAAATGCGTACGATTTTCGTTGATGTGATATTGAATTGAGAATGATTACGAGGACTGATATGAGTTATAATGCCAGAAGACCTCATGGGAGCAAATACAGGGACCTACTTAATCAAGCATCTCCATATGAAAGATGATTAAAATGACTGAGATGGTCACATGAAGGACCAGTGTCAGTGATCCAAGACCAGCCACTCCTGATGAATTCAGCCTCTCTGCGCTCCAAAATTAGCTGAGTGGCATTAGAGAGCGAAAAGGAAGAAAAAGATAAAGAGAAAACAGGCATCTCATCACTCTCTCAGGAGTAGACCGAGGCACCTATTTTACTCCTCTTTTCCCCTCAAGGAGCTCAATGTGATGAACTGTGGATTCAGCCTCTCCCGGTCGTTTTGTACGAGAAATGCAACAGCAGCAGAATAGCCAAAGTCTCAAGAGATCCAGCTAAGGGTTCAGGCTCACCGTGACACCAGACAGACCCCAATTTAGGACACAAAGACTGGGTCAAACCAGCGGGAGGTGTAGCCTTTCCTCTGAGAATGATCCTTCTAGTTTCTATTCAGTCGGCTCCTGCCTTTCTCCTTCTTATTTTTGTATGTTTTCCCTTAGATTCACCCTCTCCTGTCTCCCTCACTCACTTTCCTTTCCATTCATTCTCCCCTATTACCGTAATGATCATTAGTAAAGCTACATAGTTAGCTTCTGCGGCTCCTCTAGTGACTCATGCTCTTAATCTTCTTCTGTCCAGAATGTGAAAATTAAGTCAGGTTAATAGTTTTAGTTAATTTGGTAATCAGAGAAACCCAGAGTACAAAGCTTTTCCACTTCCATTCTTATCCGTGATTGAAGAGAAGGACCCTCTCCACTCGCCCACCCCCTTCACCTTCCACAGAAGGACAAAGAGGCCCTCCAACCACTTCTACTTCAAACTGTTATGGAGTAAATCACAAACATGTCATGGCCTGATCCGCTGGGACCACACACAACCTTAGCTGTCCTATAGAGTGTGACAAACCAATGTCCTCCTTGGATAGCCAAGGACCCATCGAGTCTACAACAGCCTGCATGACTTTTCCTGAGAAATTGGCTTTTTTTCCCCTAACCCCCCACTTTCCACACTAGCGCTTTTTTCCTCCAGGCATTGACATTTAATCAAATCCAAATCCCATTGTGCCTATTAACATATCAGGCTGATACGGGTTGCTGTAAAAAGCTTGAGTACAGGAACCCGGAGCACAACATTACCATAATTCTGCCTGAGTGATCTCTATTTCGTCTCCTCCACCCACATCTAAAAATGCTTACCTGGCAAACAACAAGGCATGGAGATGCATTTCTCCCTCTTACTCCCACCACTCATCACCCCTGCTTATCTTTTTTAGGAGGTGTTAATTATTTAGCTGTGCTTGTGACTGTTTGCCAAATAGTAATGAGATGAGCTAATGCAAAAGCTATTTTAATATTTTACCACATCACATAAAGTTTGCTTTCTGCCTCAGCTGTGACTAAATAAACAAATCAAGGGGCTTTTTGGGGGGATGCTTAAGTGCGTTAATGGATGCTGTGGTTTCTCCACTAGTGGTTTTCACAGTATTTATCACCAAAAGCTGCATTTCTACTGCAAGAATGTTCCCAGGAGGCTTGAAACTTTTGGAGGTACTCCAGTGGGATTTGGGTCCAATTACAGTTCCATGATCTTTATTTTACCGTGAAAATGTCCTGCACCAGGGGTAAACCTTTCCAGAAGTACTGGGACTTAGGGGCAGGTCCAGCAGCAATGAGCATCTCTGATTGGATGAGTACTTGCAGCATTTAGACTATCAGAGAAGTGAGAGATTTGACTCTCTGGATGTGTTCATGCTTTACTTACTCAGTTTCACCTTTAAACACGTGTAAGATCAGTAAAGCAGTAAAGGTTAAAGTAAATTAGAATGTTCTCAATAAACCTCTGATCCTGTCAATGATTCATAAACCGGTTACAGCAAGTTTTTGCCAACGTTAATGCCCCCAATTTGTCAATTTTTGTGCTATTAGACTTGAGATCTGCTCTTGATACAGTTGACCACACTCTGATATACAGGTTGGAAAAATAACCTGGACTTCTCTTTCATCAGATGTAACCGTATTTAAAAAAACTTTCCCAATATGACTTGATAAATTTACCTCTGAACACCTTAGCATTCACTGTGGGGTGCCACAAGGTTCAGTACTTGGTCCGCTATTATTCAGTCTTTACATGCTCCCTATGATACACAGTTTGGCGTCTACCTTTTGCCTGAAGACCTTAATTCAGTAGATCAATTGGTCAAATGCATAGATGACAACTTTTCAGTGATGAAACCAAAATTCTAATTGTAGGCTAATAAAGAAAATAGCAGGAGTTTATATCCATTTCACCATAGTTACCTCTTTAACAGAGTGAGTGAGTCAGGAACCAGAGTGTCCATGCAAATTTAAACTTCCAGTTATTACAATGACATCTTTTGACCATCTTTATGGTCTTCTACCATCTTCAAGAGGTGCTTCACATCCCAATCCAACTCTGAGATACTGGTTAATTCATCCATCTCCAGTAAATGAGACAACTGCACTGCTGGACTTCCCAAAAAGTCAGCAAGTGAAGTTCATCTCATCCAAATCACTGACGCCAGCAGTGCCTACAAGGACCAAAAAAGAATATATTACACAAGTATCTGGAAAAACTCAATCTATGTTGAATATACAGTATTTGCCTAGAATCTTGGTGTCATGATTCATGACCAGCTCACTTTCAGCATGCACATTCAAACCTCTGAATGACCCAGAATTCAGCACTGCATCTTGTCACTTCACATCTCTTTCCACTGGCTTCCAGTTGTCTCTTACATTGAAATCAAGACCCACTTCTTGCTTACAAAACAGTGACAAAAACTGCTCCTGCCTACCTGGAATCTCTCCTCCAAGTTCACACTCCCCAATGGATGACACTTCGTACACCCATATCAACAGGGCTGTAAATCACTTGCCACGCTTTTCTCCTCATTGTCCCCCATCGATGGAAATGATTACCCAACCTCATTTGATTTGCAAAGTTTCTTTCTACCTTTGAGAAAAAGCTAAGCCACTAGCTCTTGAGGGAAAACCTACGCTCTTAAGCTACACTCTTAGTTCCTGTGGTCCCTGGTGGTGGCGTGAGTTACTCAACTACATTCAGTCTGCAGAGTCCCACTCTACTTCCAGAAAGTTTTAGCCCAAGCTGGTTTTGTACAACTCTGCACTCGGTAGCCCGGAGCTATAGCTAGTGATGCCGATAACAGGGGCATTGATGATGATGACACTGAGGTTTCGTAAAGTTGATGACTATGTTTTTGCTGATGCTTTGGTGATAATGATATCATTGCAATTAGAAGAAGCTTCTTAACAACCTGCGCATTGCCTCTGGCCCTGCATGTCAGCACCTAGACATAAGGCTGTTTCTGGCACTTATTCATGCTGTTTCCCCCTTCTACATCCTTACTTGTGTTGTACTTTCTCTTTTGCTTTGGACAATGGTGTCTGCTAAATTAAACTGCTATATTGCTACAGGACTGAAAAATCTCCTTTGGCTCCTGGCCCAGCACAGGGCTGGATTTAAAACTCAGCTCCTAGTGCTCAAAGCTCAGACTGGTATCAATATCTCTACATGACCTTCTTGTTGACTATAACCCAATCAGATCCATGCGATCATAGAGCATGGGACTAAAGTCATTCATTTGTTGAGTTCTTCTATTACTAATAAGTTTTTTTCTGCAAGTTTTTATCCCCTGTGATGTAGATTAAATACACATTTGTATGAAATGGGTAATCCAAATAAAATTGAGCTGAATTGCATTAAAGGAGTTGTTTTTTCCAGCTCTGCAGATATTGGCTGCTTCATTCATGACCTTGATGAACGTCTGTCTGCTCTTGACTGACTCTCAACTCACCCGACCCTGCTGGCACCCATTCATGTATGTCAGGACCATATGTTCGGATATGTCGCGGTCACACTGAGCATGCATCCTCTCTACCTGTGACTCCAGCCTAGTTGTTGGTCTTTGTATCACAGTGGGTTATTACATCCCCCCAAAAAACTAGGACAGCTCTGGTAATAACAGAGGACAATATTTAGCTCAGTAAAAAAGACATTGTTACTGTCAGCATTGTTTTCTTTCTGAGAAGGAATGACGAGGCTGTGGGAATGGAGCGGCGCCATGTCGTACAAAGAGGATTATAAAGACAAAACAACTTTGACAAGTCTGAAATTTGAGGACACTTCCAGGGAGACATGAAGAAAATCAAAGTCAAGCTGTTTGTTGGAAGGATGGCAGCCTGATACTTTTTTTTCACCCTCGAGGATGTGATGAACAGGACAGAAAATATAGACATTGAGTTTTACCTCTGGACTCTGAAAGCTGACACTTGACAGAAAAGCACTTCTCAAAGTGGCAGCAATCTATTCCCATTGACGAAAAGCCCCCCCTGTGTGTCAGCGGATGACATTTTATTCCAAAGCCACTGAACAAATAAATAAATGAGAGTAAGCTATGGCATAATTGTGCAGAACTGGAAAAAGTGTTGGGGTCTTTGTGTCCTCATTTATAGAAGTAAATCTGTTTTCATATCCATCCACATTGATCTATGCTGCTTTCTTATGGTTAGATTCTGGATGTTTTAACAAAGGAATTGATCCTCACTCAATCATATATGTGGTTTTATGTAACTCTTACATAAGACATTTCTCTTCCCCCAGATCTAATCAACATAAGTGATGGTAGCCCCCTCGTATCAATACACCTGAGCCATCTGTTACCTAATACCACGGATTTCACTCTCTGCGATTTGCACAACCCAAGCTACGCCTCTCACTACATCCTGATCAGGATTACAGCTTTGGCAGGGATCAAATTTTGCTCCTGTGCTTTTATTTTCAGACCTTTTATTTTTTGATTGCCAATCTGCAGCACCGCCCCTACAATGCACAAGCAGCAGGCGGTGGTTGTATGCTCTGCTTTGTTGTATTCAATTTATTTGATCCTTTAACGGGGGAACCGGACGATCTGGTTTTATTATTCAATAAATCAAACAACATCAATTCAAGGCCGGCTAATAATGACAAAGCATGGTGTTCACACATCCGCAATTGTATTTTCTTATTAGCGGACTGTGTGGTGAAAAATATGGAAATGATATTCATACTCAGAGAGGTAATAACCAAAAGGCAAGGTACAAAGTGTGTTGCAAATGAGTCTGAACACTAAGCTCTGCTGTACATTACCATATTTTCTTTGAACATATTTTGAGGGGAACAAGGGGAGCCCAGAATATGAATGGCTGCGCTAGATTTCAAAAGTTATATTAAAATTCACCAAGCAAGTGGTCTTATTAGAAAATGTCGCTAAGGTGAAGCCCTTGATCTTCACCTTGAGCTTTTGCTTCAACATGATTTGGGTGATCAAAAAGAAGAATAACTGCAGGTGTTCAGCACTTTTTGGCTTGATTGGTACCTGAATTGTTTTCTGTCAAAATATCAACACAATAGCTGAGTAAATACTAAAATTATACTGTCTGAGTAACCATGAGGTCTAGAAAATTCAGTTTTCTTCTTAAAGGGCAAACAAAATTACTTTATCCAACTTCTACTTTTAGAGATATATGGCATCAAGCTTGTGGCTGAATTTAGCTGGTGGAACACCAAAGATATGACATTAAAAGTATTTATCATAACCATATATTTTACCTGTAATTTTGGTTAAACAGATCCCATCTGAAGTTATCAAGGCCATGACAACAACTACATGGGTTAGAGATGGTACTTCTGACTGGAGCTGAAGGAAAAAAAAACATAATTCATCAAAATCAATGGGGTTCAAATCCAATAAGTAAAACCAAAGGCTAGAAACTTTCAAGCAAGCAGTAGATCAAACAATGTTGATCTACTAGCTGCTCGAAACAGCCTGTATAGCTTAAACTATAGTCAATATCAGCTGTTTGCGTCTTTCAAGCATGCATATCTGATAAGCACACTGCAGGCGAAGAACCACAAAGGGCAGCGTTGGTTGAACACGCTGAAATGAATGTGTTCATTGAATATGCTCATATTTTGCTGAGCTGTGAACTTTACAACTCGATTAGGTACTTTTTAAAACTTTATTTGACGGTTTTTTAAACTTAAAATACATATGGTAGACTAATGTAATTCATTTAGCGTAGAGGTTGTCAGTAATTGGGGGCACGCAGATGAATGTATAGGAGGTTCCACTGAAAAAGACCATATAGCAAGTTCATAATTTAAAATGATGAACTATGTATGTGAACTGCACTCTGGGCAAAACATGTACACTCATATAACAAGTTATTGACCCTACTTTAAACATGTGCATGTAGTTATGTTGGTGTTATGACTTTATTTGAAGGTTTTAATTGTGGTTGTTTTCATGATTACATGTGCAAACTCAAAGTTACAGTAAATAGGAATATTTAAAGGGATATTCTGGCATAAAATTAATTTAGGGTCAACAACACCATAACATCGAGTTAAACACCCCCTCGAGAGATGAATGTTGCCAACCGCTTGCTTCTCTAGTTATACCAACTTTAGTAATGACCGCAGATAGCAATACAGAGAGCAACGCACTCAACCAAAACACTACTCTATAGGTACAAGTAATGCTGAGAACACCACCTAACTTCATCAACAGTACATATAGGGTCCCAGCCATAGCACTAGCCACCAAACATCTTTTTAGCTTTGCCTAATTTCTTTAGCAAAGAGACTAAACACAACTCACCTACTCTCTCCCAGCAGCCGCTTATTTGTAGCAAGACCTCGGGTCAGTCCATTACGGACTACAGCGGGGTGATGCAGCTCAAGGAAGAACAGTCATGATAATTTGTTTATCATTTCCTTGAAGTAATAATCACCATATTAATCATTTTGCACTGCAGACATGGTAGTTCTTCTGCCTTAGCGTCTTGGTCTGATTGCATTTCCATGAAGAAATGATCCTAAATGTTCTTCCTTGAGCTGCGTCACCCCGCTGTAGTCTGTAATGGACTGGCCCAAGGTCTCGGTACAAACAAGTGGCTGCTGGAAGAGAGTGGGTGAGTTATGTTTAGTCTCTTTGCTATTTTAAAGAAATTAGGCAAAGCTAAAAAGATATTTGGTGGTTAGTACTATGGCTGGGACCCTTTATGTACTGTTGATGAAGTTAGGTGCTGTTCGGAGGATTATTTGTGGCTATAGAGTGGTGTTTTGGTTGAGGTTTGTTTATGGCTCCTGAGACTGCTGTGTATCGCTATCGTTACTAAAGTTGGTGTAACTAGAGAAGCAAGCACCCCTCCCATTGTTGAAGCAGTGTTGGCCTTCAAGGATAATAAACTGTCCAGCTAGTTGCCCATTACACACTATACATTTAATAGCCTGCCAATGATACTTCACCATAGACTGTACTTCACTCATTCTTAAAAGGTTCAATTGAGAGAAAAACACCTGTCCGTGTCAAACATTTTTCTAATTAGAGTTTGCTTGGCGTCATAAGACCTTGGGTCCCCCCTCTTAATTTGAAGATACCGCCTCCCACCTCCCGTAGAGGTTACTCCCCCACCCCCTCCCTGTTTCGGGGGATGGTGTGGTCCAGGAAGCGCGCCTCTCCTCTGCTCTCTCCTCTCTCGTACTCAATGAATCAGCTGACGAATGGTATCTCCCTCCTCTCCCGGATGGATCGGCGCCGCTGAAGCCGGGCAGCCTGAGCGCTGACACAGGAGCAGGTTGCCCACGGCTCGCTCTCCTGCTGCTGGATGTCACAACGACCGATCGCCGGCTGAAACATTTCCTCCCCCCTCACGAAACAGAAGAGAAACACTTTGTTGAAATTTCCTCCTCGGGCTGGGAGCTACCCGCTGCCCGTCACTATGGCTTCCAACTTCAACGACATAGTCAAACAGGGATACGTGAGGATACGGAGTAAGAAACTGGGGGTGAGTAGTGTTGCACTTGCTGTCTAACGCTAAGGAGGAAAGGAGGAGGGAGAGGAGGAGGAGGAGGAGGAGGAGGAAGAGTGGTTCCAGTTGTTTCGGGGGCGTATGGATTAAGAAAAAGGATTTAATTGCTCCATAGACTGCCGTCCTGCTGTGAGCTTTTCAAGAGGAAAAACAGATTAGAGCAGCATAAAACAGCCGCCAAGTTTGTCTCAGTGTATTGTGCAAAAGACGTTGGCAAAGTGTTGGATGAATGACAGCTGCTGTCATGTTTGTACTTGTAAATCACATTGTCATTTTTTGGCTTTACTTTCTGGGCTGCAACTTCATTTTTAGTAACATAGACAAGCTGTACATGAAATTGTCTGACAGTGGTATTAAAATCTGCAGACAGAAGAAAAAAAAGGGTAGAATATGACTCAAAAAGAGTTCTATATTTTGCTGTAAAGGGTTAGTAATCTCTTTTTTGACTGGTAAAATCTGTAAAAACATATAAAAAGTCAACATTTTGCAAATGATCACAATCAATACATCCCCAAACCCCAAAAGGATGTCATGAAATACCTCTTCTAGCCAAGTGAACACTCCTGAATCTCAGAAATTTCACCTCATGCTTCATTTAAGCAGCAAATCATTCCCTTTATGAAGTTACCACCAGCAAATATTCGCCATCTCAGCTTGAAAAATGACTGAAGCAATTAATTACTCACCAGCACAATAGGTGATTAATTCTCCTTAGATTGAGTGATCTTTTCATCAATAATCATGGCAGCTTTTACTCTTTACAAATGTTCCCTTCCCAGTGTTGCACCTCAGTCCTCTTTCAGGCAGGATGAGTTATCCCCCAACTCTGAAAAGTCTCATTGAAATCCAGCTGATTCTCTGCGATGGCAGCTCTTCAATGCCTTTGATAATGGCTTTTCCATTGAGAAACTCCAAGTTGAAAAATGGCTCGACTGCTTAAATGGAAACGCATGATATATATTCAATTATGAGCGCCTTATTGTCTGACTCATAAAGCCATCTGCTTTTGTTCATACTTCCAGCTCATTAGCGGGAACACTCCCTCTCCTTTTGATGAAGTGTGATGATGGGGGCTAATGATGTCTGCCTCCTCACATCATCACCTGGCTTCATCAACACTTCTTCTGTTGTTTGCTGCAACTATAGCTCTTTTTGATTACACTTTGGGGGTAAATGTTGTCGAGTAAGAAAAGCCTTCACACCCCTGCAGGACTCGCACAAGACGAGCCTGATATTAGATATGAAAGTGCGAGACATTTGTAGTTGTTGTTGTTGTTAACATGCAAATGATTACGCTCACATGCACTTGGAACAGTTCATTTACTTCTTGCATATGCAATTAGCCAGACGCATTCGAGAAACAGTGTGAGCGTGTGTCTGTGTGCAGAGTGAGGACGCATGCTGTGTTGGCTGTCTTTGCTGGAGGTATAGATGCCAGCTCCACATCTCATCCTGCTGCTTGTTTGAGGGAAACAGTTTGTGTCCTGATCGCCCACTCCTTCAACCCGCCGCCGCCGTTTACTTGCACGCTGCTGTTTCATCAGAGAAACGCCACGCTGCGATGGCCTCAGAGGACCCCGGTGTGGGCAGATAGAAAGTATTCATCTGTCCACACTAGGGTTAGTTAATAAAGCGCCATTATTATTCTGTATCAGTTAGAGGATAAAAACAACCTAATGGAGCAGAAAAAGGTTTCGCCTAGTCTGCATCAAAAGACACTGATACGCCACATCTCTGTGATCTCTTAATGTGGGGAAAAATGACTTATAATGTCACAGCTTCATGGTTAGTGTTGGGTTTCGAGAGAGTTCATAATCCAAACATGGCAGATGTACACATGCATGGGCTGAAGGACAGATGCACATCTGTTGAGGGGGTTCTTATTTAGAGCCAGCTTCAGTTTAATCATAAAATGCATGAAGAGAGTCATGGCATACTAGCTTAATACAGAGTCAGATTTAAAAAATAGGAAGTTCCTCTGATATGATTTCTTGGTTTTAGGAATAGTTAGACCAATCATAACTATTTTCAACACCTTGCTTGAAGGAAACAAGGTCTATATGATGTATTTCAGGTGGACTTGGTGATTCAGATGGAAAAACACAAAGTCATTATCTTCCTTTAGCAAGAAATCACAAGGAGGCTGCGAGCTGAGCTGCCACAACCTTGTTTTTAAGGTGTTGGCCTGATGCTGTCTCTCATCTGTATCACATATAATAAGGCATGTTATTTGATTCCAAAAAATCACTAATAAGGCTTTACTTTCCAGAAACAGCAAACCAGACAAAGATAACTGATCAAAATGCTACATATAAGTAGGGCTGGGCAATATGGGAAAAAGTTAGTCACGATATATTTTTTTCATATCAGTCGATATCGATATATATCACGATATAAAAAATGAAATTTAACAGTGCTTATTGGTAGCATGTTTTTCGCAATACAATAAGCTACTGCATCTGTGAGTTCTTCGTGTCTCTTCAGTGTTTTGTTGTAAGGTGTTGAGCTAAAGAAAGTGGACTGTATGGTCAGCTGTTTTGGCTGCACAGGTGTCATGGGCTCCTTGCTCTGCTTGGAGTTTGTAACCTTTTGCATTGCGCGTGCTCTGTTGCAGGGGACTGTTTCAGGTGGTGAAAAAGATCTGAGGTAGTCCCAGACTTTGCGAGAACATGTACTAGACATAATTTGCAGTGCACATTACTCTGCTTCATGTCAAACCTCAAAAAACCAAAATACCTCCACACCACCGACGTTTTTGTGCCAGTGTTGTTGACGGTGTCATCATCTGTTGAGCCTTCATCTGCATTTCTGTCGGGGGTAGCACTCATTTTATTTTTTCCTCACCGACAGTGCTGTTGGCTTCACCTGTTAAAGTGATATGCTCGCATGTAGCTGCAGCCTGCTACTACAAGGTTGTTTGCTACTTGGTTTTAATTCAGCACATGATTGGTTCAGCAGCGGACCTGGAGCAACTCCTCTTTTCATTGGCTATTTGTATAGTTGACCAAAACATGGCAGAATGCCGACTATCGAAAAGGATATTGACCGTGTTTTATATTGATATTGAGAGAAATTAATTTTCGATATCGTTATCGTTTTATTGGCCAGCCCTACATAAAAGAGTTGAATGAATCCTGTGATCTAAGACAGGTCTTTTAGGGAGCTGTAAGCTGAGCTGTTGCAAACTGTATTTAAGAGAAATATCTGTTGTCCTGAGTTCAAAGCTAAGATAGATGTGGATCTAGCAGTTCACACAAGACTAACAAAGTAGGAATTATTTCATCTGCTGCCTCCAGTGGTAGCAGTCACACACGGCTAATAAGGCTAGTTTAGCTAGTTACTGAGTCTCCTGCTTTGCTGCTTCTTCTTTGTCTTCTCTCTGTTTAATGGAACCACTGACATTCTAAAGATCTACTTATCCCCCCTGCTGTCATCATGTACACACAGGGTGCAGGGTATGTTTAAATTTAACACAGCATCAAAAGATGGTAATGTAATTTATCGAAAAGTTAGTTTTCATCCAAAAGCTAATGTGACTGTAAAGCTAAAATATCTTCCCTCACTGATTTTTTCAGCTGTATCACTCATGATTTTAATTTGTTAAATTCAGCCGCAGGAGAAAGCTCCTCATTTAAAAAAAAAACGATCAAAATTATCATCATTTCCTCAATCACTGAGGAGAAAAAGATCACAAATATATTTCAGGACATTGCAGCTGTGACTTGCAATTATTTTCATCACAGATAAATCAGGTGATCTTTTCATGAATCACTTGTTTTTCTTCTTTGTGTGTTTTTTGCCTGACAGATCTTATTTTACAAATGCCGTGCACCACCAAAAGTATCCACACATTGTTTTACTTAAAAACACCCTCTGTGCTTGAGTTTTAGGCTCAAAAGGTCCTGAGTGTTTTCCTCCTCATGTGGTTTTTTAAAATGTTTCTTTTTTCGGTTCTCGAAAGGTCTTTCAAATATCACATATCAAGACTTTGCATCACCGTTGACCTTCTCATGCTCCCTGCCTACACTCTATTGTAACGCTCAGCCTTTCAAAAATGTATTCCACATTATTTTTCATTAGCAAGTCGTACAGTCGGATGGTTCTCTTTATGCGATATGTAATACAGTGGAAACAGCAACAGCTTTGCCTGAACTCATCAGCATCCGTCAGCATGATTGGCTCATTTCCAAACCCCTTCATGTGTGAAGGTTGAGGCCATGAGGTCACTTCTGTGTTCTGCAGAGTGATCAAAATTACCAACCAGGGCACTTTTTCTCTTTTTTTTCCTTTTTTCTGGGAGATTTTTTTCCCCTCTTTTTTTTACTGACATGACTAGCAACGATTAGCATCAGCCAACTTCTTTGTCTCTTTGTTGGCTAAAGAGACAACGGTGCAGTGTTCTTGAATGCACAACTAGAGTCTATCCTCTTTTCTTTCTCACATTCGCCTCCTCTTCCTCACCTCTCCACCCGTTTTCTCATCTCACATTCTCCCCCAGCTTCTCACCTGTTCTCCCCCCTCTTCAGTGTCCCTCTCTCATCTCCTCTCCCACTATTCTATCTCTCTCTCCTCCTTTCTTTACCCCTTTATCTAGTTTTATCTCCTTCACCTCATGCCCCCTTTCTCTCTCACCTTTTCTCTCCTTCACCGGTTTGCAGACAGCTGAGACTGAGCACAAAAGCATCCTATTCATCACCCCACACTGCACCCTCCATAACCCCCAACAGGCCATTCTGCCTGATACACTACACACACACACACACACACACACACATTCATATGCATTTGCCTGGTTCAGCATTGAAGAATTGGCACACATTCGCCCTACAAACAAGTAAACAATCTGCTGCCAGGGAACAGTGTGCAAATTCTCAATTAATTTTAATCCTGTGGCTTTGTACCATACAGTATTTTTTTTTTTACTACATAGAGAAAAGCTACACGCTCACAAGAGCCAAAAACGAGTCCCCCTGAGCTCATAAAAACATGAAAATCAGGCGATATCTAAGAAACAGAACCACTGATATCCACCGATTCTTCCAACCTCTTTCAGAGAAAAATGTCTGATGCTATCAGCGATGAATAACATGACCTTTGAGTAATTTCTGTGTCAGTCTCCATCCTGTTACATGTTTCCCAGGTTAAGGATTGCAGTGTTAATGTAGAAAAGGTCAGCTGTTGAATATTTTCCCCCTACCTGTCTATCTAAACCCTTTTCAAGCTCTAACAAAAATGCTCAATTTAAGTTTGCTGGAGGTGAGTGTGTGTCTGCCATTCAGCCTCTCCATTCACAAACATGTTTTGACACTTCAAAGGAGCCGTGGATCAGATGCCGGCTCAGAGGCAGATATGTAATATTTTAAAGAGAACTTCTCTCACAAAGATAAACTGTTATTTCCCACCACAAAGAGTACCTACAATATATTTAATAAAAGAGTCAAAAAATATCTATCAGCATACATGTTACCTATCAAATGAAGTAAAATGAACACATATTGTTCGCATCTGCAAAGTTAGCTAACAAAGTGGCTCTTGAAAGTGAGGGATACTGAGGAGAATGTGGCTGATGGAGAGCAGTTTGTGATGCTATTTGACAAAAAGTACAGTGAAGAAAAAGCCATGGTGAAATAGTGCCTGACTCCTGCAGTTGTAGTTGTAGCTTTTTGTTTTATGCTCCGTAACTCATGTGGTTGTGTTTGAGTCTTACTGCTTTTCTAGTGTTAAGCCATAATAGCAAGGTGTCTCCAACTAAATAAAAGCTCAGCAAAACCCAGAACTAGAACGTCCTGCTTGGCATCAAAAGAGTAAGTTAGTGGGCTCAGCTAGCATTTAGCCCATGATGGAAGTGTTAGAAAATGCGGCAGAAGAGCGAAAATTTTTTAAGGTGCTAGAAAGATGACCAAAATGTGAACCGTGAATGTGGTCTATGCAGAAAAAATACATTTTAAGGTGGATTAAGGTTGCAGAGAGGTGGAAAATTTCAGGCAAATTTCCAGAAACTTTCCATGAGAAGTTTCCAGAAACTTTCCATGTGAAGTTAAGCTGGGGAATTTTGGAAATATTCCAAATTGGAAAGTTTCCATGGGAATTATGGGAATTAATGGGAATTAACTGGAAATTGGGGGTAATTTAAACAAACTGTGTTATATCCAAACATATATGTAAATATTCTTGTTTTACCATAAGCAGACATCCATGCAAAATGAGAAATAGCTTACATTTAGCACCTATTTTTATTTAATTTTTGAAAGTTATATATTATACTATTATAGATCAAATATATTTACCGCATAATATTATCAAAAACTACTTGACTTAATGTAGTCTGTGGGCTCAAATATGTTGTGCTTTGGGATCAAAAGTGTGGCCTCAAGGGTTCAGTGCGCATGTAGTTCAGGAGTGTACTTGCATTATATCTGGTTGTTTTAGCCAAGATTATGCTACAATGTATTTTCCCCAACTATATTTAAGTTCCCTGTTGAGGGCCAACCTTCCATTTTGTAAATTTCTGATTTATCCCCGTTAATTCCCATGGAAAGTTTCCAACTTTGAAAATTCCCGGAATGTTGCAACCCTAAGGTAAGACTCCAAATGTAAGCCAGTGTCACAATTTGGCTATAGCGCTAGCATACATTTATTATCTATACACATCTTGAGTAGATAATGTATTAGACGAGTCAAATCTGTGGTCCTAATGCTCTGCTTTGCTCACTGGCAAGCACCTCACTTAGCTTTTTGATCATTTTGTTGCTAGCTGATTGTAGAATCTGTAAAATATGATTCAATTCTGTTCTTCAAAAGCCAGACAACGCTACTCTATGCTCAAGTGGTCAGTTGTAGGCCAAATAGTCTCACTCTCCCTCCAGCTCACTGTTGATATTTTGAAACCTGAGGCAGACGGTGTTGAGTAGTTTAAAATTTGGGCAGTGAGATAATCAACTTTAGAGATTTTAAGGTTCAGGGTTCCTGAAGAGAATTTTACTGTGCTTTATAGGATCAACTATAAAGTATTCTCATTTATATTCGATTGACGACACAGTTGTATTCAACACACTTTTAATTAATATTAAATAAACATGCAAACCGTTCATGCGGTCCGCGGCAGAAAGAATTAAAATGGATGAGACAAAGTTTTACTCTGTTGCAATCTAAGTGCGGTTATGAGAGCGCTGTGGTCAAACTAGAAATGTCAAGCAGAAAACACATTAAAAATGCATTACATTTGGTCCAGGGTAAGGAGGAGTGAAAACACAATCAGCTGAAAGTATGGATGTAAACAAATAATCAGTAAACCAATAATCCTGTCTGCTGAGTTAAAGAAAGACTATTCATCATCTGAACGTAAGGATATAATTTGCAAAAAGATAGGTTCCTTTACTCTAATGTTTGCAGAAATGATTTGGGGTTTGGAGATTACTTTTTTACAAGAGACCATTTCAAAACAGTTTTACGCTTCGAGTTGGTTTAGGGGCAAATAACCCTGTGTAATTTATGAACTGAAAAACAAATAACACACTTCAGTCCAGTATTATTGGATTCTTGCTGGTTATGATCTTGTGAGAAGGCACAATGTGTGACAGAAGTTCCAATATGAGCACAGTAGTCTATATCTCAGTGACCTGCTCCCAAACAAAGCAGACAATGCAGGAATCTGATCATTTTTAATAAGTGTTTGAACATCAAATTACATGATGTAATACTCCCACCAGCTATAGTGACTCTTGGGTTCAGCGCTAATTAGGAATGTTTACCCATGAGATAAATATGCAATTCATTTATCCTCCCATCTGCGCTCTGTTGGGGGAGAATTTAAGCATGTAAATATAACAGATGAAGCACAGTTCAATCAGTGCTGAGATGATCAACAGAATATCTGCACTCATTTTAAGAGTTGATTAAACCTGACTGTTATTCTTGTCAATCAAGCTTCACAACAACACTGTGGTTTAAGCTTCTCTAATGGTTTGTGAAGGGGTGTGAAAGGTTTGTTTTTGCAGTTTAAAATACCAATCAGTATGTGTACAAGCATAGTAGGCCTGGGCAATTTGGCAAAAAAAATGATTACAATATATTTTGTTGTATCGTCGAATCTCGATTATTACTACAATTTTTTTTTAAACTGCCAGTTTTAAAGAATCTGTACTAAAAACTAAAGAAACTAGAGATTAGTTCAACATTTTATGAACATACAAAGTAAAAAAAGCAAATTGAAAAAGATAAACTTGGCAGATAAATATTACAAAACAAAAGTAGATAAATACTAAATAATACATTGAACTAGTTTACAGTCCTGAGTGTTTTTGCAGGTATGCAAGACCCAAAATAAACAAATCACCCCCTCAGCGATAGTGAAGATGCCTTAAAATGTAAATATTAGATGATGTAAAAGTAGATGATGTGATTGGTTGCTGCTTTGGTCTGGTGGCTGCACCGCTAGTTGGAGCTTAACTGCTAATGCTACTTGTGCCGTCAGCAGTAACAGGCTGTACAGACTCGGCTTGTATTTTCATGTTTTTGCATAATCACTCGGGAAGAACTTCTTCAAATGATTGAACAGATCTATTGTGTTGCCAATTTTTGAGGGCACTGACTGCCGACATACCTCACACATCGGCTTAATTGCTTGACGACGTCGAACCACCGCAACACAACCGACTTTGAATAACTTCTCAACAATAACATCTTCGGAGGATGACTCAAAGTCTCGGCTGACATCTATTTTGCTGCCCTCGGCTCCACGTTTAGCTCCACGTTCGCACATTTCCGCTATGTTTGATCGAGTAAATATGCTCACAGTTGATCACCGTGATCGAACTGAAATTTATCACAATCATCAATCACGATCATATAAACGCCCAGTCCTAATGTGTAGTTAAGTCTAGTCACTGTCACAGCTTGAAAAGGTAATCGAACTTGACTACTGTCTTGTCCCAGTTGATGGGCAAGAATCAAGTAGCTGACAGAGGAAAATTCCTTTCTTTGTCTTTCAAAGTTTTATTTTCTATCCGGCATCTTAGCAATGCATTTGTGCTACACAACTTCATGCCCAAAGTCTGGCGTGCAAAAATTGAAGTGCGTGTAGAACACTTAGGCCAATTGGATTTTGTGTGATTTCCACCAGACTTAGTTGTTTACATGTTTTTGAGTCCTGTTTTAGTCAGGTTAAGGCAATGATTTGAACAGCATGTTAATGAGTGGACTGTTTCTAAAGCAGTAACATCAGATCTTAAGAAATTACGCCAGTATGAAGGTTACAAAATCATAGTTCTTAGAGTCAAGAGGCTGAAGACGTGTATCTACCATGGACTGTTCCTTTAGCTGTTTCCATCTTCTCTTTTAACTCTATGATCGATCAGAAATTCCTTTGCACCCTTCAAAATCAAAGCATTTTTTTTAAATAAAAAAAGTAAAAACACCAAGGCATTGGCGGGACAAAGGCAAAAAAAAAAAAAACAACTTGGAATATAAGTTTGGTTTTTGCACCTTTAATAAGATTGTGAAAAAATTTAACAAAACCCCCAAACCTTGAATCAGTTAGCATCGCGAGGTGAGCGTACTGTTATATTTTCAGAGTAGTATTTTCAAGTGTCAGTCTCTCATAAAGCTATTTGATCATTTGTTTTTTTTTTTTTAACCCTAGATAATCAGTATTAAGTTCTTTGCCTCTTTTTTGGCATCTCATAATTCATCTAAAATCTTGGACAGTGATATTGAACTTTTCTGCAGTTCAAGTTTCTTGTTGCTTAAATGGTTTTGGATGGCCCATTAAATATGTTTTAAAATTCTGTTGTAGCTTGAAGGCTCGTCCATTTGCAGTTTTTAAGCAACAATGGACCATTTTAAAGACTTTTTCTGACTCTAATCCACAACTGAACAAAAGCCAAGAGTTTCCTTCTTAGTGGGAATGTCTCAGTTCGAACTCCAGGCACCAAAGCGATAAAGCTTTTCACTTTTAGAAGGACAAAATAAAGAAACTCTCAAATGGAGTGTGTTGGTAAGCCTGAGGTTTACCATGGACGCCTTTAAAGACATTAATTGTGCATACAAAGTGTTTTATTTCATCATTAAAAATTGAGAGAAAATTCAAGTTATTCATCTTTTAGGACTTTTTCTGGACCCAGCTTTGCTTTCCTTACATCCTAGTCCACACATAAAACAGCTATTAACTGTTTTTGTCTCCCTTTCTTTTGTCTCACTCAGCTGTTTCTGACCCACAAGTGTGTATTTGTGTTCAGTGACCGGTGGCTTTTACATGAGGCGGCATGTATTGTAATGGTGTGCGGGTATGTTTTCCCCCTCCTCTCTGTTGGTGCACCAAAGCTGAGGCAAAGAATCGGAGAACAATGAGTCTATTGTCCGAGATGGCACAGCCGTTTAAGATAGGATCTCACCACTTTCATGCACTCGCTATTAACAATGACAGGCTGTCCAGAACGGTGGCTGTGAGGGGATTTTTTCACTGCAGGACCTGTACTTGTCAGTGGAGCGAAAAGACACTGTCAGCTTTGCTGGAATAGCAGCAATTGAGACTTCCAGAAAATGTGGAAATGTGCGAATGGGGTTTTGCCAGATTTCACCAAGAGAACCATTAGATTCTTACATGATGTGGATGAAAGTTGCAGTTTTCTCCACTTTTTTTTTTTCTTCCTCTTTTTGATCGGCCAACTAAAAGCAGTAGCAAATGGAGGATTTTCATGCGCCTAGTTCTGCCCATGATTTTATTCCTGCCTCGTGGCTGCGTGTAGCCTACTTTCAGCTCTATGTTGTGATAGATGTTTTTGGACCATGTGCATTAATTCAAAGATATGCTGGGCTATATATTGCGCGGCCATTTCCTTTGGTTTTCATCAGCTTCCTCCATCAGACACAGACCTGAAGACAAATTACCAGCTCTTATTGGCCCTGATGAATTGCATCTCAAGCTTTATATGGGAACAACAGCCCAACAGTCGTTCTTCATGCTGAGAAATGTGCCTCTATTATATAGTCCCTTTCATAAATAAACCCCTGCCCGGACCCCACTTGAACATTTCACATCATTGATTCCTGTTACTCCTAATTACCAAAAAAGCTTTCTGTTTTGAACAGGGACAAATGTTGTTATGAGTTCGTAATGTCTCAAATTCATCTGATGAAGTCATACACCATAAAAATACATACAGCTAATAACACTCCGTTGCATTAACACTCTACTTCTGCTCTTACTCAGTGTCATAATGTCAAAAAACTCAGACAGTAATCCACTTTGACTTCTTTTTTTTTTATCTGTCAAGTTGCTCCGTGTGAATCCGCAAACACATGTTCCACCAAGCCGACACAGTCCATGACAGCTCTGTGTTCCCACTGTTTTCTGATGAGCTGCTTTGTAAAGTGCAAAGTTCCCTAATCCCTTGGGGGCCGGAGTCACAGCTCAGTAAAAAAGAGGACTCACATCATGGCTGTTTAATCTTTCCAATCCTCTCCAGACCCTGAACCCTCGAAACAGACTGGACGCTTGAGTTGATTTACGGAAAAGTCAAGAAATCACCATTTTATTCTATTACTTTTTAACTCGGCTCCATTTGCTGTCAGGGTTGGAGGACATAACAGGAAATATCACCTGCAGTAGCAACATCAATATATTTAAAGCAATAAAGGATTGAATAAACTTACAGGTTGTATTTACAAGAGGTGACAGGAATAAAACAAGTTTCCTGACTGTCATTTCTCTCTCTTTACCGAGCGGCTGTGATAAATCTCTCAGCCTGGTGTTTTGCACCAAGTCAGGGTCTTTTCTGCCACCAATTCAGAGCAAAAGCTGTGTTTTACCTGCTTTAGAAAGAGAAAACAGAGTGCAACATTAACAGCGAAGGAGCCAGGAATTGTTTTTGGAGTTTAGTTTGGACTAAACTTGAGCAAAAAGGATTTAAATCATCGTATACAGGACTGTAGTGGAGGATTAATGCACCTTAACTTGCATATCCGCTTACTTTTTGTCACTTGTTTATGATGCGGTTTATTACTTTTTACTGTGCAGACTTAAGGATTGGGCTAAATTTTATAATACTGAGAAGCAACAGCTCATCGGCAAACACCTTGTGTAGTTCAATGAATAAAAAGTCTAAAACTGCCCAGTAATCGCTGGTTTATCAGAAAGTAAAAGTAGCACATGCACATGCTCAGCACCTGTTATTTTTAGAGTAGCAGCAAATGAAAAGCAGATATAATCCTGTAATCATGCAGCAGCACATCCAGAAATGACACAGGTAGCATTCTGGGAAATATTTCTCCAGATTAATAGGGTTAGTGCTGAGCTCGGCTGATGGTTTATTTTGGTCTACCTCCTTCTCCTGTTTTTCTTTTTTTTTTTTGTGGACAAAGAAATAAAACAAAATTGAATATTGATTGGTGATTCCTAAGCAGTAATTTGGACTAAATAAACCAAAGAAATTACCCTTTTTATGATCATTTCATTCATGTTGTGGTATGACTGATTTTAGTTCTTTAGGTTTATCCAGCTTCCTCTAACTTTTATAGTTTACCCATCTTTTTTTAAATCACAACAGTCTGGATCGGGTGTCGAGGAACACAGCTCTAAATAGATCTTACTAGCGCTCTGTATCTGCTGCAAGGGGGAACAGACAATGCTGAGCTATCATGTCCCCAGTTCAACTTGAAGCTCTTTAGTGTGTCAGTGTTGTCTACACATTTTGTTTCTGCTCACTTCTCATGGACCAAATGTTACTGAAACAGCCACTTTCACCCAAACGCCCCTCATCACAGAGGAAACTGGAGAAAGGAGAAATCAAAGGGACCTGTTTGCTGATAGATGTGCACAAATAGCGGTACAACACCTCTCTGTTTATCTTAAAAAGATGAGAAAGAACACTGAACAAAAACGTCTGAACAAGGACAGTAAAGAAGTGACTCCACTCTGGCAAAATAAAGAGGATTAACAATCAACCCTTGTGTGATATGCACAAGTGAATCACAGCGTGTGGCAGTGAGCTGTCATAAACTGATCAGGATGAAGTTGTTAGAAATGTGCACAACATTGATTCATAGGAAGGTTCTGCTCTGCTTGTTATAGATCGAAAAGTTGATTAAACAGCAGCATTGAAAAAAGAACACCAATAAATAGGTAAACAAGAGAATAGTGATCACTGTAGATAGTGTTTGGAAACACTGATTAATTATTGCATTTCGCTCTTCCTCCCGTTTTTGTTAGTTCTGCAGGTTGGCAATGAAGCGTGTCGTTCATAATAGAGAGATAAATAAAGTCAAGTTAAATTGGTTTGAATATTAAAGAGTTTTTTTTTCTTTAGAGGGAGTATTTAAAAGTCATTTTTGGCCAAATTTAACAGCCCTGGCTAAGTTTGAAGGGCAAGTGGGTAGAAGAAGGTTCAAACATAAAAAAGATAAAATCTCATGCTAGGGATGTGACGATTACCAGTAAAATGATAAACAGCGGTAAAATGTCTGATGGTTAGTACTACCATTTCAAATTTTAATTACCGTTAAAACTGTGGAAAAAGCTCACAGACTGCTCAGTGCTGAGAAGAGCAGCCGCACGCAGCAGTCCTTCGGACTTCACACATGCGCATTGTGCAGTATACAACTTTTAAACATGGTGGAGGGCAGTTCTGCGGGCAGTTTCCCCTCGCAGATCACTACTCTCAAACCAGGAAAGTAGTAGTGTTGCTTGGTTTTATGTTTGTAAGAGTAGATCTTTTTGAGCACTGAAGATTTTTACAATTTGCACAATAAGGAATGCCATTTTATTTAAATTTAATTTATTTGTTATTATGTTAATGTTTATGCCACTGGCACATTACTTTGTACTTTGTTATTACTAGTACTAGTGTTGATTACCCCTGGCTCTTTTAAGGCCCCATCTTTCATTTTTTAGGCTTTAAGTCCCTCTGTTATTTAAAGTTAAGGAAAAGTTTATCCTGCATGTTATTTTGATTGTTTTTTCAAAATGAAACTTTGTTAAATGATTTCAGGGCACGTCTAAGTACTTTTTCAACATTTTGAACGTATTTCAACAATACCGTGATAATATTGATAACCGTGATAATTTTGATCACAATAATTGTGATGTTAAATTTTCATATTGTTACATCCCTATTGCATGCACAGAAATGCTTCGATTTGCAGAACAAAAACCCCAAAACACTTAAAAGTTGTGTTTAGTCTGTGATTATTGTGTCATGAGAATAGCAGTTTTAATTGGAACTCATGGATTTCTATTTTTTTATCATTATACACATCTTTACTTGTTAAATCTCAGCCTCTTCAGTCTTTTAGGTGTGCAGAAACTACACATAGAAATTATTTGTATTTTTAATTTTATTTAACAGACTTGTTAAAAACTGTACAGCTAATATTACAGATGTCAATGATCAGGAACAGGTCATCAATAGCCAAAATATTTTCCATATATGGATGGACATATGGGATTTTGCTCTGTATCAGTTTAACCAAAGCTCCAGTTTTCCAGTGGTATTTTCTGAAACCTGCATGAATTCTCCTCATAAGATTAACATGAGGATTCTCAAAGGTGAATGCATTTTCCTCCATATTCTGCTCCATCTGATCCACATATTTCACCTCCCACGCAGGGGCCTGATCTTTGCAGTCCTCTGAGGTAGTGTAGCACTACAATGTGCAGAAACACAGGAGACTCACCTATAAAACACCGGGCCTGGAGGAATCTATCATAGCTCCATTAACACTTCTGCTTCATCCTCCTCTCCTCGCCTTCCTCCCCTCATTAATCAACACGACCGGCCCTCGGGGCTCTACTCTGCAGCGAAGCTCAACCTCACTTTGTGTGTCCCTCTGTGTGTGTGAACTACATGCCGGCTGTTTTGTTTAAGCGTATTTGCATGGATGTAGATGCATCGGTGTTGAAACGTTTATAGTCTAGCATGGGGAGTCTGACAAAAAAAAGTCCCAAACTGTTTCAAAATTCAAGAGTCATGATGTGAAAGGATCAAATCGGGTCTTCTGAGACGCTTTGTCATACCTGATAATCAGATTTGTTAGCGCTGATTCAAAAAAGGGGGACGGGATGAAGTTATTCTTGGCAAAATAAAAGCCCCACCTCCCTTTTATATTTGAATCACGATCTATAATGAGTTCTTCCCCTGCTGTTACCTTTCATCAGCCTGCTTGCCAAGCACATTCAGTACAGTGTGCAGCCAAAGATAGCCTCAGCTGTGTGTCTGTGCTTGCTAAGGGGCTTGTCTTTGTGTCTGTGTTCTTAATTTACTCATTGGGCTGCATAGGTAAACATCATTATAGTCTTGTGTTCAAAAAAACTATTAAATAACACACCTTATCTGCTTTAAATGCAAGCAAATAGCCTTGTTGAATAATGTAAATGAGCCCGAGCTGTCAGCTTAACAAGGCTGTTTCATGTGGCACTAATTGTGAGGTTCTGGATTATTAATGTGCTGTAAAAAAAACACCTTGACCTTGCTGGGAAAAAAGCAGCCAGGTCTTGTAAGGTCTGCTCTGTTTGTTTCTGTTTGTTTGGAGATGCTCGAACACTCCTCCCCTCTCTCCTCCCTTCCTCTTGCCTTTTCTCGGGGGAGCTCTTTTAATAGTAAGGAGGTGACAGGTTACCTCTCACTGAGTATCGAGATGACAGTTTTGGTATCCGCCCGGCCCCACATGAAACACCCCAGCTCACTCGCTCACGTTGCAAAGTCAAGCAAAGCTGCCTACTTTCTAAATTCGCACTCAGTTTTTAATGAGCCGAAACGACCTCAAGTGTAGGCCGAGACGATCTGATCCCCCCCCTCCCCTTTCTTTTAAACAGCTTTTAATTTTTCCCCAAGAATTATTGTGCGGCGAATGAATTTTGGATAAGGTCTGCCAGGGGAAATGGAGCACACAATAGTAGCCCTGGCAGTGCCACTTTGAGCGGATCATTTAAAGGTCATAATGGGGAAAATAATGGCGCCTAAGAGTCATAAAACAATGGCAAAACATGTGGTTATTGGACAAAGTTTGAGTGAGACATCTAAAAGGAGAAAGAAGAGTTAATATGGCAAACTTTTGACCGGCCATAAATCTTTATAAACACGCCGGCAGATGAGGAGTTTTCTAATTTAACAAAAGGAAGTTTGTCGCCGCGCGCACATTGGGGTCAACGATAAATGGTGTTACCCTTCTCCCTCCCTCTCACGGCCCTCTTATTCTTTCAGTCGCTCGCTCGCATTGCAGAGAAATGTCCGTTTGGGGATGTGATAATTGCATTCCTCAATGATTTCATGCTGAGACACACTGCGACACCAAATCACAGCCTACTTATCCCAAGCGAGTGTGTTCTTTGGGAGGAAATGAGACAAAAACAATATGACCAACTCCATCACACACCCCTCTTTTGACACAGAAGTGCACTTCCACATTTCTCACATGTTTATCCCCCCCTTGTGCTCCTCTTTGATCCACAAACCAAATGTGGCTGAGTCGAGTTAGTTCCAGCGCGCACAAATCTCTTGCTTTTTCTGGTTGTAAGGGAATAGTTGTTGCAGACATTGAGCCTGCCGCTTTCCCAGCTAACCGTATCAGAGAAGCAGGCCCGAACATCAGTGAGCAAGTACCTCTTTTAGCATTAATCCGCGGGAGGGTAGGGAGGGGGGAATGACTGCACCAATGCATGAGGATTACTGCTTTTAGGGCTTCTGATGAAATTCAAATAACAAAAAACGCTTGCACAAAGTGTCCTGGATAACACTCTTTGGTTTCGTAATATCCTACCGAACATGCGGGTTTTCTGCCGGAGCAGCGCACAGTAAGGCCTGTGCCTCATTGGATTTCACAGTCTTTATTGAAATGATAATCAAGCGGTCAGCTAATGGTAATTAAGCCCGTCAATTGGTGGAGTTGCATCATGGGTGTGTGGGCCACAGCTCCTTTCATCCTCTTTACTTTATATTCTTTTCCCACAGAGGCGAGTCGGCGGCTTCTGAAGGGGCTGTTTTCAGTTTCTCTGTAAGTGCCCCCTCACCTGTTGGCCTATATGCTAATTCAGCCAGAAGCTGTTAGTGCTAGCACAAACATGCTAAGTGAGAAATACAGATTTACAGCCAAGCCCTAAAGGGGTTTGCCCTTATATGCCTCCTTATTTATGCGTTTAGTTCAGTTTACTATTGCGGACGGATACACACAATAGTGGCCCAAATTATTCTGGCGTTAAAAAGGATATTACACATGCTTGGTATTCTTGCTTTCTGTCTGTGGTGGTCTCAATATGCCTGTCTGTGGGGGTATTCTGCCTCAGTTAAATCCGTCTTTGTCTGCACGTTATTGTCTGTGAATGCATCAGCCTCGTACGTGGATTAAATGGAAATTGCTCTATGCTTTAGTGTGTGTTTGTGAGTGTGAGTGTGTGTGTGTGTGTGTAAAGGATTGCTGACTAAAGCTGTAGCACATAAAGAGGTTTGGATGAGGGATGGTTTAAAGAGCAGGCAATTGTCATAATGATGACTTAAAGCAGAATAGCCACACAGTAAAAATGTTTTACACATGCAAAAGAGTCCACATTGTATTGTTGCCAGCAGTGCCTGCCAACCTCAATGTCACTGGAATCAATAGTGGCTAAAATATACGACAGAATAACTTTGCAACAGAGCAGTAAGCAACATTATAAAATGGTATTGTTGGATTATTGGATTATGAACACGGTGTAATCCTCCGTCTTGGTCTCTCCGGTAAAAACACAATGTTTTCTCACAGTTTGACTCCACGCGACGACTCCCTCACATACCCCCAGGATGGGAGTAGCACGTCTAGTTAGACATCTCTCCTGATATACCCCCTTATTTCTCTCTCCTCCCTCACACCTGAGAGAGAAACTTCAATATTGACCTACATCTTCTTCAGAATAATTTCGCTGCTATTTTGGTGCTTTGCATGAAAAAAGACTGCGCTCCAGAAGTGGTAGCCTTGACGGCTGGATCCACACAGTGTGTGACATTTTACTGATGTTTTGCTGCTTACAGCTGTGCCACTCAGCATGGGTCAAACATTTCCTTTAGGCCCCCCTAGTAGCAGGAAACAAACAGTAGAAATACTCTCACTGCAGTCACAATGTCGTTAACTTGAGGATTAAAGATGCTGATAATAATACACTGTACTAAAAACAAATGTGGTGTTGAAGCACACACCCCGTATCCAGAAACTATACTTGTCCTTGTTGCAGTGATTGTTGTTTCTTTCTAGCCACGGCATGTCATTACACATTTCCTGTCTCTGGAGCTGTCCTGTCCATTAAAGGTAACATAATACCCCCCCCCAAAGTAGTGATAATAATAGCATGGGCATAACCTCAAGGGTGTCACTCATTCAAGGTTAATTTCCTTAATGAAAGCTAAGACGATAAATGTTTGTTGATGACTTTTTTTTCCATGACGAAGGCAGGACATCTACGTGCTATTGTAGTTTTCTATCTCTCTCTTTCTGCATCCCCCTCTAAACCCAGTCTCAGCAGATGACTGTCTTACTTGGGTCTGGTACTGCTCAAGGTTTCTGCCTGGTAAAATGAAGCTTTCCCTCTCTACTTTAACTATGAATTGTTACACGCTAGGGCCCGACCGATTTATCTGTGAGCTGATTAAATTGGCCAATTTTACCCCATTTGAGACTAAATGTTAAGAAAAACTCAGCAATTTTCGACGATATTTTCAGAAATAAAATGCGGGAATAAGATTCGGTTTCACTTCGAAAATGTTCCGCCATTTGAAAAGTTCCCGGACTTATCCTGTAGATGGTGCAGTGACCTCATTACAATCTTTATCGACTAACTACCTCACAGCACAGCGGAGTGACGGATCTGAAGCAGGCAGCTCAGGGACGCATGGAGGAGAGTGGTCCGCCTTAACGGTAAATAAACCAGTTTGTGAAATACACAATAAGTCAACAAGTTTCAGTTCAACCCACTTTACGATGTTCCCCGATGAGCTGGTCTCAGTCACGCTGAGTTAACGGTGAACGGTTCCATATAATATGCAAACCAAAGTGCGAGTTAGCCATCTGCTATTAGCCTTGCTACACTGTTAGCCGTGCCAGTAACAGTAGAATAAACAACAGTACACATTACGTGATCAAGCTACTTTTCTTACTGAGGCAGCTGCATGTCTCCAGAAATGAGTAACATGAGTTAAGACGCGAAGGCACCGATTGGCAAGTGGGGGGGGGGGGGGGGGGGGGTGTTGAAAACGCTTTTCTGGTCCAAGTCTGATCAGTCGGTCTTCCTGTCGGCGTGAAGAGCAGTAGCCTACAGTATATCAACAAAATATAGTATACTGTAGATATAGTATAAATATTTTTTATAACTTCATAAAAAGTTTTTAAAAATTGGCCGATTAATTGGTAATCATATTTTTCCCCCCCTAATAATTGGTATTGGCATTGGCCCCCCAAAAACCCATATCTATTACATGCATGTAGATGAAGATGGGACGGGAGTGGGTCTGATCTTTAAAGAGGAGACTCAGTCTTATCCAATCTTTATGTTTGGTCTTTTCAAATATCATGAAGAGTTTGGTCTAGATCAGCTTTTTTGTTTGGAGATAAAGTTAGTTGTCAATTGGGGCCATATAAATCAAGATTGATTGATTGATTGATTGATTGATTGATTGATTGATGAAGCTATGGGGTCATTTTGTTTAACAGCGTATTTAGTAAGTCCTTTTGTACATGATTGTGTCTCCAAGCATTTTTTAAGGTTATATAAAAAGGAATATAATATAGCTATAGCAGCCACCGAAGACAGCTCTAAGTAAGGAATTTGGAAATTGCATAAGTAAAAGTGTTCAGAGAGTAAAGTTTAGTAGATTTTAACACTTTGATACCAATTTCATATCAGAAAAAATGCTGTTAAATTATTTTCAAGAAGGGAAGTGTTTTGACTTTAATGTTCTAAATGAAATAGCTTTTTATTGACCAAAAGTTGGGTAAATGGTTAGTGTTGAACGTGGCGAGAATCTAAGGCTCAATTTAAAATAGCTGCCAAAATGAACACTGCACCCATTGGTCTCTAACGAAGCATCATTAAGGTCAAGGATGGTGGTTAGCATAATGGAAAGACCGAGTCCAACAAACTTTCAGCTGAACTGTAAACCTGCGAAGAGTTGAAGTTGAGGCAGAAGTGCAGTCCTTCAGCTCACTTAACCGGTCAGTCAAATCGACTTTACCCCAATTATGAATAAATCTGATTAACTCTTAGCCTTATTATAATCAAAACAGATGAGTTTTTATCTTTGTACCAGGCAGTAAATATAGTTAACTCTGCTGTAAGAACGGCATTTTGATTTAGGCTCTAATGGGGTCTCCTTGGCTTCTGGAGGAAGCCTCTGGGGAAAACTCGGGAAACTGCAATTTGTTGTGCTTACGCATTGGCTTCCATTTCCCAACACCTGAGGTTGCTGCTTGGTTCCATTAGCACTTTTTCTGCTCCTGAGTCTGTTACCCGAGAGCTGTGTGGAAAATGAATCGATAACAAATATTGATAGGAAAACGGTAATTGCTGCAATTTGATCAACTTTGACTAACTTTTCAGTCTTAACTTGCAGATTCTTAATACGTCACTCCAGACAGTTCTCATACTGCATTTGATCCTGGTACCAGTATCTGCTGAGACTGGTTCCGTTATCAGCAATGAGAATTGGAGGCAGAGGTGGCTGAAATAATTTGGCTGTAGCTCTCCAAGGTTTGCACAACTTCTGCGGGCATGTCCTTATTCTTGATATTTGGATTAATTCCTCTGAATGGTCCACCCAAAAGTAGTCATTATGATCTATCCTCACTTCTATGACCACAAGTCCTATTTAAAAGCCTAATTTATCATGACTCCTAATGGAAGCCTGCAGCCAGTTGCCTCTGTGGCTCTGGCTTAGTCAGACACTCCACTTTTTTCAACAGCTGCTCTCACCACCTCATAATTAGTTTCACTTCTCCAACCAGTCCCTTAAGCAAACTTTCCTTCTTTGGCCTTTTCTCTCATGCTCTCTTTTATTTTTATTCATCCTGGCTTTCCTCCCCGTAGCCCTGTTTCATTTCAGACCTTTACATGGCCATTTCAATACCACCTGCCCAAGCAGTCTTTGTCACATCGGGCAGACGAACCCTTTTGCTTTTTGGCAAGGAATCAGCTGGAATGTTGTCTTTCACATTTCATGCCAAATTGTGACCAGGGGTCCAGTTTTCAGCTATGGATACTCCGTGTGTAATGCCACCCAGGAGGAGCTGAAGACCCTTAACAAGTGAGAATAAGGGTTTCTAATGCTATGATATTACATTCAGGACCAGTTTGGCTCATGAATTTTTGATGAGAATGTCCAATCATGCATAGACACTGGGACGAGATGAGCAATGGGAGAGGAGAAATGTAGAAGAGGGCATGAGGAGAGAGAGGCTCGGGGAGAAAGTGAGGAAGGGGCATGTGTGTTTGTGTGTCTGGTAAGGGGAAGGGGGTTGTGATTACTTGCTGTGTAGGTAGCACTGCATTACGCATGAGGATTTGGAATGGCCCAGATAAAGTAATCTATGATTAACTGGGGCGCGGCTGTCCCGCCACCCTGCCAACAGCTGTAGTCAGGGGCGAATTATAAAATTATGGGATGTCCAAACATTTTAAAATGCAGCAGGAAATGTATTTTGATACAAGAGGGGAGAAAGTTGGTCGGGATTTGAGTTATGGATTGAGTCAAAGGTGACAGCCGGCGGCGAGGGAAGAGAGTGACAGAGGGAGCAGGGGTGCAATTAAAAGGAACTTTTTTTTGGTAGGATAATTGTAAAACTGTTTGAGTCGTCTTGGAGGATTTGGGGGAGGGGGGAAAGGGTGGGGGTCGCAGCAGGCAGAGTGATCGCAGCAATGATTGCTGTAACAACTGTCTGACCTGATAACAAATCAAATTAGAAAGATGGACACCGTGGCACAGACCGCGCCGTCGTCTGAAATTGATTGCAAGCACCGCAAGCTGATATTGCCGGAGCCCGGTCTGTCATAGTCCATCAGGCGTCATTATCACCAGGGGAACACTAAAGCATATGCAGAGCTGAATTAGAGGGAAGACTTCATCCGCAGTAATGTGAGGAGTCTGACAGATAAAAACAAACAAACAGATAGAACCATGCTGTATGAGATGGTTGGTTTCCTCTGAGATTACGAGAGCTGCAGAAAGTTATCAACCCAAAGAAAGTATTTGCCAAACACTTTGGTGATGGATCAATAGATTCTGTGTTTTTTTTTTTTTTTTTAAGAAAAATTTTAAAAGTTGCCAGTTCCAGTAATGAACTCTTTGAGACTTTGCAGCTTGCAGTCATTGTGTAAATGAAAAGTCTGTTTCAAACTTTTGGCCTGACAAAGAAGCAATTTCAAGACATCACTTTGGGCTATTAGTCCCAAACTACAGAATTTTTTATTAAAACTTTCTCTTTTGATAGAGTGAATGATTAATAGATAGTTAGGAAGATGGATGTTCAACCACAGTTGCATAAAAGATACTTAGCAGGATTAAATTTGACAGCAATACACCCCAGAGCTGCATAATATTAGTGTGCAGCACCCGTACACCTATCTGTTGTTACAGTAGGACCACCAACAGGTGAAGTTGATATGCTATAGTGTAATATAAATGTTTTATGATAATGGTGTCTTCAATTTGTTAGGATGCCTGACAGCAAGTGAACATTGTTCATGCAGTTCAAGGCAGGAAAAATGGACGAGCAAAAGTATGATGGCCAAATAGTGATGGCTACATATGTATGTTCTGGTGTCTCCAAGACTGAAACTCTTGTAGGATGACTAGCCTATGTGATCCAATCCAAAAAAGGGGCTGTTTCAGCTAATTTCTAAAATATTCAATGCTGGTTCTAACAGAAAGGTCTTAAATGCTCGTCTTTATTACAGTTAAAAGAAATAGCCAGGGGCTTTTTTTATCAATAAAAAGGATTTGAGATGAGTTTGAAAGGCTCAAAAGTAGCCATTTGTTAAATAAAATAAGTAAATATGTAGATATATTACTTAAATTAAAAGAATTTAAAAACTTCATAAAAAATCTAAAAAATCGTCCGATTAATCGGTAATCAGATTTCTTTCCCCCCTAATACTCGGTATCGGCATTGGCCCCAAAAAATCCATATCAGTTGGGCCCTACTATAGTGTCTATAATATTCCAAGTTTTAGCTAATCCAAGCCAAATCACAGCCAGTCCCAACTGAAACTCACCCATAAAACTAATTATAATGAAAATGTGCTTTTGTGAATTTCAAAAAGATTCATGATGTTCTCTCATAGTCAGGTTTTTTTTTTTTGGAGAATCTTGTTAAAGATAGCTCAGTATTTTACATGCCAAGTACCCACCAAGCCCGTCCTATTATCATAATGTCTGAGTGTTGCGTTGCTACCTTGATTGAAGAGCTCTCATGTCTAGTATTGCCTGTTAAGGCGGCTTCAATCATCTTTAAATCACCGTTTGTAGGACACATGACTCATCAAGGGGGTACAAACTCATCCCACTTCTGTCCCCCTTGTTCTATCAAATGTGCAGGGATTAATAAATGCATTATCACCCCTGAGGTATTAAAATTATGTTTCAATTTTCACCAGTGCTCCTGAGAATTTCACAAGCGGCTATTTTTATTCTACAGTGTGATTAGTCATTTACCTGAGGCGAGCTGTCATTGGAAATCATTTTCCGTGTCTTTGGACACTTTCTCAGTTCATCCAAATGACAAGTGATTTTGCCTTTAGGGGAAAAAGAGCCCATATTTTATTGAGAGGCGAGACAGTTTTTAAATATGCCGGCCGTTTGATAATGCTCGGTGAAGTGAAAGGACTTAAGTACATCCAGGCCACTTATAGAAAATGGCCCCGGCTTCAGAAATGGCCCATTACTGAGGACCATGAGGTGTCTGATTTCCTAAATGTTCAGCCAAGCCTCTCAGTCATGGTTTTATATACTATTTCATCTGACAATAACACCTGTTAGGAAGCGGAGTTAAATTTCAAAGCATTTATTGTACCATAAAGCAGAGTTATTTTATATGTAGACAGATGTGTTTTCAGCTTCTGTTCGAGTCTTTTATTGGAGCCCATCAAACAGTCTGCTTCCATCTGTCTGTCTGGGATCATACTTTGGCTCCAGTCCTTCTTCCGGCTCCCTCCAACAACAGTCACAGTGAGGTTGTCGTAGTGGAGCTGGTGTTGATGAACTCGCTGTACCTTGCCAAGTGCCTCCTGAAGTGTTTTCCCTGCCACAGACACTCCCTAAAAGTGAATGAATTGCCCTTGAAATTTTCTCTGCTCTTGCCGCTTCCTATTTTCCACTCTCCTTTGCTATGTTTGGCAATACACACATTGATTTTGGTAGTGCGCCGTTGAAGAGGCACATTTCACAGCCGAAGACAGGTTGTCTAAATCTAATCAGGGATTTTTTAGGGTTAAACTTCAGGTTCAAAATGGATATCATATTTTCAGGAGGAGATTTCACAAGACACAACATGTTGACAAAATTTTGAACTCTCTCGGAAGTTTTCTCCACTCCGGATAACACATTTGCTCAAGGTCAGTCATATTGCTTGTGTGGCACTTTGAAAACCAATTTTCAAGCAAGTGGAATTCAAATTTGGCCCCAGCCACTCTGCACCCTTTTCAGTGTTGATTTCTCTCGCTGCTGAAAGTCATTGCAATCAAAGATTTTGAGCACTTTCAAGCAGGTTTTCATCAACATTTTTTCCTTTTTCATGTATCTTTTCAAGTCCTTTATTTTCCTACGACTGATGTCACAACCACTGTTCTTCATGGAAGAAAGCTTACATGGATTATGAGCTTAGCCTTGCTTTTGTAGATAGAGAGTTTTGCATGAGAACTGAAGACTTTGGCCTTTGTTTTATCGCCCCTCAGGATATTTGTCTTCATAGTCCGTTTCACAAATTCTCTGTACATCATCATGCCTCTTTCACAGAAGTGATTTTTCTTCCGGCTACTCATAAATACCACCTCAATTTTGCTGCTGTGCTTTACTGATTGTCGTCTAATGACCGACTCCATCCACCGCTGCAAAATGGATTACAAAAACAGAGAAATACAAATGGAAAAAGGTTGGGGTCATCAATGAATGCTTGCTCAGTTTGTGCTGATTGTATTAGGATGATCAATAATGTGGAGCATTTTTTCTTATTAAGGCAACAGGACAGTGCGCATTACGTCCCGGCTTTAAATCGTTAGGACTTTGTGGTTACATTTGCAGCATCATTTCCACTAGACTACCTAGATGCTTTGGCAGTTTCATAAAGCATTGTGTGATTTATATTATAAACAAAACTCTCTGTTGACATTTGAAACTGAAAGATTCCTATTCTGACACTAATGTAAACTGGCATCTTTCAAGTCTTGAAACGAATTTTAAGGTTTGGGAATCTTTCATTTCACCGCCAAAGTAGGTCACCACTCAGTGTTTGAATCTATCTCGGTTAAATTACAGGTTTGAATATGTGTTTAACGCTTAGACGGTTGCTTGTGTCTGTCACCAAACTTCACTGCAATGCTGCAAGAATCCACATTAAAATGTTCACACACACACAGTTGCACACAAACAGAGATATTTGCAAATTTAAAACCACAACCATGAAGGGAAAGCGAAAGACTTTTATGTTTTTGCTTTTCCTTCATTTACTTTCTGTCTCGATGGTTTGTTTACTTGATAATGTAGAGGACAGAGACACGTGTACACGCACACACACACACATACGCAGATAAACTTGCACACTTCGCAGTCATGGGCTGGAAAAATAATTTTCTTTAATAAATCATTCTAAGATTGTGTTAATGAAGTGTTAAATTTTAATGAACTAATCTTGAATTCCAGTGGCCCCGTGGGTTCATCCCACCTCCCAGAATTTAAATTAATACACAATAAAAGTACTTCTTTTAATCTTGATGATAGGCTTCTCATTTTTTGTGATCCTCTTGACCTGCTGGTACTTTCCTGCTCTCTAAAAGAAAGACTTTAACCCTTGGATATTATTAATAATTTGGCGTGAAGAGACCTACATACCATGGCAATATCTGTCCTATCATCATATAGGAGTGGTGTAATGACGGTAGTAATGCGTATGTTGAAAGGGGGATGTGTACGCATCCAAATGAGACAGCGTTCCTTGAGTAACTTTTCAAGACAAGATGTTTAACTCATTAATCAGACCAAGACTCAGGCCTGTGGAAAAACCACATGCAATTTCATTAAGTCCAACACAAACTAAACCCCTGTCAGAAGCTGCGTAATTGAAGTTCAAATGAAGTGGTGAATCAATTTGAAGCTCATTGTAATCAGAAGATTTTAATTGATTCATCCAGAATCAATCAGGCTTATTCTATAAGCAGTCCAATATCAATCAAGAAGACTGGAGAACAGTCGGTTTGAACACAAAGTCCGTTAATGCCGCTATGTCAGGTGTAAGAGCTTGTGAACATTGTGAAGTCTGCCTTTTTAACTGTAAAAAACAAACTCTTTATGATTCAGTCCATCTCATATGTGTTTGTCTGGCATGTAAGTTTTTTTTTTTCCCACTTTTATATCATAAGTGATTTCTCAGGAGACTATTTCACTTTTTCAACAAGAAGGAACCATTCTAATCTTCTGTGGACGGTGGAAGAAGAATATTTGGCAATAACTAAACAAATTTTAGACTTAAACACTCCCTTGCTCACCCCTCCCAATGCTGAAGCCCCACAATTGACCCTTGAGGACCAGAAACCACTAAAATGCATAGGTATCACCCTCCGTTTGTCAAACTTTTACCATCAGCTATATTGATATACATTCTTTTCTGTGTGAAAACATCAGATTTTCTCCTCTTTCTCATTAATTTAGTGTCTCTTAAGCATTTTGCATATGTATATTGCTCGTAGAACAAGGCCCAAATGCAGAACAAAAAATTATTTAATTAAAAAACTAAATGAAAAAAAAGAAACAAAAGATAAAAATTCCCCAAAAAACACAGGGAGCAACAGAGGACACAAGGGTGGGCATTGACATACACATAGTGGACCAACCAGGACAGAGGGGAAGACAGATGCTGCGTCCGAACTGCCCGCTCGGATACTACATGCTACTGCTACGTGCTACTGCTAGATCCTACTCCTACATACTAAAAACGTTGGCCCAATTCGGACACACTAGACGAGCGGTGGGGAAAGACGACCCCCGCAGGCAGAGAGTAGGTACTGCGCCCGTGCAGACAGTGGTAACTGAAGCCCCTCATCTGCGGGCCTGGCTGTAGTACTGCAGCTGTGCAGTTTAATGATGGAATAAGTGAGCTTTACCTCCATGATGTCGCCACTTGCTCATAAAATGATTACTTGGGCAAATATGACACCATGACATGACAAAGAGATACAACCGCACATTTTTTAGGACAGTGTGTGAAGTTACATGAAACTTACATCTGTACTGCTGCGGTCCCGCCTGCTGCTGCTGCTGTGGCCAGCCGGCGTTCGCGACACTTTTAAATAGGCAGAGCAGCTGGTGGCGCTAGCATCACATGCGCCTCTACAACTTTTAAGAGGACGAAGAAGAAGCCCGCGGTGCATTTTGGGTCAGTAGCATGCCCGTAGGATGCACCGAGACCAACCTACAATGTGGGCGTGTCTAGCATCTGAAGTAGTATCTGAAGTAGCATGCTACTCGCTCCGGTGGCCAATTCGGACATGCTAGATACTACTTCGACTACTACTTCGACTACTACTTGGCAATTCGGACGCAGCTATGGACTATATACACACTGGGAAACAAGCAACAGGTGAGGCAAAGAAGACACAGGTGAAACTGATGAGTGATTAACGAGGGAGGGAAAACTAGGGAAGTACAACTAGACTAGAAACACAAGGAAGTAACTACTACAAAATAAAACAGGAAACACACAAAACTGAACTAAAGGAGAAAACACTGAGAACAGGAGGGAAACAGGGTGAAACACAAACTGAAAACTCACAATACAGGATCACAGGTACAATAGGGAACAGAAACACTAGGAAAAAAACTCAAAGTAAATACACTCAGATAACCAAAACCAGGGGAAATCTAAATACCAGAACATATCATGACAAGTTTGTCTTTTTTAGGCCAAAACATGTCAGCCCATGGGCCCAAAATTGCTTTTAGATTCAGGTGATTATACACACTGTACCTTTAAGCTTTAATCTCATGTTCTTTTTCTGGTATTTTTTCAACAAAAACTTTTACAGCTCGAACTGATTTAGAGAGTAAAACCATAGTGTTGCACGATACAAGACTGAGAGAGAAACTGGTCATGAGAGTTATCGTTTCACACCCGGCCCACAGAATCCTGAAGATGAGCCTGATTTGAATATTTATTCAACAAGTCACCTTTTTTAATATTTAAATACTGGCATTAAGAGAAATCTCCTGACACCACAAATAGGCAGTAATTGGCATTATTATGAAATGGATTTGACAAATTTGGACTCAAAAGTTTTCTTTACTTAAACTTTAGGAACCTTCTTTTGTCAACACCTTATAACTCACTAATTTCAGTGACTGTCATATCCGAAAAACTTTCTGAAACAGTTTACCTGTTGTGTCTCTCTGTTGTTATTCTGATCTTGTGTTTTGTTGCTTTGCTGCTTCGTCCTTTTCTGCCCCATAACTGCTGCTGTCAATTCCCGGTCAACAGCTCCCCAAGGAGTGCTGTGATTGGCTACTATTTACAGGGTCTATTACAGGGTCCTAAAAGTCAATGATGAAATCTTTATTTATCTGCTTTCGTGGGTGCTTTATTGGTGTCTTACGTGATTAAAGTAACTGATTTTATTGATTGAGTCAGACACAACTCAAGAAAGTAAGAAGTTTTGGTGGGTGTAATCAAAGCCTCAGGTCAAGGCTTAAAGAACAGACTTGAAGATCCCACCAATCACTGGACATTTTGGATGAGTTTTGCAAGTGGAAGGCTGTGGAAACAAGGTTGACAGGCCAGCCTCTGCACATAGCAACAATCAAAGCCAAAGTCGGTGACATTTTTGGTCGCAGGCCCACCATTTTGCCAACGTATACACTTCAAATTTATTCCAGCTTTTTTGCATTATGCATGGGATAATTAACTCTGTAGAAACAGGCCTTGCTAGGCTTACCTTATGTGACTGGCCAAAGGTAACCCACAGGATGGTTGGAGGTGGAATTGCTTCACAGGATATCAGAGGACATCTGAAAACAAAAACATTGCTTTGTTTCAGTCTGGAACCAGTGACTTGGTTTTCAGTGCCAAACAGTGTTTTCTACTCTGCTCTGGCATTAAATGAGTTGCACCAAACCAGCAGAGAGTCTCATTCACGTCTGTGTAATTACAATCAGTGTAAGAGTTTCTCTGAATAAGACCCACCAGCAGCTAGAGAATAGGACTGCCTTGACAAAGCATTGACAACCGTGGAACAGGCAAAATTAAGCCCTCTCCATTCAAACCCCCAAGTTCTTATTATGCACGAGCTATCTCACTGAGCTTGCTTTTGTGCTGGTATAATTACTTAATCTGAGCACTCCTAGGGTGGATTACTTTGTGTGCGGCAAGCAGGCAGCATTGCTTTGACTCTAGCTCCCAAAGTGGAACCGAGGCTAGCTTTAATTTTGGGGTTTAATAGTCGTAAATGTGATAATGGCCGTTGTCAAATGGGATTCACATGTGTGCTTGTTTCTGTCAAGGCTGCACTTTAGATTTATTTTAAAGTGTGTTATTATGACAATAAATTCAATCCAGAGTGTTCAATTTTGAGTAAGATTTTATCGCCTCCCTGTTTCTGTACTTCCTAAAAGCATTCATGAACGGTCTAGAGAATGATCCATAGTGCATTAAAGAGTGTGCAAAGCTTTATTTTGTGTAGCTTGCTGTTTATAATGGGCCTAGGCAACACTTAACTAGAATGGCGGCCCATCAATGTGGGCCGATAAGGACCTAGGGATCCACTTTAGTCAATTACTGCAAAGTGCCAGGTTCAACTCGGTGGGCCCTTTATGAAGTACACCAGATGAGTAAACAAATTAATCGTACATCCATGGTTCCCCAACATAACCGTGAGGCCCAGGGCAATCATACATCAGGCAGAGTGATAGCGCCTGTCTCAAGCAGGAAATAGAAGGGTCTCACTATTAGAGATAGGCAGCCTCATAGGACTCATAAGCTACTGGCCATCCCATCACACTTCCTCTGCCTCTAAAGTGCACCACTCTGTCTGTATTGGCTTTTTACACCTTCATACTGCCTTCAAGAGGAGAAAGAAGAACATGTTTAGAAATTCTGGCTTTTCTAAATGGTTTATGAGATAAGCTGTGGAGTTACACAATAGATTGGATTGGATGCTATTAGAGGCTGTTTTTATCGATCCTGAGAGATGTTGCTGTCCAAAGGAAGTCATGCTTTTCTAAATATGGAGGGGCAAACGTTTGGAAAGATCTCCTCTTTTTATCCAGATAAACTGCAGGAATAAGTTCTGAAATAGCTTAAAGAAGCCTTGTATAAAAGCATCAAATGTGCTCAATCTAACATTGCCAAAGCAAGCGTTGACATTGCGAAAGGTGTATTTTTAGTGCAGTGGATCCATCAGGAAAAAAACTCTGTGTGGTATTACATTGTTGTCATATAAAGAGTAAGTTATATATATTATTTCGATAGTCTTTTCATGTTATGACCTTGAAAAAGTCCAATATACAACACAGTATTTTGTCATCTTAAGCTAGTGGTTCTGCCAAACTGTGGTCCAGTAATCAATACAATGCACTGTAATCTGCTGCACCACACACACACATGCACGCACACACACACACACACACACACAGACGGAGCCTGTGTGAGCGTGTTCACATTGTAAGGCAGGATAAAGAAACAGACTGCATGCTCTGCAGCCTTCATAAATGGAAGTACATTACTCCAGGTTAGAGCTAAGTTATTAAGGTGTTGGGCTCGCACAGCAGAGAACAGTTTGTTCAACTTATTTGTCGTATTAGAAATGTTTCGGAAGAGCAGCGCTTTTTTTTTAAGCCTGGAAAAATCTTGTTAATGTTTGCACATATTCTGAAATGCATTTTAATGAAGGAGCTAAAGCCAGTATTTGCCCTGTCGCTTCCAAGGAAACTGGTGCATTTGGTAGAATATGGGAAAGTGAATGAATGAGCCAAATGAAATCTACAGGATTTAAAGGAGCTAATTAAACCTGAAAAATCTGTGAGATGAGGAAATACTTTTTGTCTACCTGCATTGCTTCCTTGCAAAATAATAAGGCATTTTCCTCTTAAAGCCTTAGAGATGAATTTATAAGATTGCTTTTAACGCATAGATATGACATAAACTTATTATTTGGATCCTCTGGCTTTTACTGTGTCACAAACACAGCACATATGTCTCCTGAACTTTTTTCAGAGCACTCTTTTTTTCTATAATACTAAAATAAATCTCTGAACCTAGTTTTGACTGTAACTCTGTCAGTTTTTCCACTGCAGAGTACCCCACATCATCCTGTTTTTTCTGCTACCTTGTATACACATAGACCTCGGCCGCTGTTGTTCCTAGCAGACATCTCACAAGCCCGGAGGCGCGCTCTGGATTTCACAAGCTCGGTATTTATCTAAACGCTGGTAATTCGAATATGTGATCTGACGGGAGGGAGAACACTTTCATCTGGATGAAATAAAATGTTTCTCATGCTGAAGCGAAAAAAACAAATATCAAAACATGGAAAAGTGCATCAGAATGCTGGAAATGATCTTCTCTGTTCAAAAGTTTCTGGGAGAGGATTTCTGGATCCCTCTTTAAATTGTTCCACCCACTTCTTTTGCGTTTGATGCCCGTGTTTTAATGCGCTGTTATGGGCTCTTTGTACAAACAGCATATATGTGAGCATAATGAACCTTATATGCATTGCAAGTAAAAGGAGGGTAATTGCAGCTGCCAAATGAAAGCATTTACTCATCATGGACTTATTGTGTACTTGTGGTTACTAAGAATCAATCTCTCTGGACACTAGCTTCGTGTTTTGCTGTGGTTTATATCTCCGGTTACCTTTAATGGGTTTCTGAGGTTTAGGAGCTGTTTTTCAGTAACAGGACTGCCATCTCTCTTTGTTGTCAGATTTTCCGGAGGTGCTGGCTGGTGTTCAAGAAAGCCTCGAGTAAAGGACCCCGACGGTTAGAGAAGTACCCAGATGAGAAAGCAGCGTACTTCAGGAGCTTCCACAAGGTAAACACACTGATGAAAGACACTGGAAATTAAATGTTGATTATTATTGTTCCCACTTTGCCCTAATATATAAATTCACATTATGTAAATACACAAGCCTGATTATTTTGCCTGATTTTCCTGTGGTCTGTTGCAAGTTAAGAGTGTTTTACGTCCTCTGATCTGCTAGAAAGATGATCACTTCCACCCTGACTCTAAAAAACCCATAAATATTAAATATGTTCTATTAATATTTAGAGCCAGAAATCCTGTTGCGTGGAGGGGGGACCCTAAAGACAGCCAAGCACATGATCTTGTGGGTTGTCATGCCAGTCAAAAGCAGGCAAACTAGAAAAGGATGCACAACAAAAACAGCTATAGCAACAATAATAATCTTTGAGCTTAGATGGATGTCAGAAACAAAGGTGCTGTTAGACATATACTGCAGTTGAACTGACAGAAATTACCACCACTATAGACAGCTGACTATTACCTGACACAGCGTAAAGCATCCTGCTGCTTTTCAGATATTATCATGTTTGGATTTGGCAAATAATTGAGGAAATACATTTTTAGGACAGTTGTTTTGATTCCTTTTAAAAAGCCCCTACTCTTTAATGATCTGGATGGATTAACCTATTATTTGTTTAATATGATGGCTGGGAGGGAGAAGGTCACTGGTGGATAATTGACATTGACTAATTGGAGAGAGCTTCATGGACAGAGACATTTCAAACTTGTCTAACTTTTACCAGCCAGTTGAGGAGGTAACAGATCCATCTGTTGCTGAGCTAAAATGATGCACATCAGATAAAGGTACTTCATACAGGCAGGGGCATATCCAGACCTTTTTGACCAGGGTTCCCCAACCTCAGCACTGACACTGCTGGAGCGATATTTTTTTTGTTGGATGGAAGGGGAAAGTCCCGCCTCCTTCACTTCCGATTGGCTAGAAAAGCTGGAAACGTCATCTCATGCTCAAGCCAAACGCGGGTTGTCGGCTATGTACATCAAACAGAATATTACAGAACATTATCGCACTTCCGAATCTCCTAACCCTAACCCTTACCCTAACCCTAAAGGTCCTTTCACACCGGGACTGTTTTTATCGTGTGATTATTTCGGACGTCAAAAGTTTTTCGGGGGTTTTGAATTTTTGGGGTTCTTGCTGGGACAAGTTAGCCTACTTTATGTAACAAAAAACTTCAAAAAAAACTAAACTAAACTAAAACTCTGGCCTTAAAACAAATCAAAACTAATCTGAAATAAAAAACAAAAAAGCCAAAAATAATAATAAGGACTCTTGAAAACTTCAAAACTATTACAGCCTTGGCTCTCTGACTGAGGTTGCTTGTCAGGTAAATCTGTCAGTGTTTGGTGTGCTGTGTTAACCATATCATTGAACTCCGCACACTATGAAAACAAAACACTTAAATCTGTCATTATTTGTGGTCATGCATGGGCTCTCCAACATTTTCCACACTTGTTAGAATTTTGATATCTTCTAGTGTGTGCCAGGCTTTATGCGTTTTAAAGAGGGAACCTTATTTCTCTGGCCTTTTTTCACCAAGCAGAGCACTTAAATGGACAATTTTGTTGCTTTTGTTCAGGCCAAATGGTACCAATGTCAGTCAGCTCCTTGGTCGATCAAAATAAGACAAGATGAAGTGACCAGATTGCCTTGAAAAAAGAAATCAATACTTATAATATCTGGAGTATGATTGCTAAAGATTTGGTAACACTCTGACCTTTTGTCTAATTCCACCATCAGACAGTCATTCAAGTTAGACAATCAAAAAAGTCTGTTGAGATTTTATTGATATTTTGCCGTCCTTCTTGAATACCAAAAGGTTTTTTTAGACACGGTCCATCCAGTCTGAAAGAAAAGTTTCTGGTCGCAGCATGGTCATTTATCAAACTACACATTTTGAAGTGGTCAGCTGGTGAAATAAATGAGCTTTAGCATCAGTCACCAAAAGTAAGAGGCACAAAATGTTCTTTTTTTATGAAGCTACACTTGCTTTCAAAAGACTAAGTAACTTTATACTTCTTATGTGTATTGAATCAATGCTCTGTGCACTCAGCTGCATTACACACTTCTTCAAAGCGCCTTGTTTTCATCTTCAAATGAAAACTTTTATCCATCGGTCACAGATGATGGAGTTAAGGATCCGTTAAGACACTTTTTTTGCCACTTCACCCTCTCCTCTGGGCCCCCTCCTTCCTAAAGTAATAATCCACACAGTAATATATCTTTCCTTGCCTCTCGAGCCATTTGAAACACTCCAATTATGGCTCATTATCATGGTGAGGGGATATGGTGTTAAAGGAGTGGCTGTGTGCACAGTGTTTGACAGTAATGAGAGGAGATAACAGCAGATGACAGAGGACTTTGACATCAGGTTTACAGTGTAGCTGCAGTTTGAGGGCTGATTTAGGAACCTTGTAATTATGAATAAGGTTGGGGATTTCTCAGACACCACAAGAGTTTCATTCTCAGTTTCCCAGAATACTCGCAACTACAAGCCAGGTAGATGTTTGAACCCACTTTGTAAGCGTCCCATGCTGCTTCAGTACAAGCCATGTATTGTGAATGAAGCATCTCCCTGCCCACTGCATCATGCTGTCACTTGGGGCGTCCTGTGTGGCTGTAGCCCCCCCTTCCCTGAGGCGTCTCATACACCCGGCGCCTGAGTGAGCGATGAGTGCGCACATGCACCAGTGCACCTGGTAATGCATCGCCACAAAGATCAAGAAAGGTCCTGTCTGAGGGCTTCATTCAACGCTGCAGTGCTTTGAGAGGAAATAGGCTGCAATGGTGGCTGATTTACAGAATCAACACAAAAGGGGATTGGCTTTCTTTAGCACTTTTTTTCCCCATTCGCTTTCCATATCCCCTTCACTCCTACTTTGTTGCTCTCCCTCCCTCTCTTTCCCTGTTCCCTTTTTCTCTCTGTCTGATACGCACTGGTCCACACAGTAAAACAGTCCCTGAATACATTTTGTAATATTTTTAGCCTTGTGGAAGTTTTATATCTGAATCTCTCCCAACAGAGGCAGAGAAAGTGAAAAATTTGAGCTGTATTTAAATGTCAAAATACAACATGTGCATGTTGATGTGAAAAGAACCAGTAAAGCAAAGAGCAGTGATAAGTTTTAGCTGCGGACTGTATTGAATACTGGATAAAATCACCATGCTGTTAACCATTGGTTGAAAAATTGCAGTCCTGAGGCTTGAATTCAGCCTGATGGAAGTTGCCATCTTGGCCTTTTGGCGCTGGAAGAGACCAAATTTGGACAAGAGGTTGGCACTGAGGGAGAGCAGTGGTTGGCAAGAAGCAAGTTATCAGAGTTATGCCCAAGGCCGATCATTGGCGGACTGATAAGCGAGTAAAAAACAATGTTTCCAATGAAAGAAGATGATATTTCTGGTTGTAAATGACTAAAGCTGTTTATTAACTCGACTGAAAAATCAAAAGTGTGGGCAATTATGTTTCTTTTTTGCACTCATTTGAGTGTGATAGTAAATAGTTGTTTAATTAAAGGGCAAAAAGGGTCTTCTCGTCTCTAACATGATAGCTAGAGGGTTTTTTTTTGCGGGAAAAACATCAAGCAAAATCCATATTTCTATTCACTGACTTGCAAATTAAATCAATGTTTGAGAAAAACTGTATAGTGTGGTACTACACTTGCCATTTACCCCTCAAACTACTCTGGTTTTACTTTAAAGTTTTCCAAAAGGCACCAATTACACAAACATGCTTGAAGATCAGTGTTTCAGCTGAGGTGATGTCTGGCAGACAGCTTAAAGCGCCTATTTATCACTTAGATATTTAAAATTGAAAAGAAGTTCAGTTTGTTTGTTTTGCTACTTTAACTGTGTTACAGTTTTGTCATTTTTTTGTCATGTTTCTTGGAAACTCTGCTCTGTATGTCTTCTCAAGGACAATTTTGAAAAGGTGCTTTTTTTAATCCAGCGAGTCTTCCTGGTGAAGTGAAGCTTAAATTGAACAATAAACAGATTTCTCTCGGTACAGCATTTGAATATGAGATAAAGGCAAACACATTTTTAGCCACAAATTGGCTGTGCAGTTGTATATAATTCAGTATGCGCCTCTATTATGATTGTTTTTATTGGAGGGGGGCGCCTCAAGTGGCTGGCCAAGGAACTGCAGTTTTTGTGACTTTACATTTCACTCTAGAAGCTGCAGCTCGGTTTTAGCCACATAAGCATTATTGATTTGGAGGTCCACTCTTTTGATATAAAGGTCACTATCTGATGAGGCAGTAGGGGAGATTTTATGCTGACACTCTTTGTCACTATGTGTCCATAACTTAAATCAGACCATGCTGAGACTATGCCAACACTTTCTTGCACAATCAGGTCAAACTTCCTGTCAGTCCTGTACCACTTGAACATGGACCTGTTATGGTGTCTAGGTTGTGCTTTTGGTCATCTTCTGCTCAATTCCACTGATTTTGTATTTGTTTTTGTGGATGTATCAGGGAAACTGTTCTCTAGGGTTGCTTCAGACACACAGATATAGTCACCCTATTTAAATAATGGCCTAAGTCATTTTTTGACGAAAATGAGTTTTTAGCCTAAATCATCTCTTAATAATGCTGGCCATCTCTGGTAAAATCACCTAGTTGAAAGGATCATGGCATGATCAGGGCATTACCAGAGATGGCCAGCATTATCTAAGATAGGGTGACGATATGTAACTTCAATATCTCTGATGTATGTAATGCATCTATAAACCTTTTATCACAACTGACTTCAGTTTTTTTTTAAATTTGACTGTCCTTCGTTTCGGAGCAGGCACACACCTGATCTTTCTGTCCAAGATGAGATACTTCTATGCCAGTATTGTCCCCTAGATTTTTTTAGCAGGCTTACTGTAGCATATTAGCCTACCTCTGAGCACTGCTGTGCCCAAGAACAGCCTCAAAAAGCTGCTAGCATAGCAGTGAACTTTTAATCTTTTTAATATTGGATTTAACTCACAACTTTGAATAAATAAAAGGAAAGTAGAGGAGAGGAGATGAGAAATCGCCTCATCACAGATGATTCACTTTGCTCGGACTCTTGCGCCTTGGGCTGGGAACGCACCCAAACCTCCTCCCTTAGACACACAGCTTCACACACACACACATACGCACAAGAAAAGAGAGCACAACGTGCACACAGATACACAAACAGACACAAACAGAGAAGGAGATAAGAGGCTGGTGGAATTCACAGCTGAGAAATTCCCACAGTTGATGCTGTCTTAGTGCCAGTTATATGTATGAATAGCCTGCCTGAGGACAAATATATACTGTCTTCACAGGAGGAAAACATAACCTCGTCTCATATGAAATATTAAGATACTATCTTTTACAGGGACAGGAATAACAAATGAAAAATATCTGCCATCTTTCATATCCATAACTTTGTCTCCCTCACCTTTCTCTCGGTATTTTCTTGCGTTTGTTGATATCTTTTTTACTTGATACTGAGCAGGTGATATCAGACAATCCAGGGTGAATTTATTACATGCAGCCTTATCGAAGAAAGAAATCTGAATCCCACATATGTTCCCTGTGTTATTAGGTCTGCTCTTTAACCCCACACAGTTCAGCTTTACTATACGGGCATTGAGCCCAGATAATTCATTCCCAACAGCCTGGCTGAGGGCCCACAGTTAGCACACAAAGGAGTACAATAATGTAATGGGCCTTATCTCCAAGGCAGAGCGAACACAGGGAAGACAGTTGAACAAAATGCTTGTAAATGCGGGTGATATTCAATTAAATGTAATCTTCTCTTTTTTTTCATTCAAGATCAATCTCCTGGTAAAGTGATTTAGATGCTTTTGATCTCGCTTCTCCCTATTGACTGGAGAAGCAGGTTCAAGGAGAGTGATTCAGCAGTGGATGTACAACTAAAGAGAATGAGCTGCAGGCTACATTTACACATAAAGTGCTTTTAAAATAAGTAGCAGTGCTGTATTGCAGCAGGGTGCAAAGAGCAACTACTGTAGATGATTTCCTTCATTTTTAAAAGAGCTCATAACTAGCGGGACAACTACTTTTATTTATTTATCCCTTAAGATCCCCCACATGTCTATTTAACTATGCCCTATTTTAAATGCTAAGCCTCAACTACTATTGCATCTTCAGCAAAGCAGTGCAAGATGGCACTTAAGCCCTGCGACTGCTGCTCCTCATGCTGGCTCTGTTCATTCCAGCTAATGTGCTCTCCGCCGCTCTCTCCTTCCTAGATCACTGAGCTCCATAACATCAAGAACATTACCCGGATGCCGCGGGAGACAAAAAAGCACGCCGTGGCCATCATCTTCTGTGACGACACATCCAAGACATTCGCCTGTGACTCGGGTAAGTGCCTTACCTCCCCCTCCTCCATTCAAAATTCAAATTCAACTTCCTCGGCTAAAGTAGAGCGAGAGAGAGAGAGAGAGGAAGGCATTATTTTTAATTTTTTACATGCAAATGAAAAGTGAAGGGGTGGTTTCAGGAAAGTTTTGCAAGAAGCGGAGGAAGAATGAAAAGTGGGAGGCTGAAAGAGAAAGTGAGAGGTGAAAGAGGCAGCAGAGAATTGGAGATGAGCCAAGTGATGCTCATTTGCCGCTATATTAAGAAGTGGGAGGATCTGTTCCGAAATATTGATTTTCACACTGCAGGTATGAAAAATGATATTGGACATCGTTTGCAGTGTGTTTCAAACCCAATTATGAAGTGTAACAATAGAGATTGCCTCTGATACGTGGACAGGAAGCCAAAGAGGTGTATGATCCTTACATGGTCGGTGTGTTTTGTTGCTGGAGTTGGATGTAGAGGAGGCCAGAGGCGAGATCATGCCTGTGCATCCTTAAACAGAAAAGGATGGAGATCGGTCTTGACTTCAGCCGTGTGGATGCGTGCCGACATGTGATCAAGTATCTTTTGATGGAGAGGAGCAGGAGACCTCAGGGGAAATATTATTGAACTTAGAGCGCTGAACTCTCTCTTGCCTTTACTCTGATTCCCATGATCACTCACTCTTTATTCCCCCCTCCTCTCTCTCTCTCTCTCTCTCTCGGCTCATTTCCATTCCCAGAGCTTTCCCCCCTTGCACGGCCATATGGATGTCTCTATCAATGTGTGTCCACTGACCTCCCATAGTCCTTCACTTCCTGGAAACCCCTCTACATCAAACACCAAACTCCCCGCTACCTTGTGTGGGCTTTCATCTTAGGACCAAATGCACCGTGAAGAATCTGTGATTTTAATGTGACTGATTTCATTTCAATTGAGTCCAGGGAGAAAATTTCTTTAGGTTTTTATGGAAACACAGTTTTTCTGCATAATTATGCACCATCTCCTCATTTTTGCTCTGAATCATTTACAGTTTGGACATGTGACATACTTAAAGCTCCTGTGAGGAGTTTTTTGACGTCAATTAAGAGAAGAAGTAGACTCCATTTTTGTCTTCTCGCCTCCACCCGGGACGCTGTAGGATGGTAAGGGAAGGTCCCGCCCTTCTTCGCCTCTGATTGGCTATAAGTGCTGACCGTTTGGCTTGAGAGTGTGATGACGTTTCAAGCTTTTCTAGCCAATCATAGGCGAAGGAGGCAGGACTTTCCCCGGGAAAAGTCTTCCCCAGGATGCGTCTTTTTCCCCCCGGAAAGTCGCTAAATCGCATCAGCCTTGATGTGTATATTCAGGTGTGTCAAAATTCGCCTCTGAATATTTTGTAATTTTGCGTTCTATATTCGCGTCGGCCTCGGTGTGCAAGGACCTTTAGGCACCTCATGATTTGATTTAATTACAATTTAGGGTACTACAATTCGATAATTAACAGTTATAACAATTATCAATGCATCTTTTTTCCCCTACTACATTTCTTTTAAACAACGCGTATTTGTCAGCTCCTGTCAAACTAAGTAAACAAACAAATTTACCTACATTATGTTCTATCTATACTAGACCAAATGATCTAACACTTTTTCACAACAAAAAGCTGCTCTTATTACATAAAGTGCTCTAACTGTTGGCTTGTTCAGCTTTAATGAGCTAAAGTGAGAAACAGCATTGCCAGTCAGGCAGCTGGTGAACGAGGGACCGCATGCACAGACACCTGAATCATTGAACTAGACTCTCTGGAATCATTTTGTCAGACAAAACCACCTTTTTTTTTTTTTTTTTTTAACTGTTAGATTGCCACCACAACAACTTGCATACTATTGGACACAGCATAGTAGTGCATTAACCCGCAGCATCCTATTATTGCAGCGGTTTGCGAGGGAGCGGTGCATGTTCAGTGTGAATTCTCCTAAATATTCAGTGAACAATGAGCCCAATTTACCGAGCAGACCTGATAAATGACATACAGTAGGACAGTACACTTAAAACATCATGATTTATAAACAAGTTCATTTTTACAAACCTGTTTGCCAAAGCAACGTAGCCAAACACTCTCGTCTCCGGGTCCCAGAAACTACGAGTTAAACTGAATCCTGAAACATTCAGCTGTGTATCAGTTCAGGAGGTTGGAGTCGCAGGCTTCTCCCACTAAATGATTCAGTGATTTGGTGAACAAATCTTTTGAACAAATCTTTTTAGTGAACTGATTCTAGTGATTCAGTTCATGTAAAACAACTGCCGTGCCCATCACTTTTGTGAGTGACGGTCCAGGACCCCGTCGGTAGAAAGCAGCCATTTTTATGGTTATGATGCTCAGATCTGGATATTTTTTGATACAGAGAGAAATAAAATTAGCTATGACATATCCCAATGTCCAAAATATTGCGATTTTGTCCAGAACTGCATCCATACACATTCATGTATTTGGTCAATTAACAGCTTTTTACCTAAATTGATGGCAGGATACAAAAATACATGAATCAATGTTTTCCCACTTCATCACTAAGAATTCAGTGGTCATTAAAACACAGTCTAAAATTTGAATGTAATAATTCATTCAGGTCGACTGTACACATAGTTTTTAAACAAAACTGTATTCCAGAGCTGAAATTGGCAAGTCTAGCTGGGTCATGATTTATGAAAGCTGCTTTGGCATACAGCTTTTCTACTACAGTGAAAAGTTATCACGAGTTTGGATCAGAAACTTGACCTGGCAGCTGTAACACAAGCATCAAACTTGTTCAGAGTCAATGATGGATACAAATTCACATCCAAATGAAGAATAGAAATTACATCAGGATGTTGGCTTCTTTAATTAAAGAAGAAAAACACTATCAGGCCCTCATGACTATTCCCTCATATGTTAGTTATAAGATTAACCTTTGGAAGCCTCTGCGCGAACAGTGACTGTCAAATTTGCCGGCATTTAAAACAAAGGACCAAACAACAGGCGCTAAAAGCTTTTACGTTTTTGGACACTTGTGTGGCCTTATAAAGAGATAAAGCCAGATAGATACAACGTCAATTCCTGAGATTCCACAGAGGAATTAGATCCAGACATTATTTATTGTATTAGTCGGTATAATAACCACAGCCTGCTGCTGTAATCAGGAAAGATGAAGGGTCTTGACCATCTCCTGATTCAATTCTTACATCTCCCTTCCCTCTAACCTCATCCAGTTATTTTCTTACATCCTCACTCACTCTATCTTACACCATCGCACACCTCCACTGCTGCACACGCAGTACCGTATTTCTTCATGCGTGGCACATAGACGAGCATACCTGCCTCTTTGCTGATGAAGTGTTTGTTTAGCAGATTTTCTGAGCGCTCGCCTTAAACTGTGGGAGTTTAGAGGCGCTTAGAGGCTATAGTGACTCTGAACGAGCTGAACGTGGAGAGGTAAGAGCAGAGAGCTATAGTGCAGAGCCGCTGTCGGTGACTGTATGTGTGTGCGGCTGTATTTCTGCTTTCTGGTGTTTGCGAGTGAAGCGCTTCAGGCAGCGGCAGACCTTTCCTTCACCCTGCAAAGTTGTATGTATCAGTCCCATCGGACACCAGAGTTGATCTGACAAACAGGCTGTTTGATATTACCCAATCTAGTTTGAAGTGAGTTAAGGGAGATGAAATTACCTCCATTCTTATTATATAAGCGGACTCTGACTTTCGATTATTAGAAAAAGAAACAAAGTGACATCCCTGCTCTTCCACACGTGTCTCTGTATGCATCATTGGCCCACAGTAAGCTTCATATCCCAGAATTCCACAGGGCTTGGAGTTTAGGGGCTTCAGAAAGATAACCAACTCCAGCATTTGGCTCATTTCATACTTCAGTAACTCCAACCAAACGTTCACACAAGACAATTCGACTAAACAAGAAGGGACACACCATAGAGAGCCATGAAGACTTTAAGATTCAATCCATGAAATAATTAATCACCTTTTAGCGTCCAATTGAACATTAAATCTCACAATAAATGCTTCCTTTTCTCCAAGTGCCAGCTGTGTTTAGTTGTGACTGCCCATAGAGAGCTTTCACAAATCAAGAGTGCCATCATAGGGAGAGTAAATAATCATAATTCCTCTGATTCATTTTAAGATTTTACTTTAAGTACCATCACCAAGAAACCTGAGAAGAATAAAAAACGTTAGTTAGTATGTTAGATTTATGAGAGCACTGATACCACTCTTCCATCTGTAGCTAATGCAAACAGCTGGCCACACAAACAAAGCTCCACCCCTTTTTTCCATTTAAACAAAAGAGAAATGGTTTGATAAGTGAGTTGTGTTAGAAGGCAGAGTGTCTGCAACTTTTGAGAAATTTAGAGAAGCTGCTTTGTGCTGAGCATGCTAATTTAAAGGCGGGGTAGGCAGGATCTGAGGAAGTTCCAGTTTTTGGGAGAAATCTTGAATGTAAACACGACCCCTCCCAACCAGTTTTCCCCTCAGCTCCTCCTCTCCCCTCCCTCTCTGCTCCAGCAAGCCCCGCCCACCAACAGTCCTAGCATGGAGCATGCCTTACAATATGAGGGAGCAGCGTTCGCCTCAAAGCCAATCAGCACTAAGGAGCAGCGTCCACCTCACAACCAATCAGGTTGGGGGAGGTGGAGAACGGCTTTGTTTACAGTCAGAAAAAAGGCAGTTTAAAAATTTTTTAAATGATGACACAGATGTAACAAAACACAGCGATATTGTTATATTACCAAATGTCATCAATAACTAATAGAAGAAGAAGAAGAAGAAGAAGAAGAAGAAGAACTTTATTGATCCCTGAAGGGAAATTCAATAGCTATTGATATTGACTAATAGCTATTGACTGATATTAAAAGCTTTTTTTGTATATACACCACAAAAAAGATGTCTCTTTAATGGATTCCTGCCTACCCCACCTTTAATCTTCTCCTGGTTACAGATGATATAGTCTGGTACTTTGATTTTATTATAATGGGTTAGAAAATGATGACAACTGAACTGCTGGGTCTGCTAGGTAGATTTTTTTAACCAGCTGTTCCCCCCTCAGTTCATTCTCAGTAAAACAGCTTGTATACTAGCATCGCACCTAATGTGCCGGCAACATTTTGTCATTTAACTTTTGACAAGTCATCAAACAAGGTTCCCATCATCCTGCTGAAATATTCTTCATCAGATCATTTCCTTTTCAATTAACAGTTTACAGCTGAGGCCATCCTTTTAATTTGGAAAATAGCTTATTGATTGTCTGACTGGATGATCATTGGTTTCAGTTGTGAGTGCGGTCATATTGTTTTAGCAGAGCTTCTCCTACTGTACAGCCTTTAAATGGGCAAAGGAGGACGGGGGGGGGGGGAACCTAACATTCATCTCTTGTTAGCTTTTGCAGAATCCACCTCCTCTTTTAATCTGCTCCTAATCGATGAGATAGATTTTTCTCTCCCTCGGATACTGTTTGCTGTACTCATGTCCTGTAGGTGCAGCATTTTATTGTGAAATTCTTTAGGTGATTTATGTATCTGTGCATGTGTAAATGTAGTAAAGGCAGCGCGGTTGCGGGTGCTTTAATGGGAACAGGATGTTTTATTATGAATGCAGTGTTATAGAGGAGCTTTCACAGTGGACGTGCATTAATTCTGTGCTGCTGTTTGTGTGTTTGCAGAGCTGGATGCGGAGGAATGGTGTAAGCTGCTATGCGTGGAGTGCCTCGGCAGCCGTCTCAACGACATCAGCTTGGGAGAGCCAGACCTGTTAGCAGCGGGGGTGCAGCGGGAGCAGAACGGTGAGTGCCCAATTAGTCCCTGCTAACACAGACAGCCATTCAGGGTCAATCTCTCTCACTCCCGCCACTGAGCATTTACCGGTTGCAGTCCGATCCCGTATGTGTTAATGCAACTGAGCCCTAAGAGGTTTAAGGAAGCAGAGCAGGGCTGTCCAATTAGGCCTTGCTAATTAGGGCCAGTTTTTGTCAATATCTGATCCAAAAGTCCCCTGTTACCATCTGTAGTAACACAAGCACGTTTGTTCAACTTTTGAAGTACAATTTGGTGTGTGTCTGTCGACGTAAACCCATGTGTGTGTGCGTGAGTTAGATCACAGGTCACAGGCTGTGGTCGGGGCTCTGGTCCAGGCCTAATGAGAAGTGCTGTGCATCACTGGCTTCCCTCATAATGAAGCTTGTCACGGAGATGGATGAGATTATGGCTCCTAAAGCCATGTGAAATAAATGTGCTTCCCCACATATTCCACTCACAGGAAATAGAAATGGAAAAGAGTGTGGACAACAGGGCGCTGCTATCACAGTGGAGCTCATTCTCTGTGTAATTTGTAAACTGGCGGAGGAAATTGAAAAGGCAACAGGCAAAGAAGAGCAGTTTAAAGTTGTAAAAGGGCGAGTAATTGAAAAGAATCTGCCGTCATTTCAGCCCATTTCATTTCACTGCAGCTGTAAACCGAAATTGTATTCTCAAACTGAACTGAGGCCCATTTATTTTAGGTATCAATACACACGTTTTGACTGTGCCGCGGCGAAACCAGCCGGCTGTAACAACACAATCCCTCTTCCTTCTTTTTGCGGCAGAGGTCCTCTGTTTGGAGCTACGGTGTTACAAAGACAAACAGAGCCGTCTTTTCTCTGCTGCCGACATGAATGAATGAAACATGGAGCTTTGAGCCTTCTACAGGGTTTCAATTAGTAGCCCTCCCCAAACAGCAGGGGCAGATAATTAGATCAGAGTTCATTTTCACTGTCCCTAAAAATATGCCTCACTATGACATTGCCATCTCCTATCCGCCGCAGACACATGGCTTATTTTGAATCATTAAGCATAATTAGTGAGAACTAATTTAGATTATGGAGACCTGTGTCCCTCTTCCTCTCGCTGCCTGCCTTAGAGAGTAAGTCTAATGCGAGGAGGTAGATTTGGCTCCTTGATCCCAGTGCAGCTCAATGGAGGGCTAAGTAGACCCTCTTAGGGCTTGTTTTACTCTATTTTTGCCACCCTGGATGAAAACACATGGCTTAGGTAAGTGCAGATGGAAAAAAGACAGGAAAGAATGTAAAGTGCATTCTTTCAATAACTGCACAAAATATCAGCTTCTGACAAAAGGTTGAAATCTTTCGGTGGCCATGATTTATACTGACTTAAGGGTAAAGTGCTTGTGAGTTGACTGAATCTCATCCGGATTTTCCTTCAGCCTTTGTTCAATGTATTAGAAAGCTCTACGTCATATCAAACACTATAAAATATTGCTAGTTTTTTTGCACAGGTGTTTAAAACAGCTAGCATGCTACGGTTTGTGATTTAATCAAGACATGGATTTATTAGCATCTCAAAATTTTAAGTAAAGGAACAGGATGTAGGGGAGAGTGGGGTAAGTTGAGCCAAAGGGTAAGTTGAGTTAGCCTGGCTGGGCCATCCTGTTGCGTGAATCACTTGCCGTTGCTTCCCACAACAGTCTGGACTTCGGCCCATTGGGAGCGTGTATTAGCGATCAGAAAATAACTGGGCCAATCAGTGACTGTGTTTCCACTGTTCCCCGTACAACAGGGAAAGGCAGCCCCTGATTGGTCCATGTGTAGATGGTAAGTTGACCATAGGAGACCACTTTTTTTGGCATACTATATTATCAAGACAGTTTCGTTTACACTCGTTCTGTTGGTTTGCAGGGATGTACAACATCTTGAAATATATGCAGATTCACTAGTTAGAGACAAAACTATGATTACCTTGATGTAGTGATCTGAAATATGAAAAATAGCTCATCTTACCCCACTCTCCCCTACATGAATTTATATATTTTTTTTACATCTTTGCATTTTGTCTTGAACATGTAAGATTCTGCTTTAAAAGGTAAATTTCAGGACCAATGACAACACAGGGGCGTATTGTTGAAGACTGTCTGATTACAAATGCTTCTCGAAATGCAACAAATCTGACCAAGCTCATTATTTATTGTGCATTAATTTAATTGAGATGCTGAGTAATGCTCTTTTGAATGACAGATAGTCACTAGTCTCAACCCAAACAGCTGGCAATACATGTAAATAAAAAACGAGGTCCTCAACCTTTGAGCATCTTTAAGAATAAAGGTTAATTATGTCGGCTTGGTTAAGTGCAGTTTTTGAGGTTGCTAGGTGACAGGAGCAGCTCTGAGTAATGAAGGTAAGGACAGGAATGACTGGTAGCTGAACTGGAAATCATTCACAGATCACACCATCTCATTTGAGCTCAGCCTCAGTGGTTCACGCTGATTACTGTATGAAGGCTGGGTCCTTTGGAGATGTTGCCACGGACACAGCTTACATACCAGAAAGTTAGCCATCCTCGTAGTCTGTAACCCAACACAAAAAAAGGATTGGGATTTTGTTTTGTCAGTTTTACCTTCGGCATAAAGCTAGTATACCACAAAGGATGTATCGGTGGTTTAAAGTGACTGATTTACAGTTTACTTCCTTTTCACTGAGGAGAGAAAGAGTTAAAGGGATATTCTGGCGTAAAATTAATTTAGGGTCAAGAGATAAATGTTGCAGACCGCTTGCTTCTCTAGTTATACCAACTTTAGTAAAGACCGCACACTAGCAATGCACAGCGGTCTGAGGAGCCATAAACAAACTTCAACCAAAAAGCCACTCTATAGCCACAAATAATGCTCCGGACAGCACCTAACTTCATCAACAGTACATATAGGGTCCCAGCCATAGCACTAGCCACCAAACATCTTTTTAACTTTGCCTGATTTCTTTAGCAAAGAGACTAAACACAACTCACCTACTCTCTTCCAGCAGCCGCTTGTTTGTAGTGAGGCCAGTCTATTATGGACTGCTGCAGGGTGATGCAGCTCAAGAAAGAACATTTATGATCATTTCTACATGGAAATGGAATCAGACCGTGATGCTAAGTCAGAAGAACTACTGCATCTGCAGTACAAAATGATTAATATGATGATTATTACTTAGAGAAAATGATAAAGAAATGTTCATAGATGTTCTTCCTTGAGCTGCGTCACCCTGCTGTAGCCCGTAATGGACTGGCCTAAGGTCTCACTACAAAGCTGCTGGAAGAGAGTAGGTGAGTTATGTTTAGTCTCTTTGCTAAAGAAATCAGGCAAAGTTATAAAGATGTTTGGTGGCTAGTGCTATGGCTAGGACCCTATATGTACTGTTGATGAAGTTAGGTGCTGTTCTGAGCATTATTTGTGGCTATAGAGTGGTGTTTTGGTTGAGGTTTGTGTATGGCTCCTCAGACCACTGTGTATTGCTATGCTGCAGTTGTTACTAAAGTTGGTATAAGTAAAGAAGTAAGCGGTCGGCAACTTGGTGTTATGGTGTGTTTGACCCTAAATTAATTTTACGCCAGAATATCCCGTCAAGTAAAAATAAAATCTCTTGAATACTATTAAACTGTATTCTTCTGATGCTCTTTAATCTCTTTCCAGAACGTTTCAATGTGTACCTGATGCCCACGCCTAACTTGGACATCTACGGGGAGTGCACCATGCAGATCACTCATGAAAACATCTACCTGTGGGACATCCACAACGCTCGCCTCAAACTCGTCATGTGGCCTCTCAGCTCTCTGCGCAGATACGGACGAGACTCCACTTGGTTCACTTTTGAATCTGGAAGGTGTGTGTGCGTGGAGATGCGTGCTTGTGAGTTTTGTGTGACTGAAATGTTGGCGGTGGGAAGAAGGGAAAAAAAAAAAAAAACTTTCTGGAAGTGTCGTAAAAACTTCAACAAAGCAACTTCGGATATCCAAAACATCCCAGGATATCAGCGTTTGCCGCAGATCCCTTCAGGCATCTGATGTGACAGGTGCCTCTGTGAGAGCGTGTCTTTGTTTGTGTACTGTATCTACTCACGCATGTGTGAGCGACTTAAACTTCAGTGGGCTATTATATCAGTGCGTCTCTCTGTAAGTGCACATTCAATCGTGCGCATTTGTAAATCAGCAATCCGAGAGCGGGCTCGATCAAAGCGTGTGCACTTCTCTCTGTCTCTGTGTGTGTGTTCCTGGCGCAGGATGTGTGACACAGGAGAGGGTTTGTTCACGTTCCAGACGCGGGAGGGGGAAATGATCTACCAGCGGGTCCACTCGGCCACGCTGGCCATCGCCCAGCAGCATGAGAGGATGATGGAGGAGATGGAGAAGAGCTCCCAGGTATGTTTTTCATATTTTATCTGTTTTTTGTGATACAATGAGGCACACAGTTTTATTCTAGTCCCGCCAACATTACAAACAGCAAATAATGGATGTTTCCTGTTGCAAGAATCATTAATACGAGAGAAAGCATGTTTATTTTCTCATGAAAAACCGCTTCTCTCTTTCTTCAGTGATTTCCGGCGCTGTGTTTGATTTAACCCAATCAAAGAGGCACATCACTAAAGCCATTCACAGAGTTTTTTCCTCAAACCAACGACTACTAGAGCAGTAAATCACCACTTTTAAGAACTTGCATTCATCTCCTGCTATCGCCTGGTGCCGTCTTGGACCAGGAGCCCCATCCGACTCCCCACGGTCTTGGCCTCCGCTCCCTCCTTCCTTCACAACACCCGTCCATGCTTTCCTTCCTTTCTTCCTTCCTTTTCTCCCCCCCTCCTCCTCCCCGCTATCATCTGTATTCTTTATTTATGTAGGCCTGCCTAGTGTTTGATGAGCCTTGACCATATGGCCATGCACTTGGACCCCACCATTTGGGAACATTTCCAAAATGCAGCATTTAGCCTCAGCTCTATAAATCACACGGACAGCTACACGAAACTGACCGCTCAGAGTCGCAGGGGGAGTGAATTAGCTTTAAACATGCTAATTCTGCGACATGCTTCTGATTAAATGCAGATTTGTTTGCTGGAATATTGGGGCTAAAATGTTCTGGTGCTTGGAAGGCAAATAACAGTCGAAAACCCATCACCCAGCAGCACAACAACATCATAATCCCAAATGTTTCCTCATCTCATACGCCAAACAGCCATTCAGAGAGGGAACTTACCATTCATTGTGCATTATGCTGTATTACACAGCCTCTTTGTTTACTGACGTACCTCGAGCTATTTCCCCCCGCTGTGAGAGAGTGACAGAAAGTGAGACGCACTGTAAGCTGCTTCCTCTCTTTGTTACAGATCCACTCCAGAGAGACGCTAACCAAGTCCATCTCCCTGCCACGCAGCGCCTACTGGCAGCACATCACGCGTCAGAACAGCGTGGGAGATCTCTACAGTTACCAAGGTACAGGCATGAAGTTACTAATTATGTCACACAAAGTGTTGCTATTTCTTTCCCTGATTCTGTCAGTGGTTCTGCGAGGAGCGCTTTGAGTGAGGTAAGGAAAGACAGGTGGAGAAACAGGACGACTAAGTGACAGAAAGGAGGAATATCGTACTCACCGAGGGAGGAAGTGTCTTTTTACAAACCTGCAGGCAGCACTGTACTTGTTTTTCCTCAGGAACCTGTCAGAATCTAAATTTACATTCTGTTTTTTTTTCTATTTTATGAACTATATACAAGACTACATTTTAAGATTTGACATAGGAGGAAGTAGCGCCACATGTACACCAAACACCAAACACTAAATGCAAGACAGACATATGATTAGATGTAAAACTCTGCCAACTGTCCGTGAACCAAATACAACATAACATAGTTTTTTTTTTTTTTACACATCCAACCTGATTTGAGGAATGATTTCATTATCTGGAGCATTTTTAACAATGGCTGTATAAGCCACTTACTGTACTGAAATCACTGCCAACAGGAGTCAGTGACGTGTCGCTGGAGTCTTAGTGTTTGAGACAAGACAGGTGCCTTTAAATTTGATTCAAATCGGAGACACTGATGTGATTTGGTTCGAGTCCAACAAAGGGGGACTGAGGATTATACTGAAGCAAAACAAACACGAAGAACAAGATAAGATATTAACCTGAACGCTGAATTGGTGGAATATGTCAATGATTTTTTTTTTTTTTTTGACTAAAGGTCCTTACACACCGGGGGCCAACGCGAATATAGAACGCGAAATTACAAAATATTCGGAGGAGAATTTTGACGCACCTGACTATACACATCAAGCCCGAGGCGATTTTGTGATTTTCCACGGGAAAAAGACACGTCCTGGGGAAGACTTTTCCCAGAGTAAGTCCTGCCTCTTCGCCTCTGATTGGCTAGAAAAACTGGAACATCATCACACGCTCAAGCCAAATGGTCAGCACTTAAAGCAAATCAGAGGCGATAAAATAAGCACATGAAACTATAGTAACAACTGTTAGCTTACGTTAGCACAGATGAAAGTTAAAACAAAGACGTTTAGCAAACTGTTAAATCGCACAAACCATCGTCAATCATAGATCCGACGCTATGACTCTCCACAAGTTGACCTTCAGGTCGTTATCTTTCTAATATTTGTGTCTTTTATCAAAAAGCACTCTGTTCTGCAACACGTAAACAATCAGCCGGTCGGCCATGTTGGATATACCGGTGAATCTGACGTCGCAACAACACGAAATCTGATTGGTCAGAAGTGGACACACAGTATGCGAAACTTTAGAAAAATCGACTGTGCTACGAAAAAATAAATGCTGCAATATCACAGGACGGGAAAACGTCGCTGATGTGAACGCTTGTACTGACAGGATAACGGGACCAGAAACGGTCCTGGTGTAAAAGGACCTCAACCCTCCATTTTTTTTCTCTTTTTTTTCATTTTTGATTTTTTTCTCATTCTTTCTGTTTCATATGGTGGCCAACAACCACCACTGCTGCAAATAAATAAGAAGGCAACAAAAAAAAAAGAAACCGAAGCCTGCTGCAAATTTTAAAAAAAGAAATAGTGCAGATAAAAAAAATAAATAAAAATAGAAAAAACACAACGGAAGTTAATAACGCAAAAAAAAATAAAATTAGGTGATAGAACAAAAAAGTTACTGCATAAATAAAAGGATGCAAATAAAAAAAGCCACATGGAAGTGAGCTGCCAGGGACCAATAATGATGATGCACCAGCGTTTTATGATCTAGGCACAGAAGACGGGGAAAGGTTATTGTTTAATTTCGCTTTGTGTGCTTTTTAATGTGTCATTTGGTTAGGCCATGTAGCGCCTGAGTGGATATAAAGTTGAACTGGAGGATGCCAGCGTAGTGTTAGCTTCATTTCAACTTCATATGGACTCAGGCACATTATACCTGATGTGAAGTTGAACTGAAGCTAACACTATCATTATTGGTCCCTGTCAGCTCACTTCCATCATGGCTTTTTTTATTTGCATCCTTTTTTTTTAAATTTTATTTATTTATTTTATTTGCAGCAGTGGCAGTTCTCGGCCACTGTAGTTTCAACATCATTGTTCATCAGAGGATGTTTTATTACTTACAAAGATGATTTCAACAGTTTGTCATCTAACTGCTCCTCTGATGGGTTGTTGCAGCTGGTAGCTCCTATTGCAAAGGTGCAATAGAAATTGAAATATATTGAAATATGTGCTAACAGGTATAATGAATTACTTATAAACTCAGCGCTAATAGCCTAAAGTAATTAAGCTTCAGGTTAACCCTGACCCATAATAAACCAGTGAGGACTAATAGATAAGACATAGGCTTAATCATAAATCCTGTAAAATGGTTCTCAAGTGCGTCACATTATTATTTATTTATTCTTTAACAAAATAAAAGAATATTTCTCTACTTTAAGCGCTGTCAGCTTTTTATGTTCCCTGGTCTTCACTTGGTCTCCATATGGAAACTGTGTTTTTGCGTGTGTGTGTTGATGCCTGTATGAAGACCACAGGCAGAAAGGTGATTAGAGAGCTGATGAGATTATGCTCTGTCTATGGCATTAGTTGATTAGTAGACTTATCTGAGGATTATGGGCCTTTTGGCTTCAGCTGATAGAGCCAAACAGAAAGCCAGGCGCGAAGATGAAAGTCGCTCTGACGTCATCGCTTTCTTTTGAAGAGCTGCGGCTGGTGTTTGTGTTTTTTTTTTTCATTATCATTTAATTGTGGCCTGATAAACTTAAAAAGCTCAATTATGAGTCCTATCTCCTGAACATGCTTTTTTAACTCATAAACACATTAAGTGGAGAAGTTTCCGCCTCAGGGTCATTATTTATAGGCTCAGTCTCTGTAAACTTTTATTTCTTAAACTCTTCCTTCTACAGACTCTAGTGAGCAGAGGAGCTTCTCCCTCATCCATCACCCTGGCATCTCCACTGCTCCTCCCACACATTCTCGGCGTGTCCGTCCGTTTTTCTGAACAACCCTCCATCTTCTGCTCACATACATTCAGCTCCAACATTATCTCCCCTCCTTTCCCATGAATAAATTGAATGCATCAATGTGTTTGAGGACACGGCAGAAAAAAAAAAGGTCTCGTCAGACAACCGGGACGACAAGGTGATTCAGGGGAGTGACAGGAGTTTAGCTCTTGTCGTGACATGCGATCTTTGGACTGCGGAAGGCATGTCAGGGGGAGCTCACACACACACATCAGGTGGCGCTACTGCTGCTGCTGCTGTTGCTTTTAACGTGGCTGACAGCCAGTATTAGATGAGGAGGGCCATATACAGTGATTGCATTGATTCCTCATTTGCAGAAGGTCTCCACCTCCCTGGAGCTCTTTGACATCCACTGAACAAAGAGCTCTTACTATTACCTCATACACTGTGACAGCTGAAGTAAATACAAACTGACTCTTTAACAGGGATGTAGAAGAACTGTCGACATCTGTTTCAGATACAAAGGATGTTACAGTTTTAACCGGTGCCCAGTTATCACAAGAGTCCTTTTTAAATTCTTTAGATCTTTGCTCATTCTTCTTCTAGGTGATTGTCTGTACAACACAAACAGGGAGTAATTAGAGCTGATTCACCGTCACGAAGCACAGTTGCCAAAATGGAATAAATAGGTTAGAGACCAACAGTGGTGAATACATTTTCCTCTTTCCTCACTGTGAAGCAAAGAGCTGACAGATGTTACAGTGTTGCCTTTATCACAAGATGTCATGAGAGCGTAACTTTAAAGCTAAACCAAAAACAGGTAAGCTATTTTTGGATCCATCTCTCAAAGCGTGTGACTGTAGCGAGAGAGCTTCGCTAGAGTTGTCTTAATTGCGCCTTCTTGCACAGACAAAACCTTGTCTTTACAAGGAATGAAAGTCATGCAAGTGAGTATTATACCTCTTTTGAAAACTGTCTGTGTTGCACCATGCAGTTACTGTTTTGTCTTAGGTTACATTACAGCACTGCATTAATTATGCTCAACCATGCCAGCTTGAGCTGTATGCTCTGCCTCCCCCACTATCCAGTTTTTCATAGGAATGCAATAAAAGGCAGAGTCTAAAGGGATAGTCCGGCGTGAAATTAATTTAGGGTCAAACACACTGTAACACCGAGTTAGACACCCCCTCGAGAAATGAATGTTGCAGATCGCTAGCTTCTCTAGTTATACCAACTTTAGTAACAACTGCAGCATAGCAATAAACAGCGGTCTGAGGAGCCATAAACAAACCTCAACCAAAACGCCACTCTATAGCCACAAATAATGCTCCGAACAGCACCTAACTTCATCAACAGTACATATAGGGTCCCAGCCATAGTACTAGCCACCAAACATCTTTTTAACTTTGCTTAATTCACAAAAACACAACTCACCTACTCTCTTCCAGCAGCCACTTGTTTGTAGCGAGACCTCAGGCCAATCCTTTACAGACTCCAGCGGGGTGACGCAGCTCAAGGAAGAACATTTATGATAATTTCTTGATCATTTCCTTGAAGTAATAATCACCATAGTTCTTCTGCTGTAGCGTCTCGGTCTGATTGTATTTCCATGAAGTAATGATCATAAATGTTCTTCCTTGAGCTGCGTCCCCCTGCTGGAGTCTGTAATGGACTGGCCCGAGGTCTCGCTACAAACAAACGGCTGCTGGAAGAGAGTGGGTGAGTTGTATTTAGTCTCTTTACTAAAGAAATCAGCCAAAGTTAAAGAGATGTTTGGTGGCTAGTCCTATGGCTGGGACCCTTTATGTACTGTTGATGAAGTTAGGTGCTGTTCTGAGCATTATTTGTGGCTATAGACTGGTGTTTTGGTTGAGGTTTGTTTATGGCGCCTCAGACCGCTGTGTATTGCTATCCTGTGGTCGTTACTAAAGTTGGTATAACTAGAGAAGCAAGCGATTTGCAACATTCATCTCTCGAGGGGGTGTCTAACTTGGTATTGCAGTGTTTTTGACCCTAACTTAATTTTTTTGCTGGAATATCCAGCATATGCACTACCTCCCCCTGTCATTATGAGTGGAGAGAGAGAAAACAAGTGGGGTGACTCGATAGATTTCAGAAAGAGATGCAGGGAGAGAAGTATATTTGAGCAAGGCTGTGAGACAAGCCTAAAACAAACAAGCTCCCTCTTCTAAGAAATGTTGAGACAAAGGGAAACTAACCACCACTGCCGAGCTGTTGACGAGGGACTAAACTCTCTGAGAGCTCAAGGGAACACTCCCAAACTAAAACACAATGGCCTCTGGGCGTACTTAAAAGACAAACACAGAAGGCTGGCTAAGAAAGATCCACCCAGCACCAACAAACTCCACAGTAAGAGAAACTAAAAGCGGTGAGCAAACCCTTCAGACAGGTCCGCGGTGCTTCTATGACTCATAGATTCCCAACGCAACAAGGAGATCACTGAATGAACATCTCACTACCTCTGATGGTGAGGTAATGAGTCAGCACAGAGCTCTGAAACCCTAGGGTGCGTAAAAGCTTACCACACCTGGTCGTAACCGGGGACGATTAGGCACACACACCTGACCCTGCACTGAAATAACCCTCTCAGCAAACGCATGAGTGAAAGTGTTAAGAATTAAAGATACAGAAGTTCAATCTTTCTGCGTTGTGAAACTCCTTTCTCATATTCATACATGTATGAAGTACAAGGTGGTAATCGCTGCTGGGTATAATAAGAGCTAGAAGAGGTACAATTCTACCAAATGTCTTCCAGGAAATCAACTTGAATGAACATCTCTCCAGCAGAGCTTAATGTTGGCCTCAGCATGAGGTCTCCATCTGATATAGGCCACTTTAGTTTCCTTAATAATGATAATTTAAGCCAAAATGGGCAAAGTAGAGGTAAGAAATCAGGAGTTTGGACCATGAGGATTGGTTGCTCCAGCTCTTTGGCTGTGTCCCCCGCTTGCATGATGAATATCCAATCAGCACAGTCAATTTGCTGAGTCATGCTCGGGTTGCTTTCAAATACCCTGCGGGTCTGGGGGAATAATTAAGGAACACAGTTTCCTGTCCCGTTGAGGTTTATTCACCTATTTGTTTATTTCTTAGCCTCCATTAATGTGTGGAGCTGACAGAAAAGTACTCCTTTACTTTAAGGAATCCCACATCTGATTTTTATGCGGTTGGAAATGTTTCAAGAATACATCCCTAAAGCCTTGTTTCTAGTAATTGAAAGTAATAATCGCAGAATGTGTTTTGTTTTAAAGAATCTGAAGGATGTGGGAGCATTTTAGGCAGAAAAAAACACTTATCTTTTCTCGTCTTTAAAGCTCTATGGAGCTTATTTCAGCCCCCAAATAAAAACATAGATGTTTAAATCTCCAGAAACTGTACGATAAAACTATACATCTCTACTTTGTAGCGTTTTCCATCTCTAGTCTCCTAATGCTATTCACTCTTTTGCATTTCACTGGAACTGTGTTCTCTTGGGTTTGCTGATGCATACAAATAAGTGCACTTTAAAGTTTTGGAGTTGAAAAAGCAAAAGGCGCCTTGCCTGTCGGAAATGGTTCAATTACCGGCTCTAATAGTGGAATGGAAAAGGAACGAGAGCGTCTGTATTTTTTTTTTTTTTACTTGGACCCATTTTTCTGTAATTTTTGTGCCGTTTTACACACACACAAACACACACAAAGCGCACACTCACTCTCTATTTTCTTTGTGATTCATTGTGCTCCAAAGTTTAGTGGCGAAGCATTAGCAATTCTAATAGAGCGGAGTGCTGTTCTTAGTTTGATACGAGGGGGGCTTTGCTGAGTGGGAGCAAGTATCAGAGGCACAGGGACTAGATGATAGGAGAACAGGAGGATAACACTATCTTATCTGCGACGGGCGACAAGGTACATAGAAGATTTGGATGCAGAAAAGTACAGGCTGAAAAAAAAATCACAGCAGGTAAAACTACGTTCAACTGCTTTGTTGTTTCTCTAGTGGATTCTTGGGAAGTTCTGACTCTCCAGGTAGAGTTAGATTAATCCAGACTCAATCCTCAGGCTGCTTTTGGACTTATTTTATATTCGATACAGGGAGTTGTTGCTCCTTCGGTTGGTTTTTCTTACCGCACAAACACCACAAAGTTTCACATCAGCAGCCTTGCATAATCTACAGTTTGCCTCTCTTCCTCCAGTTACAGCTGATACTGTAGTGCTGCAGTGGGTTGGAGCACTATGAGAGGAAAAGGTGCAGACAGACAGCTTTGAGTGTTTGTGTCGACATGCATGCATGAAAAGATACTTGTGTATCTGGGGTTTGCCATTGTATCAGTCAGAGTGTGTGAGTGCCCTCCCTACCTTGTCCTGTCTGCTCTGGCCCAGCAGCTGCCACCCCGGGCCAGATAGGATGACATGACCTTGCCCAGTAATGAAAAGGCACTGACAAATCGCTGTCTGCTCCTCATAGGGACCAGAGAGCAGGAGGAAGAGGAGAAAGGGGGATGCTGACACCCTCTTGTGTGTTTTTTTTTTTCTTCTGACTTTTTCCCTCGGGGGGTTTTGTGAGTGTTGATATCTCCAAAAGAGCAAGCCAAGAATTACATGGAAAAAGAGAGTCTTTGGGTTACATCGAGACCATGAAACGCTGTCTCTTGCTTCTAGAGGCTACGATATATTTGAGAGTGCATGAATTCACTACAGGTGTTGTCTATAAAGCCTTGATGACATGGCTCCTGTGAAAGGCCTGCTTCATATAATAGGGTAACCATTCGTCCTCTTTTTTGGGGTTGTCCGGCTCTGGCCAGGGGGCGTTTTTTTTTTTTTTTTTTTTTTTGTACAATGTTAGGGGAAAGTCCCAGCTCCTTCTCCTCTGATTGGCTAGAAAAGCTGGAAATGTTATCACCAATCAAGCCAAACGCGGGCTGTCGGCTCTGTACATCGAACAGAACATTACAGAACATTATCGCACTTCTGAATCTCCTAACCCTAACCCTAAAGGTCCTTACACACTGGGGCAGACGCGAATATAGAATGTGAAATTATGAAATAGTCTGAGGCGAATTTTGACGCGCCTGTCTACACATCAAGCCTGATGCAATTTTGCAACTTTTGCAACTGGGGGAAAAAGACTCATCCCGGGTGGAAGCAAGAAGACTGACACAAAAGCAGACTGACTGTTTTTCAGCTCTGATTAGACACTAGTGTTGAGATGTCTGTCTGTCATGATAGCATGTACTGAGTCGGGGCCAGTACCAGATAAGCACATTAAACTATAATCCATAAACTTAAGGTAACAACCGAGACCTAATGGTGCTGTGACAGCAACGCAATTGAGTTTGAGACAGTAAAAATACATATGGTATGTTGTATCTGAACAGGTTAGCTTACGAGCTAAAGTTACTTAGCACAGATGAAAGTTAAAACAAAGATGTTTAGCAAACTGTTAAAGCACACAAACCATCGTCATATGAGAGATCCGACGCTATGACTCTCCACAAGTTGTCCTTCAGGTTTTTATCTTTGTAATATTTGTGTCTTCTATCAAAAATCACTCTGTTCTCTGATACGTAAACAATCAGCCGGTCGGCCATGTTGGATATACCAGTGAATCAGACGTTGCAACAACACGCAATCTGATTGGTCAGAAGTGGACATGCAAAACTTTAGAAAAATCGACCATGATCCAGAAAAATAAATGCTGCAGTATCGCAGGATGGGAAAATGTTGCTGATGTGAACGCTTGTATTGCCAGGGTACAGGTTTGAAAAACAATATTGATGTCCGAAAAAATCGCGCGAAAAAAACGGTCCCTGTGTGTAAGGATGTTAACCTGACAGACGATGACATTTCACAGCTATAAGGAATAACCAATTGGAGCCCAGCACTTTTAGCCAATCATAGGCGAAGGAGGGCGGGACCTTCCCCTACCATCCTACAAAAAAAGTTGACATCCAGGGGAGTTTATAAACCTAAAATGTCAAGGGTTTTGTGTGAAAGTTTTTGATTTCGCATCGCACTCAATCTAACCTGAAAAACTCTCAAAATTAACTACGTGTGACTCTGTGACTCCACCCCTGTGTTTTCATGTCCTCTGCATATATGGTTAATAGGGTTGTGCAAAGGAAATGCATGGTCTCCGGTGAGAGTCTTTCCTGGCCCATCACTGGCTACACAGGGAGTACCAAAATATTGTCCATTGCACTAAGAGGCAATGACAGATGATGGCCAATGGGATCCTGAAATGGCAAGTGAATGAATCATCCTCAGGTGTGGTCTGTTTAGCCTTGATGACTTGGCTCCTCTCAAAGACTGCCTTTTGATTTGAATTTAGTGGATTCTGGCAACAGAAACAAACATGGCATTTGCCAAATGGCAAAATGGAGGCTTCAGAAAAGGCAGTCAACAAACCAATGGGTGATGTCCAAGGAAGCAACATCTTTTATTTATAAAGCCTATGGACAAACATTGCTGTTTATGACAGAGGAGATGTCTGCTCTGGGCTTCCTGCCTCCTTTTCAGCCCAAATTGGCCTTACTTGAGGGGAGGGATTGTCTTGGCAGAGATGTGAAAAGGATATGCCTGGTTGCGCATCAGTCGTTTCAGCAATCAATTAAGTACAACATGGAGGGGAGAGACAGTGTCCCTGTTTCTTTAACCTGCAGTGCATGGACTGAGCTGCATTTAAAAGCCTAAGCTGGAGCCTTATCTCATTTTTCTTTATTCCAGTGAGGGGTGGAAGGAAAGATTGGTGGACAGAGGTGTGTGTATATCTGTGTGTGTGTGTGTGTGTGTTTGTATGACTCACCTGTAAGACTACCTCTGTTTTGGTCTCATCCTCACTCCCACATCAGCCCCTCTGTGTCTTCCTCCTGCAAGCTGTTCCCTTACCTCACACAGTAACGGAAAAAAGCAGTTTTTTTCCCCTCTCCCTGTCTTTCTTTACTTCTGCATCACTTCCCTCCAACACGCATTTTCTGTTTCTAACTAGACTTCTCCCCCTTCGTGACTCTCTGTGACACGCATTCGCGAAGCCACTTGACATTGATTGCCAGGCTGACTGGGTCATGTTTTATATTCTGTTGCGTGGTTAGGTTGGCAGCGCGACTCACGGTCTGAGCCCTGACTCCCTTTGGTGGCAGCGTGACTGGAACACACAGATGAAAAGATTCATGTGTGTTTGCTTTGCTGAATGATCTGCAGAAGTATGCCAAACTCAGGGAATTTTAATTTCCAATTCAGATTTGATTAACTTCATTGACGACATCCACTCATCTGTCTTCAAAGGATAGTTGTGCCTGAGCTGGACTTGATCAGTGTTGTTTTAGATTTTGAACCTTCTGAAATATTTATCAGTGGCTACTTCCACCTTGTTCAGTGCATGATCAGCAGCCTGCCAGCCACTTTATCCTCAACCTACCTTGCTGAGCACATCTCCAAAACAGCATCCTAATATATTATTAATGGTCTCATAGTCGGAGAGAACAGCCCTCCACCCACATGTATCCATTACCCCATTTGCGGTGCAGTTAACCAATATGAACTGCAGAGCAAATTGGTCCAATTAATTAAATTTAAGATAGAGGGAGAGAAGGGATAAGCCTGAGATGAGGTTGTAAGGTTTATTTCCTATTACATCTGAAACTCCTGTATAAATTAAGGTTATTTCGTCTTATATAAGAACCACCTACATCAGCCAGAGGGGTTTAAAAGATTATTTCCTCTACATTAAGAAGACCGAGATTATTTTTGTCATCACATTAAGACATCAGCATGGACAGTAACCAAGCAACAGTTTTATCTTGAATATATTATCCGAGAAAAACAAGATTTATTCTTTTATTATGTAAGATAAGGTGAAATTAAACGGATTCACTTCCAAAAAGCTTCACTGACTCTATCCCCTTCTTTTTTTTTTTTCTTCCCCCCACAGGAAGCAGCCTGTCAATGACTTTCATCCCTCGAGCACAGACCTTCCCCAGCTTTTTGTCTGATGAGCCAGAACAGGAGGAGAGCCAGCACCAGGAAGAGACACCATCGCCCTCTAGTGGCTGTGAAACCAGTTGCAGCCTGAGACCCGTTCAATGACAGAGAACTGCTCCCCTCAAACTGGACACTTTGCCCTCTACTGTAGAAAGGATGTAGAAATATGTATAGTGACATGTGTAATATATCATCACCTGGTGTCAACTGTAGAGCGAGTGGAACATCAAAAGGATCCTGAAAAGTCCTTTTTTTTGGATGTCGTGCAAAAGCAGCAGTAGCTTCAGATATTGCACCAAAAATCCAGTAAGAGTAGTTGAAATGATTTTTTTTTTTTGTCATTTTTTTGTTGAAGCCAGCAGATTTTTATTTTTAATCCCCACACTGTACCTTACAAGACATTTTACGTAATAACACCCCGAGTTCTTCTCTTTAAAAAAATGTCAAAAAACACTTTCTTTCCCTCTCAAAATGGATGAATCTAATCAGGCTCATTCCCGGTTTGCTGCCTCAGCAGCCATGTCCACAGAAATTTCAACTCCCTTTTTTTGACATTACTGCACTTTGCCGTCTCTCAAGAATGTGAAATTGATCAATCCCTTCAACAGAAATGCTCAACATTGATGTCAGTGATGAATCAGCAAAAACCCCGAAAGGTTACAGCCACTAAAATGAAAAAAAAAAGTGACGGCAATATGCTTAAAGGATATAAGATTTGACAGTTGAGTCAAATATGTGAAATCCTTTACTCTAAACTGCCAACCCTACATTAAACTAGCAGAGCAATTCAGATGGAAAAGCCTCTCAGCTCTTCTACAGCCTCATATACATTATTTATAATTCCAGCAAAAGGAGCAGGAGAGATGTTGGCGAGTTAAACGAGGCGTAAAGAAACAATGGCATCCGAGGACTACAAGAGTTTTGTCACTAACTATAAAATCTTAATTTTTGTCAAGCTGGTGTAAAGATTGTCTTCAAATATAGTCAAATTTGGGTAAACAAAAAAAGGCTAAATAAAGCCTAGCTTGTTTTTTCAGTAGCTAACAAAATCTGACTTCCAGCACCTTTAGAGGCAGAACTTGTTGCTTTTACAGTTTTGCGCACTTACAAATACAGTAAACAGTGTCAAATTGTGGACTTGATTAGCTCTGCCTGAATCCTCGCTGAGGTTGTCAACCTAGCTAGCTGGCTGTTAGCACTAGCTGTCTTTGCAGATATGAGATGAATCAACTCTTGTTAGGAACAAAAAGCTGACAGTTACATTAAAAATAAAAACCGATTATCAGCCCACAAAACCTGAATAATAACAACAGACTCTGCAGCCTGACAGCTGACTTTTGAAGTCGCAAACATAGACTGTATATAAAATGGACGCCGTCTGCCTCCTTGCTTGGTGAAGCCTCCCTGAAAACAGCGCCCTCTGTTGATGGGCTGCATATAAATCCCGCCTCCGCCAGCAAAGCTGATGGGGTTGTGGACATGTGTCAAAATAACTTTGATTGACACCTGATGCAGCCTATTGGCGTTCAGGGATTGCGTAGCTCACCCGGGGGATACGCTGTTTGAGCCGAGCGTCATCACAGCGACTCTCGGACTCTCCCGCCGAATGTATACAACGTACTACGCAGCGCTGGTTTCAGGAAATGAAGAAAAATTCCGGAAATACCGAGAGCTTTTGGGCTTCAAATCAGGCGAGAGGCGGAACCAAGTTGTCCATAATATATACAGTCTAGGGTCACAAATATCAGTCTAAACAACACAAACTCGACAAAATCAGCGGAAACCCTCGAAATATTTCAGCGAATAATTTCTGTAGCATGTGTGTCATTTGAATACGTGACTGCTAAGATGATAATGTTCTCCATATTGACCTCCTCCAGTAAGAAGTGCCTTTTAACACAGACCGCTGACTAACCCAGAACATCCCCACCTATAGGCTCTGAGTTTACACACCGACAGTCTTGAGTTCCTGTAGACCTAGCTGTGAAAACGCCGCGTCACTTCCTGAAGTATTTCCGACCCCTACCTGAGCAGAGCTCTTTAAGTCAGCTGAGAAAAAACACTTGTTGCCTGTCGGTGGCTGTCAACACGTCCTCAAGTATTTGTGGTCTAAGTAGTTGTGCTTTTTGTTTTGAGAGGAAGGACACAGATCTCACAAATCGAGACTTCACAACATCAAAACAAAAATGAAAAAGGACTCAAATGACAATCAGTTTGAGGCAGCAAATCACTTCTTTAGTGTTCTTTTCTTACCTTAATGGGCTTTTTTGTTTTTATTATTTAGAAATAGACTCCTGTAAAGCTCAGTATTCAAGTACATGCACTTCTTTCGTGGTAGACTTAAAGTTCGCAGTTTGTCACTTTATTTTATGTGCTATATTTAAAAGAGCTCTGTGTTCATTTGAGTCTCAAACAAAGTGCCCATCTTGAGCTGCATTTGCGCCGCAGAGCCTGTAGAAATATGGTTGTCTCACATCAGGCCACATTTCTGCTCGAGTAGTACTGTCTTAGCTCAAATGTGATGAATATATGTCTGTACACTGGTGACGACATCTGGACCGTCAGAGCCGACACAAACTGAGACAGCTGGAAAAAGTTCTGGAAAAGTGTGTTTATGGTTTCGTTGTCTAAAGACTGTTGCCACATGATTGTATATGTGCGTCCCCTGCGTTTGTGTTCTGTTACCGTCGAGTTATATGTTATCAGCACTTTGAATACATCGAGGGTAGGACTACAGTTTTCACTAAATGTACATATGTAATGTTTTTGATGATAAAGGGTAATAAATTGAATGTTCTATCATGAGTCAGCTTTTTTTTTTAAGGCAGCGGGAAATATTTCGGGGAGAAATCACTGACTTTTCATGAATTATTTGTTTGATTTGTTGTGAAATGTGCTTCTCAGCAGATGAAGTTCACCCGAAGGAGCCTCTTACGCAGTTTTTACTAGGCTGTAAAGTGAAAGAATTACAAACAGTGGTGTTAATAGAAAACTGTGCACTGGGCTTACTTCTTGGAACTTTCCAGAGCATGCACCAGCTGTTAGGATACTAACTTACACCACAAAATGTTACTTTATCACCAGGCTCTTGTAAAAGTTAAAAGCAAAACACGAGTTAATGTTAAGATCACATCAGTAAATAATGCTTCTTTCAGTTTAGCTTCCAGACATCACACTCCCACCTCAAAGGAAACAACAAGTTCACAGTTACGACACGGTTTTATTGGTACCATTTGGAGTCATTTACAGTCACACACATCAGATTCAGTATTGCTGGTCACCCACACAGTACCGCAGACTTCACAGTCACAAATACACTCGCAGCTTGTTCTGTTTTTCCAGGAACAGCGAGTTGAGAAAATGAAAGCAAATAAAAGGTGTGTTTCCAAACTATATTGTCCCTTCTTGTTCCACATTTCTAACTTGTCCACATTTGTCTCGTTCTCTAGCAGGATAGCCTGCATATCCATTACTGCCTCTGCCACTGCCTCCATTTCTATGGAGATAAATGAATCAGATTACACATAAACAACACACAGCTCAGGAGGTACAGCTATAAACCTGCAAATACTGATTTATAAGAGCATAAAGGCGGGCACAGAAATCATTCACAAGGATAAATAAAACTCTAGCATTTGACAGATTATAAAATTGTATTACAGAGCGCAATAAGAAGAAAAAATGTATCAATGAACGAGACAAAGTAAAAGCAGTCATATAAACCAAAGCACAGGATTAGCTAATTAGAGTGGCTTTCATAATAAGAGCGTGCTGTAACTAGAATGCAGTCATCCTAGACAGAGAGGCCTTTGGGGGAAAGAAAAAGTCTCAAGTGATGGTGCAGTGCTGAATGAATGCTTTTCTCTGCTGTTAGATGATTAGACACCATTGTCAGGCTTTGAATGGAAACCAGGAGGGATGAAAGTAAAAAGAGAGTAATTACACAGGGTTTTGTCAATCGTTTTACTCAGGGGTTGGAGGAAGTGATAGGAATGATTATCCAGGCCTTTGTCTGCTGTTTCTGCATGGCGGTGACTGTCAAGGATAGGTTTGCTTATAACAAATGTTTCCTCAGCCGTAATTATGAAATAAATCCTACTCTTAATTAGTGGGACCAGACAGAGTTGACTTTAACAAACCTGTCAGCTTCATCTTGCTGGATGATATTAATGAGTGTCACTCTGCTGCCTACTCTCCTTCACAAATCCAACTAAATAAATATGATTGTAACACTTTATTTGACGCCTGTCGCTATAACACATCATGGATATATTTATAATGCGTTATAATGACGTTATAGTACTCTATAACTATAGTTACAAACACTCATAAATTATCATAATGCTTTATAGCAATAATTATAACATATTATAAAGCATTTTATCATGACTTACAAGGTCAGGTATTATAATGTGTTATAACTGTTAACAACAGTTTTATTGCCTTATCAATAACACTTTACTTTACGCTTCTCTATAGCGCATTATAAACTTATGTATAAAGCATTATAGTCACGTTATAGCTCTACATAACTATAGTTATAAACAGTCATAAATGATCATAATGCTTTATAGCAATTATTATAACACATAGCCAGAGCCTTATGATAATTAATGAGTGTTTATAATGATAGTTATACAAGCTTATAAGCAAATTATAACACATCATAAATATATGTGCATTATCTATGTGGGCAGTGAATTGGTAACAGTTATTACACATTACAACACCTGACCTTGTAAATCATGATAACATGCTTTATAATTTGTTATAACTGTTATAACTTAATGTGTTATGACTGTTAACAACTCACTGACAATGCTCGCATAGATAATGCAATATACATATATTTATGATGTTATAATTTGCTTATAAACTTGTATAACTATTATTATAAACACTCATTAATTATCATTAGACCCTATAACAATAAGCATAACACATTATAATACCTGCCCTGGTAAATCATGATAAAATGCTTAAAATATGTTATAATTATTGCTATAAAGCATTATAGTCATTTATGAGTGTTTATAACTATAGTTATGTAGTGCTATAACATGGTTATAACGCATTATACATAAGTTTATAATGTGCTATAGAGATAGGCGTCAAGTGAAGCGTTACTGCATTATCTATGTGGGCATTGTCAGTGAGTTGTTAACAGTTATAACACATTATAACACCTGACCTTGTAAGTCATGATAAAATGCTTTATCATGTGTAATGATTATTGCTATAAAGCGTGTGTTCATAACTATAGTTATACAGTGCTATAAAGTGATTATATCGCATTATACTATATTCATAATGCATTGTAGGGATAGGCATCAGATAAATTGTTACCAATATGGTCAGTGCTTTAAATATATTCATTTTAATTATTTACACATGAGAACCCCCACAGCACTAAAATCCACACAGTTTGTCATATTTACTCCTGTCTGCTCATTTATGGTGGGGCTTTTGTTTGGTTTTGTGTGACCTCACAGTTTGAAGGTTAGCGTATACCGGACAGTTTCTTTGCTGCTTGGACCGCTTTGCATGCCTGGGATACACAGGGAAGTTTTCATAGAAGTTTTGCTGTGAATATGTAGTAGATTGGGTTAGTATATGAGGTGTTAGACACATTCATGATCAAAAAGTCTCTGTAAATGGTCTTAAAATTGTACATCCTGATGACAAATCAAACGTTATTACACCATTAGTTACAGTATTAGTTGAGTTAAATAAGCACGCATGCACGCAGCTGTTACATGATGTTTAAATTCAGATTAGTGACTGCATGTGTATTAATAAAGAGGGACAGTTTTATAACTCAGAGCATGTCTGAAGAGAAGGTAAGGTAGAGCCTTAAAGGTGTCAAGTGAAAAAATCAGAGTGGAAATGATAACTAAGGTGAGGCTCACCTGACTCTGAGACGGGTGCAGTTTGACTCTGTACTCCTCCCTCCTGTTCCTCTTCCTGTGGTGATTATGGGACAAATACAAATAAACAAAAACAGAGAGTACTTTTTTCTTGTTTTGAGGTAAATTTGAATGCAACTTCACAATTTTCTATCATTTCTAATCTGGACAAGGGCAGGATAGGAAATAGAAGGGCAAGCACATCTTTGGTTGAAATCAGAATATATCAGAACATATGCAACAAGTGCACAACTTAGAAAAATTCAAAGACCTCAAATTCTGAAACTGAAAAGATATTTGTTTTATGAAAAACAAATATACTTCAGTATCAGCAACACATTTCCAAACAGTTTGGAGAGGGACTCCAAAATACTGAAAAAGTTATCCCAATAATAAGATCGATTAGCAACAAATCAGTGACAATACTGGGTGTAGAAATCATGGACACCGCAGCCTCTGCTCTCAGGAGGAGAGGGACGATCTGACTTTCTCTGAGTGTACATTTATAGGGATGCATAAGTGATCATGGTGTGAGTAACACCATTAGATCAGCTAAGGATAGGGGTTTATTCAGGTTTTAGAGCAACATCCAGATGATGCCATTTTTAAGACAGACTACAAATTTTAAGAGACAATGTCAAACAACATTCTGCACAGATTACAGTAGCCTGACTCTGAAGTAGAAGAGTCCTGGTACTGAAGTGGTCTGTCAGCAGTCATGGCTTGACACCAAGTCAGAAATAAAGACATTTGGTGCATCACATTTGTTACAGGGAGTCGTGCTGCTCAGATTCATGTTAGATTGTCCCCAACTTTGACGGCTTTTAAATCGCGCCTGAAAACTTATTTTCACTCCTTGGCTTTTAACCCAGCATAAGAGTTGTGTGATCTGTCTCTGTCTGTTCTTTTATTTATTTTTTATTTTCTCTTTTGTTCTTACAGTTTTTTTTATTTTATTTCCTCATCGTTAAAGTTTAAAGTGCTTTTATGTGGTTTTATTATGATTCTTTTCTGTGTGTTTTAACTTAATTAAATGCACTGTGTAGCACTTTGCTAAACTTAATTGTTTCTTGAAATGTGCTGTATAAATAAAGTGGATTGGGGTGGGATTGGAGATTTTTCAAAACTATTTTTTTCCTTTTATAAAACAAAGTGTTTCCATTTCCGTACCAGATTAGCTGTCTTTGCATCACTTCCAAATACGTCTCAGATTGAAGTGATTTGCAAAGCACTAAATTCTCCTTTTATTAACATTTTTCACTGTGTCCCAACTCTTTTGGAAATGTGGTTATATATAAGATGAGACTAAGAGTGTGGGATCTTACCTGTGTCTCAATGCAAGTAGGAGGATAATGATGAAGAGAATAAACCCTGCAGATCCTGCCCCGATGTAAATGTAGATCATGTACAAAGACAGGCTGAACACATCTGATTGGAAAACAGAAACACAAGTCAGACCAGAAAACGCTGTGGTTCGACTTGTTTGTGGTAATTGACACATGGGTCTTGGAGTTCTCAAAGATCTGTAATAACAGAACTGTGAGACACGACAGGATGTGGTTTTAGCTGAGTCTGCGGCAATCAACTTATTGTTACAGGGATTTTAAAAAAAAATCAGATTCATAACGATACTTACATAATAGTAGCCATTTCATAGAATAATATAGTTAGAAGACTGTGTCCATGTGTTTGAGGTCAGTTTTTGTACCTTGAGGGGGCACTGTGAGCCGTACAGTGGTGGTCTGCACTCCTGCATCTGTGCTGAAGGTACAGCGGTAGAACCCACCATCCTCTGGCTCCACATCTGTCAGATGTAGACGGACGTCCAGGCTGTCTTCACAGTTTACCCTCCCTCTGTCGCTGTAGTCTTCACCCACCAGGCCCCCCTCTACCTTCTTACACACTCCTATGATACTCCAGGGCAGGCCGTGTGGCATCTTCTCCAAAATGACCTGGTAGACGCTGCCGTTGTGCACATGGTTGCAGTTGATGGTCAGGTTGCTGTTTTGCTCTGCTATCATCTCGTTGTCTATTTTGATCTCCTCTGGGGCGGGCGGCTCTGTGCTATCGTCTTCCTCTGGGGGAGTATCTGTGGAAAACAAAGAAATCAAAGCACAATGAATGAGTTTAATTTGATGATTCATAATTCAAGATTGCTTAAAATTTCCCTCATGCTACTCCCTCGGAAAATTGGTTACCTAAATCTTCCACCTGGATGTTCCTGGTCCATGGGCCTTGAGGGAAAGTCTGAACAGAACAGTGATAAAGTCCGATATCCTGGTGGGTGACGTTCCTCAAAGATATACTTCCATCCATAGGGGTTGTCCTCAGGAACTCTATCCTCTCGCGGTAAGGGTGAGAAAAAGCAAAACCATACTCAGGATGGAAAACTGCTATGGGATTCTTGTCTGGTAATTTAGTCCAGGACACCATGCTGAGGTTGCCGTTCCAGGGGCACAAACAGCCGAGGATCATGCCCTCCTCAAGACGGACTGTGGTGGCATCTTTTTGCTGGACAGCGACTGTAAAAAAAAACATCTTTGTGTTTATTTAACTCCTCATAATCTTCACAAAAAAGGCATACATTTTGACCTCAATGAAAGGAGCAACAGATGGAAATTCAAATCAAGATGCTAGAAATAAAATTGCAAACAAAAAATGTAGAATTGCATCTGACTAACTCTGAATACTTGTTATTTAAAAGTTCAGAGACAAACTTCTGAAAAACATATTTACACCCATGCAGTCTGGCAAATGAAGGACCCTGTTTTCTCCCTCCTAAATCTCCTCTAGTTGAAGATTAACACAGCCATTCACAGCTGAGGCTATCCCTCGGGTAATGCTAATTAGGCTAATTCGAGCCAGTACACATAACCACAACTGACAATAGTTGGTGATCAAGCTTCCAAGTTTTCGAAGGCTTTTATCTGAGCTGAATGACAACCGATTTCAAGTCCACCAAAGCCTCTGGGAGAGCTCTGGCAGGTTCAGAATAATAATGTCTGTGAAGAACAAGCCTTTCCTTCAACTTTCAAACCAATTCAATAAAAAGAAATAACAAATAATGACTAGAAATGTATAAACAGACAAAACACTTTCAAATCATTTGCTGATCTTTTTCTGGGTATCCATACAGAAATCTGCCTCTTATATGGAGCTACACATACAGCCATTTCAGAAATATTATCAAATAAAAGCTGAGGAATAAAAAAAAAAACAATCTCCTTACCTTTAAGAAAAGGAAGAAAGATAAGTACCACGAAGTACCAGTGGTCCTTTTGTACAGCTTCCATCTTGCCCCCCGAGGGAGAATGAAAGCAGAAGTGATGAGAGAAGTAGAGAGGCACCCAGGCTGCACTTCCTGCTAGCTCTCTGGCTACAGAGAAACACTTGAGCTAGTGGGGGGCACACTTCATGGTTAGCCCACTGTTAGCTCATCCCACACAGAGGGGCACTTTATCAGCAGGGCTGGGAATGGGAGGCAAGCTTATTGTATAACACTTAGAGGTGGGGTCCATGCTGAGATTGATTTAAACTGCAGGCAGCACACTCAGCTACTTAATGATCATTTCAATGCTTCATTTTTGAGGCGCATTTCTTCAAGTAAAATCACAATTCAAGGAAGTTGAAGACGCTATCACTGAGGCCACATTCACATTCTGTACAGTCTATGGAATTAGCTCAAAAGTCATGGTTTGGTATGAGATCATGGTCCCCAGAGGATGAACCAGGCTGACCCTGGGGTTCCTCTAAACAGCAGTTCTGAGGTTCTTTTTCAGGACGTGGAGTGTTAAGAGTGTAAATTAGTGGAGTCTTCCTTTACACTCTAACACTCCATTCTTGATTATAATGATGTATATTTTTATTTAACAAGTCATTATGGACAAAATACCGGACTACCTTTCCTCTCATTTAATTATGTAGGATGGAATTCATGACCATCGTTGGATATTGTGCAATTTGGTGTCCCAAAGTTAACCCTTTAATGCCTGAAACCACAAATTATGGTCAGAAAATTCAATTTTTTGGGAGCTAAAAATTTTTATTTTACTTATTACTGAAAACCAAAATGTCCTTAAAATTTAACAAATATATATTTCTCATTTGATACATTAGATGTTTTTGGAAACTGATAAACCACAAGGACATTTTTATCATTTATCAGACTGTATTCAGGTGTTTCTTTTAGTAATTTTTATACAAGTATCATACAAGTATGTATCAATTATGATACAAAAGGCATTAAAGGGTTAAATAACGACTCTAGAAGTGCTACAGGTGCAGCTCTCTGAGTAGACTGTTTTCATGTTTCTGAGTCGTATCTTGGTTATCACAGTCAAACCCAAAGTGGTATGGTGCCAAGAGCAGCCAAACATCCCCTCAACCACAACACCTGTTTAAAGCCACAAAACCAGAGAGGGTGACTAAAAGAGGTCGATTTGTTTAAGTGAAGTCCCACCATACAAATATCTGACACATAGTTCTTTATTATTATTAAAACTAATTAATTTAAGGTACAAATAAAGCACGATTTAAGTAAACAAAACATTTAAAAATCACTTAATGAGCAGCTGGGACAGATTTTCCAGGCACTTCAACAGGTAGGTATTGGTAGGCTCCTGCTTGTTTTCTTCATCTGCTGTTGAAAACAAAACACACCACTGTAAACAACAGTACACACAAATCTGCGCGTTGGGATTCAGCGCAAGGACAGGCGCTGATGTGTCTTTATCAAAGTGAATAAATGCAAACCTTTCTTGGAGATGCTACGTGCCGCCTCGATTCTCAACCTGACAGAGGGACACTTCAAAGTCGTCTTGGCCTTTGATGGGAAATTAGAAAGACAGATTAGGAAGATGGGGTTGAAAGCGGGCGAGTGTTTCAGTTCACAACCAGGAAAAAGGAAAGGTTAGTCATCCGTTTATGATGAGAAACAAACATTACCCTCTGATTGTTGTGGAGCAAAGCCCAAAGTGCAGAAGCTCCCATACAGCAGGTTTCCGTGTCTTTACTGTCCAAACAGCTCAGTAACACTTTCATGGCTTTGCCTGAAAAAAACAACATAAAAAGTGACATAAACAACTTGCTTTTAAATAAGTAAAATGTGTCTCTTTATTTCACAATGTAGGAAATAATCTTTTAAGAAAGACAGTCTTAACGAAGATCCACTAAAACCACAATCCACATTATTTTTGTTCCTATTTCAGTCAAACTAGTTTCAATTCCTTTATCAGCTCTATGGAAAGTTTGAAAACAATCATATCACAAACATCAATGTCATGCTGTCACAACATATACAGGAAATCGGATATTTCCACAGGAAACCATAAGTTCTGTCGCTTCACACCCACCTAGTGTCACAGCACCCACCTGCAGCCTGAGCTGTGAGAGGGGGCCGCAATCTGCTACTTCCTTTCTTCACTCCATCTACATATCTTAGAAACCTTTAACAGCCGACATGCATCCGAAGAATGATACTCGGCATTTACTTGTATTCATGCGTGCATCCTGTTGCATTTATTTTCTCAACCACCAGATCATTATTATCTATTATACCCTGATAAAAGTATCCTTTAACTATTTGTTCATTAGCTCTCACAGGTGGTGTTTGATACATACATCTGAAGCTGACAATGTATTCATGCAGCAAGGATACGTTCTATAAATATTACCGTTTTTTTCTTGTTTTTTTTCCTGTTCAAACACTTAAAATCCACACGTGACAAACAATTAAACTCTTGCTTTTCCTGCGTACCGTTGGCAAGAACATGTGGCTTGTTGGCAGAGCAGAAGCAGAGGTTATGAAGGGTGAGCAGAGCGTGGTGCCATTGCGGTGCCAGGTCTGCCAGCAGCTCCAGGGCTCCGGTCACCCTAAGGATACTCTGCTGGCCGTCCTCCGCGAACGAGACGTTCACCAGCAGCCTTAACCACAGGCCCAGCAGGCTCCCACTGCTGCAGCTCACAGATGCGGCCCTCACACCGCCTCCCTTAGGCATCGGCACCGACAGGAATGCTTGGAGGAAGTTATTCTGAAAATGACAAGACATGAAGGAGTTAACGTCGGGGTTTGAGAGACTTGTGAACGGATAATTAGGAGCAGGTCCAAAGTTTAGAAAAAGATTTCCCAGCATGAGTGTGAGGGTGAGATTTTGGACAGCTTCAGTGCAACAGAAGCTGATGTCATAAATAACTAACACCGTGTATCTCTTTTTTCAGTCTGTAACACTGCAAATCTCACTTCAGTTTGATCTGTTAAGCTCGTGACTTTGATTTTCTGAGCCAATTTAACTTTGAGGAAAACCACTGAACCTGAGTGGTTTATAAATACAATTATTGAAGTAGCACCTTCTCATAAAAACTGTTCACTTGGCTATTTATTGATATGTTGTGTTACCTTTTGCAGGAGGCCCCTGCAGTCTCTGGACATGGCGAGGTTAGCCAGCAGAGAGAAAGCCAGCTTCTGGACCTGACTGTTATCTGGGGCAACCCCTGAGGCCAGCTTCATGATGCAGTGCATTAGAGAGTTGCTCAGGGTGCCTTTAGAGCCCGGTGCAGCACCTGGACCACCGCTGCAGAGGGAACTACACGCTGAAAAGAAGGAGATAAAACCAGAGTTAGGGCTGGGCGATAAATAGATAATATATGTTGAAAATTAGTTTCCCTCAATATCAATTAGGGCCCAACAGATTTATCGGCGAGCTGATTAAATTGGCCAGTTTTAGCCCGACTAATTGGTAATTGGCCAAAACTCACAGATTTTCGCAGATATTTTCAGAAACAAAATGTGGAGAATAAGATTCGGTTTCACTTTGAAAATGTTCCGCCATTTGAAAAGTACCCTGACTTATCCTGTAGATGGCGCAGTGACCACATGAAAATCTTCATCCACTAACTACCTCACAGCGCAGCAGAGTGACGGATCTGAAGCAGGCAGCTCAGGGACGCACGGAAGACATCGTCGACAACACTGGCACGAAAACATTGGTGGTTTGGAGGTATTTTTCTTTTTTAAGGACGGACATGAAGCAGTGTAATGTGCATTGCAAATTATGTCGACTACATGTTCTCACAAAGTCAGGGACTACCTCAAATATTTTTCACCACCTGAAGCAGTGCTACGCAGCAGAGCATGCGCAATTTAAAAGGTTACAAACCCAGAGTCGCGCAAGGAGCCCATGGCGCCTGTGCAGCTAAAACAGCTGACCATTCAGTCCACTTTCTCTAGCGCAACGCCTTACGTCAAAAAGTCAGAGACACAAAGACCTCACAGATGCAGTAGCTTATTGTATTGCGAAAAACATGCTCCCAATAAGCACTTTAAAATTTCATTTTTTATATTGTGATATTTATCAATATCCACTGACATGAAAAAAAAATCTGTGATGAACTTTTTCCCATATCACCCAGCCCTACCAGAGACATTTGAACAACACATTTCCTATGATTGATCACATTCAGGGCAGCAAAGTTAGCTCAGGATTCACCGAGTTTTAGCTCTACAGCTCTGCATTCGGACACTGCTAACAGCTCTAAAGTCCAACACTAAAACAGTACAACACTCAGCAAAATGCTCTCTTCTTGTTGCTTTTGGAGCTGCCTGCTTCTTTCTGTTTACCACACAGTTAACTAGCTTTGCAGCCAGGAGCCACAAAAAAAAAAAAAAGACTTGACCTGCTGGGCTGCACGGCTGTCTGCACACAGTACTCAAACATCTACGCACGGCTTGTTTCGCTGAACAAGCTGTCTCGCCGAACGACAGATATGATGAAGAAGAGCAGACGTCTCGCACACAGACAGGACAAACTGCACCTTAAAGACGGAGCTGCCACGCTTCTTTATAGAGTGTTCAAAATGTGTTTGGAGGCAGCAGCAGCAGCAGAGGCCTCACATGTGGAGTCAGATAGCTTTGGAAAAGATGTTTTATCTTTTGACTGTCTTTTAATTATCATTCACTCTGACAGCTCTGACTAATGATGAAAACAAGCGTTTCTTTACTCTTGGAAGGAGAGACATTATTTAGCCCGGGGCGATAGTTGCAATTTATTCAACTTCAACATCATTCAGGAACGTAAACACAGATTTATAACGCACAAATAAGAGAGGCCAGAAAAAAAAAAAAAAATCTCTCTTTTGGCTCCACATTGCCATCAGGATAACTGACATGGCTAATTGCTGCAGTTGCAGATTATATACAAATTGAATATAAATGTGAAAAGACAGTCTGACACTGATTGATGCTGCTTATTGAGGAACATGACAGCTTGTTGGTTATGCTAATCCAGGAGTGGTAACATACAGCAACAGGCGTGCACTGATGGTAGCCTGAGGTTATCCCAATACCTGTCAGAAAAACGCTGGTCTATCACAGAACTGACAAGAGAGCCCTGACTCATAACAGATCCCCGTCCTCTGATGAGAGTCAAAAGCCTTCCCACTGCTGCAAGAAACCTCATTGATTTGTTTGTATTGGATTGATCATTTCATAGAGGATATATACGGTTTTATGTCTGCTGGAGCAAGTTTTGGGGCTGCTACAAAAAAATATCTGTGAGAATGTGTGGCACAGACAAAAAAAAACAACAACAATCTAACTTGAACTAGCAGTACAAACAAAGCCTTGGATGAAGGAGGCAGACTAGAGATGAAACATTCACAGGAAGTGTAGCAGTCTCCGGAGACGCAATGGTAGCCCGAGGGTGGATGGTGTAATACTAAGCCTGGCTGCATGCAGCCCGAACACAACCTGCTGTTCAGTTCACCTTTAGGGAAATACTGTGCCTGACTTCACTGATTTCTGGTACCTCACAGCTTGAGCATACGAGGGGTCTAAAGCGAGTGAGTTTAGATCAGAGCACACGCACCCACTGAGGATCCGGTGCCAATCATACAGAGACACGCAGAAAGGCACAGACACGTCGCACATGAAACTTCCCTTCCTTTCACTGATGAAACCGATTTTCATTGCATAGCGACACCAGACGCACACACAGACACATCAAAGGCACCATGAGGCATTTATCAAAGTCAAATTTCCCCACTGTTTCCTCCCCGTGAATCCACTCGACTGGCTTTTTTTCTCCGCCAGCCTTTTTGCTCTTCTAAGTTGAACATACGCAGCGCCTACATTTCGCACGATGGAATACTAAAATATCAGGAAACACAGAGACACTGTGTGCTCCCCCACATCGTCTCCAACTGGTCTGACACCCGGTGCCATACATACAGTGTGACGGCCATGCAGCCTGACCCCTGATCATGACACTGTGCCCATTGTGGCTGGCAGGCAAACAGTCGTACAGTGAGACACAATGTTGTTCAGCGGTCATTTGGGAGGACAATGGGCCTCATAGTGTGAAGCGTGTGTGACTCAGTCGGACTGCTAACTGTAGGCGGGGGCGACGGGCAGGCACGGGCCAGGCACAGTGCCTGTACAAACACATAAGACACACAGACAGACACACAATCACACACACATACACACACACATACACAAACAGACCTGTGGCGCAGTTGGCGGTGTAGACGCACAGAAGCTCCAGCGCCGCCTCCATGGTGGGGTCATCCAACAGGAGCCAAGGCCAGAGAGCAAAGAGTGCCAGTGTCAGGCGAGCATCTGTGGCCACCGTCTACACAGACACACGAGTAAAAATAATGGATCACGCACGCACACGTTTTAAGTAGCACACTTAAAAAGCAATACAATACATTAGAGAAAGCCTGATTTATACAGCAGCACAAACACAGATGGCAGTAATCAACATAAATTGCTCTGGTGTTTTTCTAAGCGTGCATGAGAAACACACAAGGAGGAGAATAATCGCAGGGAAAATCACGCCAGTTGAGCCTTCCTGGCTACTTAGTCCAAGGTAACCACCAGTGACTAAAAGGCCACTTAGAAAATGAGAACCGGCTAATATGCTCCATAAGTAATGCCATTACAGGGTTTAAGAAGCTAAACTTGCTGACATGTTAGCAGGACCGTGCACATTAAGTTGGATCTCATTTACAGGCTCAGCATTGGTACTCCGAGGTTCCATTAAAAAACAATTAGCAGCAGGGAATTAAAAGGCAAGACACAGAGGCTCACTTTGCATTCATCGTTGCGATAAAGAGCGCTCCGCAGGATCTCCACAGTCAGCTTGATCTCCTTTAAATAGCTTTCTTCCTGATAATATAGAAAGACAAAACAAAAAGCAATATGTTCAGACGTTCGAGATGAAAGCACTCTCCGGCAGCTCCAGAACAGCGAGGGGGTTCACTGCTGAGAACTACAACAAGATTTTGGCCCAGAAAAACTCCACCGTGATGAGTTCAGGTTGTCGTTACATCAAATGGAAAGAAAAAGACTGGCAGCTCCAAGCTGCTGAAGCTGGAAATTTCCACATAGTCTCTACTTACCTTTCTGCGGTGAGAGGCTTTACCAGGTCGGACGGACTCCAAGTGGAGTTGGGAGTGAGTTTGCTTCATCTGCTCTACACAGCTGTCAATAAGACCAGCTGGAAATATAAAAAAACAGAGGTTAGAATAGGATCTGATATTACCTGATTTGACTTCTCAGTCAAGTTGCAACTGGACAGCCAAGTCTTTGTCATGATATGTTCTGGTTTTGGTTATCTGAGTGTATTTTTTTGTGTGTTTCTTCATAGTGTTTTTGTTCCCCATTGTTCTTATTCTCTGTCACAACGTACAGGGTTAAACAAAGAAAGAGACCCAAATGCAGAACAACACAATGATTTAATTAAAAGAACGAAATGAAAAAAAAAAAAAAAGCAGCAAAAGAGAAAAATCCACAAAAATCCTGAGGAGCAACAGGGGACATGTTGAAGCATACACATTGACATACATACAATGAACCAAGAAGGACAGAGGGGAAGACAGGGACTATACACACAGGGTAACGAGCAACAGGTGAAGCAAACGTGACACAGGTGAGGCTAACGAGACAGGTGAAACTCATGAGTGATTAACGAGGGAGGGAAAACTACGGAAGTAAAACCAGACTAGAAACACAAGGAATCAACTACTACAAAATAAAACAGGAAACTGAACCAAAGGATAAGACATTGAAAACAGGAGGGAAACAGGGTCAAACACAAACTGAAAACTCACACGACTGGACAACAGGGGAACAGGAACACTAGGAAGAAACACACAGAAAATACACTAAGGTAACCAAAACCAGGGGAAAACTAAATACCAGAACATATCATGACCGTCTTTCCGCTACTGTTACAGTGTTACAGGGATCTTTTCTTACTTAGATGCATTGTATCTAAATCACTATTGAAACAAAATAAGATATAGGCATTTGGCATACAAGCCAGAAAAGTCTGCAATTCACAACCTTCACACATTGGTTTAATTCGAGGTATGGCCCACTGTCACTTTTGATTTTTACCATCCGTTTACTGCAAAGTAATTCCTCAGGTCACTGTTTCTTATAGCATTCCCAAACCTTGTAATCAGAAGTGCAACATGGCAGCGTTTGAGAGAAGAAAATGAGGGTGAAGCTTACCTAAAGACCTAAGGACTGCATCTAACCCTAACGATTTGAAAACCAAACTCAAAACGTACCTCTTTAGTCTTGTGTTTAACTAGATTTTATATCATCAACTTTGTTGAAGTGTTTTAGCATGTATCTCTTTCTAGTTTTAATGACAAGATCATCTTTCATTGAGCTATTTTGGTGCTCTTATTGTAGTATCTTTTACTGTTTTTTTTTATTTCCTTTTATTTGTTACTTCTCAAATTTCATTTTGTGTTACTTTGTTTTTAGATTTTAATCTAACCTCCAGTGTTTCCTTATCTTGAATTATAAAATGGCATTTCCTCAGTGCGCACATTTCTGTTTCTATGAATCAAGCCCTTTTCAAGTTTAGACATTTTAGTACATGTTTCTGTTGCGTTTAGATCGTGGGGTCGGAATGAGGGATTGGGTTGGTAGATCCGGGTATGCTTGTGTATGAAAAGTGCTATATATATTGACTGATAAAGCGGCCGCCATGTTCATATTGATGTCTGAAGCAAGTAGCATCAAAACATGGGGGATGTTGGGTTGTGGGTTTGGTGCCCTGTGTAAGAGAGGCTGCAGTTGTCTTTGTGCTGTTAGTAGGATCTTTTCTTCAGTCCCAACAGGATTTGGTTTGTATCATTCCCTCTCTCTCTCTCCCTACGTTTCCTGTTCCACAAAAGCTGTCGAATCAAATTAGGGCAAAAAGCCCAAAAGATCGTCTTTAAATTGAAGGATAGATCGTAAAGGAAGATTTTTTTAGCTGATGCAAAAGAACCGACTTCTTGGTTAATCTTGTGGTGAACCACTAGACAAGTTGGTGACCCACTTAAAATCTTCAAAGAGGTTGTAACAGGTGACTGACTGTAGCCTAAGGTTCGGGGGTTTTACCTTTGGCTGCATGGCTCTGAGCGGTGTGGCTGCAGGCTAACAGTGTCATCAGGGTTCGAGCTGTCAGCTTCTTTAAAGGGTCCTGAAGGGTCCTCTTCTCCAAACTCTGGCATCAGCAGTCAAGGAGGAACATAGTCTTCAATCAGTCCCCACAATAACACACTCTTAAAAGTTAGCTTCAAAGTTTTCAGACTGCCTTGAGCGCATACACTATTGTATATAAAAAGCAATCAAGTTTAGTCAGATTGAACTCCCACTGCGCACCGAGGTCTAGACAGAATACCTCTCACCACACCTCCACACCTCACCTACCTGCAGTAACAGTTCACACAGTTGGCTGGCTGGGGGACCATTCACAACGTCAGACAAAGCTGAAGCAGGTTTAGAGTTTGTGACATCTACGCCCTGATTCTTCGCCTCCTCGGTGAAGATAGCACAGAGAAACTGCAGAGCCACGGTGTGAAGAAAAGGATCCGGGAGCTTCTCATTCACACACACTGAGAGCGTTCCTGCGAGCACACGGGGGAAAACTAAAAAGACGAAGTTGCTGGAAGAATACTTTTCTTTTTAATGAATGACACAGCAAAACAGACTGAATCACAGCGTGACAAAGGAGCAAATTCATAGTTTGAACCCCTGACAGCTTGATATTTGTCGGAGAACACACTAGTCATCTAAATGTGTACGCAGGCACCAAGATATCAACAACATGTGCGCACAGACAAAAACACACACACACAAAGGCTTAGCATTCATCTTTCACTGGACTCATCAGATTCCCCTGCTACGCCATTAATCACAGAGGAAGATGAGTGGGAGGAGTGGAGGTAGTTTAAGGACAGGATGTAATTATCCTACCCTAGCATCTGTTCAGGGAAGTTAATACACACAGTAATGATGCAATGATGTGTGTTAATATGAGGGATTTTTGGGAGCCAGAATTAAAGATGCAAAATTAAACCTAAAATGCTAATCCTGATTATTTAGCGAGTTACACTAATCAGCGTAATTATCCTAATCATGATTATCAGCCTTTATGATTAGGAAAAAAAACGACTCTTCAGCCTGATTTCATCATGACTCAAGATCTTAACTCTTTCTCCTCAGAGGGATGTTTATATTCAACAAAGTACCACAATGTCTCCAAAAGACAAGAAGCTATTTTTATGAATTGTAAGCAATGATGTATGATGGATGATTTTCCGCCTACATCACAGTAATTAATTGAGTCACTCTTACACACACGTACACACACATTCACACACACAGACAGTGCAGAGTGTCTGTGTACCTGTGAATGTCCGCCAGCGTCTCCCCAGTGCAGCAGAGACAGATGGGTATGATGCTGAGCTGTCCCTCCTCACCAGAGTAGCCAGGAGCATAAACACGTCTGCCCAGCACACACACACCGCGGCCCGGGTACCTGCATCTGAGGAGGGAAGGAGTGAGTCACTAATTTTATGACATGAGGCAGCCACAGAGCCACACTGCAGAACACACTGCAGGGAGGGTCAGGTAAATGTCAGGATAGGACTCACTTTTGTAGCATGATGGAGACACAAATTCAGAGTATACACAGACACTCTGTTATCAGATATATGATTATGTTGCACCGCTGTCTTAAAGGTTTTTAATGATTTCAGTGTGGTATCAAATTCCCACTTAAAATACAGCTACAAATCTGGAGGGGTATTTCACTGTACTTTGAAGTATGGCACCATATCGAATATTTCATCTGCTAACAGCTGATACTAGCATTTTAACTACTTCACTTTAAGCTAACTAATATTAGGTTTGTTATCTGGAAGTTAGCTGGGGGCGTACACAAAGAGGCCAGACCTGATGCCAATTTGTAATCTTTCACTATGATTGGTTATTTGCCTTTTCAGAAGCAGGAATAAGATGTTTTAAATCCGTTTCTGGTCTTGGTAACACTTTATTTGATGCCTATCTCTGCTGCACATTAAAATATATGTATAATGTGTTAAAATCACGTTATAGCACTGTGTAAGTATTAGAGCCTGACCAATATGAATTTTTTGGGGCCGATGCCGATTATTAGGGGAGGAAAAAATCAGATTACCGATTAATTTATTTTTAATTTATATTGATTTTTAAAAAAAATTATGAAGTTATAAAAAAATAGATACACCGTAGATATCTACAGTATTTTATATACTGTACATAAACTGTAGGCTACTGCTCTTCACGCCGACAGGAAGACCGACTGAGTGTTTATGAGTGTTTATAACTTAAGTTATACAGTACTATAAAGTGGTTGGCACATTATATATAACACATTATACATATATTTATAATTTGTTATAGGTGTCAAATAAAGTGTTACCCTGGTTTTCACTATTTGAACTCTGGCTTTCAGTTAAGCACATCTGTTTTAGTACCTGAATTTAGTACCTGAAATTATAACTCTGGAAACACACCTTTATTTTGATTCCTAAAAAAATAAGGAGATTCATATGTTGCCATTCTGACAGCTATTACAAGGTCATCTTACTAAACTGATTAATCTTACTTCAATTAAAACTTAAGCTTCTGACCTAATCCTTTAGTATCCAGCATGAGCACTGCCGCTAAAGTCGTCAACAGCTGCTTCAGAAAGTCCATCTGACCAATCAGCTCCTGGCTCACTGTGACACATGACTGCAGCAGTTTGGAGAAGCTGGACAGGAACTGAAGTAATGTGACCAACTGTATGGATGTAAAGGGAGGAGAAGTTATTCAGATGAAACAGCAAAAAATCCCCCAAACTTACAAAACAATGCTTTAAGTTTGAGCTTCTTGAATATTCCGCCCACACTGAAAGCTGGAGGTGCCCTCAGACAACCTCGCGCTGCACTGAAGCTAGAGCTACACTGTACCAACCCACATTTTTCCTGATAAGTCATACTAACAAAAAAGTTGAAAAACTCTTGAGAACTGTCTATCAGCTGTTCTCACCTGGCTCTTGATATCTTCTCTCTCTCCTGGAAGGATGTTTGGAGTCTTTAGCTCCTTCAGACATTTCTCAATGGGCTCGGTATCCACCAGACTGGAGCAGAAAAGAGAGATGATGGAAAGTGTGGGAGTTTATAAGAAATATCTGAAGGAGATTAGCGCTATGATTAGCATTTATTCTCTCCAGAACCATAAATAAACATATTTACACACATCATCATCAATCATGACGAAAAATGAGAAAAATATGTTACCAGAGCTGTAAGTGCTTGTTTTATGATTGTAAAGCCTTTTCTACACACAGACAGTGTGCCATAATTTAACTTTGAAGAGGAAGAAGAAGAACTTTATTGATCCCTGAAGGGAAATTCAATATTTAATTTTATGTCTTATAGCTATAATTGCCATCACTATATTTCGGGGCCATTTTGATATGCTAGGAAAGAGTCGTGCTTGAAAATGATTCAATCCAAGCATAAAGCTACAAAGTTTAGAAAACAAAAGAGGCAAAAGGAAACGAGAATTTCTGAGGGAGAAAAGAGAAAAGGAATCATGTATGAAATCACAATGCCACAAAACAGATATCAGGGAAGTGGTAGCACCTGTTGGACATTATAAATCATGCTAACCATTACTGTAGGGTGACCATACGTCCTTCTTTACCTGGACATGCCCTCCTTTTGGGGGCTGTCCGGCCTGTCTGGCTTTGTCCGGGGAGGTTTATAAAATCCTTCAAATGTTCGCGACTTTGTACGTAAGTTTCGAGTTTGTGTCATGTGGACTTACTAAGTTAGAAGCGCGTAAAAGCCACTCAATCCGACCCGAAAAACTATTAAAATTAACTTTGTGTGACTCTGTAATTCCGCCCCCGTGTAGTCATGTCATCTTTTTGGGAAGTCAGAATATGGTCACCCTACATAACAGTATTTAGAATACCTGCTCATTTGGTCTCACGAGCAGAATATTCATGAACATATTGAACACAGTTTGAACAATTTGGAGAAAATGTCCTTTTCGTGTGTTATTAAGTATATATGAATGACCTTTTGTTCAGTGGGCGGAGTATGATTGGTGGCACTTTGGAACAGATACTGTGGGTCAGCAAGCAAAAGAGCTTTCACAAGAAAATCGCTAAACTCTGAAAGCAACTGTAGATAAAACTGAATAAAAAACAGTATAAAAACACATGAAAAGGCTGAGTTTAAAGGGGATAGTTTATCAGCTGAGGACCAGGTGGACTGACTACTTTTATGCCCTTCAGAACAGGTTTTATCTGACTAAACAGAGGAAAAGAGTGAGGATAAAACCAGATTTTTAATTTTTTATTATATCCAGTAGCTTTTTCTCTCTTCTTTTTATTGTTAATAATTTAAGTGTTTATTACTCACAAGGAGCTGAGTCTCTGGGAGAGCTCGAATGAAAAAAGAGGGCGAACCTGTAGGAACTCTGATGCTTTGTAGAAGAATAAATGTGAAATGAATGCTCTTAATAAACAAAGAATTTAACAGAGAAAACTGTAACCTAGTACATAGATGCCCATTTAATGCCCAATATAAAAATAAAAAAAAGATTGAAACATGTGAAAGAGATTGATAAAGGATAACGGTTATCCCTTTGTTTTCTTTGTGATTAACACATCAGAGATGGTCGTGTGTGTGTGCAGCCTCCTACCTGGCCAGTGCCTGGAGGAGCTGGTTGTGTCGCACAGCAGTGAGGGTGAATTCTGGCAGGATGGCCAGCAGGTTTGCCAGCAGGCCGCAGTGGGCCGCCATGAGTTCAGGAGTTACCATGACAACAGGTTCCATGGCCGAGGGCTCACCCTGTTGGGAGTCTTGGGAGGTGGCTGACTCACTGGTGTCTGTGTCACTCTGACCTGTCAGACACATCAATAGAAGACTAATGGAGACACCTCTACATTGCGCTGTTTGATTTAGGTCATGACCACAGGAAAAAAAAAAAAAACCTTCAACAACGTGAGGTTAAAAAGCGGAAAACATTGATCTACATCTGAACTTTAAATGTAAGACTGAAACATAAATACAAAAATATGGCAGATGGTTCGAGTTTATAACTGTCTGACCACAGCGAGGGTTACCAGGTCAGAGGAAAAACATGTGAGAGTTTACGTGATACGAACAACTGATTCACGCTCCGTTAATTCAGCTGTAAATGTGTCTGCACCTCTCGACACACAGACACACTCTTCATCTCTCTCTCTCTGTGGTACCTTGAGCTGTCAGTCTGCTGGCAGGTGTTTCTTCTGTGATGCTCAAAGGGGAGGGACTCTTAGGAGTGTGTGGGCCTGAACCTCTTATCTGTAAACAACAATATAAAGACATATGCAGATGCAGCTATTTGTTTCATGTTGTAATGTCTGCAGGTTTTTGAGGGTACAAGCCATTGCTGACCACAGTGCTCGAAGTGGAGAGGGAGCTGGAGGGTCTGCTGGAGTTGGCGGTGGGTGCAGGTGGGTCGCATCTCCAAAACCACAGAGAATTCTCTGAATCTGGACAAGCGTTTTCATGTAAGAACAGCTCAAATACACACAATTAAAGGTAACATGATCAAAACATTAAACCTACCGAGTGAATTGCTCCCCTGAGGAGCTGATCCTCTGATGGCGCCACCTTGAGGGTGCGAGTGGAAGGTGTACCTGCCTTGGTAACAACTAGAGGCACAGACAGCCACATGCTGGAAGTACTGACAGTGGTAGAGCAGAGCCTGGAGGGCCGGGAGACCCACCAAAGACACACCGGACACCTCATCATGGACACACGGGTGCTAGGAGACAAGAGAGCTGGTGTTAAAATGATGCAAAAAGATGAATGCACATTAAATTGTTGTAAAATAACTTGTGTTCCCTATCCTATCTTTCTCCAATTACAACTACATCAGATTTGTGGCTACAGCTCCCTCTTGCCTATCACACATAAAAATGATGGTTTAGACGGCGATTAAACTATTATTATTCTGAGGGCTAGTACACCAGCTACCCCCCAGTTTGAACCCCGCAGAGTTTAAGTAATGTATTGGTTTGGGAGGGAGAAGAGAGAGACACAAAGTGAAAGAGAGAGAGAGGGAGTTAAAAAAAAAAACTCTTCACGGTCTATAAAAGCTTTTCAACTGGCTGGCAGAGCTGCTGACCTGCCAGTGGGAGTCCTTGGCCTCCTCCGCGTTGGCAGGCATGGGCATCACCAGCAAATTCTGCAGGATAAATGCAGCCTGGACACACAAAGCAGAAAAAAAGAGAGTTGTGCACACACTGGGTCGAGTCAGACTGCATCAGCAACAGTGCCATCTGCCTGTATAAAGCTGGAAATACACAGGAGTCCAGCTGCTATTTCTGACCACAACAAGTTTAGTTTGAGACAAAGAAATAAAAAGCTCACTCTCATTAAAATATAAAATCATAAACAGATCTATTTTCTTATTCTGTGTTTCTTTACTAAAATAAACAACAGATTAAGTGATTTACTCTCAGACAGAGGAGTAACATTTGCAGTTGTATTGTAGTACCTCTCTGCGGACCATGCTGCTCTCCTGCTGATCTAAAAGGATGTTGAGCAGGGTGCCCCACAGACCTCCGCTGATGTTCTGACAGCTGGCGCACAAAGCCTGACACCCGCTGGGCACTGAGGACAGAGCTGCACCCAAACCCAAACTGGCACACCTCACCTGACGTGAGAACGCAAGAGACAAAAAGATCTTGAGTTTTATGGACACCTCAAGAGCCAAAACCAGCATTTCAAAAACTTTGATGCTGCTAATGTTTGGGGACATCTATTGAGTCACTTTAATTGTGGATTTGAAAGTACTGGTTGTTCATAAGACTAACATTTAAACTGATGATGGCAGTGTCTACCTTGTCATGGGAGCCTTTTTAGAGTGACTCTCATGTTAGAACTTATTTTTGGAGAAAGACAGAGAATTTGCTGTGACTGGCTGTCATGTGCTTCTTTTTTCTCTGCGAGTTCTTTTGCGACTCTAGTGGGTTTCATTCGTCCCAAAAGTCAAGCGACTTGAAACTCGGCTTTATGACAGAGGGAGTTATTGAAGTCGAGCTGAAGAACGAACGGTGAGCACCTTCGGGCTTTTAACAGCCAATTTATGATAGAGCTAGAGACTAATTTGGATATAACTTTTTTTTTACTGCAGCAAATGTGATGAATTTTTTTTTCTAAGCTTAATTTGAAATTTTATTTGAAAACATGAATTCAAAATTTTCACCAAGTCAATAATAAAGCCAGGACAGAAAAACGTCCTCTAAAGTCCCTCGTGGCTGTTGAAAGCCACTTGTTTTGTCGGCTGTAAAATCATATTGGATTAATATTTTTTTCTGATTTTTTTTCACAAATCTCTTATTTTACTTCTGCCCTGTTCGAAACTAGCAAATGTTTCATTAAAAACAGTTTTTTTAACCCTTTAAGTGCCAATTTAAGACAAAAAGTCACAAATTTAGCAAAAATTGAGGGAAAATGACCCATTTTTTTAATAAAACATGATCAGAAACTGGTAATCTCTTGCAGGGTATTAAAGTCTTGAATATGTCAGAGATTAGTAATATAATTTACTTATATGCATTTTCAGTTTTTCTGAAGCATCAGATTTAATGAAAAACTGCGTTTGGCGCCTCCCAGTGGCCAAAACTACTTTGTCTGCTGTAAAATCATATTGGATTGATATTTTTTTCTGATTTTTTTTCATACATTTCTTATTTTACTTCTGCCCTGTTCAAAACTAGCAAATGTTTCATTGAAAATAAAAATTTTAACCCTTTAAGGGCCAATTTAAGACATAAAGTCACTTAAAAAGCAAAAAAAAATGGAAGGAAAAATTTAAGGAAAATGACCCATTTTTTAAATAAAACATGATCAGAAACTGGTAATCTCTTGCAGGGTATTAAAGTCTTGAATATGTCAGCGATTAGTGATATAATTGAATTCAATGCATTTTAAGTTTTTCTGTAGCATCAGATTTGATGAAAGACTGCCTTTGGCGCCTCCCAGTGGCCAAAACTGCCTTTTCTGCTGTAAAATCATATTGGATTAATATTTTTTTCAGATTTTTTTTCATACATTTCTTATTTTAATTCTGCCCTGTTCAAAACTAGCAAATGTTTCATTGAAAATAAAAATTTTAACCCTTTAAGGACCAATTTAAGACATAAAAGTCACTTAAAAAGCAAAAAAAATGGAAGGAAAATGAAGGAAAATGACCCATTTTTTTTATAAGACATGATCAGAAACTGGTAATCTCTTGCAGGGTATTAAAGTCTTGAATATGTCAGAGATTAGTAATATAATTTACTTATATGCATTTTCAGTTTTTCTGTAGCATCAGATTTAATGAAAAACTGCGTTTGGCGCCTCCCAGTGGCCAAAACCACTATTTCTGCTGTAAAATCATATTGGATTAATATTTTTTTCAGATTTTTTTCATACAGCTCTTATTTTACTTCTACCCTGTTCAAAACTAGCAAATGTTTCTTTGAAAATAAAAATTTTTACCCTTTAAGGGCCAATTTAAGACATAAAGTCTCTTATGAAGCAAAGAGGTCATTTTCCTTCCATTTTCCTTCCATTTTTTTGCTTCATAAGAGACTTTATGTCTTAAATTCGCCGTTAAAGGGTTAAAATTTTTATTTTCAATGAAACATTTGATAGTTTTGAACAGGGCAGAATTAAAATAAGAAATGTATGAAAAAAAATCTGAAAAAAATATTAATCCAATATGATTTTACAGCAGACAAAGTAGCTTTGGCCACTCGGAGGCGCCAAAGGCAGTTTTTCATTAAATCTGATGCTACAGAAAAACTGAAAATGCATATAAGTTAATTATATTACTAATCTCTGACATATTCAAGACTTTAATACCCTGCAAGAGATTACCAGTTTTTGATCATGTTTTATTTAAAAAATGGGTCATTTTCCTTCTTTTTCCTTCCATTTTTTTGCTTTTTAAGTGACTTTATGTCTTAAATTGGCTCTTAAAGGGTTAAAATTTTTATTTTCAATGAAACATTTGCTAGTTTTGAACAGGGCAGAAGTAAAATAAGAAATGTATAAAAAAAATCTGAAAAAAATATTAATCCAATATGATTTTACAGCAGAAATAGTGGTTTTGGCCACTGGGAGGCGCCAAAGGCAGTTTTCATTAAATCTGATGCTACAGAAAAACTGAAAATGCATATAAGTAAATTATATTACTAATCTCTGACATATTCAAGACTTTAATACCCTGCAAGAGATTACCAGTTTCTGATCATGTCTTATAAAAAAAATGGGTCATTTTCCTTCAATTTTTGCTAAATTTGTGACTTTTTGTCTTAAATTGGCACTTAAAGGGTTAAAAAAAATTGTTTTCAATGAAACATTTGCTAGTTTCGAACAGGGCAGAAGTAAAATAAGAAATTTGTGAAAAAAAATCTGAAAAAAATATTAATCCAATATGATTTTACAGCCAACAGAAAAAGTGGCTTTTAACAGCCACGAGGGACTTTAGAGGGAGGAAAATCTAAAGGTCCCGGAAGGGTTAATGTTGGAGACTGTATGTAACGCTTTTAGACATTATGTTTTATGTGTAAGAGTGTGTGACAGCCAAAAGAGAGTCCTCACCTCTTGATCTCTGTCCACCCACAGTGGGACAAGCCAGGCCAAACCAAGCTGAGAGGCACTAGTCTCCTCAGAGGTTGCTTCATTTCCCAAAGACCACTGGGATATGAAGTCCTGATGAAGATAAAGATAAGGAAAGAGAGCACAGTCTAGGTTTCTGACATGAATCGTCGTATTTACTGCACATTCAAGGACTCACAGTCGTTTATTCACCGACTCCTTAGCAGCGCTACCTTAACAAACGGTGCGTTGATAACACTTGCCTTCTCTTTGTTCTCAGCCATCATCTCATGGGACAGGTGAAGCAAACAGATAACAGCGTTCTTGGTCACACCTTTCCCCATAAAAGAGAGGGAGTTGCCTCCCCACTCGACATAAAACGAGGAGATCACCTGCAAAGAAGAAACACGACATATTTGCTAATTGGTGTAACATGACGCTCCTCCGTCTCCTGTCTCTTTGTCATTTGTTTGGTTTCTCGTACGCTTGTGATGCAACCCACTGCATCTAAGTAAAGGCTAAATACAGCAGAGACTAATTATTCTGTTTTGATTTGCCATCAGGATGTGGGACTGCGCTGAAGAGCTAATGAAGAGAGGGAGAGGAGCCCAAGGCCAGCTGAGCTTTAGGGCCCTACAGTGCTGAGAGTGTCAGGTAGGAGGTGGGTCAAAGGCTGAAGAGCGTGAGGTATCTGATTGTTGGATGGAAGTAGCCATCTGAGAGTGAGACTGGAAAAAAAATAACCTTAATCTCATCCTAATACATGTCTACCAAAGCTGTTTGTGTCAATTCCTCGGGGCCTTCGTTCCCAGTCAAAAATAAAAGTCTGGACACCTCTGTGCTGAGGACTGCTGTGCAAGCTGGTCCTCACTGTGTTAGGCTATTGTTTTACGGACCGTTGAACAAGGGAACAGATGGAAAAGGCGAGGTTGATTAATCTCATCAGCATCTTCTCAGTGTGGCATATCTAATCAATGAGATTTTTACCTTTTGCGATTCATGTCCCGTAACCATATCCTGCTTCTTTTTAATTAATTCCTCAGAAAGTACCGAGCTTTGTCTTTTACCCATTTCTGTTGGCAGTCTCGGCTCTGATGAGAGGGTAGGAGGCGTGCATATGCCCGTGTAACACATGAGCATATGCACACAGCAGACACAGAACTCTGCTCACGCATATTCACACACCTCTAGGAGCCCGGTGAGATACTTGGAGCAGAGGGACATGGGCTCCAGGTCGGGGCAGTGGGAGCTCCAGCCAGGCTGGGCAGTGAGGCTGACCATGCCCTGCAGTGTCCTCTCCAGGCTGGGAAGGCCGTAGAAACGTGGGGCGTCGGACACCCGCAGGCACTGAAGCAAACGGAGTGCCAGCTGGCTCTTGAAGGGGCCCGCTAGTGCCAGACAGAGCCTGGACAGAAAGGAAGGGACAGAGCGAGGAAGAGAGACAAATACGCAAATCAGACGAGCAGGAAGATGGAGGAGAGGTAGAAAAGACCACCATGAAAGACGAGTTTCAATCACAAGTAAACAGAAAAATCCCAGCCCTACTGTGGAGAATATTCTTGAATTTCTTTTCCTCTTGAAGTTATTAATCACTTTTCTAACCCCACAGGAAGCAACGCAGCATTGAAATAAAATCCATTCCCTTTTCTGCTGCACTTACAGAGTAAAAACGACTCTTCATTCATTCTTTTTTTGAATCGCAAATTCCTTAGGAGAGTAGAAATTTGGTGGCATATTGAGAAGAGAAAAATTATGCCTCTGTGGCCCTGAACTGAAACTGCAGTTGGTGATGAATTTATTTCATGTTTGAAAGGCAGGGAAAAAAAGGAAAAACTTCTCAATATTCTGATTCATTCAAGGTTAATATTTTATAAGAAATTTAAGAAACTCATCACGAGGACTACGGTATGCTATGCGTACCTGTCAGTGGATTTTGTCACTTGGAGGAGTAAGATGTTAAAGAAACTGGTGAGTTCTCTCTGCAGTCTCTGGCTGATGTGGTTTTTCAGCTCTTCCAGCTCCCCTTGGTTCTGAGTTGAGGTCTGGGTCTCGACACCAAGCAGCAAATTAAGGAGGGATGCAGCCTCCTAGATGGTTGTTGATAAAAATGTATCTTATTAATATGTAAGTTAAACTAGAAAATGCTTTGTTGCTTATCACTCCATCTTCTTTAAACTCAGGACAGGTATTCCCTGCTTCCTTACTAGCTGGCTGTGGTAAATACTTGATTCTGACTGATCTTTATCCTGGTGAGATAAGACTCCTCTGCCTCGGGTTCTTCACCTGTCGGGAATCTTAATTCAGATAGCTTGCACACTGCACATCATCCTTTACATAAATGTCTTAACCTTTTTGTTCTTCTGTTTCTGGCTAAATTTAACCTACTTGACAGGATGTCTTTAAAGCTTTGAGTTTGTTGGAATCCCGTTTTGACCATATATGGGCAAGAGGGTGGAGCTTGAGATGGGCAAGGTGTTAGATCAGTGGTTCTCAAGTCCAGTCCTCGAGGCCCACCGTCCTGCATGTTTTAAATGTTTCCCTGCTCCAACACACCTGATTCAAATGATGAGCTCGTTATTAAGCCATCACAGAGCTTGATAACGAGCTGATCATTTGAATCAGGTGTGTTGGAGCAGGGAAACATCCAAAACATGCAGGACAGTGGGCCTCAAGGGCTGGACTTGAGAACCACAGATTGCTTTGTTGGCAAGCCACAGCTGTAAATTTCACCGTCTGACCATATATGGGCAAGAGGGTGGAGCTTGAGATCAGCAAGGTGTTAGGAATTCCCACTTTAAAAGCTAATGCTACAGACTGTTTTGCAGGCCACACCTGTAAATTTTACTGTCTGACCATATATGGGCAAGAGGGTGGAGCTTAAGGTGGGGAAGGTGTTAGGAAATCCCACTTTAAAAGCTTTTGCTACAGTTTGCTTTGTTGGCAAGCCCAGCTGTAAATTTCACTGTCTGACCATATATGGGCAAGAGGGTGGAGCTTAAAATGGATAAAGTGTTAGGAACTCCTAGTTAAAAGCGAATGCTACAGATTACTTTGTTGGCAAGCCACATCTAATTATTAATAAATACAAAAATAAAGAAAAAAACAAACCAAAAATCCTTGGCAAACAAAAAATTAAAAAGCTGACTCTTTGTTCAGATAGATCAATATATATAGATCAATATAATATATATCTCTAAATTTAAACACACTGACCCAAAGAGCAAAAAACGCAAACAGTATTTTAACGAGCACAACCCTCGTAATGTCACCTATATTTCTCTGCCAAATATGCTCAACGTCTTCTCCAGCAATACACACGCAGAAGACACTTCATGGGAATGAAGAGAGCGACAGATGTTCCTGAAACAGCTCAGTAATTACAGAAAAGTCGGAGCAAAGCAGAACTGTTCACCCCTACCAGGCATTCAATCTGAGTCTGCTTTAGCTGCCAGGGGAGGGCTTATTGTTTACACACACATTAATGAGAAAGCCAAGGTGAGACTGATTAAATCCTAAAAGTAGCTCTCCCTGCTCGAACAAGTGTGGTTATTCCTCTCCCCAGGAAAACATATGACTTCAACTTTGTGTTAAGAGCCCAGGAAATAATCAGTGCCGCAGGTTATAGGTGCTGTGCTGTGATACTATTTTCATGTGGTTATGAGACAGTAATAAGTTTGGCTTGTCTGATGGTGTGTGGTTTATTCTAGGTTTGATCGCAGGTATATAACACTGTGTACGAGTTGAGGGAGCCTAACCAGATCTCTAACAAACAGAGTATTTTAGACACCAAGGCAAGATATAAATAAGAGCTCATCAAGAGAGAAATATATAATGATGGCAGTTGGCTTGCTCTGATGTCTCTTAGCTTCAGGACTCACAGGGTCCAACACCTGTGTATCTATACCATGATCATGCAAGTAACAGGGTTACTGTAGTGATTTTACTTGCTTTCCTTAAAGCATGAATTATTTGTACCTGGTTGAGGAGCAGCTCCAGTATCCAGCGCAGGTCCTTATCTTCAGGGTCAAATGTGGATTCGCTGTGCACCTGTTTGAAGTAGGCATTCAAAAATGCAACAATGCCCACCAGCAACCTCTCATCCTCGACACAGGCTGGATGCACCTGAAGAAACCTGCAGGGAGGAAAGAGAAAGAGACCGGGTCAATAAGGGGAAGAGAGCCATGTGAATGGAAAGTACCTGCAATTATTTAATATCCATTAGTTGCAACAATTAAAAGTGAGAAAGTGATGAAGGAACTTTTTCTTTCCTCTTTAATTCTTTGGGAGAACAAATATTTACAAGAAAAACAGAGACACTACGGAGACGTAGGGTCAGATAACTGCATGTAAATCACAGAAAACTTGGTTTTATTACAGGTACAGATCCCGGCAGTAATGCCTGTATACAACTCTACCACTACACTACAAAGAAACTGGGACTCAGAAGATCAACCGGTGCTACTTTAGGGGATTTTATGAGCCAAGAAATGACAGCGTGTATTTGGTAGACATACCAAATCTTTTGATCTGCACAGACATCCCCTCTGAAATCACTATTTGGAGTGTTGTGTTATATTGGAAGTCTTATATTGTCTATCTATACTATCTATTCCATTTTATTCGCTAAGCAACGAGAATCCCATAAACAATGCCTGTGTTTTTAAACTGTAATTGTCCCAAAATGTTTGTTGCACTTTAACTGTAAAGTTGTTGTTGGCTCCCTTATATTTATTGCATTTATTACGACGTCTGCTGCTGACCTCTTGGCCAGGTTGCCCTTGTAAATGAGATCATGAATCCAATGGGGTTTTACCTGGTTAAATAAAGGTTAAATTAAAAAATAAAATACATTTCTGGTGACATTTTAACTACTAAAATTGGCCATTGTTCTCAGAGGCTTATTTGATCATGAGAAGGTACCCTAGGGGTGCAAATTGCTCATGGTAAGGATAATAGCATACGAGAGGATTACCATAAATTCCATTTTTAACTGACTTAATTTACAAATATTAAAAACACATTCACTGTCTTGCTTGTATGCATGAAACTTAAATACATGAACGGTATATTGAACTTTGTATGCAGGGTACCTGGTCACTGCTGCCTGCCAGCTGAGCGACTGCAGAGTGTCTCTACAGTTATGGGTGGGAGTGTGAGGAAGGGCCAGTCTGTCAATCAGCAAATAGAGGCTGATCCTGGAGAGGGCAGAGGTCACCGAACTGTGTCCCGCTGCCATGACGATGGCCTGGATGCAGTCCTGCAGCGCAGCTGGAAGGTGCACTGCCCGCATCATCAGAACCTGTGCGTCTGACAGCTTTAAGTCAGGGTGAAACCTGAAGGGAAGACATGTGAGCTGTCTGAAATATAAATCAGGTTGTATGACTGTTGACACGACTATCGATGTGTTGGATGAGTAACACAATCTGAAGAATACTAATGGCTGCATTGATAAACATATTTGATCACTGATCTGGAGAGATGAGATATTTATGAGTGATCCTCAGAGACGTTTTCTTAGAAACACATGTGACTGCATCAGGCAGACGCAGGCATCACTGCAGTCACAATCAAAAAGCAACGCTCCAGAAAGCTGTCAGATGACATCAAAAGTCTACAGATTTCAAATCTTTGACTCTGATCTTTGAACGAGTATTCTTATTTCTCTGAAAGAGCTTTACAAACTTAACTTAAACGTTGGATTGATCCATCTGTGATGCGTTTAAAACGTCTTTGCTGTAATCAGGCTGGTTAAAACTGAGTGAGAGACATTCTCATCTTTTTGAATTAGGTTGCATTAGAAGTAAATGAAGACGGATGAAACACAAGATGCCAAGTCCCTGAAACTAATTCTTAACTGCTATTCCTCACAAGAGAAAACCCTCTGCAAGAGTGATGTGCAGCCTGACGGATTTAATATTTTTTATTTCATGCAACAGAGTCATCAATTCTGATCAGTTTCTCTAACACCAAACATTGTCCTGAAGAAACGGTACAAAATAAAAGCATATGAATATTACCACGCACAGCTGCCCTCTTTAACCCCTGCTGTTTCTGTCCATATTTTCACTGATTAATCTTTTTCAATTTTCACATTGCGTCTGAGTAAAATGCTGTGGTCTCTTTTCCACATTTTAACTCGGTTAATTATCCACAAACCGCACAGGTACAGCTGTGAGGGGGAAAAAAAAAGGAAATACAGAAAAGGCAAAAAACCTGCAGGTGATTGTAAAAGTTGGTGAAACTTAGTTTATAAAATATATAGGAAATGTTTGCAGAAAAATCTATGCCCGAGACACTCAACTCCAGCATTAGTAGGAGTTTAAGGCTTTTTTTACTCTATCACACCACTGCATTAAAAATGAGTTTGAAAGTATGAGGGTTCTTACTCATCAATGCTGTTGGTACTGCTTTGCAGCTTCTCGAGCAGACTGTCCACCCCAGAAAGCCATGCAGTGTTCCAGGCCACCTGTAGGGCTTGGCGGGCGGGTGCTAGTGCCAGCAGGTCAGAGGACGGTGGGAGAACGCAGCAGTATGGGCTGACAGCGTGATGAGAAGCTGTCTGGAACGGGATGTTGTACCTGTGAGGTAAGTTGGGAGGAGGGCAAACTGTAAAATAAACTTTTACCCACTAGAATGGGATTTTTGTAATTCCCCTGTTCAGCCTACCTGCGTATTACGGACAGCGGGAGGGAAAACGGTGCGAGAGTCACGTCTGTGTTTTTATGATCTGACCTGATAAGACACAAAAATATACAATACTAAATAAAACCAAATCGTGAAGATGGCGAAGATCTTTTTGAAGCAACTCTCCGAGAGGAAAAAATAAACTCACCACATTTCAATGCTTGCAATCTCATCGAATAGCAGCAAGCTCATTAGGACAGCAATCTCACTTCCATTGCCTTTGTTCTTCTTCAATATCAAGGAAGCTATAATGAAGACACAACAAACACAATTTACATAATAACCACACCCCAAACTGTGTCTCCCCATCTCATGGATCCAGTCAAAGACTTTTAAACTTTATCAAAGTGTCTAACACTTCAAGACTCATTTTACAATCAAAGTTTGAGAACATGCCGAGATACGACAATAACACGACATGAAAAGTGAATCTCTGCATAAATCTGGGTGAAAAATATGCTGAAAGACCAACAAGTTTTTCACATTTCAAATGAGTGAATTAAATTTTAGCAACGAACCATGCATCCAAAATGTGAATTACTGTTCATCACGAACTCTAGCTCTGCAGATAAACTCTAATAAAGCTTTGAGTTGAGCTCTATAGCAACAAGTTGCATCACACTGATGATACCATTTATTAAAGTGTGACATAAAAAACTGCATCAGCGGCTGGCGTGTCATCTCTTTTTTTTTTTGACAATATACCCCCTGGCTGCACCACACAAAGCGTATAGCTGTTTCTTAATGAGTTGTCTTGTGAACGTACCCCTGAGCACTGCGAGGAGCAGGAGGTTGCTCTGTGCCAGGCTGTGCCTTAGAGCTGGATCTGCATACACCAGCTTCCTCAGGATGCAAACACAAGGCTCCAGCAGGCAATCTGAGCTCTGGGGAAAACAGCAACATACGCACTCACTGTTTAATTGCAGTGGAAACAAAAACACACACACACACATAGGCGCAGACAAACGCACACATATTCTCTTCCCGCCTCCTCCTGCTCTGTTTCACACATAGAAAACTCACAGGGCCTCTTTACTGTCTCTTCACATAAGCTAAACTCAAAATCAGACTCCACCAAGGTTGCAGGCGACTGAGGTTCAGGACAGACGTAACCTGCGGGGATCCTTTCATTACACACTTGTTAGCTGAGAAAAGTCATCCAGTTTGTGTGTCCCTCCACCTTCATGTAGCCGCTAATACTGGACGTTTACCCCTGTTAGCAGCATCTGATTTAAAGCCTGGGAATGATCCGCAGACTGGAGGAACTGGAGGGCAAAAATCACTGCTGACCAGGGCCTGTCTGACACTATTAATACAGGCCACTTCATCCCTCTATCATGCACGCCTCAGTGGCTTCCCTCCACGTCCTCTGGCAGCACACATACCCAAAAAAGTGTACCAAAGAGGGAGCGCATGTTACTGCATTTATGAGATACAGGGGTTGGTTTTATTTGGCTTCAACAGCATTTCACTCAGCACACATCTATTCATCACTCTGCCAAAGCAGGTTTGTGTTTACCGTGTTGTTGCCGTTTACACTCTCCATAATGAAAGAAATGACTTTGTCGGTTATTCCGAGATTCTTCAGCACCGGATGCATTGTTGTGTCTGCAGGGAAAGCAGGAGAACAATTCAATATACCGACAACAAACATTTGCATAATCATCAGCTATTTGTTTTTCAGGGTTGTCTAAAACATATGGTGGTGGGAAGGCACAGAACTCTTACTGCACTTCTTGCAAATTCTACTTCTCACAGAGGAAGAGTTCTTAAAATTTGTGGAGAAGCCTTTTGTTTGGGCCTTTCAAACCTCTACTCGTGTGGTTGATCATTTAAAAAAAGTACGCTTCCCTGTGAAATAATAAGTCGAATATAATCCTCAAATCTGCTATATGAGGGATTTATTTTAACTGTGAACAGCTCCTTCTGATAACCTCCTTACAGATTTACAGGTACTTGTGGATTTTAACCAATAAAAAAGAAAGGATGTGTTCTGGGAGCAGAGAATAGGTTGTTAGAAATTACAGTTTAACCAATAAGTTTGTTCCCTGATCAAATATTCCTCTAAATTAGCACTTTAAAGAAAGTTTATAGAGAACAAAGTTGCTCAAGGAGTGATATAACCAAAACAAAGATTCAGCATAGAAAAGCATTACAAACATAGACTGTATATACTATGGACAACTTGGTTCCGCCTTCCGCCAGTATGCGGATTTCAAGCCGAAAAGTAATTTCACGTTTTTTCTCCAATTCCTGAAACCAACATTGCACAGAAGCGTTGTACACATTTGGCGGGAGAGTCGCTATGATGATGCTCAGCTCAAACAGCGTATCCCCTGGGTGAGCTGCGCAGTCCTTGTACGCCCATAGGCTGTATCAAGTGTCAATCATAGAAAACATAACTTTTAAGACTTGAGCACAAACCAGTTTTACAATAACTACATGTTAACATCGCAACCAGGGGAAAGAAAAATGTATACGTAATGTAATTAATGTCTAAAGTTTGTCCACAACCCCATAGGGATTGCTGGAGGAGGCGGGGTTTATGACCTATACTGCAGCCCGTCACCAGAGGGTGCTGTTCTCACGGTGGCTTTACCCAGCAAGGAGGCAGACGGCATCCATTCTTTACACAGTCTATAATTACACATGATAAATAGGAGCTAAAGAAACTATGTTCTTAATCATCTCTTACATACAGCTCACCTTGTAGCACCACAACAAGCTGTTCTGCTGCCGATCTTCTCAGGGAGATGTCAACAGTGTTTGACGTCAGGATACAGAACAGCTTCTCCACAGACTCCACCTGACCACCATTAAGCATAGTAAGTGCATATGACCAAAAGACGTGTTTAAGGGTAACATACAGCAAAGTTCATGATGTACCTTGAGGACAGACTTGTTACTGGTGTCCAGCCTGATGTCTAAAGGGGTCCTGAGGCAGAAAAGATTTGGAAGAGAGGAAACGGCTTGTTGATCCAGGTCCGGTCTGGCTGTGTTGGCATCATCATCGCCAACTCTAGTTAGGTGAGGTAGGATCTGTTGCACTGCTGCTATTCTCACTCTGTTAATAATGAGCAAGATTTATGTAAATTTGGATATTAATATTTAATTCAGAATCAAAGTTTCAAAGACAGAAGAAAAACTACTGATAAAGCAAGCTTTCTGTCTGCATTAGAGCTGTAATTCAGGGTTAATTATGTTACAACGCTTCTACTTTTGTTTTTTGATTCAACACCCAGACGGTAACCCGTTGTCAAGAAGTGTCTGGCAGGGCAGACAAATCTATTAGCTGTTGCCAAAATTCACCAGGGCTTGTCTCCTGGCCAGTGTCTGGTGTTAATTTCCATCTCTATCAATATTCATAGACTGGGACTGGAGAGCTGTTTTACACGAGCCTCGCTGAGGATTCAGATGACTTGATGAGCACATCAGCTGACAGCTCGAGACAGTCGTAATATGTCCATCACATCTCAGTTTGTAATGCAAAACACTTGGACTCTAGAGTTTTCTGGTTCGGAATGAAAGCTGAGACTTTATTTCAAGCGACTTCACACGTGCAGACGTGTAAAGAACCGTGCCGTCGTGTACATATCTGGACAGGCGTATGATTATGAAACTCAAACTTTCACACAGAGGAAAAACAAACACAGACAAAAGAAAGACTGAGAGCTCCGACTTACGTGGGTTGTTTGGTGAAGAGAAGTCGCAGCGCTGCTTTCAGCTTGGCTGTACTTGGAAACACAATGTCCCTTGCCACATCTGACATGTCACTTATCAGCAGGACACAGTTTCCCAGTGACTCCTCGGTGCTAGCATAACCCTGCCACACACACACACACGCATACAAAAACACACAATCCTCAGCCGGGCTTGGCAGACAATGGAGCAAACAACAGGGAATTCCATCTAAGCAGTACAACAGTAAATAAAATATGCATTGCTTTGATTGCGCCTGGTTTCATTTCATCTCTTGTTGACATGGCGGGCCCATCTCTGAATGGCCTCCTTGAATTAAATCATACTTGACAGCCTAGTCAAAATCTCATGTATATTCATGAAGAATTTCCAGGCTTTCTGTTGCCTGAAACTGAACAATTAATAAAAGCCTGCCCCCCCACAACGCCCCCCCCCCCAAAAAAGGAAACAATATAACACAGAATATGGAAATGAGAGAATAACTACATTTTTCTCTCTGGCAGCTCAATATGCAGTCTTTTGTGGTCCAAGAGTGCTAAAATTGCACTTTTGATCACAGTTGTTTTGATAGTGGAGAACAAACACCACTCCCCCACCCCCCCGACTCCATGAATGTAACGTAATAAGTCCCAAACATGATGCCGCTTTATGAGCTCGGCGGTGCAAACACGACGCAGCCTCCACGGAGAGAGGCGTACCTGTAATATTGGCGTGACCGGGTAAAGTGCCTCATTGAATCTGTCCCAGGTTGATGCTGTCATCATCAATCGCCCCTTGAGCAAGAACAGCAGAATATCCTTGGCAGCAACGTTCACCTATAGATCACAGGTAAAGTGCTGGAGTCACACAGGCACTGCTGATGGAGGATTTACAAACAGGTACTGGTCCTGACAGGCTGCTGGATGTCTAAATTACATGGCACGTGTAGAGCATAGCAGTTTAGCATGACTTAAGAAGAGCACAAAACCTTTAAAAACACAGGCGTTTAAAAAAAAAAAAAGAGAAATCCATGCACTTCTGTGATCATATTTATTTCTCTGATGTGTGCTGTATGATCTCGCTCACAATCAAATCAGTTCTCGTCTAAATACGGACGAAACACATGTGCGTTTGTCTACCTTCTCTGCAGAATCCTGGAGCCCAAAAGCGCTTATTTCATAGAGCACCCTGTGGTGAAGGAGGAAGTTCACTCCACCGCAGGCTCCCGCTTCCTGTCGTGACACATTCTGGATGCCAAGGCAGTCCTAGGGGTGTATATAATCACACCAAAGCACATCATAAATTATCGCTGTCCTCCCACTTGCTCTTGCATACAGGAGCTCCGATCCACTTTAAATGTAGCCTTGTACTTTTGACGGTGGTGTGAAAATGAAAATGAAGTCTGATTCCAAATGTCAAGTGGGTTTTTTATAGCCCGCTGGGAAAGATCTTCACTCCATCTGTCTTTAACCAAAAACCGGCGACCCTCCGTACAGACCCCATTATGGTTTCAGTAGCTGTAATTTTAGCCGTGAACCTTACTGTGTCGTCTAAAAGATGGCTTGTTCTGACCTTGACCAGCTTTAAACAGCATTCGTAGGTTTCCGTCTTGACAGGCGGTAAAGGATGCGACAGAAGCTTGAGGAGCACTTTCTGGCTCTCTGTTTGGAGGAGGGGGCTGGGGTGGTCAAACTTCCACCTGGTGATGGACAACAGAAGGAATTTAACACAACATATATAACACAAAATATATACATATGATTGAAATTACATGGCGAGAAGTTGATTTTCATCGTACAGGTAGGAGCAGATGTGAACGCATTCCTGGACGATGGGTAGGTGCTGGTGAAACGGCAGGCCGCTTATCGCTTGGTCTGCTAGTTCCAATAACTCCAACCAGTTCTTCTCTCCCTAAGCGAAGAAATGAATCCAAGAAGGTTGAACAAAAATTTAAAAAATGTATGCGGTGCATCAACTTTTTCCTTTAATCAAGGAGTGTAGGAGGTGTATCCATAAAATATGCCTCTCTGTAATGCTATCACAGCAGCTTTATACCTCAGCTTGTGCTTCCTTGAGGAAGTTACAGGTGGACTCCATCCAAAGAGCAGCACGGGCCACCCTCCTGTAGAGATCATGGCTGTCGGAATTCACCTGCTCCAAGTAGGCTACTGCCGTCTCTTGCATGCTGGGTAATAAGCTTCCCAATGACGTATCCAAGGAAAGGTGGAAAATAGCTGTTGCCGTGCTTTCTGGAAGATTTTCCCTGGCCTGTGTGAGGTGGGAACAATTTAATTACCAGCTCCTTTAGAGTTGAAACACTGACGAAGTATGTGTTTTTTTTTCTATGCGCACACCTTTTCAGGAGGTAGAATGGTCTGTAGGAGTTTAACGGTGAATATAGCAGTGCCTGTGTAAGCCATTCTGTGATGAACCTGACAGCTGTGGGGAATGTCTGCTGAAGAGCTCTGATGGTAGCTCAGGATATCCCCCAGTAGCTCCATGCAGGCTCGCAGCTTTTCCTTCTAAAATAGACGCACAGACACACACGGAAAATGTAGACAAAAGGCACAGACATCACGGCTGCACATGCACATGCACCCACATCACGTGCATATTCACAGACACACACACACTAACGCACAGCTACTGGGTGGGAGCCAAGAGAAAAATTGTTCGTTCCAGGGGTTAGGGATTGAATGTAATCAGATTTCAGGGTTATTTTGGGACGAGATACAGATCCACCCTATCTCTGTATGAATAAATTGGAACAATCTATTCTCAGCCACTTTGTTCTTGGAGAAGAAACTGAACAATAAAGGATGAACACCAGCAGGGGGCAGTAGATGCCCTGTGCATCACTGTGGCTGGCATGCACAGTTCGGCCCATTCCCATAGGAAAAACCTAGAGGTCTGGCACACGAAAGCTGCTCTCCACATAAAGATGACAAAACAGTTCTCGGGCTGCGAGGCTCTGGGCATGTATTAAACAGCAGAGGGCCACGGGGGCCTGAGCTTGACAAGTGTATAAGTCCCCCAGCCTGGGAACACAGCAGTCAGCAGGGTAACAAATGAATGTGCACGGTAAAAAAAAGAGCAAGCCAGTTTAACCCAATCCTTTGTATAGACTTTAAACACATAATAAACAGAATAAATTCTACAATTCTGAGTCTGTAGAAACCCAGGAGTACAAACAGGATGTGTACATGTATGCGTTAGCAGCTCTCTGCTTGGTGCAAAGCCTTTGTAACCCTATATAAATCATTCAGATCAATCACATGCCTCCTTCACAGTCGAGTACCGTATGCTTGTGTGTCTGCTGCAAACTGTCAGGTGGCCAACCCAGTTTCCCCCTTTTTTTTTTGCGGTGAAGTGTATCCATTCATCTACATAAGAGGCTGTCATGAGTTGTGTTTCAACTTGCCAGTTCCATCCCCACCAGGCTGCGCTCATCCCAGACCAGCTCGCAAACGCTGTCCCCGAGCAGGAGGACGGCGTCAGACAGCAGCTCCAGAACACGATGGAACACGTGCAAAGAGTCTGAGAAAGGAGAGAGGAGGGAAAGGAAGAGCGAGAGAGATTTTGTGACAAGATTCGTAAAGGGGGGGACATTTCCAATATCTGGTTTTTATTTCATCAACGAGCAGAGAAGAAGCATGAATAGATACACTCCTACCTGTCTTCAGCTGTGGTATGGCATGTTCCAAGGTGGCAACAGTAAACTGAGCCAAAGTGAGCTGCTGTAACTGCAGCTCCAGGACATCCTCTACACCCGGATCAGGAAGCGCCATATGGGCCACATCTGCAGTCGACTCGGGGGTCTGCCTGGGGGCCTGGACTGCTGCTCCACCTCTCTGTGAGCTGCCACTGGATGAATCACAGACACTTGGACCACTTGAAATACAAGGAGCCGAGGAACAAGCTGCTTGGGGATGGATCACTAAAAACTGTTTATCCCTTCTTGGGATTGAGAAGACTGATTTTTGAACACTGGATTCGCCCGCTAGAGGGCTCATGGTGTTATTTATATTAAAGGAGGAGAAGAAGAAGAAGAAGAAAAAAAATCTCCACAGTGTTCCTCATGCTGTTTTATCTCCGTGTGCGGGTTGCTGGTGTCACTAGCAATTTTGTCATTATCAAAGCCTCAAAATTCCTACTGTGCAAAATTTTTACAAGTGTAAGAGTTGCATGTTAAGTTTGAGGTCTGGTGAACAGAATTGACAACAAAACTACTAATAGGAAAGAAAAAAATGTAACAAGAAAGGTAAGAAGACTAACATGACAACATTTATGCCACAGAAGTGTGACAGAAGCTGAACCGAGAGAATCTCTACTCTCAACATGACTGTTCAAAATAAGCAAAGCAGCGAAACCGAAGATAACAAACACTGATGCAGCGCGGTTCTTTCATCTGGAGTCTCTTTAAGAGAGATCAAATGATTCTATCCACAGGGTCATACCTGTTTGAAGCTGCATCTCCGTCCTGACCGTCTCCCCTCGCTCTCTGGTCTGTGCGTCCAACCACAGAGGGCCGAGGTGAGCACTCTGCACCCGGAGATGAGGCCTGAGAGCGCTGCGTCCGTACTTCATGGGAGATGGAAAAGGACGAGTTTTGGGAAACTGGATCTGTAAATTCAACAACAACAACAAAAAAATATTCAAAATAGACCCTGTAACATTAATTCGAGACAAAATGTTGTAATTGCTGGGAGTTAATTAAATTAACACAAACTGAAAGGAATTAATTGGACCCTAATGAAAACTTTTACACTTTTAAAAGTCAATGATTTAAATTTTTCAACTTGATTAAATTTTGGTTCTTCATTGATGGTCAACAAACAACGGTACAAACTGACAGTAAGCCAGCATTAATTCAGACTTACTGGAGTGTCTGATAACCCACTGTCACTCCACACTCAGTGGTTTTGGACTAATGTGGCAGGCCCGCCAAGATGGAAAGGGTGTAGGGAGGGAGTGGTTTGAGAAAGTCCTTTAATGTGAGTCAACATCTCTACTATAGTGACTGTCTTTGTACGGCCTCTCCAGAAACCAACTGCTGACACTCTTGAGACTGCATCCATGTTTTATACACTCGTGGCACAGCTGTGCTATTTTAATAAGCTATACCTGCTGCTAATAGCCCTTTTAAAAACAGTATGTTTCTATCAGGCTAACTGATGAGGTACGCTACCTTGCTTTGTAGAGTAGAAGCTTGGATCTTGATGAAAGCGTAGCCTCCTCCTGAGCCCCACACAAAGCTGTCTCAGGCATGAAAGAGCCTGCAAGTGGAGGTGGCCTGCCTCACCTTTACCTGAGCCTAGCCTTAACAGGGCGAGGAGGTTCTGGAAACAGAAGGGGATATCAGAGTAGTGTTGTTATTGTGATCCCAGGTTACGGAAAGGTTTTCTAAACACATAATTAACTGCCAGTGATACCCAATTAGGATATTATTGTAATTGGGCAAATAAATTGGTTTATGGCTCTGTTTACAAACAGACCAAACAGAATAATTGAACAAAGGCTGTGTAAAACAGGACCTAAATCCAGACAGTGATAGAAAAGTTGTAATAAGTTTGCTAAATAAAAAGGGCAAGTGGAATTGAATTATTGAAACAGCAATTTGTTCCAAGTTCAGATTCCCTGCCCTCTGCAGCTAATGATGTCATGTCTCTAAATCCAAGTCATTTAATTTAGCTTAATAGCCGCACTAACTCAACTGAGGGCCAAGTAGAGCCACAAGAAGAAAACTACTTTCCCATAATGATTTCTCTTTGATGATGAGGCCGCTGCGTGACAGTTTGCTAATACTGCCTTGAGAGCGATGTAATATAATGCAGCACTTTATTAACAAATAGTTATGTTCACGGCGGCTCATCAGGGCAAAATGATGTCTCCTCCAGCACTCCGTCCGTGCCAAAGAAATGACAAGCTTAAATAACAGATGTACTTTGTTGCATAAATGATTGGTCTAAGAGTGCGGGGTACTTTTTAACGCAGATGGAGACTGAGAGTATCTCTTGAATGCAAAAAAAAAAGAAGAAAAGATTAGGATCACTGCAGACTGACTCTCTGCATCTCCCTGCCCCCATGTGACTTCAGTTACGGAACACACTATCTTCACACAGAAACGTTGACCTTCTCATTTGAAACAGCACCGCAGAGATTTCTCCACAGCCTACGAGACCAAGATGAGTACAGCTTGAAAATTTTACAGAATCTCTCTCATTCAAAACAAGCTTTAACAGGAGGAGAATAAAATCTCCCATCAAAGGAAATTCAGCCTTTCAAAGAGGCACATCATGAACAAACTGTGTCCTTACCACTATCTAGTGCCTGCTCAAGCAAAGTTAAGCCTTCAGAGGCATCCACTACCTTCTACGAGATCAGGGACACAGAATTATAAATTGGTATTTTGTCCAAGGACACAATTTGACAGGCTATTATTTTGACAGTAGCCAGAGTGACCATCCAAGGAACTCCATTATAGGACGGCTGCACAAGCAGCTGGCCCAGAACCAGAGGAAAATGTAGTAAAAAGGCTTCTGTAGAGGCACCTTTACGATGCTGGGCCTTTGGAGGAAGATTTCAGCGGGAAAGTCTTGCATAATGACATCACAGAGAAGTTCACATGTGGTCCGCACCAGGTTGGGGTTGCTGCTCCTCAGAAAGCTGTGTCAAAACAATTAAAGCAGATGTGGTTTAAAATTCAGAAATTCAATATCACTGCACACTCCTGCAAGGTAGATCAGTCTCATTGGGTTGAGAGATTAATTGATAGTATTACCAGGGATGCTCTGATCAGCCTGGAAAAATGGCAAAAAATTTGGTGATCACTGATTGCAGTAGCTGATATATATATACTTATGTTACATCAGGTTAATATTGGGAAGCTCGTACACCCTTTGTTTTGGCCTATATTTAATGTTTTTTGCATATCATCACATTCATCCATCCATTTTTTTTGACTTATTCTTTATTAAAATGTGAGTAATTGCAAAGCTCTACTTCTACTTAATCTTTTCAATTTTTATGGAAACAAAAACCACATTTTGTGTGAAAAATGGTGAGTAACAATAATTATATAAACCTTTTGTAATTTTTTTAATTTATTTTTTATTTGTTTTTAAGTCTTAACAGTTACAGCAGTGGTTCTCAAGTCCAGTCCTCAAGGCCCCCCGTCCTGCATGTTTGGATGTTTCCCTGCTCCAACACACCTGATTCAAATGATCAGCTCGTTATCAAGCTCTGTAATGGCTTAATAACGAGCTGATCATTTGAATCAGGTGTGTTGGAGCAGGGAAACATCCAAAACAGGCAGGACAGAGGGCCTCGAGGACTGGACTTCAGAACCACTGAGTTACAGTGACAGGGCACAACAATTCATCACATTTATAAATCCTCCTTATATCAATGTCCTTATCATCCAGTGATAATGGTGGTGTCTTCTCCTGTCCTCCTGAAATCAGTCAATTTTTCCCACTTTTCTGTAAATTGTGTTTCCTGTAATCTTAATTTGTGTGTGAGTTTCACCATTACACATATCTCTTCAACAGTGCACACCCACTGCACCCCAGTTGGTGGTTCTGCTTTGTACCACAATCTGGTGATTACCTTTTTACTTGCAGATAATAGTATTTTAACCAGATACTTGTCTTTTCTTTGTATTATATCATTTGATAGGTTTCCCAAATACAATTTTATTTTTTGGGCTATCTGATATCCTATAATTTTTGCAGACTTTTCCAAATTTCCTCCTAGTACTCTTTTAATTTTGGTCAAGACCAGAATATGCGAGTGTGGTCTGCATCAGTGTGTCCACATGATCTCCAGCACGGCTCTGGCGTACATACATATTTCTTCCTAATCTTTGGAGTTATAAAGAACCTAACGATATTTTCCAGTTGAACTCTCTCCAAACTCTGGAGCTAGTGGCCGTGCATTTCCCATTTTTAAACCTTTTGTATTTTTGCAATATGCGTTTGATTTAATGATATTATTCCAGAATTCAAAGAGCTCAATTTGTTGTCACTCGTAGCTCCTGTTATGATGGCCTGAATGACTTCAACTCTGTTTACGAATAAAAAAATAATGAAGAGCAATTATATTTTGCAGCCCACATGGAGATTGACATTGAGATTGATACTAACAACAGTTGTCTCATTCAGCTTATCCCTAGATATTACTGAACTTGAATCTTTATAGGGCACAAAAAGTTATAACACACTATTGTGTGAGTATGAATGAAAGAAGCATTTTATTTTCAATTGCATTTTAATAACACTTTTGTTGATTTGTTATCAAAATGCCACTCACCTCTCGTTAGATGAAAGTATGTGTCTGTCTGTGTTCGTCAAAGTCAGCCATGGAAACACAGAGAACTTCAAACATCTCACAGTCTCGTGCACTGTGAAAAAAAGGGATAAAAAACATGAAAGTTCAGACATGTGCAGACAAAAATAAATACATAAAACATTGTAAAATAATCAAAGTATCCAATAGTACCTGCTATCCTCTGAGGTGGAACATCTGTGTGGTTAGGCATGCTCTTTTTGAAATAACCCGTTTTAGTGAAATGCTCCTCTGATGGAACAACTAAAGTTGCAAGAGCAGAGACACTAGATTTGTTGAAATATTCCTTTGAATACTGCAAGTATTTGATCAAACCGTTATAAGTTAAAAGTAAAGAAAGACAACCCCTCTCTTTTTTCTCCAACACATTAAAATATGAGTACTTTGTCGTGTAAAAGCAAACAATTATTTGGCTTTAAATTGCAACACCTGTTGGAGTTGCGGCGCGCTGTCCATGCGAGTAGATCGTCGTGTGACTAGGGAGTAGCTCAGGTAGCTGGAACAGCTGGTCCAGGGTTCCATCGATGACAGCTCGCAGCCTGGGTTCCACATTAGGAGACAGTTGGGTGAGGAAGTCTAATGCACCGACGTCTCTCAGCATCTGGGCTGCAGAAGGATGCTTGGAATACAAAATTATAATAAAAATTCATAAAAAGAAGTGTGACAGAAAAAATCTTAGTTTCAAAACGACACTGTGCACTCTTTAATGGAATCATACAAGTACAATAACGCTGTGTATCAGAGGGTAGAAAAGATGGTGGGGAGAGTGGGGTAAGGTGAGCCATTTTTCATATTTTAGATCTCTACATCAAGGCAATCATAGTTTTGTCTCTAACTAGTGTATCTGCATATATTTCAAGATGTTGTGCATCCCTGCAAACCAACAGAATGAGTGTAAACAGAACTGTCTTGATAATATAGCATGACAAAAAAAAAGTGGTACCCTGTGTATGGAGTAAGTTTACCATAGGAGCAGGGTAAGTTGAGCCATATCCCTACTACCTCCCCACTCTCCACCCCAGCCCTCCCTCACCTTCTCTCTCCCTAAATAACAGTCACTTCTTCACATTCATGTGTATTTTTATCTATTATGTGCTATTCAACTGTTACAATAATTCTTTTGATTATTATTGCATATAACTGCTAAAAAGCTGGTTTGTAAAAAGTCATTGTGACATGAGAATGCCTAAGTCATCCAGAACATTCACAGCTGTATTTTTGAAAAAGTTTTTGACTCATGTTGTAGCTCATAGATACCACAATTGATATATAAAACAAATTTAAAATGATCCTTTTTGGTCAGAGCACAATTCCAATAAAAGTTATGACAGACTAAATTCACTTTTAAGAGTGAAAAATGTTTTTTTGGAAATACACTCCTGATCAAAATCTTAAGATCAGTTAAAAAATTGCAAGAATTTATATTTATCACTGTTGGACCTTAAGATGGTTCTTAGTAGAGCTTCAAAATGCAAAAAGAAGAAATGGGAACAAGAGACCAAAAGTTTAGAGCAGGCAATTTATTGAAAACAACAATTTTAAGACCACAGCCTTTAAAAGCTCAAATCTGTGTGAAAATTTGGATTCTGTGTAATTTCTTGTCAAGCAGTCACACTGTCAACATCTCTTGATGGCAAAGGCAAAAAAAGCTCACTGCCTTTGAACATGGTAGGATTGTTGAGCTGCATAAACAAGAACTCTCACAACGTGCCATCACTGCTGAGGTTGGACGCAGTAAGACAGTCATTTCTCATTTCCGGAGGGTTATGGAACAAAAAAATCAAGCGGTAGACCCGAAAATCTTAGGATTTTGATGAGGAGTGTAAATAGTGTAAACCCCTTCCCCTACCCTTTGGCTCATCTTACCCCACTCTCCCCTACTTAGTTATCTAATAAATGTGTGTTAAGCCCTGTAAAGAAACTCATGTAAACTTTATCAGCAAATTCCCTCCCTCATGTGTTCCTGTGTGTGACTTACCTTTGATAAAGTAGAGAGCAGTTCAAGGACCTCCTCCTGCATAGGCACCTCGGGAAAATTGAACCACTCAAGAAGATGCACAAAGAGCATCTTTTCTTGAACAATGTCAGAGACAGATATCAGGGAATGGTCCAGCTTACATATGATACTCTTCAAAGCTCGGACTCTTATCTCCACCAGAGAGTGGCCTGAAATTCGCAGAAAACGACGTGTTATAGGCTGAAATGTGTCGGCGTCGTTGAGGTAAAAGTTTACAGACTTTGGCACCTGAGCTAACGACATTAGAACCAACTCGGCGTTACACAAAAGTGAACATAAGTGTAGTATTTGCTAACGTTAGCATGCAAGCCACCGCTATGATGCAGGTTAACATTAGTCAAAGGCAGCCTTCTGAGCTAAATATTGTGTTAGCTTAAAGTTAGCCTACCTATTTTCTTTATGAGGGGGGATAACTCCATGGTCTGTGTCTTGCTTCTTTCGGATAAAAAGACACCGAAAATGAAGGTTCATAACTTCAAAGTGTGGTTGTCTCCCTCTGTCATGTCAACAAACGTCTGCCCGGGTCTGTTTTCAACAACCGCGCCAGCGTCACGGCACTTCCTGTAGAGGACCATGGTGCGTTCAAGACGTCCATCTATGTCGGACAAACTGAAAGAAGCGCGACATATTGTTTTTAATTGACAAACAGTTTATTCCTTACAGAGAGAACTTCATGCAAAAAAATGCCAAAATTTCTAAAGGGAGGGTACCTGAACCTCACCTTTTATTTCTGCCTTAATATCTTCAAATAAACCCTACTCTGTGGTTACCACCAGGCAGACAAATCACACATGCTATGCATTTTATTTTCAGATTAACAATAGTATTTTGTAGTTGTTTCCTCAAGAACCCAACTAATATAGGCTGTATGATGTTCCTCAGATAATGCATTAATTCAGTATAGAAAACAAAACACAAGATTGATAGGCCAGACAGTAATGTACTATACAACCATCCACCCCACTCATTTCTGTTTGTTGTATGTTTTTGTAACTCTGGTGATACCAGCTATGATCATCTGTAGATCTCAGTGAACCAACTCCAGTTAACCTCAGTATCACAGGAAACCAAGTGAATAGAATATATCAATGTACATCAGATGAAAGATTTTATAACTTTGATATTTTTGTCCATCAAAGTAAAGGGCTTCACTTGTCATTGGTTGAACACTCTTTTGATCACCCCTGAATGCTTTTTCATTGCTTCAGTATTAAACGGAGCCAGCAGCAGTTGAGAACGATTTTGATAGCAGCCACATTATCCTGTCATCAAATTAATCCTCTCAAACATGGACGTTCTCAAAAATCAAAGGTGATGCGTGTCACCTCTTAACACAAGTGCAGGCGTAAATTCTTTTCATATTCTATGCGTGAGTTAATCCAATTGCACGAGATCTCACACTTGGGATGTGATGTGGATATGATCAGCAGACAGGGTGATAATTAACAAACTTAGCAAACGATAATGTGATGTGATAATAATATAATCACACAGCTTTTGAGAATTCCAGAGGGATTTAAGCCTATAATTAATTTGGCGGCGTACTGTATTTTCTACTGTCACCTAGATTCTTTGGAGACTTTGAGGAGGGTGAGACAGATAAGGACAATTTATGCTTTTATCATCCTTTATCATTTTATTTCCTTACATGTACATACTTGTCACAACGATACAATACCCCTGAGGGTTTTTTTTTTTCGCAATCCCCAGGCAAATTTATCACAGGTCTGATATTATCCCAGAGCTTTTTTATTCAAATTTGCCGTATTTCTTTACCAAATCTGGATTATGGCTACTTTAAATGAATTTTTTATCAACACTGTTTCATTTTTTCATGATACCTTTGCTGTCATCAGTATTTTTGCATCTTGAGCTTCTTTTAAAACAAGAATATTTGTTTGGATTGGAACATTTTTTTGCCTGCACAACATGAGTTTTATTGATGTAACCGCCAAAGGGTCCATTGACCCGAGGAGGTTAAAAATATATCACAGTTCCCCTGAGCCTTCAGTACAGCACATAAGACTGTGTTTTTGTGGATCTGTTTGTCATTCTGCAAACGTACAATGAAAACCCAGAGTGAGAGTTTTCATATCCAAACAGCTGAGGAGGTCTTCTTTACCTGGTGGAAAAAAAATACATCGCCTTAGGTCAGACCAGGGGTTCTCATGAAGTGTTGAGTCTGCACAGAACAGAGCAGCACATCATCACTGTCTGACAACCACTGCGTGTCTAGGATGGTTTCACAGCACAGGCTGCAGAAAGAAAGAAAGAAAGAAAGAAAGAAAGAAAGAAAGAAAACTTCCCTGAAATACATGCAACATGGACTATTTTTGTGCCATTCAACCCTGCTTTTGTAAACATTAAACATAGGGTGTCTCTTTCTCTCAGATGTTTTCTGTCAGTTTTGCCTCGTGTCCTAAAAACTACAATTTTCCCTTCATTCATATTTCTTGAACACAGCTCTGTGACGAACATAAGTACACCTTTTGTTTGAAGGTATCTTTGAGATTCTTTCTGCCTAATTGCATGGGTTTCCAAATGCATCTCAAGGATTTTTCAGACATTGTAAATCATATGCTAAGACTGTCATTTATTTTACATCAGGCTGAATTACTCATATGCCAGAAATAACCTCAGGCTGTTGATGAATGTAAGCCTCATCTTGGAGTGGAAACTATGCAAGCTGAAGCACTCAAATGCCAAATTTATTTAAGAAATATCTCTGCCCCTGAATCTTATCCATCAATTAAGAGAAGGAAAAACCCTCCACACCACTCCTTGTAACTTTTTTTGACGTTGTACTTGTAATACTCCAATATAAAGCACTATCATAAACCTGCAAAACAAAGGATAGCAAATGTTGGTCCAAGTTTAAGATGTGACTGTGGTTTAAATTTCCCCTTTTGTCACATAATGATGGGTGTGTAACATTCAAAAAGAGGTAAACAAAACTAAGACAAGGCAAATAAAAAAAGTTATAAAAACACAATTCAACAGAAAAATGTCCTTACAGTTGCCTGTAGAAAAATAAAATACACTGAAACTGTCAAAAGATTTTTATCAACTCACATTCAGAAGCTGTATTAACCCAGAGTGAGTAAAATTTGAAAGCCCTCCTGTAGTTTCTAAAAGCAGTCAAAATACCCATCATGATGAAGGAAAAAATAAGTTCCCCCTTATCTGACCTCCCTAAAATGATTCATATAGTTCCTTCGGCATATTCAAGCTTTAGTAAAAAAAAATTTGCTGTGTACAGTACACACGTTAACAATTTTCTTAAGCAGCAGACAGAAACATTTTTCAACTTTATACGTAACAAGGTTATTACAGCCCCTCAATCATATCATTATTGTAAATGTCCGAGACTAAGTACCCCATACGGCAATAAAATTCATGAAGTTACCTCAAGAATGGATAAGCTGAAATAAACAGAGTAAAAGAACATCAGCATGCACAGACAATTAATTCATTGTTTTAAGCCAGCAGCAATTAGGACACAGCTCCAGTCTATACTGCTGAGTCATTACATTGTATGTGGGCAGCTGGTAACAGTAATTAAACACTATCTTTCAAGATGTCTTATGTAAGAGCCTGGGTAGTGAAATGAAGGAATGACTCAGAAATTGGGTTCTCAAAACAGCGAGGCAGAGGATTTGGCGTGACCAAAAGGAGTTCTTCAAAAATCAGTCCAGAGTGATCCATCTGGCAGGGGTGCTGCTTGAGGTGGCCTGGGATGGCATGGGCCCACCCCTGTGAAACTGGATGACTAGGTGCCACCCAATTATAACTAGCCGTCTTAATAGTCAGAGGCAGGACTTGACTCTACTTTATGGGTTTAGCTGCAACAGGTTCAGGGTAGCATTTATATTTAATACTTATATGCATACATACAAACACCCTTTCACAGAGGCTGCTATCTTGCATCGCCACTGATTCTACAGTAGTACAGAGCAACTACGTCATGCATGTTTGTTTTGGGCTGAAAGTGCATGAAACAAAATGTGACAATAAAGAGCAGCATTGCACAACAGCACAGATTTTGGCTTTTGGTTTCACTTTTGTACAAGAGAAGCCAAAGATGTAATATCCATCTGTATAAATATTCAACAAGACAGGCTTTGCAGATAAATTCTATTTGTAAACGTGGGTGCTTTTTCATGCCCCCTCATCTGCCCACTTCCACTCAAGCTGGACCACCCCAGTAAAGCAAAAAGAAACAACAGTCTGGACACTCCTCTGCAAACTCGCCCCGTCACTGTCTAACAAGTCTCCTGTATCTGACCTCCGCTCCACTGCAAGTGTTATGGAGAATATGGGAGGCAGGCACTGTGGGGCTACCCCCCTGACAACGTCCTATCAGCAAAAGATACAAGCTAAAGGACCGAGCCAAACTGAAGAGAGTGCAGACATATTGTGCAAATAATTTATGGCTGATGCAGCGTTCATTTGAAAGTAAGATGAAACACACACAGCTTTCCCACATGTAGAGGTATCTCATTAAACATTTGGCCCACTCCGTGTATACAATATGCCATACAGACTTGAGACTCAGTGTTTTGAGTTGTGTGGCTCATATATTCAAACACTTCTGAATAAGTTAGACTCTTTTACATTGGAAACATAATGCAGTTACCAACTCATATCAAAAGATAAAGGTACAATTTTGCTTATGCAAAGTCTAAACAGCCTCTTATTAGTAACTAGTTGATCTGTTTACCCTGTCATAACAGAACAAACTACTCCATGACCACAGCTAAAATCTTGTTTCTGCTGTCTGGCTATAAACATCAACTAGACTAAAGTTTGTTTGTCAGGTCTAAATTAGCTTGAAGAGAAACATGGCATTCTTGCTTCTCAGTGTCCTTGGTGCTATATCTAAGAGCTGCCCCCCTCTTCCTCCACCAGCCTTCCTCTCCTGTGCCAACACATCAAGCTAAGGCAGCCTGATCAACCCTAATAGGGCTGGGTAATTAGAGTCTTTGCATAGAGGCTGTCTGCACGCTGCTGCCCTAAGCAGGTTGGCGAAGGACTGCCATACACTTGACAGTGTGGAAAAAACAATGTAATGTTCGTTATATAGACCAAATTAGCCTGGCAGTGGTAAACACAATCTACTTTAAAACAATACTGACACTAATTAGGCAACCAATGTATCATTTGGAAGTTTGAGTTTGAGTTTTTGTAAATGCATAAAAATACTCAGAGAGCCAACTTGATGTTACTGGAATACAAATAAGAAAGTCTTTACAGCTTGAAAGCAAAGCAACATTTAAAGAGGGGTGCAGTAGCTGCTATTTTCTACAGCCATCTGATGTCTGTAGAGTAAAAATAAAGTGAAGCACTTGGAGAAAGTTATACTCTGTATTTATACAGTGCAAACGTGGGGTAAACAAATGGAGGCTTAATTCAAAATCTGAAGCTTCATTGTCTCATTTCAGTACAAAGATTTAAGGCATAACACTTTAGGAATAAAATACAGTTAGGGGAGAGAAATCCTCTTTCGTTAGTGATGCCACATGTAAATGTAAATGTTCTTTATTTATACAGCCCTTTACAACAACCCTTTCGGTTAACCTAGGTGCTGTACAAATAAAAATGAATAAATAAAAACAATAAAAGCAATAAAAAAAGAATAAAATACAATGCAGTAAAATAAAGTGTCACCACGCTACTGGGTATTAAAAGCCAGCATAAATAAGTATGTTTTGTTGTTAAAAAGGCCCAGGTCGGAAATAAGTCTTATGTGTCACATGTGTCAAACCAAATAGGCTTCTTTAAAAAAAAAGAAAAGAAAGAAAAACAAATACATATCAAGTATTTTAACACTAGTAATGGCAAAAATTTGACAAAAATATTTGAGATAAGTTTTGAAATTGCAGTAGTATTTGAAGGGTAGCGTGAAAATATCCCCCATGTAAGCAGGGTTTAGGTTTATGTCATTTCCTTTTCAAAAAGTCAAGTATTGTCCAAAGTGTCAGTTCTGAGTTTTTAAAATACCTATAGGGTTACATGTTTAACTTTAAGTTAGTCATTTACCCTATTGTTTTGAGTGTCTCTTCAGTTTTTACAGCATATTTTTGATGTCGAGTTTCACACCTTATCCTTTATCTTTGTGCAAAAACTAAAAAAATTAAACAAATTACGGTGAAATACTTCTTTGTATTGGATGGTATCGAATGCACATAATTTATTTTAATGTGTTTAGTATAAAATTTAGATTTCACCACAAACAAACATTATTGGACGACTCGGAGGGGATTTCTGTTAGTCATTTTTGAGTATTTCTTTAGTTTTTACAGCATATTTTTGACGTCGAGTTTCACACCTTTCCTTTATCTCTGTGCAACAGAAAAAAACAAACAAATTAAGGTGAAATACGTCTTTATATTGGATGGTATTTAACGCAACTAATTAATTTAATGTGTTTAGCATAAAATTTAGATTCCACCACAAACAAACATTATTGGACGACTCGGAGGGGATTTCTGTTTTATTAAATATATTCTTTAACTGGTTGGTAGTAAATATGTATGTGGCTGTAAAACTTGCTGTGGCTGCTGTGAGAGTGTGTATGTGTCTGATTCGCTGCATCTGAATCTGCTCCCACAATTCAACAGGCAACAAAGGAAGAGGCCGCGAGCTACACAGTGTTAGCCAACCTAAGGCAGAAAGATGTCACCTTATTGTGTCATTCCAGTCGGCGACATAAACCCGCACGTTTAGAGGAGAGCCTACCCCGTACTTAGAAACGCTTTGTACTTTCGTTTGGGACACGGAAGCTGGCGAAAGGAAAGGTAACCACAATGTTTTCGACTGAAAACCTTAACAAAGCTAGCTGACTGGCTGTAGGTAGGAAGCTAACATGAGCTAAGCTAACATTAGCGTTAAGAAGCGATCCTTTCATGAAGGTGTTATACCGGATAAATCTTAAAACCTTGTGGTGTTTTTGTCACGAAAGCCAAGCAGGGGTAATCGGGTATGAGACACTATAATGTGCATGCATTTACTGATGTAAATAAACAATACATATACCCTGAAAGTACATATGCTAACAAATTGGGTAGTAGTTATTTGATGTTAGCATACAAGCAAACCAATATGAGTTGAGGTGTCTACTTAAATGCCTCCTATATCATGTTTCCTAGTCGTTACATTAACAATACACCATTAGAATTGTAATTGGAGCATATGTTGGTATGATATCGTGTGTAGAGTGATAAACGTAACAAGCGTTGCTAAGCTAAAGGCATGCTGTTGTGTCCGTAGGCCTCCCCAGGTCAGGACATGCTAACGTTGGCATCAATGATACTCACTGTTTGATTAAAGGGAGTATTTTGGGTGATTATTGTGTAATGTTCCTGTTAGAAAATACACTGAAAGTCTAAGGTGTGGGGCCATTCTCATGAGTGTACTTTGTATGTTCATAGCATCAAATGAAAGGAGGTGGAAGTGGAACTTGACCCATCCAACTGAGTCACCATTTTCCTGCACATAATGGTGAGTAATCAGATTGCAGCTGTCTTCATTAAGAAGCAGCTTTATTTAGTTACTTATTTGATACTGTGTAAGTCTCTCTCATACCATTTTCAAGATTGATTAAAAGGCAATACTGTTTATTTGATTTATTTAAGAATGACAGTGCAGCGCCTGAAGGATTGTACAGTGACACATATTTGACTGTTTGACCCCTCACTGAATTTGAGTTAAAAGCAGTCGTGCTTTAGGCTATGTTCACACTAGAGCATGACACAGGAGTGGATTTTCACTCCTGTCCCGTCCCACCCCCAGAGAAAAAATCCTGTCCCGTTCCAATCCTGGACCGAAGTAAGAAAATTAATCCTGTCCTGTCCCACTCCCGTAGAATGACTCCCACTCCCATCCCGCTCCCATTCAAAATTACTCCCACGCCTGTCCCGCTCCCGTTCAAATAAAACCAAACATGTTGAAAAAACATTGCATTTTTTTATTTTAGGTAAAAGTGCAGTGCATACTATGCATAAATAAACAACGTTTTTTTCTGTAAAAGTGGCAGCCAAGTCGCTTTTCACTTCCGGTGGTGACAGGAAATCAAACCACTGTTGTGGTTCTTTTGTGGTGCTAGCGCGGTCAAGAGTGTTGGCTCTCATTGAGAGATGACTACAAAAATGGACGCATCTGTTCATCTGGTTGTTTAACACGTCTGAAAATGATCATCTGTTAATGTTGTTCTCGCTCCTGCCCGCCTGTCGCTTTTTTTCCCATCCAGTCCCGTCCAGATCACGGGATTAATTAAAAAATGACTCCCACCCCGCGAGAATCAAGGGACCCACGGGAATTCCCGAAAAATGTCATCCTCTAGTTCACACTGCAGGTTGATTCCGATTTTTTAACCATATGTGACACATTTCTGATTTTTTTCATGTAAGTGTGAACAGTGCAATTAAGATTTTTTTCAAATTTGGCCCAGGCCTCTTTTGTATGTGGATATAAATCGGAAATGTATGCGATGTACCTGCAGTGTGGATGCTCAGGCACGTTCATCCGACATATACGTCAACAATATGCGACAAATGTCACCATTGTTCGACAACACAAACAGGCGCGGAAAGCAATTTGTGCTTTGTGCGCATGTGGGTCACTTCACGGACGCATTCCGTTCACATTAGGTGCTGCATTTGTTGCTGTTGTAATGTGAACAACTGCACAAAAAGATCGGACTTAACAAAAATTCTAAATTGTGCATCATAACCTGCAGTGTGAACATAGCCTTAGTTCTAGTTTTACTTCAAATACCATCTGGAGGTGTTCACTCGCATACTCAGAGCAGTGCAGGGACTGTAGCCCTTTTTATACATGATCCATTTAAAGTCAATAATGCAGAAGGGCAGGGTTCCTAAGTACACATTCAAAGAGTTTTAAGGGAGAGCAGCCGCAGCAAAGCTTGACACGGGGAAATACCAATCATCTGTTGACGTCTGTGGATCAACATCCTAGTGAAGTCGATGAAACACAGGATTTTGGTTCAAAAACTTCAGGTTATGACTTTCTTTATTTGTGTAATAATTCTTTTAATCTTGGAGGGCTTTAATGAGGGAAATATACATTAAGAATGTTTGAGAAAGAATGTTTTCTCCCTCTAAAGAAGCCTTAATATTCATTTTAACTTTAGTGAGCAGTTTAGATTGAAGATGATCAGTGGATTAACAGAGTACTTCAATATTTGTTTGTTTTTTTGCTTGAATGAATAGTTTTTTAACTTGAAGAAGAGAGAAGACATTAGAATTAAGGAAGATATGTTTTCCTTTGTTGTAAGAAATTTAATCAATATTCCATGATGAAAGTAAATACAAGGGATTTTTTTCAGAGCCAGTACCATGATTTTTTTCCCCATCTCACTACCTGGGGACTTGTTTTATTCGCTGTAATCCACTGTGCTGTTTTTAATTTATTTTTCCGTGAGCTGTGTGTTACCCCTGATTTTATATAAATCAATGAAGTGCCTATTAATAACTCAATACTTGAAGCATCATGTTCAAATACAACAGGCGCATTTTCAGAACTAAACAGATTATCTTTAATCTTATTTGTTTTTCATTCTGCAGGGATTGATGACTCCACTGTATGCATGACTTGTTTGGTGTGGCCTGATGGGAGGACACTGTGGATAGTACTTTCATCGGGATACCAGGAGAGCCATCCCATGCCCCCGCTTTGGAGGGCCTGTCAGAATGAAGAAGTTAAGCCTTAAAACCATCCGCAAGTCCCTCAGCATAAAGGGCAAAGAGGAGGGTGACTTTGTCATGCTCCAGCAGCCCTCAGTGACAACAGAGTTTTCAAAGGAAGAGTCACTTTTTGGGGGCTGCTACACCAAAGAGCTTTCTGGCTGCGACCTCGGCGGCGAGGAGGACAAAGGGGGCCAGAATAAGGGCCGCTCAAAGAGTGAGGGCCTGATGGGATCACTGAAGAGAAGGCTGTCTAACAAGCAGAAGGTGAAAGTAAAAGGCAGCTCCTCTGCCATTGGCTCAGTGGATGATGATGACACTTTCTCATCCTCATCTGTGCCCATCAGCTTCAATGAGGTGAAAGCCCAGAGACCCCTTAGATCTTCATCTCTACGTAGTCACCATTACAGCCCCTCGCCATGGCCTCTGCGATCAGTTAACTCTGATGAGGCCTGTATAAAGATGGAGGTAAAAGTAAAAGCCATGGTTCATTCCCCAAGCCCGAGTCCCAACTTGAATGGCGTCCGGAAAGAATTTCATGATTTCCAGATGGAAGGGCTCTTTCAGGACCAAGCAGAATCCTTAAAGAATCTCCAGCAGCCACAAAACGGTGAGCTGCATCTAAATATAGATGACAATGATGTGCCTGACGTGCTGGGGTTGACTCCCCAGGACTACATCCAGTACACAATGCCTTTAGATGAGGGAATGTATCCAGAAGGGTCCCACTCCTGCTGCCTGGACGGCTCCTCTCCTATGGAGGTGGTGACTGAAGCAGACAATGCATCCCTCCACACGGACCAGGGACAGGAGGAGCATGAACTGGTTAGTGGGCTGCCTCCGGATCTCTTCATGGAAACCTCAGTTAACAGTCTTCTCATCGGTTCTGCTGGTGTGATGCTCCAAAGCTCGAGAGTAGAGGTCCCACCTCCGCTCTCTCCCCTCCTGCCACCCATCACGAGTAACGGACATATTCCCAGGACTTTTTCAGGGTTCAGCTCTACAGACAGCCAGGTAGCCGAAAGGGTAAGACACCATCTTAACTTCGACCCAAATTCAGCACCCGGGGTCAGCCGGGTGTACGATTCAGTCCAGAGCAGTGGGCCCATGGTGGTCACCAGTCTAACGGAGGAGCTGAAGAAGCTGGCGAGGCAGGGCTGGTACTGGGGCCCCATCACACGCTGGGAGGCCGAGGAGAAGCTGATCAACTTGGCCGACGGTTCATTCCTCGTGAGGGACAGCTCAGATGACAGGTACCTGCTCAGCCTGAGCTTCAGGTCACAAAACAAAACCCTGCACACCCGCATCGAACACTCCAACGGACGCTTCAGCTTCTATGAGCAGCCTGACGTGGAAGGACACACGTCCATCGTTGACTTAATTGAACACTCTATCAAAGACTCGGAGAATGGAGCTTTTTGCTATTCCAGGTCTCGCCTACCAGGGTCTGCAACCTACCCTGTCAGACTAACCAACCCAGTGTCTCGGTTTATGCAAGTGCGCTCACTGCAGTACCTATGTCGCTTTGTCATCAGACAGTACACAAGGATAGACCTGATCCAGAAACTGCCCTTACCCAACAAGATGAAAGATTATCTGCAGGAGAAGCACTACTGAGGACACAGATGAGACAGTGGTAGCAATTTGCACTTTTGTGTTCAGTTAAGAGATTTAAACAAGGTTTACAGACAACCACAGTTCAGAGATGTTCGCTTCCAGTGGCTCTTGATTTGTGTCCATGTGACTCTGTCACTGTTCAGTCCTCCATTCCACTGTTCTGTTTTTTTTTCTTCTTTTCGTTCACTGGTTTAAGGAGGCTTTACTTCCAGATAAGTAGTCCAGCACATAACCTACTGCAAAAATGAAGCAGAGGTATACAGCCAAGTTATCTCAGTTGTTTCGTATCAGATGTGCGTTGTGACGTATGTTTAGGCGAAAAACATCCAGCTCCGCAAATGGAGCCGATTCCTCTGAAATATTGCCAAGTTAAATGAAGCTCGAGATAGAAAAATAATATTCTACTCTAAATTAAAAATTTAAACAAAGTTTTATCCACTGAATTCCACATTTCAAAGTTTATTTCAAGGATGGAAAAGTATTGATAAAATGAAAATTTGATATCTGATTATCAGCTTCCAGCAGACTGACCAATGATGATCATCTTTTGCTTTCATGACTTGTCAAACTAAGTGTTGTTAGCATATTTCAGTATGACAAGACAGCAGCTTAGAACTTGATTTTAAATTTATACTATGCAATTAGTCAAAAAGTAAGTCTGGGTTCCGTCGTATATCAAGTAATGAGTATTTTTTGTTGACAAGATATTCACTAATTGACATACTACACTACTCATCTATTAGATGCAGTCTCTTTGGCTTTAGACAGCCAACAAAACAAAAATTGTAATGCTTCATTTTGCTTGTACTTGGGCAGGCTGTTGCTTTAGGTTTTTTTCTGATTGTAACGTACAGCTGTGCTTCTGTAAAAATTTAAAATCCTTTGAAAATCATCAAAGATTTTTTAGGTCTACTACATAAACATGTTGCTGCAAAGGATGTCCAAAACACGCCAGTCTGTGAGAAGCTTCATACAGTTTGGTCAAGAGTGGAATAGCCTTAAATCGTATGGCTGCATGTGATCATACAATGCGGAAGCCTAAAGGTACTTCAAATGCTGGATTTTAAGGTGCTGTTGTAGAAACAGCATCACATTGATGTATAAACTTTATAAAAACATGTTTAACAGTAAACATGAAATCTTTCTGCATTCGGAATGTTGCAAAAACTGCACCGCAGCTCAGGCCTAACAACTCTGTCACTGTCTGTAATGCTTGTATCTGCATGTAGTAAAGGCTTTAAGACTGTCAGTTAATGGCACTGTAGAGTTACTCTTAATGAGAGAAGATGTCACTGTAAAAAGGGTGAACGGTTTTGGATGTGTTGTTTTAAAAGAGCAACTCCGAGTAAAAAGCTGTTGATGCACAATTGCATTAGTAAGAAAAGAAAATTCCCCTCAATTAACCCGAACTGAAAAGAAAAAGAAAGACCTCAAGTCGATTGATTCCTGCGTTTGTACGTAAGAACAGCTGGTTCACAGTCTGTTAATGCCTGCATTTAGCTGGACCCAGATCAAAAGAATCCCAAAAATGGTGTGAGCTTAGGTGAAAGGACTTTGGAAAGCCAGGGTTAAGTCCTTACCGCCATCTTGGAGCATAGCCAGAGTTTCAGCATACAACTAAGAGTTCCATCCAAGCTGCTGCATGGCTACACTGTTAGCATTACATGGGCTTAAAGGACAAGTAATGAAACGGTCTATTCCTGTTCTTTTCATATTGTCCCCATAGAGCTGCACTACCCCTCAGACTGTCTCTACGTGGCTTTTTGTGCCAGATTAAAGGGAAGAGCACACAGTATGCTACGCAAGTGCTTTATATGGATACAATGACAGGGAATTGTGTTTTCACATTATGAATGAGCATCTTTTTTGACATCAGTGTCCTTAAAAGTATTTGGAAAAATGGTCTCTCGGACAACTTTGGTAGGTTGTTAGCGCATAGTTCTAGTTTTAGTTAGTGGGAAATGTTGGCGTCTGAGGGAGTTTCCATGAGTCTAGCACAGCAAAAATTAGATAGGAACTTTGAATGGTGTTGCATGTTTAAAGATTAGCATTAAAAGCTTTGAGTTGTATAGGAATGAAGGATCTAGGTTACGTGTGTTGGCCGTGTAGAGGGATGTTTATTTTCTGTCACAAAACATTTGCTGGACATTCTGTGTACAAGAAATGTATTTTTTCTGTTTTAGGATCTTTATGTGAGTTCGTTATTTGTGACATTTGCCATCTGGGGAATGGGGCTGTACAAAAGGAATGTACGCTTGTTTGAGGTTTCCATTTTCTCTGCCTGCAGAACAGTTTCAGAAAGCATGAGAACCAGAAAAAAACCGACATTGACACATTTTTGCACTTGAATATTCTCCATTTGACATGCTTGGATCCTCTCCTGCCTAGAGTTGTCCTTCAGATGGCTGTTTTAAAAAAAAAAAGATTAGTCACACATTTGTCCTTATGTGTTCATACAACTTATTTTTCGATTATATGGTTTTGTTAGTGTCGTATCTGTGGGATATTAAGGGTAAGGCACCAGCATCATATCAAAGCCTCTGCTAATGCTCTATTTGGCTGTCAAGGAATGGGATCATGGCAACAATGTGGATGTAAATTTACTTTTTGGGTGTGTGTGCGTGTGTGTGTGTGTCTCAGTTGAAATGTGAAAGTAAAATGTTAGTCTCTTTTAATACAACTGTATTTCCATTTTAATTTGCAATTTGTCAACCGATTTTGACACGCAGGAACCAGTTTCATATGGCGTTGCTGCTGTGATTTTTCTAAATACTTATTTAGTTTCATTATAAAGCATCATTGCGTTCCAGAGGTTGATGCTTGTTCAGACTGCTGAGGCGTTTTGAGTTTATAACAGCTGTTTAGCACTTAACAAGCTCCAACATTTTCTTTTTTTTTTGCATCTCGGTGAGTGAAGGTGATTGTTTACAGCATTATGTTTGAAAATGCCCCTCCCCCCCCCTTATTTTGTTTTATTTTATTTTTTTTAACCCTCTCTCACATGAACATCTTGGTACAATTTGAAATCTTTTTTAAAAAATTCATTTAATGTGTTCTACACATTTGTGCTGCTTATGGATATGATTGCCTTTCTTGTATTTAACAGCGGGGGGGAAATCGAATGTCACCAATGTAGAAGTATGTACACGTTATGACTTTGGTTTTCATCTTGGGAGAGCAGAGCAGATTTGCAATGTGTTAACAACCTTAGTCAGTGAAAAGAGCATTAGTAGCGATTAGTAGACCCTCTGTAGAATAACCAGTTCACTCCAGTTTACATTGGTTGTCAACTTTCCAAAGTAGATGGTCTTTTTGTATTTTTTTCTTTTGGAAAAAAAATCAACAGTGATTTTATTGCACACTTTGGATACAGTTCAAGAGTTTTTGTATCTGCCAATTATAAATTATAAATAAAAAACTATATTCTAAAAATTCTCTCGTATTGTCTCATGAAATGGTTGTGAAATGAGCATTACTTCCATCACTTGCTTCGTTTAGCACCTTGCATTCAAAGTTGTGAGTCATGCTGTAGCTGGGAGCCAGAGACGCACTCGACAAGAGCCTGATCATGCTTGAAGTTGTGTTAATAGATAAAATCATGGAGGTCTCGAGGAGTTTCTCTCTCCACAGTGGAGTACAATTTGGCAGCTAATCCCAGAGCTCTGGTTGCCTAATTTACAAAGACAATTCAGGCGATCTTTAAAACACAACCAAGTGAAGCAGAGACTCTGGGGAAAGATTAGCAGCCTCGCTACTGTTTTTGTTTCAACTTCACTTTAAGTCGACTCTGGAGAAACGCTGAGTTCTGGCTCCCGTAGAGGGAGAGGAGGGAATAGGGGGTGGGGTAACAGTGTCAGGTTTTGGACTTGGATCTGCTGAAACATGGTCCGCATGATGATGAGGTGGTAGGCTTTGTTAACTGCTGTGTCTGACAGGCCTCTCCAGGCATCTGAGGTGAAGATACACAACTGTTTACTCTCTCTACCCGGGTTCAGGATGATTTATTCATGGCACACACACTGGTGGTCACATGTCACGGGGAGTTGCCTCCATCATAAAAGGATTTTCTCCCTTTTGCTTTAACTTTTTTAGATATTGTAGCAATCCAAACTGATTTTATTCTGAATTTAGCAGGAGGGTTTCAACTTTGCTCGAAGAGTGCAACTTGTCATGGAGTGACACTCCATCTCAGCAGGTTTGGGTTTGTCTGCAAACATTGTGCTGCTCACTTAACAACGCAGACTCAGGATGTTGCCTATTTACCCGGAGTGCTTTTCTTGTCTCGAAGTTAACCTGTCAGTCTGTAAAATGTCAAATCGGTTGCTGCTTCAGCAAACATTTAAATGATTTGAGTGAAAATACCTGAGACAGAAATGGCTCCATATATATTTCTGCCGGTTTAAGTCTTTTTGAAAATTAATAAGCACGGAATTTGTAACGCACAGCTTGGCTTGGTAAACTGTAATCTAAACCGTAGGCAAGATTTTGGACAAATGCCCGCTTGGCTATTTCTTGTAGGATCATCACCACCTTATTCTTGGCGCAAACAGGGTCTTGAGTCACAGTTTGATTTTTAGACAGTATGATGTGAAACCTGCACAGAGGTAGTAAAGGGATCAAGGGGACTGTGTTTAATTTGAGTCATCTTTGAAGTATAAATAGACTCATGTTTAGAAATAGAGGAGTCTGGTTCTTTGCTTGTGTGTCTCCATCAAAGATTGAGCTATCAGCGGCTGGCGCTTTACTTAGCTAAGCTAGCTAGATGGTTACAAAGGGTCTGCACCTTTTAATACTTGTGTAGCTCCTTATTCTACTGAACTGAAACCAAATACTTAAAGGAAGTGTGTATTAGCCTAATCTGCCGTCTTGGCTGAACTGGTGTTCAAAGAATTATGAGATATGCCGACCTGGAAGGGTGAGCCTCACAGCTCAAACGGTTACCTGTGGAGCTCAGAGATAATCTTACAATCTGTGAACAGCCCAACAAAAGGTTGTCATGGTCACTTCATGTAGGATATTGGCTTGAATATATTAAAAGGAATAGTCCGGTGTAGAATTAATTTAAGGTCAAACACTGTAACACAGAGTTAGACACCCTCCCAAGAGATGAATGTTGCCGACCGCTTGCTTCTCTAGTTATACAAACTTTAGTAACGACCGCAGGATAGCAATACACAGAACCATGCGCTCAACCAAAACGCCACTCTATAGCCACAAATAATGCCCAGAACAGCACCTAACTTCATCAGCAGTACATATAGGGTCCTAGCCATCGCACTAGCCACCAAACATTCTTTTTAATTTTGCCTAATTTCTTTAGCAAAGAGACTAAACACAACTCACCTACTCTCTTCCAGCAGCCGCTTGTCTGTAGCGACACCTCAGGCCAATCCATTACGGACTGCTGCAGGGTGACGCAGCTCAAGGAAGAACATTTATGATCATTTCTTCATGGAAATGCAATCAGACCGAGACACTAAGGCGGAAGAACTACTTTGTCGGCAGAGCAAAATAATAAATATGGTGATTATTACTTCAAGGAAATGATAAAGTAATGATGTTACAGTGTGTTTGACCCTAACTTAATTTTAAGCTGGAATATCCCTTTAATCATAAACAGAGGTATTTCTCCTCCTTGTTGAAGTGATAATTTTCGTACTTAATACTGAGTGAAAGCAGATTCCAATCTTGCTCTTTAGGATTGAATTTGTGGTGGGACTGCAACCTATCACAATTTGGATCATGCATTCTGGCTGTAAATCTTAAGCCAAAAGCATAAATAGTCAAACACAGTGTTTGCTTTCCTTTCAATGCATAATGTCCCCACAAAAGTGCTCATTTGTGAGCAAATTTCTTCTCAGTGTGGCTCTTAGTTTGAAACTGTTTACTCTGGAGAATCCATCCGTCACATGTCTGCTGTCTCAGATTGATGATCCATTCCTGCCATCTGGTGCGCTGCGTGGTGCACCCATTTTTCACTTACAAACAGGGATGATGTTGACAGCTTGAATTAGCCAGCAAACATATATATCGCTTTAAATTGTCATGCCAGGAAAACATCGGTGGGTCTAGCTGGTAATGACAAAGCCGAAGTTACCTGCTGGCAACAGATGTCTTTCAGCCCAGAGTGAAAGGTTCAGCTCTATTAATGCTTGTGATCTCGTGCCAGCAGTGCCATATACCACTGAGACCTTCTCCTTCTCCATCTATCATGCATTAGATGCCTCTGAACCCCAATTAGCCCAGTTAGAGAAGGGACTGCCTTCATCATTACCAGGTCCCCACTGAAACAACAGCTCATCGCAGCTTTCAGTGTGATCATCCCTCACAGTTTCCTATGTATCCGTGGAGTGTATATTTGTTGAAGTGCAGCTTGCTAGCAACCACTTTGTGTGTCTCACTCTGTCAGACTGTATGCCTTCAGATCAAAACGCCTTTCATCATGGTGCTCCTCCGAAAAGCAAAATATCTCTCCCACACCAAGCAAAGATAGAATTTAGCAAACAAAGTGGATCACACTGTGAACACAGAGATGCCAGGCTTCGTTATGATTTTCAGAGGAAGAGGAAGTACTTCACAATTACTGAGGAGGGGGCATGCTTAATGACTAGAAATGGCCGATCCAGATGGCCTCAGCTGCAGGGTGGTGGCAAAGAAGAGGCCGGCCAGTTTGATACAAGACTGATAATCTGTCAAGAAAATCTGCATCCTTTAGCGAGTCGCCAATACCTCAGGTTTGATTTCTCAATGATTTTGTATCATCGACTCTGCTGTTATTTGTTATATTTTAGGCAGCAAGAAGAAGCCGAATTAGTCATCCGAGTTTCCCAGAAACTTTCAGAAAGAGGTCCTTGCAATAATTGGGAGCAGTATAGGCACACAGGCTTGAATAATGATATGCAGGAGCTATGTGTTTACGAGCATGTGTGCATGTGCAGACTGAAGGCCAAGGGGAGTCATAAGGCGGTCATAATTATGTCATTAAAAAGAGTGACATCTGGAACTCAGGGGCCATCAAGTAACAAAGAGTACCAACCTCCTTCCCTCCTTTGCCCCCTGTGACAGTGACAATCGACTCACATCTCCCAGCAATCTGCCCATCTCTCACGAGGGAGCGAGGCGTGAGCTGCTGTGGCGTTGTGGTGGTGCAAAAAGAGGGGGGAGGGGTGAACAGGTGGCGGGCATGAGGAAATGGATGGGGAATGTTTTGAATGGGAAACTTGCTTCCATTCCTCACGGAGTACCTGGGAGTCTGCCCTTCACCGGTGGTCCAAGAGGCACAGCGAGGACGGGGGAGAGATGAAATGGGAACAGGTGGTGGTTTGTCGTTTTACGAGGAATGGAGTTCCCCCTGTAGATCTGCCAAAGCACTGCCAATAGAGTGATATGGGCCACGCCTTCACAACAGGAACCCCACCCTCCCGCTGGATGCCCTCAAAGGGGTACTTACGGTATGGAAACAAAAAGGATTAACAAGAAGCTCACAAATGATGATTGGCGGGTTGTAAATGAAAATTCCCATTCCTCCACTATCTATTGTATGAAGTGAAGAGTCCAATCAGGACAGGATTTAACTCAAAGACACTTTATAAAGAGCGAATTCAACATCCAAGCATTGCCGCTGTGGTGGGTGGTTATTTTAGAAAATTTGGATTTCATACCAATGTCCAGGGATCCGTGATAAATGCGCCATTCAAAAGCATTGCTGTATCTTTATTTTCTTAAAGGGCAGCAGCATCAGAGGGAGGTTAAGTATGCTGAAAGAAGCACAAAAAAAAGAGTCCATATCAAAGAAAATATTTTTGGACAGTAATCACATCAGGTTTTTAGCTTCAATACTGACACTGAGATGCAGAAAGAGGGATATGAGTAGAGATAAAAACAGTCAGACCACGATAGAGACATACAGACAGCAACAAAAGCAACAACAGAGAACAGTCACAGAGGCAACGCTAAAGATAAAAGTAGAAATATGACCAATATTTGCAATAACAACAGGATAAATGTTAGCATACGCACGAGAGGAAGGTGAACAATGTGAGATTAATGACATACCTGCCTCAATCTGTTTTTGGTCGAGGGCCAAACTACTTTCATTTTGTACTTTGATTGAATCGCAGTCACACTCCCCACTCTTTGAACTGCCACTGTCCCACATGTGCTCCCTCATCTGAGATGTTGCATTGTAATTAACAGCTCCCCCAACCTCTGAGTGTGCATTACTCAGCAGGGCCTCGCCCTCCCCCGCAGCGATATCCTATTAATATCCACCCCCCCTAATTCTTTCTCCTGGTACTGTAATGTTTTGGCCACAGAAGCTTAGGGCATTTTTAGCCTCTCCGGTGCAATGAGCTCAATCTCACACCTCTGGTACAAGACACCTGTCTACCACAGGAAGCATGGTTATGTGCTTTGTGACTTTGTAATTGTGCCTCAGCCCATGGTGGCAGCAAGAAAAGTACTCTAATTGCCATTGCATATGCTGCTATTCATTCTTTTTCAGTATAACATCGCCGACAATTAAGCTGGAGTTGTAATTCCTCCTCCTGGATATGATATTTTCTCAGTTTGAATGGGTATCCATCATCTTTACTCTGTGTGACAGATACGCTCATGGATTTTGCCTCTTAGTCACAGCTTTAGGATGGCTGCATTTGGTTGAATCACTGAGATGTATTTTAATTGTACTGCTGTACATCACTGGCTAATATCCATCAAAACAACACGGGCAAAATTCAATTCTTAGAGATAAGCAACTTCTGAGGAGAAACTACATCTGCGATTGTGCTCGTTTTATTATCTAAACCTAAAAACATTTGATGTTGTTGCCTACGCATTCTTACATTGTCAATTGATTGTACTCTGTCCTAAATGCTATTACAGTTTATGTTAAGCTCCACATTTTCTCCTCAGAATTGATGTCACAGTGTTTGTCTCATTTACACCTACTGACAAAAGGTGCAAATATTTGACAGCCGTGTTAAATTCGAACCTTGAATATCTCTAAAATGCATAATAATAGGAGATTGCTTCAAGGAACACCTCTAGAAATAGTAAAGAAAGGTGATTTAAAGTTTCACACCAGACAAGCTTGAAGGACCGGCAGTAGTTTTGTAAAAGTGTAAGTTAATAAAATAGCTGAAAACTTTCACGATGCATATCAATGAGGATTATCCTTGGCTTACTTTTACAGCTTTAACACTGAATTTGAGAATAGCCTTTAAGTCTCATAACTGGCGGTGCGTCTTTATTAATGGTAATTTCTATCTGATCAACAATTAAAAGGCCCATCAACAGATTCAGATAGAAGCAGTGGATAGACCAAACAGACTTTGCTTCTTCCAAGTCACAAAGCTGAAATCTGTGTTTCCCAGTTGTTTCCAAGATGCAGCACCAATAGAAGCATTTCCACAGCATTTGGTTCAGGTATAAAAGTCCAGAGACTTCAGGTTTCTTTAGCATGAACCCTTGCCCCCATTTTGCCAACACCCCTCATACTTTCCCCAAGCACTGCCATCATGAGGTTAGGGCTGGGCGATTTGGGAAAATGTTTGATACAATATATTTTTTTCACATCAGACGTATCAGCATTGCGTAGAAGAAGAGGACTGAATGGTCAGCTGTTTCAGCTGCACAGGCGCCATGGGCTCCTTGCTCCGCTTGGGGTTTGTAACCTTTTGCATTGTGCGTGCTCTGCCGCATGGCACTGCTTCAGGTGGTGAAAAAGACTTGAGGTATTCCCAGACTTTGCGAGAACATGTACTCAACATAATTAGCAGTACATATTACTCTGCTTCAAGTCCGACCTAAAAAAAAACCCAAATACCTCCACACCACTGACGTTTTCGTGCATCTGTTGAGCCTTCATCTGCATTTCTGCTGGGGGTAACACTCATTTTCTTTTTTTCTCCCCAACAGTGCTGTCTGCTTCACGTGTTAAAGTGCTATGGTTGCGTGTAGCTGCAGCCTTCTGCTATGCAGTTGTTTGCTACTTGGTTCTAGTTCAGCACATGATTGGTTCAGCGCGAAGCGGACCTGGGGCAACTCCCCTTTTCATTGGCTATTCATATAGTCTACCAAAACATGGCAGAATGCCGACTATCAAAAAGGATATTGACCATGTTTCATATTGATATTGAGAGAAATTAATTTTTGATATAACATATTTTTATCTCCCAGCCCTACATGAGGTCAATATATTTATATTTCCTTGGCTGATTGTTTTGTAGATTTTGATGCCCTGTGCTACAGACATTCATGGTCCCCAGGGGATGAAATCATGAAAGGTATAGGCATGATGTTGACTCTTATCCTGTTTATATAAACATAAGATTCAATGACAGCAAAGCCACTAGATGCCACAAGAAGGAACAGAAAACTGTATATTAATAATTTTTGTGATTTCGTTGCTCCAGCACTTTCAAATATGGTATTTATCCAAAGTGTACACAGTTTTCTTCCCTCTGATGGAGAAGATCAGAGGAGCAGCCTCTATCTCTAACATTGATGTAAATCTAAACCAGCACACACGGGTAGCTGGCTTGAAAGTGAAGCCTGGAGGGAAGTCTTTTAAAATCAGATCCAAACTGAAGGAATTGTGAGCAATGCTGGCCAGTGCTTACAACTTGTAGCTACACATGGTCTCTTCACCAGCTGATTTTCTGTTATGTTTGGTTATTGATCGGCACCGTGACGCCAGGCACTAGCACAGTTCAAGACAGAGAGGTATCAGAGGAGAAATGTATCTTTGCTTTTTTGCACAACCTCATATTGTGAAGGGAGACCTATTTATTACTTGTATTGTAACGATGACTGGGGCTATTTTAGCTAGGTTAACTCAGTCTCCTTACACGTTCCATCATCTAATCTTCCTGACGTTGTCTCCATGCAGCCATTTATTGAGTCCGTCCGTCTGTCAGCCCGTCCTTGCTCCCCTGAGCTCCCTGCAGTCATGTAGACTCTGCTTGAAATCCTTCAATCCCATTAGGCTTTGTAAGTATTTCTTTGCCCAATGTCTGACAAGTTAAACAAAGAATCCTTGTCCTGAATCTGTCCTCTTCTTTTCTTTTTAAAAAATCAAGCAGCAGCAGAGAGAAAGGCAAGTCCTTTAAATACACCTTTGCCATATAATGGGTGCCAAATGCAACATGGCATAGCAAATGAAATAGTCATTCATAATTTAGGATTAGGGTTTTTAATGGGTGACTCCCAGTCCTGTAATACAGTGCTCCTTCAACAGTTTCCAGTTTGTAAATAATGTAATGCAGTCTTAATGAGTCAAAGTGGCCACGGGCCATGCAATAGTAATGAAGGCTGGGAGCGGGCATGAGCCGAACTGAGATAATTCTGTTTGAGGAGGACGGTCAAATATCCACAGCTGTCATTAGACACATCTGCAGGGATGAAAGAATGTGTTCCTTTTTATTTATTCATCTCACAAACTGTCAAGTGCTCTAAAGGCTTGGTTTGTTCAACGTCAGGGTACAAATGAAGAGAAAATGCAACGAGTGAGGAGACATTTCCTGATTGCGAGCTTGCATAAATTTTAGGAGATGGTGTGTACATTATTGTGCGAGAAAGAAAAAGTAATTCTCATTTGTCATTTGGTATCTGTGACTCAGCACAAACTTAAAAACGTAAATTTAGTTAATTAAGACAACCATCAGACGGGTTCTAATGGCAAACAGCTGGAGCTTTTTATACAACACCTAATGTTGTTATCTTTAGGAACACCTTTTTTATTTCAGCTCAGGTCTCAAAGGTCAAAGCAGCCTCTCGAATCAAAATCAAAACCACTAAACCGCGCGCTGATTGAGCCTGATGAGAAAAAAAGAGTCTTCTGCAAAGAGTGCTTCTGTTTTAAGGGGTTTAAGAGACATGAAGTGGTCTTTGTGGTGTGTGATATAATTTCTTTGCAGGAAAAAGCAAAAAAAAAAAAGACACTAACAACGACAAAAAAAAAAACAAAACAAAGAAAAGCACATTTGCAGCCATTTGGCTTTTTAAGCATCTTAACCACATGAAAGACATCAAAACGTGTCAGTTTGACTAAGTAGCTTTAGCCCATGCATGTCTGCTCCTCCTTCTGAAGCGTGCCATTCAGTTTTAAGTAATAAAATCCTTCCAAATCCCCTGAAGGAAAACAGCAGCTTAAGTAAGGTTAATGTTCACTCTATCTGCTTTCTTCTTTCTCTGCAAGATTATATTGAAAGATGTGAATTACCTCTATCAAACAAGCAGTGAGCCACAATGAAATGAGAGTAAAGGACATCAAGAAGTGACCCATGTGCATAATGTCAAATTCTATCAGTGAGCCTCTCTGGTGAAAAGGGGAATAATTACTATGCATTAGCTTTGTTGAATAGTGCGGTTATTAAAGAGATACTATTATTATAGAGCTTTGACAATGTGACATTTTTGTCAGTACAAGCCCATGTTGTTAAATCATCCCGTTGAAGTTGCATTCGTCATTGCAACCCTAATTCCTCAAGTATAAAAAGGCACAATGGTGAATTTTGCATTATCTTGCATGACCCATAGATGTCCTTGTTCAGCAACTCTTCCTGCTCTGCCTCTGTTCTAAAAATAAGTCACCTCTTTTAAGGGGTATAAAATGAAAAGAGTATATCGTTTCCCTGATGTAAGAGACTATACTGACACAACATCACACATGTCTGTGATAAAGATATGAGCCATGTGTTTCTCTCCCTCTTTTCTTTAGTCAGGTTTAATTTGGAATCACAGCTTTTCTCCAATGCTCTGTGTTTGTCATGCAGTTATGAATATGTTACGGAGGGAAGCTTTTTGGAAGCTGCAGCAGTGCAGACTCATGTCCTCTGTAGCCTCTACGGGGGTTTGTGTGGTTCCGTGTCTGAAACACGAGTTGATCTAAATAAGCAACAAGCTGGCAATGTCTTCCACTGATTTACACATTATGAAGACAAAGAGAAAAGTCCAGACGTTATCCCAAGTTCTTGTGTTTGAAAGAAAAAAATCAACCCAGACTGCCTGTAACAGATTTGACTTGCAGGTATGATTATCTTTCATGATTATTCATTATTTTCACTGCAGCTTGAAAGAGTGCTTTTAGGGTCTTTTGTAATAATTCTTTCTTTTTCTGCAGCCTCAAACTTTGAAGTGATTTTTGAGTCTTATTCATGTCTTTTAGGCTTAAAGATTCAATATAATGAAAAACACACTTTTCTTCTTCTTTGTTACATCACCACAGGAGATAATTCAAACCTGAGAGTGTAGATGCCAAAAAGCCTGAGCAATGTAGCTGTAGCCCACCAGGGAAAACATAGTATTGAGAGGTTGGTTTGAATTTTCTCCTGTGGTGATGTAACAACAGGAATGATCTGCATAGAAACGCATGCAAAAACATTCCCAGGTCTTGAGCGATGCTGCAGCTCCTGCACTTTTGTCGTTTTTCCTATTGTGTTGCAGAGTGAAGATGTCTAAGAGACGGTAACTGCTCTGTTGCTGGGTGTACAAACCAACACAAATGTCTTTGTTCAGTCCCAGAGCTGGAGGATAAAAGACGACTTTTTATTTATAAAGACAAACTGCTGGTGACAGTTGGTGCCCATTGGCTGCTTGTTTGTTGTTTGTACCAATTACCTGCCACCTTGGACTGCCTTGACAACAGGGTTTGCTTTGGCATCAGCCCTCATAAAGGAATCTACCAACAGTTTGTGACTTGACAACAGATGTGTCATCAGCTTGTGGAGCCACTTTGTGATAGTATTTTAAGTTTGTGGCAGCGTGGTAATTCTTCTGGATCACTCGCCATGTCTGTTTTTGTGTTTTTCCACCTCTGCATTTCTATGCTCAAGTCGTCACCCCCCTTCCTAAAACAATATTTAGGCAGCCAATCAGTACATCGCCTCACTATCAAAGCTTCACTGCCCACTCAGGTGAGTGTAAGGATGATGAGGTTAGACAGAGCCAACCCAAGGCATAAGCGAACTAAGCGCCTGCTTAGGGCCCCGCAGCCAGTAGGGGGCCCCCCAAGAGCAATTTAAAAAAAGTAAGATTTTTTAATTTTTTGCATGTATGATTGATGCTTTCTGTCTGATCAAACATATATATTATTGTAAAAATAAAATTAAGTAAATACATTTTAGTACAATGTCGCAAAAAAGAACATATCCTTCAGGAGCAGAGAAAAGAAAGAGGAAGAAGAGAAAAAACGCTAAGATAAAAATATGTTTGCATGCCACGGAATGCTAATCAAAGAGATTTGTGAAGGTGTGTGAATGATCAATAATCAATATTACTGGCAGAAATAGAGAGCCCCAAAATCAAATCTTGCTTAGGGCCCCATTGAGGCTTAGGCTGGCCCTAAGGTTGGAAACTGAGAGTCTACAGATCTTACACAGAGGCCGAATAAATGATATTTTTTCAAACCTGACTTAAAAGACAACCAAGACATGCTGTAAACGGATAAAAGTACTTTTACATTCTATTTTACAGCTTCTTGAATTACTTCAGACATTATTAAGAGTCAAAAGGCTGTGACAAAACCAAGAAGAGTTTGGAAATCCTGATCCAGAGCTTATTTGAACATCACAACCTGTGGCATCATCATTGCAGGTGTTTTTGTTTATTCCAGGAGTCAAGAAATCATTTTCCACCTTCAGATAAACACATTTTGAATATATAAAACTCCTGTCAGGGCTAAAGTGTCTGTAAACTCACTTTCGGAGGTGTAAATATGCAGTATGTAAAGCTTTTTGGATCTTTGAATCACAAAGGTAAAAAGACTGTCAGCTCCGGTGCTGCAGCGCCTAGATCTTAACGAGTGAGCAGACAAGAGGAATGTGGAGCAGACGTGGGTGGTATTTAAAACTACATATAAATAAATAAAAGGTGAAAATAAATAAATAACTCCTACCTACATCAGTGAGCTGATAGCTATCTCTTGTGAGATCTATCCAAATGGAGCAAACGGAGGACAAGCTGCTTAATTTTGGTGGTTTAGCCTTGAATCTTCCCGCGGTGATAGATTATTATTCCACACATGTTTTAGTGATATTAACCCAGTGGAATTATCTCTGCATTGAGTCGAATTGCACCTTTGACTCGTATAGGAGCATGTTTATGAACAGATCTTCTTAATCATACAAAAAAAAAACTGAGTGGCTTCATTTTCGTAGGCATTCAAGTTTCAATTCTTTCATCACTTCAGAGACTGGATACTATGAATGTAAGCTATGACAGAGCACTTTTCAGCCTATTATTCAAATTGAGCCTTCAAAAAATATAAAAGGACCCAAAAGAGTATAGATTTGTAGAGCTATTGCCTGCCACTCCTACAAGGGAGGGAAAGAGCCTTTTCATTGTTCATTTCGTAGCTGTTACAGACTTTTTCACATAACCCAGCATTCACCTGTACACTTCAAGTGCATGTACAGTTTGAAAGGCAGTAGTTACAGGATCTGCAGGGGGGAAAAAAAACAACATTCTGCTTATGATGGAGAGAAGAGAGGAGGTTTTATGAGAGCAAGTTTCAAGCTGACACAATACAGCTTAAATAACTTAATGCTTCCTCTACTCTTGTCTCAGAAAGAAATCAAGGTGCAAGAATAACGGCGCATCATCGCTGGAAGAGACTGTGCGAACTGCAGTTCTCATAATAAAGTAAACAAGGGTTGGTCTACACGTGAAAGAGTAAGGGCTAAATTGAGTATTATATAAGTGAAAGAAGTGAGAGGAGAGGAGAAATTCACTATTTCTGTCTTTTATTAATAGTCTTTATTCTTATCTATTTCACTTTCTCGTTTCCTTAAAACCATCACAGACAGGGACGAGTATCTATCCGAAATTTTCTGGACACGAGTTCTTTCATCGCTTCATTTCCAGCTAACTCAGTCACTCTAAGCGCCCCTCTTGGCTGAGTCCCCGGTTAATGTGAGGTGTAAAGCCATAAGACTGCCTTAATAGGTGCTGGTATATGGTGTTGGTGGAGCTAAAGCAGAAGCGACTCTGCTGATAGAACCAAGGGACTTAATTTACACATGTACTGGGAAAAAGGTTGTGAGCCACTGGTTCACAGCTTGGTTTGGGTCAGAGATGATGATGCTAGCCAGCCAAGATGTGTACTTGTTGTTCATTTGGCAGCCTTAAGGTCCTTGCACACCGGGGTCGATGCCAATATAGAACGCCTGACTATACACATCAAGCCCGATGCGATTTTGCGACTTTCCGGGGGAAAAAAAGATGCGTCCCGGGTGGAAGTGAGAAGACTGACACAACAGCAGACTGTCTGTTTTTCAGTTCTGATGAGACACTAGTGTTGAGATGGCTGTCTGTCATGATAGCATGTACTGAGTTGGGGCCAGTACCAGATAAGCACATTAAACTATAATCCATAAACAGATGGAGACCTAATGGTGTGTGACAGCAACGCGACTGAGTTTGAGACAGTGAAAATACATATGGTATGTTGTATCTGAACAGGTTAGCTTACGAGCTAAAGTTACTTAGGACAGATGAAAGTTAAAACAAAGACGTTTAGCAAACTGTTAAAGCACACAAACCATCGTCATATGAGAAATCCAACGCTATGACTCTCCACATGTTGTCCTTCAGGTCGTTATCTTTGTAATGTTTGTGTTTTTTATCATAAAGCACTCTGTTCTCTGACACGTTAACAATTAGCCGGTCGGCCATGTTGGATATACCGGTGAATCAGACGTCGCAACAACACTCAAACCGATTGGTCAGAAGTGGACACACAGTATGCGAAACTTTGGAAAAATTGACCATGATCCGAAAAAAATAATGCTGCAATATCGCAGGATGGGAAAACATCGCTGGTGTGAACGCTTGTATTGACAGGATATGGGTTTGAAAAAAAAATTTGACGTCTGAAATAATCACACGATAAAAACACTCCCAGTGTGAAAGGAGCTTTAGAGTCTAAACAGAAAAGTCATGGCAATGCATAGAAATGTCTAGGAGAAGTGTTTGCTGCATTTGCATGTTGATGTTCAGACATATCTGGCTTCTCTTGCACTGTTTTCCTAAACATCCAAAGTCAGCTTAAATGCTAGTGAAAAATCAAACACAGATTTTGAACAAGACCGGAGAAAAACCCACACCCAAAATCATGTCATACGCCTACAGATTCTGCATTTTCATGAATTTATAAACTCTGAGATAAAACAGAGTAAAACTATGTTTCAAAATAGAAACCGCTGAATCTATAATTGATTCCCAAGACTTTGTTTTCCCGCACTGAAATGTGAACTTGTTTATGTTGTCTCTCCCTGTATGTTTTTGTGTCGCTGTGGCACTCTGAGATGTGGAACTTTTGCCTGCGAGCTACAGAAGAAAGCAGGCGTGTGAAATATTGATCACACCGCCGTCGTTCATCCCTGACTGGTCAAACTGACAGTGATACAAACATCCTTGGTCTCCTCTGTATCTCTCAAAGGGGGCTTCTCTTTTTGGTTTCCTACATCCCTCACAGCAGGGCATGATGCAGGTCAGCCACACAGCAGGAGTCATGGAGCTAGCAGCCATTCAAAGTCTTGCTCAGGGACACTTCAGCTGCAGCAGCACCTGGGCTACTATGGAGCATGAGCTTTGGTTGTCCAGCCTTGGGATGTTTCTCTTTTTGCTGTATCATCCTCCTATAGTGTTAGGATGTCTGAGATGGTCTCACGACGAAGGTGAGCTGACTTATATATGAAGCAATACAACTTCTAGCTTTAGACTGTGAGTCAAATCAAGATCAAATCAACAGAATAATCGTCAATCAAGTGCAATTTCTTTACCATGTTGTCATTGTGGTTAAAGCTTAAAGGGATATTAAGGCATAGAATTAATTTAGGGTCAAACACTGAGTTAGACACCCCCTCAAGAGATATAAGAGATACCAATTTTAGTAACGACCGCACCATAGCAATACACAGCGGTCTCATTTATTTATCATTTCCTTGAAGTAATAATCATCATATTAATCATTTTGCACTGCAGATGCGGTAGTTCCTCTGCCTTAGCATCTTGGTCTGATTGCATATCCATGAAGAAATGATCATAAATGTTCTTTCTTGAGCTGCGTCACCCCGCTGTAGCCCATAATAGACTGGCCAGAGGTCTCGCTATAAACCAGCGGCTACTGGAAGAGAGTCGGTGATTCCGTTTAAAAGGTGGGGTAGGCAGGATCGAGGAAGTGCCAGTTTTTGGGAGGAATCTTGAATGTTAACTCTACCCCTCCAAATTAGCTTTCCCCTTAGCTCCTCCTCTCCCCTCCCTCTCTGCTCCAGCAAGCCCCGCCCACAAATAGACGCTCCTGCTCGCTCGTATCGTTTCAATTACATTCAGATATAATGCAGATAAATACTTCAGATGATTACAAATGGAGCCCAGTTAACATGAAAGTAAAAAGCATTGGTGCTACTGTAGATGCCAACAGACTACCAGCAAACCCAATGTTTGCAGGACTTCTACAACTAGGATAAAGTGACATACTCCAGGACCCGAGGTAAACAGTTTAGCGGCGCTACAACACGCAGCAGGTCCCGTTTGACAAGAAACACTTCTGTTACAGATACTTGTAGCAGCATGCTAACAGGCTACCTTCGACCACAATGCTTTCAGCTCCTCTGCGACTAAAACATGACTCACTACAGGTAAATTAAACTTAGCGGCTTACCTGTCCAGCAGAAAGGCACAGGGTGCGTAAGATCCGGAAGCGTCCCCCATCATTTATGCTCCGGTTTTTCGCGCTTGTCCGCTCTACCTCCTTTTTAAGCACCCGTTATTCCCCCAGAGTCTCCGGTATGTACTTTGTTTTCTTGCTTGTGTCGGCAGTTGTTGCCAAAGGAGGATTCAGACAATTTTCTGTACTTTCTGGTTGGTTTCTACTGTCTGATATTGTAGCAGGCTAACTTTGTTTGGGCTCGTGCACGTTATTCGAGTGCGTGGAGCGTGCTTCACCACACGAGGGAGCAGCGTCTGCATTATAACCAATCAGCACTAATGAGCAGCATCTGCCTCACAACCAATCAGGTCGGGGAGGTTGAGAATGGCTTTGTTTACAGGAAGAATAAGCGGACTGCTTAAAAATTTTAAAACGTTGACTACACAGACATAAGAGAACACAGCGATATCGTTATATTCCCAAATATCATCAATAACTAATAGCTATTGACTGATACTAAAAGCTTTTTTGTATATACACCACAAAAAAGATGCTTCTTTAACGGATTCCTGTCTACCCCACATTTAACTTAAAGCTCCAGTGAGGACTTTTTGATAGGTGATGAAAAAGACTGAAATAAACAGTGATGCGTCACAAGATGTACAGTCCCTGACAAAAGTCTTGTCGCTTGGGTACAAGTTGACCATAAGTGCCCCTCAAATATATGTGCAATACATTTTTTTTTTACAAGAAATGTCTAATTTCAATCCCAACAGTGTTTGAAATAATGTCTTGGTGCCAAATGAAACTGCTGAAAAGCATTCTAATGTTCACAGCTTGGTAAAGTCCACTAAGTCAGTTTTTGCACAGACAAAAGTCTTGTCGCCTTGTCATATGATGCACCCAATCCAAGATTACAGCCTCACCTGTGATCAGTTATTGACCAATCAATTAGTGGGTGTATAGAAAGAACCACAGCACACCAGACCTTCACATCAACTGCAACTTAACCTCTGACAACATGCCTAAGATTCACCCTGAGACCAAAGCTTTGATCATCAAGAGGCTGAAGACCAGATCCACTGCTGAGGTGGCTGACACCTTCAATGTGTCTCAGCGTCAAGTACAAAGGATAAGAAAAAGATTTGAAGAGACTGGAGATGTTTATGACAAGCCCAGGCCCAGCAGACCCCGAAAGACAACTGCTCGGGAGGACCATTTGTTGGCTTGAAAATCCAAGGCCAGCCCCTTTTCCACTGCAGCAGAGCTCCACCAGGTCTGGTCACCTCAAGTCCCTGTGTCAACCAGAACAGTTTGTCGAATTCTGTCTCGGCATGGCCTCCATGGTCGAATCAGTGCCCAGAAACCAGCACTAAACAAAAAGAAATTAAAAAAACTTGTGGCATTTGCCAAGGCCCACAGCCTGCTAAAAGGATGGACGCTGGAAAAGTGTCAGAAGGTGGATTTTTCTGATGAATCTTCGGTTGAATTACATCACAACCGCTGCAAATATTGCAGGAGACCTACTGGAGTCTGCATGGATCCGAGATTCACCCAGAAAACAATTAAGTTTGGTGGTGGAAAAATCATGGTCTGGGGTTGCATCCAGCATGGAGGTGTGCGAGAGATTTGCAGGGTGAAAGGCAATATCAATAGCCTAAAATATCAAGAAGTATTAGCTACCTCTTACATTCCCAACCATAAAAGGGGTCAAATTTTGCAGCAGGATGGTGCTCCATCGCATACTTAGATCTCTACAGCAAAGTTCCTCAAGGCGGAGAAGATCAAGGTGCTCCAGGACTGGCCAGCCCAGTCACCAGACATGAACATCATCGAGCATGTCTGGGGTAAAATGAAAGAGGAAGCATGGAAGACGAAACCAAAGAATCTTGATGAACTCTGGGAGGCATGTAAGACTGCGTTCTTTGCTATTTCTGATGACTTCATCAATAAATTGTATGAATCGTTGCTGAACTGCATGGATGCAGTTCTTCAGGCTCATGGAAGTCATACAAGATATTAAATATGGATCTCACAGCACCACTACTTGATTCACTGATGTTGTGCAACATATTTTGTATTTGAAGTAAATTATTTGTTCAATTTTCACATTACTCTATGTAGGCGACAAAACTTTTGTCTTGCCAAAATCTGACTTTTCTGTGTTCATTAAATGATCAATCTTTCTTCGGTGAAGGAAATTTATTTTAGATTTTAAATATAATTTGGGAGGGTTTTAGCTTTCATATGAGCCATTTCTAAAACCAATGGATTAATGACAAGTCAGGTTATAAGCTGTTGTTTCTACAAAATGGATAAGTGACAAGACTTTTGTCAGGCACTGTAGTTCCCCCAATGCATTTTTGCAGTTTAACTTCTGGGTTAAAGCCTGGTGCACAAACTGTGGGGAACTGTGGAGCATGTGCGTAACTCTCTAAGCTGGTCTGACACTTGGAGTTTTAACAAGCTAGCAAAAATGTTGTATTTCCAGATTACCAAATATATTTAAAAAAAAGGATTAAAAAAGGACCGCCAGATGTTTAAAACAAACAGACACACTTAAATTAAATGTGATCTTTGTTAGCATTTTATTCAGATTACATTAAGTGAAAAAAATAAGTGCCTGTACTCTCCTCACTCACTTTTTTGCATGTGTTTCAAGCAATCAGCATCAGTAAATCTTTAAAATTGTATGCTGCTCTTAATAGAATATATCAGATTAATGCTGATTTTGACACCGTACATCTATTGAAATGTCTCCTGCAGTGAGTCACACAAACAAAGAAACTCTACATCTCTGCGTCACCATGCGCCTATGCAAATTTCCATCAGGCTTTGGTGACTGTTGGCCTATGCAGTGTCTTTGTTGTGCGGTGCAAAGGAGTCATCAGGCCTTCTTTCAAGGACTCTGTTGGAGAGGAAATAAAAAAGCAAGTTCACTTCCATCACACAACAGAGACAGATCCAAATAGAAGAGGGAAGTGGCTGTATAACACATCAAGGAATACAGGCAGATAAGGAGTAAGTTATAGATGTCGTGAAAGTTTCAAATAGTAAATCACGCCACAAGGTAAATTAATTCAGACCTGTGTCATTACCCAGCTCTGCTTTGGTTCATGTCTTTGTGTCCTTTTCAAACCGGGTCGACAACACTGTCATCATCTTTAAGTCTAGATTTTCTTTGTTAAACCAACACTGTTAAATCTCGCACGTTGGCATTAGTTTGACTCACCGGCAAAAATAGACTAATGCTGTGAGTGTCATATAATGCCTGTGAAAGGACATTGTGTCATTATGAACTGGTGAAAGAAACTGCAGTCGACAGGAAAGGGCACAGGCAGCCGGTGAGACGTCCTGCTATGGCAAGGAGAAGTGGCAATACTTAACAAGTATGTGTTTTTTCAAAGATTGCATTTGTAACCAGGGTGTGAAATTTTTTAAACAAAAGAAATAAATGCAGTTTTCTATTTTTAGGAGTAGATTCAGGCTTAAAGAAGTCAACCCTTGCCGACTGAATTTCTTTGTATGCGCTAGTATGGTAGTAATATGTGATACGCGTTAAGATGTGCCTCTCAGGGACTGGAAATATCAACTTAATCCCAGATATGATGTTGCATGTCAGTCTTTAAATATATGAAGGTTGTTATTAATCCAAAATTATATCCAGGATTGGGGACTTCCAGACTAGTACACCAAAAGAGTATGTTGTGATCTTTTTTTTACTTCCCGTTTTCTTCTGATTCAGCTTAAATTTCTTCCATATGTTGGTATCAGCCCAAAAAAGCAGTTGACTTGATGTTGAGAGCTGAAGATTTGACGGGATACGTTCCCAAAAACTTATGTATAATACAGTGGGAGCACCTCAAACAAAAGCAACCACTTTCTACCTCCCTCTTCCTTCCTGTTACTCATCTTTGTCACTAACAAACCTGCTAATCCTTTGACCTGTGCTGAGCTACGTCAGTCGCTGTGCTGCAGGAATCCAAGGTATTCTCCACGGTACCAGCTGGTGCACCACTTGTGCCTGTTTGATCCTTTGGCAGACTCCCCGTCCTGTTTAGAGTGTATTTTTAGGATATTAGAAAAATGTGAAAGTGATGTTGCCCACGGTAATGTGGGGTAGATGTGTCATCTTGCTTCTGCTAGTTGTCATGTCAGTTCTCATTAGTTTAAGGAAAGATGTTTGTAGAGTCAAACCCATGCTTTCGGGGTCAAGGAAGAATCTTGCCCGGTCAAACTGTGCTGTTTAGCCGTGTGTGGCTTAATCCCGGTAACACCATAGTGGCTGGCAAATATCAAGAAATTAAAAGATGGGTTATTTTTTCCCAAATCCTGACAAAGGTTTTTTGTGTAGAGGTTTTCTGAGCTGATTAGGAACTATACCCACATTTACGATATTACATGTCATGAACTATTTAATGAACACCATCTGCAGTGCTGCTTCTGATTTAGCTTTTTCTTACCAGATGCGTGATCAGTACTTATTTCATTGTTGCCGTGTGAACCACAGCAGCTGAGAACTTGTCATGAACTTTAAGGAAAACCAGTCATTGACTTCTTTTGTTGCTGATACCAACCAAATGTAAAATTGAAAAAAAAAAAAAAAAAAAAACTCACAAAGAAGACTTGAGTGAGCCACTCACTGTTAAGCCTCTCCATGGCCAACAAGGCTGGAAGGCTTGGCGGTACCATTTGCATGTGAGTTAACTCAGATTAGTTCATCCAGCCATGGGAGCCAGCCCCTCTTCATTTTGACGCTAAACCATGCTACATAATCATAAATGTTCTTCCTTGAGCTGCGTCACCCCGCAGCAGTCTGTAATGGACTGGCCTGAGGTCTCACTACAAACAAGCGGCTGCTGGAAGAGAGTGGGTGAGTTGTGTTTAGTCTCTTTGCTAAAGAAATTAGGCAAAGTTAGAAAGATGTTTGGTGGCTAGTACTATGGCTGGGACCCTATATGTACTGTTGATGAAGTTAGGTGCTGTTCTGAGCATTATTTGTGCTGTGTATCGCTATCCTGCGGTCATTTCTAAAGTTGGTATAACTAGAGAAGCAAGCAGTTGGCAACATTCATCTCTCGAGGGGGTGTCTAACTCAGCGTTACTGTATGTTTGAACTTAAATTAATTTTACGCCGTAATATCCCTTTAAGTTTCTCCTCTATGTAAACGGCTCAGTCAGACTGGAAATGGCCTAAGACTTCCATACATGCTCCAGAGTTTGCACGCTATGCTTTGACACGGAATACATAGAGCATAAATACGTGGCTTATGAGCAGTGCCAATATTTTCTTTATCTGTCTATATCTGGCTAAACTGCACTAGAAATTTTGAAGCCTAGAAAGTATTCCTTGATAAAAATTAGTATTCTAGTTAAGTGAAGAGGATTGGTTAGATGCTGCAAACCTGCCTGGGTGAAAAGATTATTATATTGTCTTTGGAGGTGAGATTAGGAAGGCCATATGCAAATGTGGTGCATCAAGAAAAGATCAAATAATTTCATTGGAGATGGAGTTATCAAAATAAAAATCATTTCGGTTTTGAAATCCTTTTGTGTGAATAACCTTGAAACCTGACCAGATGTTTTTGTATTTGCACAAGACTTAAATTTTCATGTTTACTGTTCGATAGCAGCAGCTATTATTAAATACAATGACTCTGATCTTGATTGAAACATGTCCCTGACACGCTTGTCAGCCTGTTTTTTTCACTCTGCTAATTTTATACAGTATTGAAGAATACTTGACACTCTTTTGTATTCGCTTTGCAAGATTTCAACAACAAAGATTGATAGCGACGCGTGTCACTGTCTTTTTCAGCTCTCTTTTTCACTACCTCCTTCACAGTGTTTCTCTCTTTGTCTTCCTCTCCTCCTCTGAGCCCTACTCTTCCTCGCTGCTTTGGAATTCTTCATGTGCTCCCGCTGTGGTATTGTGGCACCTCATTCACGTTACCTGGTGTCACAGTCTTGACTTCCCTTTCGCTTTGTTAATCGGCAGTAAACAACATGGCTGTCTGGGGACTCGGCATGGCGCGGGGACATATTTTTACCTCGGCAAAAAAAAAAAAAAAAAAAGGAAAGAAGGAGAAAAAACAAAAACACATGATTAAAGTTGATGCCTTTCACACTCCACACTGTGCACAATGATAAAAGGTACTCAGATATCCAAGTGACAGGTCAAAGCAATGCACACAGATAATTGATGCTGCCTCAGAATCTCACCGTGGTATCAGAAACACTTGGCAGTTTCACACGGTTAGCATGCCTCTTTATTCTCCTGGGTGTTACACAGAATTCATCTAATCTAGCACTTCTAGTCAAGCGATCACTTCCATTTAGTACCCGCCTTAAAACAACAACAGAGTTCTGCTTTGTGTTAATTACCAGTTCACAATGTCAGGTCAGGCAACCTTTTAGTTCAGTAAATATTTTGTTTTGCTCAAGGCAGGGTGTGCTCTCTAAGTCAGCCCTCATTTTCAGGCCTCATTTGAAAAAAAGTGGTGTTTCATGAGTCGGATATTTTTTGTCTTGATTTAAGGTCAATTGAAGGTGTGCAGATGGTAGAAATCATTTTAAAAAAACATGCTACACGGATCAACTGAGGGGAAAAAGCTTTTTGTAGAAAATTCTAGGTCTGACTGTCTAATTATAGAAAAGAAAGGATCATCCAACACAAATAAGGAAGAGAAACAACAAATTCATTGTTGAAATGAGCCTTTAACATACTATAGAAAAATGATTATATAAACCCTGTCAAATATGCTCAGTGTGTTGCATAGAAATATGTTTTTATGCAGGATTAAAAACACGTTTCTAACCAAGTCAACAAAACTCTAATAGTTAACAAAATCTCACAAATCACAGACAATCATAAACCGTAATCACTATATAAATATTTCTCCTGCAAGCAAACCCTGCAGCACATCCTTCCATGAGGCTGACTAACTGTGTATATGTGTGTGTGTGTCTGTGTGTGTGTGTTTTGAGAGCCCTTTCAGCTGATTAAATATGTGAATATTTAAAAATGACAATTCTCAGCACAGCTGCAGATCGTCGGCAGGTCTGTTCCTCAGGGAACCCGCCAAGCTGTTCCCTCTGCATTCAGCATCATGCGCCGCACTGCACGAGGAGGCTCCAGCGCCATTGGAGGAGACTCCATGTCATTTGTAGGATCTGATATTCCTCCCGTTAAATACAGAGCACTCGGCATGTTCCACGTACGAAAAAAGACTGATCCCAGAGGGCTGTGGAGTGTTTGGCTTTTAATTAGCTTCTCCTTCCTTCTTCCGGCTCGACCATTTGCCACTGTTTGATTTCGGTGATCGTGGTGAAGCGGCCTTGGCTCGCACTGCTGTGATCATCTGTAGAGGATGGCAAACTGGTGACACGCTTAGTCTACATGCAAACATTTATGTAGCTCTAAGGAGATCTCTCGGAGTAGGTTGCAAGAGTTAAAAGGAAAGGAAAGGAGCTCTTTTGCCTTTATTTTTCCTCAGCCTTTGATGATATGAGGCATCGTGCCAGGCCTACCTTTGCTGTCTCCTATTATTACGAGTGGAAAAGATTTGGACCTGGCCCCAAGCACTTCATTTGTATCTCCAAAGACAGGAAGCAGACAGATGTCATTTACATTACAACAAAGTCGACCTGGATGTTTTCCTGGTGGAAGATGGCATGGAGAAAGGCTAAACATGTCAGAGAACACATTTTTCACTTCTGAGCACTGACTTTACGCTAACAGATATGTAAACAACATATGTAGACATAATGATGTAGGGGAGACCGGGGCTTGTTGTTACACTTTTTACACAATCGTGTATTTCTTGGAATCAATATGTCATATATAAACAAAGTGTGTACCAGATAAAAGACCAAAATCTCAGGTACATATTTCATATTCATGTCATTTTCATATCTTGTGTCAGTGCAGAGTTATAAGCAATCAAATAGAGAGTGTGAACATGTGACATGTTGCCCCACCATCAGGTAAGTTGTCTCACTACATGGGGAAAGATCTCACAGTGGATTTTGCAGCTAATAAAACAAGGACAAAATTATTGTTGATCTCACTGTTTTAAATGAAAGTGAACATCAAAGTCAGACACAGAAAATGTTTATCATTGAGCTGGAAAAAGTCATTGAACAAACGTTAACATAAAATATTATGCAACATGCTCTGGAGTTTGGAGAGCTGTCTTCTTGCTTTCTCCTCTCCTTAAACCACTCTTTTTTTCTGTAAAAATTAAAGTCAAAATTTCATAATGACAACTGCTGATAAACAGAAACTATATGTTAATTTTAATCCCTTTTAAACATGTGACAACAAACCCCAAAATGGCTGAGGCATGTTGCCTCAAACTACCATGTTTGCTAATTCTAGCTCTAGCTTACAGTTAGCTTAAAACAGAACAATGACTGAGGTATGACAGGGTGTCTTAATCTCTCCTCTAACAAGTCCACATATTTCACTGCTAGGATTCTTATCTGGAAGAAGCTTATTTTAAAATATATAAAGTTGAATTTTTTACTTGGGTTGTGTGAAATAGCTAATTGGCACTCATCTCAGCTCACAATGTGCTCTTCTCTTCTCAGACAGGACACGACCCCTGATCATGTTAAGGAAGAAAACTAGTATTCAACTTTTTAGTTGCACCCTCTGGTGGCAAAGATAATTGCAATGTGACAACTTACCCATGTGACAACAAGCCCCGGTCTCCCCTACAGAAACAAACTGAGTGCATGGTGGAGAGATTACAACTTTGTACACTAAAATTAAAGATTTGGATTATACTTAGAAAAACCAAAGAATACCCCAAGTAAATTACTTGATCCCTTTTTCTTTATTGTATGGGCTCTGTTCATCATAACCTTCCTTCTTCTCAAACTGGGTGGACTAACACAAATGAGGTTGTATTGTCTGAGTTAGGATAAGCTCATTCATTCAACAGTATTAAGGCATAATGTGTAATCTGCGGTTAGACGGAGTAGTGTTAAATTCACAGAGCTAAATTTGAGATGTTTTAGCTGCTGAGGCTGTGTCCAAATCTAACTCAAATCAAGCAGCTCCCAAAACTGCGTCAAAATCTGAGGAAATATTCACCACTGCGATCACTGAATGGTGGCTCTATAACCCGTTTTGCCTGATCACTGTGCTCATTCCCACAGTGGGAGCTTATAGTTCATGTTGTGAGTGGACCTCTCATCCTACAGTGCAGTGGAGCCCAGCTTCAGACTTCTCAGCTCACACACACTCACCCACTCGCCCACGCATCCTCAGGAGCCCAAACCCCCCACTCATCAGCCCCTCTACTTGTGCCAGGCGTGCCCCTGTATCGCCTCGCTTACTCTCCACCAGTGTGTATCTCAGAGCTCTGCCAACCCCCTACATCACACTTCAAACACACACACATACACACTCACACACACACAGCACGCACACAAGGGAGACAAAAGAGAGGAAAGAGGTCAGTGGGTCTCTTCAAACACAAAGAACCTCTGAAGGAGCTCTGACTGGTTTACACTGCACTCAATTACCTGTATTTGATTATTGCTGTGGCAGTGTTCGAAGAAACTGTAGCCTCACACTCTTTTCTTTCTCCTCTTTATTTAGCTTCCTGCATAGCACAATCCATATGAGTCCATATGAAGCCGGATTCGGTTCTTATTTTTCCGTCTTTTTCATCTCCTAGTGTGTCATTATTACCTAGCAACAACCTTCCGTTTTTTCACCCTCTCTCCAGCCTCACTTCTTTTCATCTGCTTCTTCCTATTTTTCTCTTTCTACTGACACCTCCAATATTTGGCTCAAAAACTGGCACACAGTCAAGGAGCCACTTCTATGGAGGAATATGAAAAGAAAAACACATTACAAAGAAGACATAAGCAACCCCTGAAATATTCCCTGCTATTAATAAAGTAATGGCCGTATCAATATTACAAAAAATGATGAATGGATGAATGCACTCAAGTACCTTTTAGCACTCGTGTTCATTACAGAGCTGCTTAACATTTCATAGTGAGCAGGATGAGGAGTGCTAAGTCCTAGTTAGGCACGGCTGAGTGACATATAGTTGTCAGACCAAGAATATATCCTGTGAAGGATAGAAAAGGAAAAATTGTACAGACTGAAAAACACTTTGGTGCTGTTATTTTATTTCTTTTAATTCTATTTAAAAGCTCTTAATTCTTTATCAGCTGTCAGTTCTGAACATACTGTAAATCCTGGCCCGATTTATCCATAAATCTGCACAAGTTTAACTCCACAGTGGAATTATTACACATTTAAAAAAAGATAAACTCATTTTATTTCAAATATAATTTTGATTCATTCTTAATATGTGATCTTTCACTGTTATTACATCATAAGTGACACACTAGCAGGTTACTTATGATGTTTTTAAATTTTTTTTAAATTTGTAGTGGCTGCAAGTTTCTTTTAAAGGTTCTTGGGTACGGTGGCCCTGAAGGTCAAATATTTCAGGAAGGCGACATAAAAAGAATCCATATAACACAAGAAATTTTCATTAAATACAAAACAATAATAATAAAGTCATAATAATAATAATAATAATAATAATAATAATAATAAATTCATTGAACACAAACATTTTATGAAACACGAAAACATTTCAGATTAACATGCAATATACTTTAGGGAACAAAACATTTTTGGAAACGCAAATTAATTTGTAAACACAAAGATATGAAAAAATTTTAAAACAAAAATGATCAAGAATCACATACATATTTTTATGGGTTTTTTAATGTTTTCATGGAGCAGGGTAACACTCCTACGCTGTTCTACCGATTGACTACAATAGAGGGGTGGGGCCAAAACATCAAGCTCTGCCTACTGCGTCCAAAAGGCCTCTGGAGAGGTGGCCAATCAAAAGACAGCGGGAATGTGGAGGGCGGGCCTTAAAGAGACAGCTGCTTATAATGACATTTTAATACACTACTTTGAGAAATTTAAGGCTTTTTTGATATAAAAATCATGTAAAGCTATCAGAAAGGAAATGTAAAGACTGAAAAAAATTGCATGACACCCCCTCTTTAGTGAAATTTTCTTGTGTTTTATGAATTCTTTTTCTAATGCTTTCCTAAGGTATTTGACCTTTAGGGCCACCGTACACAAGGGAAAGTAAAAGACAAGAAAAAATATGCAGAAAGCAGCTAAAAATGAACAAAAGTTAAATAAAAATATCAATAATTAAAACATCTTAATCATGATATATTTCTCACTTTTTGTACTGTTATAAGCCACCATATTCTGGTTTCTGCCCCTCCTCTGCATTTTTGGTCTGCTATCAGCCACGAACCTGAAGTTTGTTTCTGCTCAGATCGATTAAACCATCTTTGTAGAGGCAAAACTTTCAGGTTATTTTGTGTGTGCTGTGTAAAAAGTAACACCAGTAAGTTGTGTCTAACTTTGTATTACTGGAAAGCTGCCAAAATGAAATTTTTTAGACAGAGGCCAAAAGTGCTGAAATGATGATTTTCATGGTGTTCGTTTAACTGTAACTAATGCAGAGCTACTCTATTAGTGTCTCAGATTGGCATAATCAGAGTGAAAATGAGAATTATAGGTATGCTTTAAATATAACTGAATGTTGAACCGAAGGATCATTCATGATAACTCTGCATATATACATATATATATATATATATTTTTTTTTTTTTTTCTACAGGAAAGTTAAAGGTATATTTTTTTTAATGATTCATGATCTACATGACATCTTTACACTCATGTTTAAGAGTCTGTAAATGAGCCAGTTTCTAAGAGCATAAATGAAAAGCAGTAGCTGTCAGTAAATGGCTCATTCTTTATCAATATATCCCTGAGAATATCATGCATATGCAAGAAAAAGTAGAGCTGTACGTCAGCTCTGACTCGATGATTCTTTATCGGTTATTCTTTCTTTATAATACAGATTTTCTGCTTTCACCTTTGCATCTTAAAACACACTGCGACACACTTTTCTCACCTCATGTGTGGAGCAGAGCTCACCTGATTAGCTTCAAACCCAGCTGAGCTCCCCTCTGACAGGGGCGTGGCACCTTCACACAAACAGACATCCCCCTCACTATATTCTGGGGTTGCAAAAAAAAAATGAGCCACATCACATGCCTGACAGACCAGACACCCATAGACTTCCACCCCAACCCCCTGTTTTTTTCCTCCTTCTTGTCTTCTCCACCCTCTGCATGTCTGTGTCTGTCACTCTGTCGCTCCCTTACACCCCTCCAAACCCCTGTCTTCTTCTCCTTTCTCCCTTCTTTCCCTCCCTTCCCTCCCTTCTTGTCACCTGCCTTCACCGCCTACACAGCAGTCGGGCTGAACATAGCAGCGCCGAGATAACACCATGGCCCGGACAGTCAGACACCTCATTTATCAGCTCTAGTTATTTGCTGTAAAAAAAAGCCATAGCAATCCTGCAACAGGCTTTTGACAACATGGCTAATTGATCAGCCAGCACAAATTAGCATAGAAAATCTGCTTGAATGTCATGGTAACTTGTTATAAAGTGATGGTTTTGCTGCTACATAAGCAAGCCTAGACAAATATACTCTCACCCCATTCATATGAGTGAGTTGGCTGCAAGATATACTGTTTTCTTTATGGATGGGACAGATATGCTGCTGTTTGAAGTATGCATGTGCATCAGTATTCAAAGTGATTCACCAGTGCAGTACATCTATACCCCAACAGTAAAGAAATGTTAATGCATCTCTTCACAGAGAAAACATTGGAAACAAAAGAAATGTTGGAAAATGAAATTATTTCTGCTCCGTCCATACCAATATTCCCTTGATATTCAAATAAAGCCACTTATTAAGGGTATTTCACCGTCCAACACTCACTATGGGTATGCACTGTGTTTCATCAGTATGCTAATCTCCCAGTTCAGAGGGCCCATGGTGTCATTACTGGAACCTCTTATATAAAGAGTGTTACCCGTGTGAAGAGCAGGTTCTGATATTCCTGTCTGTGGAATAATGAAGTTGTGTGGCAGCGCAATTACCTACGATAATATGTGTTTGGATAATATGTGCTGTTCAAATCAAATTCTTTGAATCTGTGGATAAATTGTTGCAGAAACTAATTTACAAAATATTGAAAAACTGAAAAAATACTGATGTCTGATACTTAAACCACCTCCAAAATGCTCCCATTCCCCAAAACTTATGGATGTCAGGCTTTGGGCTCAAGATTCTGTTTTCAAAAATCTAATTAATTTAGATTAAAGGGATAGTGTGGTGTTTTTGAGGTGGGTTTGAAGCATAGACTGTATATACTATAGACAACTTGGTTCCGCCTCCCGCCTGTATATGAATTTGAAGCCAAAAAGTTCTCTGTATTTCCGGGATTTTTCTTCATTACTGAAACCAGTAGCGCAGTAGTGTTGTGTGCATTTGGCAGGAGAGTCGTTGAGAGTCGCTGTGTTGACGCTCGGCTCAAACAGCGGGTTAGCTACACAGTCCCTGGACGCCAATAGGCTGTATCAGGTGTCAATCATAGAAAACATGAACCCCTCTAATAACTTTGAAAAATGGACCTGCACAGAAAAAAGAGGACTTGAGCACAAACCAGTCTTACTGTAACTACATGTCAACATCACAAGCAGGGGGGAGAAAGTTTTATGTTCTGTGTCATAAATTTCTATATACAGTCTATGGTTTGTAGCAATTACATGTACTTGTAAGTGTACGAGTCACAACGGTTGCAAGGGTTACAACACAAGCACATGTTTTTCCTCCTGCAGTGGATTGATCAGTTTCTATTTGAGTCTGTTGGCTTCAAAGAGACAAAAATCTATAACCAAACCAAACTAAATAATACAGAAACTAAATAATAAGTTATTCTGACATAGTTTGTTCTTACCAGGTTGATTCAAATTCAAGTGTTCAAGTGTCAGACCATCAGCAACATAATTGGTGATTCTAACGTTGATTTTTTTATACCTGAAACCAGTTTGAGAGGGCAGGCAATAGCTGAGTAACTAAAGAATCAGCCTTAGTTTTACAATTTCCACATTTAATATTCACAATGAATAATGCATTTGACAGTCAACAGTTTGCAAGGTTGGACTTTTTGGGTCAAAATTGAGACTTATTAAAACTTCCTGACAGGTGCTTTCATTATTCCATTCTGATTAGTCAAAACCTTATCACAGTGGTGATAAATTTCTGCTTTTATAAGCAACGCCTGGGACAAGCTAATTACACCCATACTATCAAACCAATCTGTGTAGAGGAGTCAGGTACATTTACTCCATGCCTGTTAACACTCTGGCAAATAAGTATGTTTAAAGTTCTGTCATCTGTAAAGTCCCAAGATGAAGGTGAGCAGAATGAGAAAAGAAATTTCAACATAAATATTTCTTCAAAAGGTAATGATGGAAATGTTACTAAGATTTAAGTTGTAAATCTTTAGTTTGATGTTAATTGTCCTCCACGTGGGCTGATAAGAATCTGACCTACCCCTGGAGAAATCAATCGTGCATCACTTAGTTGTTTAATACCACAAAAAGAGGCATAATGGTGTAATTGACAGCTGTTGACAAATGGGGCCCCTGTATTGATTTGTGCATCAGATAAGCAGAGTATAGATAGAAAGGGCTTGAAAAAAAGTGCCAAATAGTAAAACAGGGTCCAGTGAACGTTTCATAAC